AAACCGCATATCCATAACACCGTGCTTGTGACAGAAATAATGTGTTGGTCAATAATCTGATAGTACCCATGTCAAGGGTCAAATCGACTCGAGGTGCAAAATTTGTGCCCTCGGCAGGGGCCAAGATAACATTTGACTGGTTGTACACATAAACCACAATCCACGCCGGCCCAAGCAGCACCCTTGGCAATTTTTGGAATTCTATTGTCCTATCTCCCATTCGAACAACAACAACCGACGGTTGATTTTGGACGAAGAAAAGCTTTCTTTTCCTCGCTTCCTTCTCCTCGGGCGGTTTTCGGCCACACACTCTCAAAAAAAGTAGGGTTTAACAGAGGGGCACGGATCCACGACCTAAGTTTAGGTGCAAGCTGCCGTGCCTCGTGCCAAACCCAAGGATTAGCCGGCATATTTAGGCCCAGGCGAGGGATCTTTGGGAAGGTATGACGCTGTTCATCGTGACTTTCCGGCCGTCAAGTCACAGGCTTGCCGGATAGTGCGCACACGGGAGCGAGGTGAGAGACACACCGCTTGCTTAGTTGCAGCTTGGAGTCCTTGTACCTCTCGGCTCGCTCCTCATATACGAGGTGTTTAAGTCCATACCGTTCCTTCGCACTTGTTACCTGAAACGCACCACTCGCTTTAGATCTAGCTCTAAGGGAGCTTGTCGCAGTTATTGCCGACACAAAAATTGCAGCATCGTGGTTGATAAGTCCCACAGGCAGAGATTGTAGCTTTTTCGTTTTTTTTGGGCAGGGTTTTTTATCGTCCGGTAGGTAATTAGACGACTCCGAAACAGATCCATCCTCGCTTCAGTCAATAGAACCTTTTAGATCTCGTGAATTAGCATCATGGCTTGACAAAATTAGAGTAACGAGCCTCTTTCGAGCTTATTTCACCGAACGCACCAGCCATATTAGGCACCTGTCAAGGTTGATCATCGACATATCTGGTAGGTAAGTACCTAAATTAATCCTATGACTTGACTTTCATTGGATTTGATACCACTCAGATGTTTCCTATTCGCCTCGTTACTGATTCTTCCCATGTTCATTTTTCTTTCCCCCCTGCCCGACGTCTCTCGGAGTAAACGATATGCGGGTAATTGTTGTAGTGCTAGATCAGTACTGGTCTGCAAAGAGGAGCACTTACAGAGCTTCCATCAATGACGTTCTGGAGTTTCACCATAACTACCTACATTCCTACATGGATTGAAACCAAGGATTTCACCGGCCACCGGACCAAGGCACACCAAAACGAGATAGCTCCGCAGTCATGCAATACAATGCAGTGCCGATGCCGGTTCTGCACGGTTGCCCGCTGGCCCGGCCAACCCCGGTGTGTCAGTTGTCAGGTACGCTCGACGCTGGCAGCTCGGGTGCTATTCTGGGAACCATGGTGTCATTACCGGCTTGACACTTAGCTGAACCGTTAAACTTAACACGATGAAAAAGAAAACCCGTCGCATCACCTCGTAACAATTAGGCTAAGTGAACGAAGCCCTGACTTTTTACTCAGCCGACGGAAAGGACCCACCAGAAACTCTGAACTCCAAGGTGCCAGGTCCTGAATCGCATGATGAGTAACAACGGTGGTCATATGAACAAGAACCGGTCGGTCTGAACGTTCCTGAAAAAGATCAGATGCTAAAATAGTAGCTGCTGGGTGTCCTGCAGAGTGGGACAGTAAACTGTCCTCGCTTCTTCGCAGTCTCAGCTATAACCATGGAGAAAGTGACCAATGCCACAATTGCCAAAAGGCAAGGTGCGTAAAGTTCCACCTGTGCGTTCTCTGACCTGCTATTTCTGCATGCTCTCATCCTTTGCCATCAATTATCAATAGATAATGCTGTGGTGAACCTTCTCCGTGATCAAACTCTTGTGTCTTCAAGTGAACACCATCTCACTCTTATGATCATTCTCTGACACGGTTATATTTAGCTAAGCGCAATTTGACATTGCTGATCTGATGCGTTCACCACGCCTCAAAGCAGACATTCTGTCATCATTCATAGCACCTCACAGAACCCTTACTTCCATCTGATTCTCACTCAATGCATCGTCGTGCTGGTCATAATCATCATCATCAAGTCATCATTGTTTATCGTCTTCACCTGGTTTCAAGCCTTCTGTTCCGTCATACTGTGGTAACTGCCATTGAGCTAATGGGTGCAATCCAGGCAGCACGTGCAGTTAGGCCTTGCCTTCTTGAGATATTTCTATTCCACTCAGCTGAGCCTTTTGTTCAGCATGCTGAGGACTGGGTTTTACCCAATTGAGCTCATCAAATCAAGCATCTCCGTCGCGCAAAAGGCGTGTGGATTCTCCTGTACCCCCACCACAGGTAAGATGAGAAGCTAGATACTTTGAGTTCTATCGGTAGGTCTTGTTTTGCTCCTATGTTATGCCGTTTCCGAGTACACGTGTGGCCCACTGCATGGCTATTCAACTCTTTTGACTGTCTGCTCAGCTTCATCAATTACAAATGCAATGGCATATACGCCTCTGAACGTGGGTCATAATGTTACATCTTTACACGTTCCTGGGCATTCAACCTCGATGCATTTGCTTTCCGCTGTATAAGATTGTTTGCAAAACTCGTCCACTCAGACATGACTGCTTTCTCCAAATAATTACTTGCTGCGATTTTTTCAAAAGAGATTTTATCGACACTGCTGAATACTTTGAAATCTAATTCTGCCACTGATCTCATGTCTCGGCATAGCATAGGGTGACCGAAGTATCAATTAAGAACGGTGATTCTAGGCACCCGTTCAAAAGGAGAGGCTATGATCAGCCACCTCTTATCACGAGAATGGACCTTATTACGAGGCTAGTCAGCCAATCGAGCTTCGACGATTCATGAATACGAGGTCCGTCATGCCAGCGCGCAGATCCACATTCGGTACTAACCACTCAGAATTCTCAGAAGCTACTCTGTATTTTGTCTATGTCGATGAATGCATCAAACACGCCCGTTTCTCCTGGCTCATCACATTCGACGCCAGCTCTTATCCACTTTTCCGGTCTCAATCAGGATAACATTCCTGGCCGGTGGTCCACTCAAGTGCCGTACGCCCATATCCGCTCGTCCACCAGCCGTGTTTCCAGCGGAGTCACAGCAGCTGCATCTTTACTCCGCCCGAGGATCGCCAGTGGGCCAGCTCGTTTCAAGTGCGCGGGGATTTATAGGACCAAAAGACCCTCAGCTGGCCTTGCTGGTAAGCCTTGACCGTTGGATTTTCAGTTCCACTTTCCAGGCTCAGGGTAAATCAAGCCATCTCAGGTACGCTTCAAGCGTAAGAGGCTTGGACCATTTGAGCCTCTAGTTTTGTCGATCATATTGTCGTTGTAACAGCTGATGCCCCTTCTTGGAATTGAAAAGAAAGGGACTCTAAGGGCACATGAGAATCAAAGTATAATTCAATGATTCCAATCCGAACCGTAAGTCCCTCAAAATATTACTGGAAATCAACTCGTAACCCCACAGCTCGCGTTATTCTTACCCTATCCAGCTTAGCCCTTTTTTTGCTGCCATTTCCTCATTACTCCATGAATCCATGCAAATGCAGCATAACTATCCTAGCCCGCTACAAACAGAGTTACACTGTTTTAACTTCACCAGGGAACCTCAACAAAAAAAAGCCCTCTAACAGACCACAGGAAAACGCCACAGATTCACATGCTCACGGTGCGGCAGTTCTCCAATGTCTTTACTCGGTCGTTGAGCGAAGCCGCAATAATCCGAATGGTAAACCACTCCAACGATTCAAGGCTCAAGCCCTGGCGATCCGCTGTCTCCCACCCGTATCCATCCAGAGCCAACACTCTCCTGATCTCAAATAAATTTGATCACTTTTTGCTTTTGAATTCAGTTGGCTCAGACACTACTTACGATCACATAGCTGTCTATGTGCACGAGCACGCTGCACAATTAAATTGATGGTTTCGATTTCTTCAACTTCTTACATTTTCTCTGGTGGTCTTGCGCTCTTATTTTTTTCAATTTTGAAATCTTTGATTGCCCGCTTGCAAGTTGCAATCACACTTGGTACTCCTATCTATTTATGACACGATTGAGGAGAAAGAAAAAAGAAAAAAGAGAGAAGTCGCCCAATATACACATGAAAAGCTAAGCTGGACTAGAACTATTTGCGAAAAAAACACAAAGGGCCCCAAATAGGAAGATAACAAATCATAAGATGGGGCCCTGGGCGAATCATCGTCCCCTCATGGTGTGTCGATCGTTCTCAATGAGACTTGAACGTTGAAGCTACCTACAGAATGTTTTGAAGCAACAAAGCACAAAGCACGCCCACAAAACAGGCAAAGGAGAAAAGTTGTCGAAGAGCGTAGGACAGCGGATACATTAAGCGGCATGCCAAAGAGTAAAGATAAAAGCAAAAGCAAAGTTGCAAACATACACCGTTCGAAAAAAGGACTATGTGCGTGCGTGTGTGTGTAAAAGTGTGACCATCACTTTATTTCCCCTTGTTTTCTTCGCGTTCCCGGTCCCCTTTCGCTGAAATGCAGAATTTTTTTCTCAAAATTGTCAATCAAATGTCGAGCAGATATTTTGAAATAGAAAAACGGAGGGGGTGTGGGAGTAGGACAGTTATCCGTGAGGTATGATCATATGAAAGGGGTAGTAGCGAGGAGAGAATACGGGACAGAGTTTGGACGAGAAAGGCAGGAGGGGGCAAAGAAAGGGTGTCATGCAGGAGAGAATAAGAAAAATTGATAGCAAAAAATGAAAAGAAATACAAAACAGTTCGCCGGCAATGAAATGGGTAACTACCTAACTACCTAACTACCTAAGCTATGATGTTATGAGAGAGTACCGTGGGAGAATATCAAAATTGAAAAGAAATAGTGACAAGATGAGTTCAATGGCTGGAATCAAAGGGGAAAAAAAAATTAGACGTTGATGACATCGTGTTGCTTGCAAGTTTCGGACAGAGGTCTAGAACAAAAAGGAAGCGTCTGTTTGGATTGAGCCGCTTACACTCCGTACAAGTTCTGTAGGATTTGGCGGTCAGACGGGGCCATATTGGAGCCGACAAAGGTGTCAAAGTCGGGTATCATTGAGCGGTACAGATCAAGAATCTATGCCACGACGAGGTTAGTTATATTAGACTCATTCAAGGCGACTGGAATTAGAACAAATTGGGGGTGGGAGGAAAAGTACAAACAAAGCATCACGAGCAAAAGCTTGGGAAAGACTTACAGCTTTGAAATGGTCGAAAAGCACCCCATCCTGCTGATGAACAGCGGGGTATCGGGCAATGACGGTGAAATATTTGATCAGATGCTGTTCAATAGCAGCAGCATTTAACGCAACTATCCGAGTGAATCCCCGGAAAGCATCTGCCTTTTCGTCCGTAAACTCGACCTTCTCCATCTGTTCGAGGAAAGGACCCACCAGCTCTGCAACATGCGGAGCTAGAGCTGGCGCCGACAGTATACCTAGACGACCAATCGCGATGGCAGCGTTCTCGACAAGAGAGTCGGGAAGTTCAGGATTGGTCATGATGGTGACGAGGCGTTCGTAGAGGATGTCGAGAAAGGGGCCCATGCCCTCGGGTCCGTATTTGGTCGCGACCTCTCCGCAGGACCAGCACGCATTGTTGAGCACAGCAAAGCTGGCGTCGACTTCATCAAAGCTGATCTTGTCCAAGTCAAGCTGCCCGCTGAGAATGGGAAGAATGGTAGCCAGGAACGGCTCAAGCTCAGGGAAGACATATATCGCGCAGTCGCCCAGCAGGGCATATCCGGATTGCCGTACCTCGTTTGCCGGGTCGTCCAAAGCGTAAGCGAGGAGCTGGAAGAGATTTGGTTTAGACGTTTTCACCAGCTCGAGACCATCTGCATCATCCAGAGCCTGGATGATAGAGCTGAGCAAGTCGAGACTTGTGATAAGGAAATCCTTGTCTGGTAGGTCTACACCTTCGTGGCCGTTGCCGGCCGCCATGACATACTCTTCGAGAGTTGTGTGGACAACTTTTATGCACCGCGTAAAAATAGGGCCCGAAAATGGTGCAAAAGCCTTGCCCAAGGCAATCGCGACATAAGAGAGACACTCAAGCAGAGGGAAGAGTTCTCTCGATTGATCAGTGACGCGGTTCCAGCGATCAATCAGTGCCGGCATGAGTAAGTCTACTAACCCCGGCGCGGCCAAGCCAGGCCCAATGTGCTCAGCAAGCGTCTGTACACAATCATACAGGATGAACATATTCCTGTCCTTATACTTGCCAAAGCACCGGATGAACTGTTGGATAATGGGCTGACAGTAAGGGGTCAGTTGGCTTTTAGCCTTTTCTTCGAGACTTGCAAATGCTGAGGCTCCTGCTTCTTGCACGCGTTTGTTGTTGTCAAGCATCTTGTGCAGCAATCCTACCATCATCGGTTCGAAGAATTGTGCTTTCTCGGCGGGGTCCTTGAGGTGGGATGCCCAAGCCGAATAACGTCCAAGTGTCCAGCAAGTGATTTGTCTGACCACGGGTTCTTGATCATTCAAGAGAGAAATCAGATAGGGAACAAGGTCGGGCAGATGTGGCTTTACAGCTGACATGCAGCCCTCCGCGACAGCTCCCAACGCAAGAACCGCTGCTTCGCGTCTAGGCCACTCAGCGTGTTGCAGATTCTCCTTGAGGTAAGGCAACGTGATCTCAAAGACCGGACGATGGAAGACAGAGGCAAGGACATCCAAAGCCGCAGCAGAGCACTTGCGGAGGTTCCACTGGTCCTCCGGATCACCGCCGTCATCGTCGTCATCGTCATCGTCGTCGATTTCTCCCTCGCTCAAATCGTCTTCATCAAGTGCGTCGCCAGAAGCATCCGCGCCTGAGCCATCTGCCTTCGTCGGCGCATTTCTTGCTAGTTTTGTCTTCGCAAACTGGGGTTTAATATCCTCTTCCCGATCTTCTTCCTCAGCATCATCACCTTCGCCACCAAGTCGTATTATATCATCTTCACTGTATACCATGCACTCTAGGAGTACAGGTACGATCAAGGCGAGATGTCGACCTAAATCTGCCGCCAGCGCCTCATGCTCTCCGACGCACAACCAAAATTCGGCTGCATCCAGCGCAAGATCCGAATCCTCTATTATACGCTGTTGTGAGACCGTGTACTCAATTAGGCCATCCATATGGGGCTTCAGCTTGTCTGGTCGAACATCAACCAAGAGGACAAAGGCTCGACAAACGTTCCTGCGAACTTCGGCGCTAGTATCATGAGCCAGCTGGAAGAGCTGGAGTAGAAAAGCATCGATAACCACCAATAATGCCTGCGGCTTATGCGGGATGAAGATGTTGATACATGAGAGCGCCTGGCCTCGAACGCGTGCAGATGCGTGCGTCGTAAATTCGAGCAGTTTCGGGATCAAAAAGTTCAGAGGTCGTTCGCCCTGGTAATCCTTGTCGAGTGCTCGCGCGTTATCTTCGCATATCTTGTATAATGCGCTCATGGCTCCCTCCTGTGTCTCAAGAGAAGTACTTCCGCTGTCGTTACTGACAAGTGCCATCAATTGCGGGAGCAGCTGGGGCCAGCCAAGAATTCCTCCTTGACGGACAAGTTCTGTGACAACGTTACCCGACAGACTTCTTATTTGCGCATTTGGGTCTTCCAGGGCAAGCAATATGCATGAGCGAATGTATGCTCTACTGGGCTCGGCGATCTGGTCGTAAGAGAACCGAACGTTGTTCTTCAGCATAATTGCAGCGGTGCTCTTTATGAGCTGTGCCTCTTTTATCGTAATCTTTAGAGCAGCCGGTACGTCCGTTTGGGCGACAAGATATGTGAGGTAATTGTTGATATCGGGAGACTCCTTGGCTTGGGCCAACATCTACAAAAAAAAAAAAGCGCCGTCAGTTTGAACCATTACTCTTTCAGAAAAGGAAGGTTGCAGAATGTCTTTGGGAGCAACAGAAGCAGCCCCCATGCTAAGACATCTGCGATATTGGATAGAACACTCACCGATGCTGCATGCTTGAAGACGGTCTGGTTTTGGACGTTTAGGGAATCCCGTAAAAATCCAGCGAGCTGCACTAGCTGCTCCTCCTGAGGTTGCCACGCCATTGTGGTTTTTGCTCAGCTAAGCCAGAAGATTTCAGGCTTGAATGTAAGGTTATCGCAATGCGCAGGATATAGTAATCGATTGAATCCCGTAAGGTGAAGACAAAAAAGATTGTGGGTGTGGGAAATAGTCGTTTGTTTCTAGAACGTAAAACGGCCTTCAGGGTCCAACATTGATCAGTCATGTGTCCTCATGAGATAGCGCAGTCGCAAAGATTGCCCTGCACATGCAGACTTACCTAAAGTAATATGCGCGGACTGTTGCGAGAGAAACAGAGCGGACTTCATGCGGCGAGACAAGAAAGCCTTTCCTAGTAAGCTTGGGTCTATCGAACTTCAGAGACAACAAAAGTATATCAACGAAGCGTAGGTTCCAAACAAGCCAACCAGCACACTCTCCAGACTTGCTGTTCAAAAAGACTGTCAAATAGATGACTGCTTGGGAAATGACCAGTAACAATAGAAAAAAAAGTCCCCGCGCACGTCCAGACTTGCGCGACGCGACCCCGGTAGGACAAGCGATAGAATTGTTGAAACTAAGCGGGACGAGAGAGGTGGATCCCCACGCAGCCTGACGCAGGGTGCGGTTCACAAAGAGTGAATATAAAAATTTAGAATAAGAATAATCTTTAATATTAAAGATCAATGTTCTCCCAGAGAACTGTGTGCCCTAGTTGTTTCGACACCGAAGCGGGAGGGGGAAGGTGTTGAAAAAGACACAGTCAACAGTGGACGGATCGCAAGAAGTTGCAGTTTAGATTTTTGGGGGGGGGGGGCGGAAGCCCGACGGACGGAGGGACAGGCTGGAGCAGCCGCCGATGTGGGATGAAAAGGTTCGATTTCGGTTAAAACGAGATGTACCATGGACACTAAAATGCCGTGGAAAGTGACTTTTCGGGGGAGGCGAGAAACGAGTGAAGTATTAGGTCTAGGTAGGTAGGTAGGTATTACTCCGTATATGGAGCCGCGGTCGTTGCGTAGGCGGAGAGAGCAGCAGCAGCACTACTCCAGACTTGGACTGACAAAAAGGTGACGGAATCCTTTCGTCGATCCCACGACTATCAGTGCTATTCTCTGCCAATTTGGACCCCCAAGGAATAGAAATTAGATGCATGTCTATTGTAAAGCTATTGATGAGATGACGACGAACGGGTACCTGCTACTATCACACCAGGTATGAGTATACCAGACTGGGTGTCTCGTAGATACCTGATACTGACTTGTCCTTATCACACATGATGATACCAAGGGTCGTGCTTCTTCTCTGTATCATCATTCCCTCATGTCTCCTGCACCTTGCTGCATGTCAAACCTGACGCTCGATGTCAGCTGCAGAACTCATCATGAAGACTACAACTTCTCTGCCTGATAGGTTGATCAGGTGATCAAGGATCTGTAGAATTGTAGCTCAACCTTCCCCAAGGATGTGTGCATTTGGTCATTTGTTTGCTTGGTGCATGCCACGTCCGGCTAGCACGCCCATTGGAGATGGGTTTCCTAACTGGCATGTTGATGCATGCCTGTTGCTTGCGTAAAGCCAGCTTTCCAGTGTAATTCTTGGTCCCGTTCAATCTCGAATTTTGAATATCTGATCTTTACTTAATTCATCTTATTATGAGTTTGGCCGCACAAAACCATCATCTTGCTTTGTGATGATACTGCCACTACTGCCAAAAGGTCCGTGGATCCAACTGAGCATCGTCTATTAGCCTTTCACGAGTTTACAGACTTCCAAATGGTATGACACACTCATCACTCAGCTACGGTCAGATAATGGAACCCCAGATCTAAAGGCGGCCTGGTCGACGGAAATATCGCAAATGGGTTCCTAAATGCAACATGATTCCCTTATCGAAATCATGTATCATGTACTTGAAACACCAATGACACCAGCGCGAGAGAGAGAGAGCAGGAACGGTAGTACAGAGGCTGCCCATTTACACAGTCTGTTGACTGCAATCTTCAACTCTTCCGTGACAGGGATTGTGCAGACAATGCAAATGTTATATCACACAATATGTTCAAAGATATCGATCAACGGGCACAGACCGCGTTCAAAGGTTACACATGCTGCATCGGGTTGCGAGACCCGGTCGCAGCATGCGCTGGGCCGTTTCTGTCTTGCATCCGAGTTGCAGGCTCGCCTTTCCCTGGAATTTCACACTACCAAATTACAGGGAGCAAGGCGTATTGTCTCCGAGCTGATCAGGCAGAGAGATGGTGCATTGGTAGGACGTCACCGTCTGATGCCAATGAGATGCGAAAGAGCCGGTAAGACGTGTAAATCCCAAAAGAGCAGAGAAAGATGGCAAGGTTAATAATCTCCTAAACACTGTATAGGCAATATAGGCAATCCATTAAACCACCAATGTGCAAATACTGGTAAAGAAAAACCGCATAGTGGACCCCTAGCTTCCGGTCAAGATAAAGAAATAAACTGGAATAAGCTGCTATATTTTTATCGTTCTCTGAAGGAAAATCTCATGCCATTTAATGCGATGTTAAATAAAAATCCAAGCAGGGGCGTTGTAAAAGCACGGCAAAGTATAGAACGAAAACTGTAGTGGACCTGCAAAGCACTTTGAAAGCGAAAACTCAGCCCGATGGATACTTGTTATTAGATGTGAAATGCCTATTTCCTTAATCTCGTAGTTTGCTATGTCAGCATGTCCGCCAGCGGGCCAAGCTCTGAGCAGGTTGCAAACGTCTAATCGCTATAATAATGTGAATGAAGAAGGCTGGGATTGTGATAGCATAGGACAGTCGTGTACGGGAGGAGAAAAAATGAAACAAGAGGAGCGGGGAAACGGCAGCCAAAAACCAATCAACTGCTGCTTCATGACTCGACTGGTAGACTAATTTGCTCGAAACCATTGGTCTTTTCTTGTGGAGGGCTTGCAACGGCGTCAAGCGGGGCGGCATGAAGAGCTGGCTTCTTGTGTTTGCCCATCGTTCCGGCGATTCGGGCTTCGATAGCAGACTTGACCCAGGCAGCGACTTCTTGATCTGCGACCTCTAACTCAGGTGGTTGGCTAGAAGTTGCTGTCCCGTCCGCAGTGTGTTCGTCTTCTTCAGAGATGGTCGCGGGCTTCACAAGCGGTGCAAGCCAAGCGTGGCGAAGAAGCATTGCATACGTAGGACGCAATTTTGGGATCTTGTTGAGACAGCCGCGAACAAAATCTCGGGCAGCCTCGGAAAATTCACCCTGTGGCAGATCTGGCGGGTCGCCATCGACAATGGCCTGTGATTGTGAGCAAACTGTGCCGTTCGAGCAGAGTGGCAGTGCACTTACACTAAGCTGGCTAAAGATATTATTATAGGTTTCGGGAGGGTATGGGTATCTGCCAAGGGCGCATTCGATAATTGTCAAGCCCAAGCTCCAGATGTCGCTCTGAACGCTATACGTGCCACCGCCAGGATTGGCGCCGGCTTGGGCAACGCCTCCACCAGCTATTCTTTCTGGTGCCATGTAACTTTGACAGCCAATATTTGTCTTTGCAATACTGGCAACTAAGTTGCCACTCACGCCAAAATCGCATATTTTTATCTGTCCCCGAGTATTGACCAGGATATTTGTTGGCTTAACATCGCGATGAATAATGTTATGCTCGTCCTTGAGCGCCTTCAAGCCCATCAACGTGGCCAAGGTAATCTTCCGCAAGACATTCTCTGGAACGCCGTCGCCATACAGCTTATCAATGGAGCCTCCGTCCATGAATTCCATGCAAATGTAAACAGCTCCTTCCTGGAAAAAGGCCCCGTAAAAGTCAATGATAAAGGGCGAAATGCACCGATGGAGGATGTCTAGTTCCATAATGATTGCGGCAAAGCGGGCTTCGTCCAGCTCCAGTCGCATTTCCTTCATGGCCATGACAATACCCGTTGTGCCTCTTTGGCCAATGGGCGCCCCTTGCGCCACCGGGCTCTCCTGATCGCCGTTTTTATCTCCATCGGTGGTCGACGGACCCGGGAATGATGCTGTCGCCTTGTTGCCATTGAGACCGAGACCGGGCCGTCTCATCTGTGGCCGGGAATGTCGCACTTTGTAAACGGTGCCATAGTTTCCCTTCCCTAGCTCTTCCAAGGTATCGACTTCGTCCAGCGAAATGTTAAAACTGTTGCCCCCTGTAAAGTCAATACCTTTTCCATGAATAACTGCCTTTCCTGCAAAGTTCAATGTGCCGGATTTGGTATCTACAATCTCCGAAAACTTATTGAAAAGCGACCCAGTTGGATCTGCTGCCGCCTTGACCGGGTTTGCTTCCGCCCCAGGTTTCTCGCTGACACCGTTATTGATTGCGCCGATATCCAATTTAGGTTTTCCAAGAGGACCAGCTGCAGGTGATGTCCCCGGGAGACCCCCAGGCAACGCCATGCCCCGCCGGGCTCCCAGCGAAGGCTTGGGGTTTCTCTTGGCAGCATTTGTCACAGCTGGAGCTGAGGTCCAGTTCGGGGCCTGGGGCCTGTGTGGCGGGAACTTCAAACTCGGGGCGCCAGGAAAGGCACCAGCAGGAATGCCAGCGGCTGCTGGGCTTGGTGGGGTCCTTCCTCCGACTACTGGTCCTCCAATTGGGGGTGTCCCTGCCGAAGGCGGGCCGGATGGCGTCGAGGGCGCCATTCTCGGTCTCGATAGTTGAAATTGCCTCATCCTCTCCTCGATATCTTGTCTAAGGCTTGCTCCTGTACTAGACGTGGCAGGCTGTGCAGGGAGACCCGGCCGGCGGGCAGCGCTGAGTTGTCCGAGCGGAGTCGATGAGGCAGTCATGCTTGATGTTGGAGGGGCTTCAGACGAGGTACGTGAAGACTGCAGTCGAGGAGGGTGAGCAGAAGAGGTAGGGGAAGGAACATTTTTCGAGCCAGACGCGTTGTCGGCCGGCAGTGTGGTTTCAGAGGAAGAGGTGGCGGGCTCTTGAACCAGCTCGGGTTGGCTCTGAGAGGAATCCATGGCTGACATGATTCAATCACCATGCGGGCGTGGACTCTGTGCTCTGCTCAGCGGAGGTAGTCCTACGAGTGTCAACACGAGAGAGAAGCTTTCCAAATCAAAAACAATAGTGCGAAATTGAGGTTGGACTGGAGGAAACGGAGAGAGGATGTGGGTGTGTGTGGCGGTGCTGTGGTTTTGTAGTATAGTAACCTTTTCTGTCAATTACCGCTGGTCGGAGGCGGGCGGCATAAAAGGGGACATCGCTTGCAGAAGCGAACGTGAGAAATGGAAAACTGAGTGCAAAAAAGCTTCCAGGGAAGGATGGGAAAGTAATGATGACCTAAGGTAAATTCGATCCAGAGGCCAAAGCCTAATAACCTTGGCTCAGCACCACCCTGACGTGGGGCCTCCGCGCAAAGAGACCCACCTGCCAGATACTCGGAGGATGGAATCGAGTAGTAAAAATGGAAGCAACCGGAGGAAGTGACTATCGTACGTCTGGTCGATATCCCCGCATTGTTGAAAGAATCAAGCAGAATTCAACGGCGCTCGCTGGTTATTTCTACTCATAAGAACAAGCTGTCATCCTTCTCATTTGACAGCCCTGATTGGCAGGTCTCTCAGACAATAATACAGCTGGAGGTAATGACCTTGCAGGTACAGTAACGCATGTACAGTAACTACCAATGTGCTGCCCACTTGATATCTCCCAGCGCGGGGCACCGTTATTTCCTCCTGTCCCGCTTAAAGGCTCTGATTTACCCCCACAATGTACCTACTTTTACTTGGTCTAAAGGGCAACGGGCTGTGACCTTGGGCAACAAGCAAAACCTTGATTTTTCCGGCTTGGTCGCTTCGCGGCCGCGTCGGCACGGTCTGTCTCAGTAGTGCATGTACCAGACAAACAGCGCTCACCTTTCATTACCATATGAGCAACAAGTGGACATGCTTGATTACGGTATATTGCCATGGCTTGCATCAAGAATCTGATGCAAACCGTTCTGCTCTGAATATTTTATTCGTCGGGAAACGTTTTTGTATTTCCATGCAAAATTTTCTGGGCAGGTACGGTCAAAGGCTACCAATCAAGGTAAGCACTTACTGGTACCCTTGTAGAATTGACGCAACCTTGCGTGGGACGGATGATTGCGTCACTCCCTGTTTCATCCTCTGATGTAGGACTTTCTGATGCGAAACACAAGAAAAGATCGTCCCCTCCATCAGACGCGACTGACTGGATACCCTTCAAAATGGTATTGTACACTTGGTCAAGTTTTGCTCCACGGGTAGTGCAAGTGCATTCAGTATGAGAATCCAGGCGTCATGCTCTGGTGATCGTGGATCTTTTGCCCACAAGCTAAGGTAGGTGACAAGCTCATAAAATGATCAAACACATCTTCCGTACAGCATTTTCTCAGGGAGGTACCTTAAATACCCTATTCTTGAAATGCACAATGCCGTAGTGCTCATAACTCAAGCCCGTGACCACGAGCCAGCTATAGCGCTATTGGCCAATAGTCTCTTTGCCAGAAAGTGAAGTATATCTGAGGAGGTCCTATCTTTCATTTACATTCTTAAGCCATGTCAGCCTTTTCAAGCCACCGACGATATTTTGCGACAGGTCGACATCAGGTACTCGGTACTCGACGATCACGCTATAGAGGAACCAGACTTGGAAGTACTCCGTACTCCCCCATTTGTTGTCTACCCTCCGCCGGTGAGCTTGGGGAGCAGAAACAGGAAAGCCTCTCAACGGCTAAGCCACATCGCATCATCTGCCCAGCCGCCCAATTAATTAGCCGAGTCGTCAATTTACTGCAGTTACGTCGGGTTGGCAACGTGCCCAATCCCAGTCAAGCAGCAGCAATCTGACCTGGTAAAACTTTGGCTACTAGGCTGCATGCGCTCGCTGACATGTTCAAGAACAACTTCGCCTTTTTGATCAATCTCATCAGGCTCTGTTTCTTGAAATCAAATTCATCATGAGTTTCCCGCAGCTACTTCACCTGCTGAAGGTCTAGCTCGTCGTCGGTGCCAAACGAGAACAATTGATTTCTGTGTTCTCTATCTATCAACGGAGCGCTTGGACCAGCTATTTTATCTTCCTCCAATCGGGGCGCTAGTCTCATCCACGCCCTATCCCGTCGTGTATCTGCGTAGCAAGTCCATTGATCAACAGGCACAGCAAGCCCAGCATTCTCAATAAACGCAATCCTTTGAGGGATCCTTTGAGGGATATGATGCGTCTCTTCACAAATCCAACATCTTTTCGGCTTGCAAATAGCCTGGCAGCCAGGGCAGCGGAGCAACAACATGCCGCCACTGCAATGAATGTGTTCAGAAGAGCCATGGAAACTCGCGCCTCTCACCCGGCCTTTGGCCATCTCGTACTGCTCGTCTTCGAAGCGGTCTTGGAAGTCGTATGCGTGAGCGCGCCAGGATATATCATTGCTCGCCAAGGCATGTTCGATGCCGAAATGCAGAAATTCGTCGCCCATCTCAACGTCCAGCTCTTCACACCTTGCCTCAGTATGTCTCTGACACTATTTTGATTCGTTCAGCAAACTAACGGCTTTAGTTTTCACTAAACTGGCATCTCAATTAACAGCAGAGAAGCTCGCGGAACTTGCTGTTATCCCTGTCATCTTCATCGTCCAGACATTTGTCTCTTATTTTTGTTCAGTTGTAATTTCTAAAGTTTTCCGTTTCAAGAAACAGCCAAGAAATTTTGTCATTGCCATGGGAGTAAGTAGCTCAATATATTCTGCGACGTTTCAGGCTAATATGAGGTTGTTAGGTCTTTGGTAACTCAAATTCATTGCCAATATCTCTCGTGCTCTCCTTATCTAAGACGATCAGCGGTTTACATTGGGATAAGATCCCTGGCGATAATGATGATGAGGTGGCTGCACGGGGCATTCTTTACCTCCTCATCTTTCAGCAATTGGGTCAATTGGTAAGGTGGAGCTGGGGCTATCATGTTCTCTTGGCTCCGCCTCACACATACAAGGAAGATGATCAGCATACCATGTCGCAAATCGAACGGGGACGCTATCGAGATGATCCCGAAGAGGAGGACGAAGAAGATCTTTTGGGGGAGGAGCCTTCTGGTGAAGACGCTAGGACTTCAGTGGCGTCTGGTCCTCAAACTAATGGTCATGCTCAAGCCATTGATACTCATTCCGTCACAACCAAGCCTGCCTCAAACCATACATCAGGCGCCAACGGCGTGAAATACAGCAATGGAGAACAAACAGATACAACAAGGCCGCCTGCTTTGCTTCCGACGCCTGCAAACGGTAACATCGGCATTGGCCTGGAATCCGAGGGCGACATTACTTCTTTTCCGCATATTACATCCAGATACCCTGAATTACAAGATGAAGTGCCTCCAGGAATCAAGGGTTATCTTGTTCGAGTTCTGAGAACGCTAAAGAGCGCCTTCTCAACCTTGTCCTCGCGTCTTTCCACGGCATCAAGAAATGTCTTCCATGATCTGCCGAGACCAGTTCAGAAGGGTTTGGCCAAATCAACGGCTGGTCTTCGCCGTTTTCTATACGGACTTTGGGAATTCATGAACCCCCCGCTCTGGGCTATGCTGATTGCCATCATTGTTGCTTCGGTGCCTTCCCTGCAAAGTCTATTCTTCAGCGACGGTACTTTCATCAAAAATTCGGTCACGAGTGCCGTCAGCCAAAGCGGAGGTGTTGCCGTGCCTTTAATTTTGGTTGTTCTAGGAGCAAACTTAGCACGCAACACCCTGCCAGATGAGTCCCATCGCACCATTGAGCATGATAAAGAAGAGACCAAGCTTCTCATTGCGTCGCTCCTCAGCCGCATGCTCTTGCCGACCGTTATCATGGCTCCATTGCTGGCGCTGGCGGCCAAATTCGTGCCGGTCAGTATCTTGGATGATCCTATTTTCGTTATCGTATGCTTTCTCCTCACTGGAGCACCCAGTGCTCTACAACTCGCCCAAATTTGCCAAATCAACGGGGTCTACGAAGGAGTGATGTCTCGTCTGCTTTTCCAGAGCTACGTCATTTGGTACGTAACCGTATTTGTACTGCATCCGGCATTTCTCTTGCTAATATTTCCCCAGGATTCTTCCGTCCACGCTTATTCTGGTCATGCTAGCATTGGAGGTCGTCGAGTGGGCTGCTTGATCTACTGAAAGCATCCCTACAAGACCGTACCTTAGCATCTAACTAACTTTCTGTTGTCGCTCATGTTAAAATTGAAATGCATAGACTGGGTAGAAGCTTGGAGTCTGGTGTTGAGAACGATTGGGAACATTCGGATAATCTCATTTCGTGGCTTGTCTCTCCTTCTCTCTCCTTTTTATCCTACGATTCATGTACGATATGATGTTCGTAAAATTGCTCAAACCGAGTTCACTTTACTCAGCTGCCAATATTATCATAAAATTGTGAGAGAAAAAGAAGTAAAACTTCCGTTTGGACCAGCAAAATTTGTAGCTTTTGAATGTAGATTCTCTCTCAGCACCAGCAGTGGCTGAGCCTGGCTCGTTTGCCGGCTTAAGCAATCAAGCGTGACGTTTGGCAACGCCATGGCGAATCTTGAGTTGTGCTGTGCACCCTCAGCCGCACAGCAATCTATGAATACCAGGGGATGAGATCATCCTGGTGAGAGACTGGGAAAACACGTTAAATTTTGCTGCATTAAGAGTTCTTGACCGACAGTGCAAGTCGTGAGAACTAATGCAAGAGTGGGTTACGAGTAGATGAATATCATCAACGAACACATGTCATCGGCTTCCGCACAAAATCCGCAGAGCAATATCGGAAAGATAAGGGGCCTCTCGCAAAGCGTCCTCGCTATGAGCGCAAATCAGGCCCAGCAGGGCAGGTGATCGCAACAACCCTGTACCGGCGACGCTCCGAACTTTTTAGGCTTAGCGCCATTCTGCCTTGGAGCGAGGGAGACAACTGTGTCAGTACAAACTACTTGCCTACACCCTCAAGGATTATTGGATAAAATGTGCTGGTTCATGTGAACGCGATAACAAACGACCTGCTTTCTCTAACCCTTGAATCAGTTTCAATCTTCAACCTTTTGGAATACAGAACTTCGTCTGGAATATGCGCATTTTCTTGTAGACGTCTGAAATCTCGCCATCTCCACGTTTTATCTCGCCTTGACATTCTCGCACGTGCGCCTTTGAGAAAGCAGAGGGTTCACATCCACGAGAAGGGTCTTGGAAATCGCTCTGGCCTCCCGACTGATAGAAAAACGCCTCGACCTACTATGTCTTCATTCTTGCCGGATGCTTTTCAAACGCAGTCCCCTGAACCCACTGCAGAATCAGAGACAGGCCAGCTGTCCGGTTCTGGTTCCAGCAAATGTGAGTAAATAAAAGCGAGTGAAAGCTTTTTGTGCAACCTCGTTTTGCCACTGCCAACTATAGCAGTTTTAATACACGCGTCTGTTTAAATTGAGGTTTGGGGATGTTTTTTTCCTTTTTACAGTACCTATCGACAGCGCAGAAGATTACTATTCTTGCACGCTGTTTCTGGTATATGGCGCTCTTCATTTTCAACATACATTGTATGAAATGATTACGGGGCATCTTATCCCCAGAAACGCGTGGTATATCACTGTTATGCGATGTCAAATACTGAGAGCGTTTATCGTTTCCCATTGATTACCAGGTCGCGAAAGACGTCAACTGACTCTTCAATCACAGTTGTCTCATTAGCAGAGCCACAGAGCTCTTCTACATCTTCCTTCCCTGTTTTAAGCATTAGCGGAGAAAGTGGAGATAGTCATTCAAACCTACGTCTGCCTAAGCAGCATGCCGCAAAAGTGGCCAAACGTCTCACTGGAAGACAACCAGTGGAGGGATCAACCCCTTCTATTCGTTCATTCGCCAGCCAGAGCAGCATAGGCTCTAATTCTAGGCTCGAACAGAATCGTGCCGTGAAAGACGAAAATGAGACAGACAAAAGCAAAGATGAATCATACACGTCTCGGCATCAAAACAGCCTTCTTTCGCAGGTTTTTAAATGGCTGGAAGCAGAAAAGGTCAAGAGGGCGTCACGACGGTCGAAAAATGATGCTAGCCGACTGCCGGAATCCGATTCTAAGAGTGCACATGACGATAAGAATGCCACTGAAGCTCTAGCAACCTTTGAAGAAGAAGATGATATGAAATCATTAGAAGAACTTGAGCGCATCCTCGAGGAGAATATGGTTATTGGAGACAAGTTAAGCCACCATGCTCCACACCGCAGACTCAAAAGTCGGCCTTCTTCGCTTTTCAAAAATCGGCGCACCTCAACAGGGGCTTCATCAGATACGGACTTCTATGACGGTGACATTCTTGTCCCAAGCTGTGACACTGTTTTGGATAATTCCAAAACATTGGCTTACTCGGGCGGCGAACGGAACTCTGACCTAGGCCCTGAAAACTCTAGGAAAAGAATCACGAAAGAGAAAGAAGCGTGGCTAGAGTTCAAGGGCGAAATTCTTCGCCTTGCTCACACGCTTCGATTGAAAGGGTGGAGATCGGTTCCTCTCGATCACGGCGGCGAGTTAGAGGTAGAGCGTCTAAGTGGTGCTCTTACGAACGCAGTTTATGTTGTGTCTCCTCCTCTAAGGATTCAGACCGAGTCGCTGGGTGCTTATGGTGATGCAAGTGCACGACCGTACAGAAAGCAACCGGCGTAGGTCAAACGTCTGACGTATTCTGTGGATGCTCTAGCTAACATCGAACAGGAAGCTGCTTCTGCGTATATATGGGCCTCAGGCAGACCATTTGATCGATCGACAAAATGAACTTCAAATTCTGCGTCGGCTCGCGCGGAAAAAAATCGGGCCACGTCTCCTTGGCACCTTTACGAATGGTCGATTCGAAGAATATTTTCGCGCCCGCACATTGGGACCGCGCGATCTCCGTGACCCGGAGACATCAAAGCAAATTGCGAAACGAATGCGAGAGTTGCATGATGGGATCGATCTTCTTTATGATGAGCGCGCGTCTGGGCCATTCGTTTGGCGAAATTGGGACAAGTGGGTGGAAAGATGTGGACAGATAGTCACGTGGGTGGATGAGCAAGTCCTGGCTGGAAAGAATACTTCTATCAAATCAGCAATGAAGGGTCTGGTGTGCGGCGTCACTTGGCCACAATTTTGCGAAGTCGTCGGTCGATATAGGCGATGGCTCGATGGACAGTATGGTGGCCCCGAGGCATTGAAACAGCGTCTTGTCTTTGCGCATAACGATGTAAGCAGGCACACTTGGAGCAATATGGTTTCGGGTTTTGGCTAAAGATTAACAGACACAATACGGAAACATTCTCCGCTTAGAGCCAGGTGATGAGTCGCCGCTCTTACTGCCAGCTAATAAGCACAAGCAACTCGTTGTGATTGACTTTGAATATGCTTCGGCTAATGTACCTGCACTAGAGTTTGCAAACCATTTCGTAAGTGTAATCAATTTACCGTATTCAATGGATCCTAACGATCAAAATCAATAGACGGAGTGGTGCTACAACTATCACGACCACGAAAAGCCATATGCATGCAATACAGCGGCATACCCGACACCCGAAGAGCAAAGCCGCTTCATCAAGTCCTATTTGCTCCATCGCCCTCAATTTCCCTCTCAGAATTCGGCGACGCCAACTATGGTGCCTGCGTCAGGCCCGTCAAGTACCATCTCATCATTCATGCTTGATAGTCGTGGCCCGCCTCTTCAGCTAATTGAAGAAGAAGATACTCGACAGAAGGCCATCGAAGAGGAGACTAAACAATTGATGAAGGAGGTACGCCTTTGGCGCGTTGCCAATTCTGCGCAGTGGGTATCGTGGGGTATCGTACAGGCGAAGCTGCCAGAAGCCTTTGAGCCAAAAGCAGAGTCTCCCTCAGACACTCGCTCCCAGGCCTCCAGGACTGCGACTGAAACCCTTTGTGGTGAAAACCCTGAGGGATTGGTTTCGCAGGCATTGAGAAATGATATAGCGCTGACGGCTGAGCTCAGGGAAGAGGATGATGAGTTTGATTACCTAGCATATGCCCAGGAGAGAGCTCAGTTGTTCTGGGGCGACGTATTAGCCTTGGGCGTGATCAAGGAGGATGAGCTTCCTGTCGAGCTAGTGCAGCAGATCAAGAGTCTCTCTTACTGATTTTCATCCAATCCCAACCAGAAAAGAAATCGCGAAAGACATCAATACCCTCAAAGCGTGCATCGTAAGCCGTCATCTATGCGATCAATTTTTTGGCGATTCGTCATACGTTTTTCTCTTTGAGCGCTCGAACACTGTCAATTGAGAGACGGACTTACTATTGAATTTCTTTCGTCCTTTCAATTCCAGACCTCACGTTTAATCCTTGCATTGTACTTTATTTTTTTTCGCGATCATTTCGTCATGAGACTTGGTTTTGTCAAAGCAGGAATTATTTATGGTCTGGCTTTCGGAATCATCTCATTGGGTGTTAGCCCTAATCGTTTCTAATAGCAGTCGGCTCTGTTTGCATAACGTTTTGGCGCATAACGCAGCGGAACACATCTACTTTTGCATTTGTTCGGTCGATACTCCAAAAACAGCACCCGGGCTTATGTTTAATGCGGCATATTGTGTGGCGAGCAATCGTTAAATATTACACGCAAATATCTATCAACATACTTAATCCAGAGTGTCCCGTTAATAGTTAAACTTCAACGTGCGTTCCTCAGACTCAGGGCAATGGATTTGCTAGGCTGCCCCCGAGAGCTCTAAAGTTCTGCCTGTAAGACTTTTGCTTAGATTTTCCCTTGGCGTTTACGCCCGTGATAGGATGGTCTCGTTCCCAGTCCTCGTCCGCTTTAAAAGCATTTGCTGCAGCATCTAGATCATAATTTGATTGCTTCAAATATAGTACCGCAATATCATAACTAGTAAAAGTGATGAGTTATTCCAGCTCTTTTCTAAATTTGAAATATTATGCCTTAGGAAGACTTACTCAGTGATCTTGCAAGCAATCATTAGCCGCCGAATCTTTCCTTTGCGGGTTTCCTCTTCTTCTCCTTCTAAGGGCCGTGGACTAAGGCTCACACCCCCTTTATAAAATTCACCTGGTATCAGGATGGTTCGTCGAGCTGCGAGCAAGTGATCTGCAAAAAGACCGTTGGATCTCCTAAGAGCATGTTGAGGAACACCATATCGGAGTGATAAGGAGGCGATGCTGTCATGCTCAGGATCTACAAAGTGCAAAACATCTTCCGACGACCGCGCTGTGAGGGCTGCATTCTTTCCACCAAAATGTACCTCTTCTGAATTTAGAGAAGAATAAGTGGGAAGCTCATCATAGCCTTGATGACTCTCAGCTGGAGGCGAGTAAGCTGGGGGATCCCTCAGTCCACCTTGAGGTAAAGGAGTAGGGGTAGTCGAGATCTGGCAAAAAGGACCTAAACCGTAATTTAATATCACAGAATTGCGACGCGCTTAATAACCTAGGAGCAGGCATACAATAAGTCGCGAACCGTGTATTATTCTGTTTAATTGGTTAGTTTTTTGCAGATTGCCCAGTAGCCTCTCCGGGTTTTAAGAGTCTGTCGCCTACGTATACACAGTCTGAACATATCACGCGCCCGCAACAAGATAGCCTTCTGTCACGAGAGTAATGCTTTTCAGTGTTCTTATCGAAAGGACGTGAGGGGGAGAGTACAGTGGCACAGGTGCAACATGCCTCGGTCATAATGACTCTGCAAGAAAACGTATATATTAATAAAGGTGACAAGCTGTCTAATCCAATATAAATATAAAAAATGACAACTGATGTGAGTGTTGATATATTTAATTAAACTACATAGCATCTGTTTCTCAACCCGCCTCTCAAACCAACAACTTAATGACGCTATAGAGTCGTCGTCCTTGCGCGGCGCCCCTATCATCACGTGTCGATAAGGGTTTTCCAGCCCTAACAAATTTACGCGTATGTCAGCCGGCCCACTAGGGTCACAGTACCCCAACCACCAAAATTCGCGTGAAGATCGACCTACCTCCGCCCAGCCTTCCGGTTCGACTCGAACGACACTGCAAATTACGAGGTGCGTACCCAAAAAGTTCCCCTCAATGCGTCGAGTGCCCTTCAGATAGTCAGGGAGAGCAATCTTCCGCCGAAAGTACCTTAAAAGACGATTGGTCTTGAGGCTACTCCGGCGGTCGATACGCTTCTTTCCCTTTGCGCAACAATGAGCTGAAGAACCCTCTTCGCTGAAGGGCACTCTCACGCTCATGGCTTCTGAAGGCTAATATATCGATCAATGAATAGATACCTCATATCCGTCCGAAAGATTTGAGAATCTCCGTCCTCCAAAACCGTCAAGATGGTCAAGACCAGTGTTCTCAACGATGCGCTTAACGCCATCAACAACGCCGAGAAGGCCGGCAAGCGCCAGGTCCTGATCCGCCCCAGCTCCAAGGTCATTGTCAAGTTCCTGAGCGTCATGCAGCGCCACGGTACGTGAATGGATTCACTGTTTGTTGGAGATCAGCAATATCTTTTCCTGTTTTTCCTTTTACCTTTCCCTTCGGGCTGATAACTAGGCAATGGTCTCAATTTTTATAAACTCCACGACCTTTGTCTTTTAAGTGTCCGATAGATCATGTTTTGCGAGGATCTTACACGTTCTCTGAATTTTTTTATTTTTCCATGAAGTACAACGTTTAATTCATCGCAACATACTAATACCTTTATCTTTTAGGCTACATTGGCGAGTTCGAGGAGGTCGACGACCACCGCAACGGCAAGATTGTCATCCAGCTCAACGGCCGGTATGTTTTTACTTCTATTGGAGTTTGAGACTCGAGATCCAGGAAACAAGGCTAATCAATCCCTCCCAACAGTATCAACAAGACTGGTGTCATCTCTCCCCGCTACAACGTCCGCCTCGCTGAGCTCGAGAAGTGGGTTGTCAAGCTGCTCCCCTCTCGTCAGTTCGGTTACATCGTCCTGACCACCTCTGCCGGTATCATGGACCATGAGGAGGCTCGTCGCAAGCACGTTGCTGGCAAGATCATCGGTTTCTTCTACTAGACGGTTTCATTAGATTCCCTCTCTAACGGCTAGACTACCCTGTCTGTCAGACCACGGAGGATGTCGTCTTCGAGTACCACCGGTTAGGTGACAAAAGGATGTTAGCACGGAAGGCGTCGTTGAAATTAAAAGCAAAAAGTTTTTTCTTTTTGAACAATAGATACCCTTTGTGAAACGTGTGATGATACAGTTACGAGCCTTGTGTTGAGATGATCTTGCTTGAGCCCGCTAAATACCCCGTAAATTGTCTCTTGTGAATCCATCCCCCAGCCCCCTTAGTACAAAAAACTCCTCCTAGTCCTCGTAAGCGTAAATGTCTCGGGTGCGTCCCAATCTCTTCAGAAATTTTCTGTCCTTTCAAACCCGAAACCTCATGACAGACAAAAATCGAGGAGAATTGCATTCAAGAAAACAGGGAGAAAGCATATACATGTACTTACCATTTACCCGCTATAATCGTTTGCGGTTGAGCGAGTACAGCTCTTTTGAACGTCTGTACTGTTGCCACTAGCAGTACTGCGACTGGGCTTGTAATGTGAGTATGCTTCTACTTGATATAATTAGGCAGCAGGGAACACGCTTTCATGCAATAAGCAATGACACCCGAACCACCTGACCACCTAAGGCACCCCCGAGATGCAAAGAATCCGCAGAGAGGACGAGATGGGCAAGTATCGAGTGTTCCGCTCGCGGCGGATGTGTTTGTCAGAAACGCGATTGAACGGAAATTACAGTTCGTGTTTAGTTAAAAAGCGGTTTTGATTAATTTAAAAAGGCAAAACCGTGGGGAGACGTCATGTGTGACGCACATTGCAAAGGAAAAGTCGTTGATTCTCATTATAAAAAGACAGCAGTGCCTATTAGAAAAAGGAAAGGAAAATGAGGTTGAATTGTAAAAAAGAAAAAAAGGTCCATAACGCCCGATTTTCTTTTCGATGGTCCAGAGCACAAGGCTATTCAAACGACGCGCTTCGCGATGCCATACTTTGAGCCAAAGAAGGAGAAGAGGGAAAGAAAACAAAAGAGGAAGGTGGCTATGTGGTTTTGTGCAACAAAAAAAAGAGCAAGTAAGAAGGGGTGACAAATTGTCCAAGCTCTGGCATGTTAACAGAGAATCAATACGCCGGAAATTGGTGGGAAAGCCATATTAAAACTAATACGGTGACAATGGATGCGGCAAGAGTCAAACGCCAGAAAGATCTGCAGTTGGGAAATACTTGCTCATCTCCAATTTCCTTGGCTGAGAGAGAGCAAATTCTGCACGGCATCCAGATCTTCTTCCTCTCGTGGGACGTTGGAGCTTCCCATAAACTGTGCAATCTCGTCGTCATCGCCATCATAGATTGCGCTGGGCTTGGGAATCTTGGAGGATGAGGCTGACTGATTATTGCGAGCCAAGGTTGCTCCTAAGCTGGTACTGTGGCTAGGAATATGATTGTTCTCTCTTAATACTGATCGCTGGCCTTGGTTCTCAATCTGGCTCCGTGGCAGACCTCGTCGACGGCCAGCATGGACATGAGTTCCCGGAACTCGGTTCTCTTTGTCAGAGTCGCTTGATGGAGACTGAGATCGGACAGGTTTTGAGCCAAACTTGGACTGTATCTTCAGCAGTTGCCGCTTTCCAGCCCCAGTGACATTTTGAAGCCGAGCAAGAGACGAACTTGCTCGCACGAGTTTTGGCTTTTCGTCGCCCGTGGAAGAAGGCTTGACACGCTTAATGTTTTCCTGTCGGGAAAGCTGAGCGTTCCGCTTGTTAGAGTTTTGCGTAAGCATATTGCTGGACCGCGATCGCAATAAGCCAATGGCATTGACTGCAGACCCGCTCCTCTCCTGTTCTGCCTTTGCTGATAATGCATTTCGGGCGCCGCTGTCGCAGTAAAACTCCCACGTTCTCGCGTCTCTCGATCTTCCACTGGGCGTACGACGCGGAAAAGGCATTCCCGCACCTTGTGGGTTTCGTTTCATGATCTCATTAAGTCCAATGGCGCTTTGACTCCGCTGGAGCCCATCGGAGCGTCTCTGAGGTGCATCTTGTATCCCTGGGGATTCAGGCGGCGGAGAGTCCCCGTCATTCGCGACCACCTGAGCCTTTCCGTCAATAGACATGGACATTCTGAGTGACGACGTCGAGCGTTTCAAAGATCGAGAGGATTGGGAAGATGCGGCCGAGCCCGGTTGTATGGGTGTCCCTTGCGATGAAGAAGGCGACTGCTGCCATCCATCATTAGGCTGATGAGAATGGCTTTGGAAAGGTGCATTGCGTCTATTTGAAATATATCCCAGTCCAGCGGTTATGGGACGAAAGCTCTCAGGACGAGGTGTAGATATCACTGGCCTTAACTTTTCCCAATCGTCTCTTCCAGATTCCAAGGCAGAATTATTCTTCGTCTGCTGCGATGAGGTCGTTTCCTGGGAGCTGGGAAGGCTCTGCGAGGGTTGACGAGTCAATGTTGGCTCGGTTGATTGGGAAGGTGCGGTTGATTGAAGGGACGACTCGGGAATTGCTTTAGCATTCGATGCTTCCTCAGGTGCATAGTCCTGATCGGGTGATGAGGCGGATGCACGCGATTCTTGTGAGCTACTGGCTAGAGCGACATTGTTCTGGTCATCGGAGGAAGGAATGGAAATTTGGGAAAGATCCATGGTGCTAGTTCCTCCCAGACTTGATCGTGGGGATTGGATCATTTCGTGAAGCTCAACAGGACGCGACTTTCTCCGGGTACTCTGGCGTCTGTTTTGGAACCAAATCTAACATAATACAAGAGTGAGCGGTGAAGCTAGCGAGGGTTTCGCGTTCTCAATCACGAATGTAGCAGAGATTGATCCGCCATCAAAAATATTGGAAATTTGCAATCTGCGAAAATATAAAATTGACTGACCTGTACTTCCTTCTCTCCTAGGGCCACTCGGCTGACAATGTCCATCCGTGAGGCTTTATCTGGCTTGGGATTTTTTCGATATTCGGCTTCGAGAACGGCCTGGTCTTCCGGACTGTTTGGCTTTACGATTAGGAGAGAACAAATCATCAAAGGCAGAGCCGAACCAGCTACGTATCGATATATGTTCATTTTCTGCGAGTTGCCCTCCGACCAGAATTTATCCATATATCGTTGTAGCGAAGTCTGAGCTGGACAACCCACTGGTCACGGGACACGTACCTTGTTCGTCGTCTCTTTTGACGGGCGAGAGGTTTATTATCAACATTAGGCGGAAGATTATGTGGTAAAGTATGCTGCGAATGGATTAAGAAGGCGTAGCTCCCGTTTGATGCTTGCGAGCCATGGCTCACTGCAGTCGAACCAGCTACTGAGGATACCGGTGGCAGCGACGAGGCGGGTGTTGTATCAGCCATGTCTGAGAAGGACTCTGATGGATATTCACTGGACGTATGAAAGAATCATTGACCGTGAGAGCATAATACCGCAATTAAAGGCGTGTATAGGATGTTTGGAATATCCGCGTGTCCCAAGCTCGTGAGGTTAGTCCCTTGGACTCGTCGCGTCCAACAGCATCGGGATGACGCGCCAATCCAGAGGCGGTACTTTGTAGACGTGATCCGAACTCGCTAAAACGCGCTGGTGGAACGCCGTCATTTGACCTGCCCAGACTCCCAAGCAACGCCAAATACAACTAATTTACAGTTAGAGACGCCTTCGCCTGATGGTCGTGTATGAGTCTACGCAAACACGCGTATCAAAGTCGGGTTTTCCCAACTTTAATCCAATACATTCAAGAGATTTATGATCACGACTTATCCAAATATGCACAACTCGCTCAAGCGTTTCGCATAGACGTATTACGCCACTCAATTTTCCACCTTCTGTTATCTTTGAAGACATTATCCAGAATTTTATCAACCCACTGTCTCGAGAAATCTTGTTTTCTTTAGATGGCCTGAATGGTAGCAAGATGTTTTGAACCCAATTTTTTTTAATGCCTTCTTTGCTTGCACTAAATTCTTGCTTCGTTTTCTGTTCCATCAATGGAAAAATATAATGAAGCAGGTATATCCTGTGACAATTGCGCCACTAGTAACCCACAAAGTGTATAAGAGAACGGGCTCCTAATGTTGATGAATTGCTTCGATATACCCATTAAACTAACATTTCCGGAAGGCCTAGTCCTTGACCACACTCAATCAAATTCTTGAAGTAGCGAAACCCATTATCTATATTTCTCGGAGCACAATTAAATCTCATACCTCGGGGCTGAGTACCAAGGGATAGATGTTGTGTTTTGAAGTTGCCTTGAGTGGAGCAGGAATTGAAAGTGTCTAGTACCTGCAGTGAGAGCAGACTTTTGAACTTCTTGCTTTGCAGTATCAAAGATACCTTGCTCTTGTTGACTCTCGTGATCATACTGGCATTCCATTTGAGTCAAACATTCTTTGGCTCTGAAGCCTGCCAATTCGTGGCAGTAGTTGCCGTGGCACAGTATGAGCTACAAGTGGCCCAAAGTAATAGCATGATCGGAACAGTCACACTTTTGTGTACTATCTCACCGATGCTAAACATGACGTAGTCAACATGATTCCCTTTAAGGCCTCAGGCTGGCTACAACAAGCATGGCGATCCGTCATTCAATCTGTGGCTGGAGAAGCACAGTCACCACGAAAGACTGCAAGGTAGCATCGTGATGCGCTGCATGTGCATCGATTAAATTTAGACTTTGCCTGCATTTTTTTTTTCCCTCGTAGTTGTCTCCGATGGCCATATAACTCTCAGGTGGGAAGGTGTCGCCCCTGGTCCTCCATTTGACTGGCATCTCTCTTCCTAGCCCCTTCTTGCGCAGTGCCCAGACACATTGTTGGGTCTCCCGCGCTCAATGGCGCAGCAGGTGGGTAGAAAATCCCGTTGGAGACTGACCACCCTGCCCTGCGCATTTGCTGCCAGCACTCTGCCACCTTAAACCGGACAAGGTCGCCCGCGCTTCTTGCATCCTCTTTGCTATCATGACCCCTTTCGCCACCAGTCTGAATGAGCCTATGGAGATGCTTCGCCACAAGCATCTTAAGACCGTATCGTATGGGAAGGCCTTTTGGATGGGGATAAAGAAGTACTGTGTCAATTATAGATGGGTGGATGATTCGCGTCGCAACGAGATCATTTTCGAGCGCATGGCCGATAAGAGGTGTCTGCGGTGATAAATGCTCGAATAAAAGAGACCGAGCAGCAGCAGGTGAAGGCACAACTCGGAGAGACGGGGTGGAGGCTTGTAGGTTCCCGGCTTTATGTGAAGCGTTCTTCTCGTAAGGCAAAGCCGTTGCAAAATGTTCAGGCCATACACCGGAGAAGCGGGAATTGAGATCGAGAATCTCTCCAATTGGTCGAACCAGGACGTCAAGGACCTCCTCACCTCCAGGCCATGCTGTAAGGGTAAGGCGGATAAGTTCCAGCCCATGAACCGTGTAGCCCATTTCGCAATCAAACCCATATGCCTTTCCAGCTGGAACCTTGGAGTTAGGTGGGGTCCTTTCGAATTGCAGGACAGATGCAAGTCGTTTTGGATCTGAGATCTTGTAAACATGGGTGTCGGCAACAGAGCAGCCGCTTGAAGTGCCCACGACTTCATTGCAGCATGTATAAAGCACCTCCGATGGAGCCTTTGTAGCATCCATGCGAGTGCTGGACGGACGAAGTATGCGACCATGATGATATGAGCATTTTCCTCCAGAAGTCAAGGCACCGTCTGCTTCTCTACGACCGGGAAACACTTGAAAGCGGGTCCTGCAGCGGTCACACTGTTCCCATCCACGAGCAGACTCAACGCCCTCTTTTGCTGAAGCAATCTCAGCTGGGGTAGGAGGTTCAATGACGTAACCGAATTTTTGCAGGCCATCCTGCTTCGAGAGGAGCCTGGGAGCAATTGAGAGCTCCTCAGAGGGAGTGAGCCCGGTTTCTATCGGCTTCGGGGCTTTTTGTTCTTCCGGCCCCCTTTGTGCTGCCGCAGTCGACTCCTTGATAGCTTTGATCCGTGCTTCTTTCCAATCGGTCACCTTTGTCTTCTTGAGATGGACGATTCTCAGCTTTATGACATTGGAGTATACCGAGGGACTTTCACGGGCAACCTTTTCTTCTTCATCGAGAGCCATCTTTATCAGATCCTGATCGGACAGAAGCAGAGACTTGGTGTCCGGATCTGAGCTCTGTGCAAGTTCGTCATTGAGCCTTTTGAGCTGCTCGTGCAGCTTTTGAAGGATGACGGCACGGATGGCATGGGAAGCTGGAGGCTGTGCCAATAGTCTTGGATTCAACGACTCTTCCACGACGCGCTTTGGGCTTGCCACAGAAGCAGACTTGGGGACGGCAACTGGCTTCTGCTGCTCCTTTCCACGATTTGCCTTTATTTCATTTGAGAGTGCAGAATTCCGGCGAGGCGGTGGTGAAATTGGTCTAGTGGAAGATGCAAGCGACGGTTTTGTCTTTTGCTGCAATTTGATATTGGACTTGGAGTCATGCCTTGCATCATCGGCTGACGGCCGAGCAAGGTCAGCTGGTTTCTCTCTGATAGGTCTTCTGGAATCATTCGATTCGGCTGAAAGTATTGAATCAGCTTTCTCCACACGCCTTCTTTTACGTTGATCGCTCGTTTCTCCCGAAGCTTGTACAGTCTCATTTCCTCCTGAAACAGGGTCAGTTGCCGAGCTTGAAGGTTGAGAAGCATCTTCCTCCTTGGGTTTATGGAGGAAAATGCAATTTGGTAAAAGGCATGCGGTAGCTTCCGGACATGGAATTTCTCGGAAAAGTCCAATGGAAGCAAACATGATGGAAGAGGAAATTGGGGCACGTGCTGAGACCAAGATCAATACATGAAGCTAATGAGAAATGACTTTGTCCATAGCCAAGGGGAGATTCCAAAAACAGGCTAGGCAATGCATGAATGGACAAAGGTGAGTTTCTTCATGAGCTTCTAGTTTGTTTTTAGTCTCTCATATCCGCAAATTACCACTGACGAGTCGGTATTGGGTGTCGATTGTTGTCATGGAATTCAAAGTTGAGGTCTATGGCTAGCAAAGGTCATGTTTAATGGCAAGCGGCGGAATTTTCCGCGACAAGGAAAGCAAGCAAATTAAGTGCCAGGGTGAAAGAGGGGAGAATATAATGATATAATTTAAATTCCGACAAATCAGTAATTATCGAAGCAAACAGTTATCGTTGGAAGTGGCTTTGTAGGTGGTTTTATTGCCTACACACTTTCACATATGTCTGCCAATCTTCAGGTTTCGAAGTGAACGAAAATAAGGTCTCAAAGCACCGCTACGGTACCCTACAGTACTCTTTTCATCCTCAGCTAAGAGTGATACCACCTTTTTCTAACTTAGTTACCTATAGGTAGTTATGGGTTCATTCTTAAGCACCTATAAAGGGAGTGATGGGGTGACACTAAGGCGAGATTAAGGTGCAGCTGGCCCCCCTCTTGCCCCATCCCGGATTAATTCTCATCTCGTATCTTTGACGTTCCGACCCAAGTCCCAGGGTTTATTCGACCTTACTACGGTAACTTTTTCTCTAGCTTGAGTCAATCCTGACCGCGTGGCTGCAGCGCATGTCCTCCGTCATTCGTCTCACCTGCCACAACAAACGAAAACAGGAGATAAGAGCGTCTGCTCATCATTCCCTATCATTTAAATCGCGTTGCATTCCCGGCGCCCCAAGGGAAAATAGAAAAGAGGCCCATTTGCTTAAAAGACAACGGCAATCACTGTATCATCGTCACCGGGCGATCATGATGAAGTTTATGCGTGCTCTGGTTGACCGGCTTTCCTCTACTGGTAAGTCTTCACCTGCCACCCCATTACGCCAACCCTATCGTCACGGAGGGAGAGCTTTACGGAGGCATTGCGGGTACCTGAACCCCAAGTTTGATCCCAGAGGGTTTTCCTATTCTTCTCCGATAAGCTTCCCACGCCCTATATTCGCATTCCACATCCTCTTCTTCCCCTCTTTTCTTCTCCTGTAGTAGACAATACACACAACATACACACAGCGGCCCCTTCACCCTTTCCCAGTCGAGTTTGTTTTCCCAGTTGCCCACCACGTTACCATTCTCATTGTCGAGTATAGACCGCTCTGTTGTCCTCTCCGATCCCTCGGTGGATGCAGCAGAGCGGGTCGCAGATGACGATCGCCGCCAGGCCGACCATCTCTGCGTGCTGGTCCATGGGTAAGTCGATGAATTATTGTATATGTCGTTCATTAAACAATCTACTAACGCTTCTCCATCAGTCTCTGGGGGAATCCCAAGCATCTTTCCTACCTGGCGTCAAGCCTCCGGGAAAAGTACCCGCCTTCCCAGGTCCATCTCTTGGTTGTCAAACGAAACGCTGGCAGTTTCACGTATGATGGCATTGAGGTTGGCGGGGAACGTGTCGCTCAAGAAATTGAGGATACATTGGAGAACCTGGCAAGGGATGGCCAAACCATCAGAAAAATCAGTGTCATTGGTTACTCCCTCGGTGGCCTGGTGGCCAGATATGCGATCGGCCTGCTGCATTCAAAGGGTTACTTTGACAAGATTGAACCCATGGTAAGTCTCCAGTTTTTTTTTTGGGGGTCTCTACGAAATATTTGTGAGAACCATATATGTTGCATTTCTCCAAGCCACTATCATTAGTAAAAGCGGACTTGGCGGTTGCCAAGAGCTCGCGCTGACCGCCTGCTATCTCTTAACCTGGATCATCCACCACCTCCTGTAACATGTCAAAAGTGAAGCGACTATAGCATGGTGCTGACTTGTTCCTTGTTAGAACTTTACAACGTTTGCTACCCCTCATCTTGGCGTGCGTACGCCATTGCTCGGGTTCCATAACCATCTCTGGAACGTACTTGGGGCTCGAACCCTGTCCGTGTCGGGCCGTCAGCTCTTCACCATTGATTCATTCCGTAACACTGGGCGCCCGCTCCTCTCAGTGCTCGCTGACCCCGACAGCCTCTTTATCCATGCTCTTGCCAAGTTCAAAAACCGAAGCCTCTACTCGAACATTGTCAACGATCGTTCTGCAGTCTTCTACACCACCTGCATTTCCCGTATAGATCCCTTCTCGGACCTTTCCGCGGTGAAGGTGAACTATCTCAAGGGATATGAACCGGTCCTTGTAGACCCCAGCGATCCAGTGTCCCATAATGATGATACCCAGCTCCCCACCTTTTACGGAAGGCTTGCAGGGGGGAGTCACAAACTCGTGAAATTGTTGCCCACCTCTCTCGTTCTCTTCATCCTGATTCCTTTGGGCACCATTCTCTTTCTCCTCAATTCGGCCATTCAATCCGTGAGAAGTCGTCAGCGGATCCGGCTGCATGAGGAATGCAAGGCTGGCATGTTCAGCAGCTACCGCATCCCCCTCATTGTCGAAGATGTCCAGAACGCCGTCGAAGAAGTCTACGAGGATCTGAACAATACACAAAGCCAGAAATATCTCCCGGCCGGGTCCGAGGAGGTCGCCTCAAGCGTAGAGACCTCTCCTTATGCCAAAGGCATGACGGAAGACAAGCGTTTGATCCTGATTGACGGTCCGCCAAAGGACTCGGATTCGATGAGTGTCATCTCCGAGAAGACTGTCTCCTTGGATGACAGCGACTCAAGCACTTTATTATTGAACAACAAGCCCTCGCCCAGACTGACGGAGTTTCCGACCCTTGCTCTGACCGAAGCTCAATTCGCAATGATTCAAGCGCTCGATAATGTCGGCTTCAAGAAATATCCCGTGCACATTCACAAGGTCATGCACAGCCATGCTGCTATTATTGTCCGAATGCCCAAGAAGGGCTTTGAAGAAGGCAAATTAGTTGCCAAGCACTGGCTCAGCGAGTTTGAGGCTTGAGAAAGCACCACATGCCCCAAAGCGCCAACAGAAGAAATCCCCCTACCGCAGATTCTCTCATTACTATCCCAACCTTACATGAACTGCACTACCCCCCCCAAAAAAAGGGAAACAAGAGAAATAGCAACAACGAAGGAGACACGGTAGACCAAGTCCATTGTATTTCAATCTGCACATCTCCAAGGAGGGAGTTTCTGCGTAGTGACTTATATCATTACTACGAACGGAGTTGCAGGACTAAGAGGAGCCTTTTGCATATTTGCATATCCTGAGCGTTCTAGCCCTTTTATTTTTCCTTTTCGTCGTTTCATTTTTTTTCCCCTCTCTCTTTCCTTTTCTTGTTGGCTCTTTTTTTTTTATCGCGTTACACTGCATAGCATTGCGGAGTATTATCTCTTTTTTAACCCTCTCTATCACTCTCTCTCCTCTTTTACCCTTGGTATTCTTGCAGATACCCTCATGGGTGGCTTCTTCTTAGGTTCGACTGAGATTCTAGCTTTTGTGCTGCTTTCTGCTCACAACATCTTTCGGGGCGCTAATAGACTTTTGCCGCATCGCTTTGTTTCGGCTTTTTTTTTGTACGTCTCTTTCCTTTTCAGTTTACCTTTTTTCCTGGCTCATCGCGTGGAGTTTAGCTGAAGCCATGGAGAGCCCTACCTGTGTTTGGGAGGGAAACGGAGGGGCTGGGAATGGGAATGGAGAGGATAAATATCTAACAAGAAATAAAAAAAAAAGGATGAAATGTAAATTGGGAAAAGTACAGTGACCTCGCAACATAATGTGATTCATACCGTGAGAAAGATGGGATTTTGATTCATATCATACGTTTCGTATAATTGAAAATAATAGAAATGACCATTTGAATGAGTATAACATATATAACATACAGTTGGTTTTTGGAGGAACGGTATACGCAGATGACACAACACCGGAAAAAGAAAAAGGGAAAGTAACAATGAAGTGAGATATAGGAAATGAGGTGATTGAACAAAGATATGATGATATATTGCGTCTTCTTAGCCCATGGTTTCCCTTTTTCGAATTTTTATTTTTTGAAATAAAATAAATAATAAAAAGGTAATGGCTGCCGTCCCGAGATGATGATGATATTCTATTCGTTGTAATGGTAAACCTGTAGCGGCACACAGTGGTCAGTGCATGCAGATTGAGGACAGAGAAGGGAGAAGCGTAAATCAGTAGAGGGAGGGGAGGGGAACGTACAAAGTAATTAGGCAGGCCATAGCTCTGATAATTCAGGCGTTTGGCCATGCGAGCAAAACCTTCCGTCTCAATGAGATGATAGAATGGAAAGGGGGGAAACATGGCGCCATCACGGTGGACCTCAGCTTTGACCAGCAAGGCCGTGCCACCGACACCGTCGAGAGACATAATGGACGAAGGGTCGCCATTCAGGTCGGCGAGCTTGGCCATTAGGGTCCGGTAGGTTGCCATTTCCGAGTACCCTTCGAGCAGGATGTCGTCTTTGCCCATTTTGGAGGCGAGATTCTGCGCCGTGCCGCTGTCCACCCACGAATTGTAGTCATATGGACGCACGTCCATGGCGCCCTTGTCCTTGTTGTAGTATCGCTGGTAGCAATTGGGCACGATAATGGGTTTGTCGTGGCGGGCAAGGTCCTGGATGAGCGTGGGCGGGGTCTCGACAATGTCCGAGTCGAGCCAGAGAATCCAGGCCGAGGACGGGCCGAGGGTGGTGAAGAGGAGGGAGTTGCGCGCCTGGGCCATGGCTGCTCGGCGGGCCTTTTGGTTCTCTAGCTTGTGTCTCTCGGATTCATCTTGAGATTGCAAGGGCGGGTCAAAGTCCTGACGCAGAATGGTGATGCTGGCAAACCGCTTCTTCTCTGGTCCCGATTGAGTCTTTGCAATCTCAGCCTGCAGCGCAGCGGTCGCGGCGTTGCCCTCGCGCGTCTTGGGGATGATGAAGCCCAGGGAGATGAGATCGTGAGGGTAATCCAAGTTGAGAATGTTATCCCAATATCCTTGATAGAATCTCGCAAGTGGTGTCAGGATGTGCACCGTTTCGCGGTTGCCCACTGGATCGCTTGATGTCGTGAGGCTGTCCAATTTGTAATGGACAACAGGCGGAGGTGCTCGTTGATCATCTGGCACGGAGGCCTGTTTCAAAAAGGGCGAGGTGGGCGGGGAAAGCGGGTGTTCAGCTGCGCTAAAGTGTTGCGCTTTTGCGGCGGCGGCAGATGTAGTGTTGCCGGTTCGTGATGGTGAGAGGATGAAGAAGAGGAAGCCCAGGGTCAAGAGGGCGGCGAGCAGGAGGGTGACGGGGTTCGACCGCCGAAACGAACGTCCTTTCGGCACCATGCCGACGGTGTTTTGGTGAGGAGAGGGGCAAGCCTACCTCGAGGCGCCCTAATCACTTGAGATGATCCTTTTTGTGATAAAAATGTCTGTTGTCAGCTAGGTATTCTGGAATTTTCGTGGTGGTAGTCGCTTCTTTTGGCTTTCCGTCAGCCAAGAGATCAGAGCTTCGAGGCTTCGCGGGTGCGGTTTGCTAGGTGTCAGGGACCGCTGAGAAACATTGCAGGCAGAAAATCGTGTCGTACCAAGATGAACAATTCCAAAGAGGTTGAATTCCTATGCACTGAAGCTGGCGCAACCTCTGTACGCAAAAGGAAAATTCGCAGTGAAGCCTCAGGGAGCAGCGCTCAGTCAGTTTGGGGACGAGGATGTCGGGGCAGTCGAGAGTTGGACGAATCCAGAATGGCTTCCTTTTGGGGCTCCTGAGACGCAACGTCGCCCTCCATTTACCGAACCCCGGGAGCGCTAATCCTAAAACGACAGATTACCAGATGTTTGCTTTGGGGTCACAGCGAGCTAGTCACTCACTGTATCAAGCAATAGTAATTTTCAAATTATTTGAAAACGATTCAGTAACCCTAAGAGGGCATTTTCCAAAGAAAATTAATCATGATGTCAAAAAAATCGCAGGTTTGATTGCAGGTGTGTTCTTTGAAGTGCTTCACGTTTGATCTGCGGGGGGGGGGGGGATTGCGACGCTTCGCCGCGTCGCTCCGATCCACAAATCTTGGGGGGTTTCTAGCCTCCTAGGGTTTCCAAGGTGCCCCAGCTTCTTTCAAACCCCTGACCACTCCACGTCTCAGCATTGCTGTGGTATAGTCGTCGGAAGTCTACCGTATAACTAATGCTATCATCCCGTACATGTATCAACAACCACAAACCGAATACGAAATCAAGCCTCACATCGTATCAAAGTTTTCTAAATCTAGCATTTCCAGCCTCTAATCGATCAGGTGCACCAGAAAGACTTTGGCCCCAGCCGAGAAATCTTCTCGATCAACTTAAATCGCACATTATAGGAGCCGAACAATACTTTTGTTCTTTATCTTTTGCGTCATTGAGGCTTGTCAAGAGCAAAATAGAAACGGATCTGATTCTAATTACCAGAAATATTTTCCGAATGAGCAAAGACAAGACATTCGTCCACTACGTTGAGCAGAGATGAGACTATTCTGCAATGATTATCGGACAAAAAGAAACATTGTAATGTAAAAACAGCAAGAGGTGATGCCAGGGGGAGAACATTCTGGTGCAAAACAAAACGTCACAAGCTAGGAAACAAGAGTATGCGAGGAATAAAGAGTACGAATTGCAAGCGATTTGGCGGGTATCGACATCTGATAGATGAGCAAAGATCAGAATGTAAAAAGAGCAATGAATTCGATGACGATAAACACCATCAATGCAGTCAACGCTGAAGATGAACATGGATCGACAATAAAGCCCAGCAGGTAGAACAACTGAAAACTCCTGACCCCCCCGTTCCCGGATAAGCGTGACAATCTAACGCCCTCGAACAGCAAGCAAATTGATCAGGCATTCGTGAGTTGCAACTGAAATAAACGAAGCGATGCTTCAAGCGGAAGCTGGCATATTGGACAGCCGGCAGAACGACCAGCCCGTTTTGCAAGCTTTGACAAACAAATCTAATCCTCCCAAATGGTCTCCAAGTCCAGATCACCTCGTCTCTCGGCACCACATACACTCCATCGCTTTCTCTTGTCCCGGGAACCATAGAAGCCAAAGGAACCGAGCCCCCCTTTGCTGAACGCAATTGAATCAGAGGCGCTCCTTTGCTCTGGCCCCGTGTTGGCCGCATCCGAAGCCTCTGCTGCCGCCTTCAACTTGGCCAGGTTTTCTGCTTCAAGTGCAGCCTCTTCTGCAGCAGGTGAGTCTGGAATTGTTTCGAGGCTGGATATACTCGGGCTGCGTGAACGCGCAGAGGTGGGTGTCGAGGGCAGGGACGAAGATGAGAAAGACATATTGAAATTGTAATCTTTGGGGTATGATTCATTAAATTTCGTAGGTGCAATAAGCGGTGAGGATGATGCAGAGGTCGAAGTACTGGGAGCAGCTCCACCCTGTGCAAGCGGGTTGAGCGGCGAAGATGGCCTACGTCGACGCGGAAATGTGTTTCCTGATTTGACGTGGGCGGATGGCGCGTTCAAAAAAGAGTCTGATCGGCAAGTTGACCTCGGAATATGATCTGCGTCCAACCCTTGGGCAGGATAATCCCCAGCATTTGTATGAGTTGGGCTCTGAGAATGACTCCGGAGGCGGCTGAGGGAACCGAGTGGACTTGGTGGATGGTGTAAGTCCTCCGGGAGAACCCTTCCTCCAGAATCGACCCCCGGTAGAGAATGGGCCCTGGTCATTGGAGTACCCAGCGGACTATGGGAAGACTGCGACCGCAGATGGCTTCGTGCATAAGGGGAGCGATTACGAGGACGAAGTGGTAGGAATTCTTGTCGAACCCGAGAGAGAGAATCAGGCTCTGTAGGCTCAGTAGATCTGCGTGCGATGGTCGGCATCAGAAGAGGGCTGTTCGGCACACGCTCATTCGCCGTAGAATCTTGGGCCGACGCCTCTGCGCCGACATCCATGTGAGCAGACTGGACCTCAGACATTGTGAAGATAGATCGATAACGGCCTCCTTAGAATGAAAATTGGAGTGTTTGTGGAGCTCAACCCTTTGTCAACTCCACGCTTGAGAAATGGAGATCTGAGCTGGCAACACAAAGGGCGTCGAAGCTGTCGCGCTGAGAAGATGGCAGGTTGAGTTCGTAAGGAGAAGTATCTTCTCGAGCGGCCCAGCTCAACGAAAGGTGAAAAGGCAAGAGCAGCGAAAATGCAGCTGGCCCAGTGGACGAGGTTATGGAGTCGATTCGATGGCAGTGTGTAGCTTCGAAACGGAGAACGATCGGCGGATGGGACGAATCGAATATCGGTGTCGACGAAAAGGCGTCAAAAAAGGGTCCCGTAGGGCAGCTTGTTCATTCAATGCCCAACTATGTTTCCCCAGTGGTAAGGGGTTGGGCAAGTGAATGTCTTATGAAACAGACCAAAGACTCGCGCAGCAGGGGTTGCAGATATGCTCGGAGTGCGATCCGAGCTTGAGACGGACAAGTTGATCAAGAGCGCAGGGCGAGCAGCAGATCAAACTGCCGCAAGCCCAGGCAACAAAATCCTTCTGAGCCGAAATCCGTACGCATGAGCGGGTTGGATGTTTTGTTTTTTTCGCGGAGAGAGCGGGAAGGGTATGATGAAAGAAGATGACGATGAAGCAGAAAGAAGGGTCAACGAGGGAGGGGGGATAAGGGAGAAAAGGCTCCTCTGTGACGAATATCCGGGGAAGGGATGAGGCAATCAATGAGCCATACTGGGGGAGTTAACTGGCTAACTAAAAGGCTCAGCAATCAGTTGCAGCCCGTTTAGGGGTTAAAAATGGCCGAAATAGGACCTACTACGGAGGAGACTATAACAAAAGTAACCAAGTTCCCTTCTCGTACCGTTTGCTGTCAATTGGGGCAAGAGCGGCATCGTTACGGTGGGGGGAGAAGATCAACGAGTCGGGTACAAAGTATACTTGGACGGATACCTAAACCCAGTTTACAAATTCTGTACCCAATAGGGAGTACCGCAACCATTGTCATCTAACCAAGACCGGTCAAAACTCGTCTCTTACCTAGCCAACCCCCCCCGGCGCCCTAAATATCTGTCATATTTCAGATGAAAGGGCGTCCACCAACTTTCCCCACGTTCCCACCTCTCCATTCTGGCCGCCCTCCAATTCCGGCTGTTTACTGTCATTGATTCGCACGAGCCCTGGCAGAACCCTTTTCCAGCTTCATGATTCGGTCAAGGCCCAGCCAGGTCCCTCAGGCCGGATCTAGGCACACTGCAACCCTGGAACGGATTATCGCGATTGATTATTCTTCCCCTCCCCATCCCCCCTTCCCAGATCACTTTCTCGTCCTGCAGCAGATGCACCACCAATCTGAGTGAGAGCCTAGATTCGTCAGGTAGAGGGCTGAAGAGGATCAAAGAGAGATTACATGCGAGCTGAGGCAAGCACCACACAGCACTTGGGTTGCTATACCCTACCTACCTACCTACCTACCTACCTAAGTACCTCCTAACCCAGTTGATTTACGGAATTACTATTCCGTACTGTACATGCGTGGGTTACATAAAACCCTTCGTTGTCTTACAGTACCTGCGTTGGTGCAGAAGGTATTCCGAGCTCGTAGTGAAGCTGAAGCTGGAATAAGCACAGACTCGTCCTCTCTCACCAGTTTAAGCAACAAAGAGGCACTGTAGGCCACCTACAGTATAATGTACCCCACTCTGCATGGGAAGGAGCGGCGAACGTACAGTAGTCTCTATAGCAAAGTCACGGGGACAAACATGCCCCCTGGTGCTTGTCGTGCATTGGTGCGTCACATTGCAGATGCTGTTGCCCTGGAGGTGGTGGGCCTGGTCAATCACACGCCCCGCATTCATCCAATAATGTCAATTCTGCAACAACATCTTTTAATCAATTTTTCCCTCAGAGGTTTTCACTGTATACTGGAGGTGACTTGCTGGGTACATTACACATGCCATTTCTTTCTTTTTTACTTCCATTTATTTCGTTTTGCTTTGTTGATTGTTGTAGTGAGCATCGGCAATTCCATAGATTTGGTTTGGGATTCTCTGGTAACTGATGCATTCCGCACCCCGGCTTTTCCACCCTAGTATTTGCTCAACAGACCTGATTTCAGCATCCTCCGGGGAAAATCTCCAAACAAGGCCGCGTCACTCTTCTGCGTACGGCTTTCGTCCTGTTTCCTGGTACTGAAAAGACTCAATACCCTGGCATACTTTCCTTTTCTTGCTTCCCTTATTCTGTGTTAATGGAAGCGCCTTGGGACAAAGGGCCAATTGATGAAGAAGAGGACAATATAGCACATACGCAAGCCATCGTATTAGTTTCAGGTCGGAAAAGAAACGTATCTTGCTATAAGGATTCATAGTACAAAACAGTAAATTAATTTACTTAATCCGAATTTAGAAGCGGCCAACTTCGAAATAATTCAGATACAATTGATCTCTTAGAGGTTATCGACAGGTTGGAAGGTCGATCAAAACCAACGTCCATAATAGCGCGGCACATATACAAAAGAAGGGTACAAGTATAATCAGTGAAAAGAACAGCTGGCAGTTCGCACAGATGTCTAACGCCTCATGGTGAGCAGTTTCCGTCCCAGCCAATTCAGCCCAATCCCGTATAAACATATCGGAATCAAAAATTACCCCGAAGCGCCAAAAGCCCAGATCCAGTCCAAAATTGAGATTCCTCTCCAGCGGTGGTATCTTTCCAATTAAAACTCAAACTAATATCTCGAACCCTGTACATATATACGTATACAAGTTCAGACCCGCAAAGTCTCCTCGAGTCCTTCAAAGCCAAATCCTTCGCCGGCGCCATCGGCGGGGATGAGTATACCCGGGCACGCGTCTGGTCCTGAGGCACCGACTGAGCCGGGATCACAATGGCTTAATTCTTCTCCGCTCGTTAGACTTTCTTCGGAAAAGCTTAGGACGCTCTGAGCTGCAGGAGGACAACTCGAATCCCACATGCCCCAAAACTCCGACGACCAGCCGGGGTATGATTCAACGCCGGTAGAAGCAGGAATATTTGCGTCAACAATGCCGTCAACCGGTGGTCCTCCATAGATGTTGTCATAAATGTTGGCTTGACCATTGTCGATTGAGCCAAGGAGCTGTTCCCACTCAGAAGTTGAAAGCCCCAGCTTTCGCGGAGCCTGACGCGGGTCGGTCACAGGTTCGGCCTGGAAAGCCAGAAAGTCTAGATTGGGGGATTCCATAGGAGCAGTTGAACGCGTTGATGCGGCGCTGTACGAAGGGCTACGATGGACGGCAGAATGCAGGACGGGTTCGGAGTTTATTGATGAGAGACTAACTTGACTCTGGCTTCGAGATTGCGCAAAGTCGGCGACGCTCAAATTTGCAATTGTCGCTCTCCGGTTGGCTTCTTCTTGAGAACACAGACCATTGCCGGATACCATTCGCGGCTGCGCAACCTGAGCACTTTTCGGGGTTGATGTGCTGATCGAGTGGGACGCCGGCATGTTGGGATCCGAATTTCTCCGCGAAGTTCCTTTTATTTTCGGTTGGTCGCGAGCGGGACGGACGGAAGAGGATGCCTTTTCAAAGGCTGAAGCTGCACTGGGAGACCCACGAGCAAGAACTTCGACAACCCAAGATGCCAGCTTTTGACTGTCTTTTCTCGGCTTCCTCTCCGATTTTGACACGATATCTTGATAAAGCAACCCGAAACCAGACAGGACGAGGAGGTGGCGCTTGTTCAAGCAAAAGGAGAAGCTCAATCGTCTTTCCTCCAATAATTGAAGTATTTGGATAAGGTGTTTCCCAGCGTCGCCAAGGGCAATAACTGACGAGGAGGCCTTGGCTCCCAACTCGGACGATCCAATCGCAGGGAGATAGATCAGAGAGCGGATATAATAGTATGCCAAGGACTGCAAGAGATGAGCTGCGAGAAGATACGATGGAGGACAAGTGGAAACTCACCAGCAACGGAGAACGACTGCTAATAACATTGGTACTAGGCTTGTCCTTTACAAATAACAGCTTCAAGTGAGAGGGCATGGAGTTAGACCAGCCGGCCAATTCATCTGCAAGCTGGTGCAACTTCTGCAGCGAGAGCTCGTGCGACGCCGATGATGGATAGATCTCCTTTAACACCTTTGCGAGTATCCTTGATGCCTTGAAAAGCTCCAGAGCACTCGAGATTTTGGTAAATTCTCCGGGTAAAGTGGGCTGAAATCCTTTTTCGGTAATGTACTCATCGTCAACGTCGCAGGGATATTCGGCTTGGATATCTTCCTCGCGCATCATTCTTGGCAAGCCAGTCACGGCGGAAGAAAAGCTGGAAAATGTTAGCAAAAGAAAGCGGTTTGAAGCCAATCAGTGAGGTGTACCAATCAATAGTATAAAGCGCCCAGAATAGCCTCTTCCTCGTCTCAGACACTAGGGCATTGGAAGAGAAGCGCTCATGGCTTTGATGGAGGCCCAGACGCTGCGAAAGACCAATTGCGAGTCCCTTGTAATGCAGCAGTGACTCATAATCACCTTTAGCCATACAAAATAATTGGGCCAGCGTAAGACATTGGAGGGTCGCAAGTGTTCGTTGACGAGAAATCGAATCGACTGCCGTTTGCCATTGCTCTTCAAAAGAGGTATCGTAAAGTTCACTTCGTGACTGGATCTTTTTTAGCTCCTGTTTTACCTATCTAGGCGTGCACTTCATGCGGTACATACTTCGGAGGACAAGGCCGCAATACCAAAAACCAGGTGCAGCTGGGCGATAGAGTGCTTATCCAAGACAGCATCAGGATTTGCAACGTAGCTCTCGTATAGTGCAAGGAAAGTCGGACGATGTAGGACTGGGAAAAGAGGAGCCCATTCTTGGAAGAAGACATTGACCAGCTGATCAGATACTAGGCGGGGTGGGGCTTTCGAGGTCGAAATGGATTCAGAGCCTTCGGTCCGAACTGAGATTGGAGAGCTTTCGTCAAATAGAGCGCTAGAGTTGAAATCCATGCTGAGTTTGCCAGTCTGACGAGCTTCGCGTTTAAAGCTCTCTGCATAAATCAGTTACTGAGCACCACAATGTAAAGTCTTCAGTTAAACCTACCAACAAGAGTCCTTCCAGCGGAAAGGCCAGCAAAGTAAGGATCTCTCTCTTCGTCTTCACATAGGGGCGAGGGTTGATGAACCCAGAAGGTGTCACCATCAGTATGAGCGTCACTGTCCTTTTCTGCAGTCGATATCGGGGGGGAAGCAGTTGTCGTAGGTATCACAGGCGATGGTTGTTGGGGCGGCAGGCGTGCAGAAGGAGAGCGAATTCTCGAAAGCATGTCGATTTTCTCGTCTTTCTCGTCCAAAAGGTCTTTCATCTCTCGAATTTCGGTTTCCAAGGACCGTACCCTTTCCTCCAAAGACTCCGTGTAGCCCCGCGGAAATGCGCGGCGGCTCAACTTATCGCTTGTTTTGCATTCGAATCCAACACTGGCACATTGTGAACAGCAGGGCCGAATCCCGTCACATCTGATCTTCTTGCTGCGACATCGGTCACAAGCCTGGGCGATCCGGCTCTGGGAACTCGTCCCGACCTTGATAACCTTCATAGGCAGAATTCCAGGCATCTTGACGTCACAAGACGGTTCTCAAATACTTGATTATCACGGTAGAAGGAAAAGATACAGATATCTCCTCCTTGATTCAACTTGGTGAAGTGTTAAATATGCGACAAACGGCTCGGCCTTGGCGGGGACGATATAGCTGTAAGCACCTGGGTCACTTCGTCTGCTGAGCGATGAATGAGCTCCTAGGCCACGCTACCAAGCAACAACGAAGTGATCCCTCTCGAGCATTCAGTACCAAAAGTCTCCAAGATAATTTGCGCGAGGAGCAAGAAGAAGAGGAGGAGGGGGAGGAGTCATCTATATCGAGAGTGCGTTTGTGGGGAAGGTGGGAAGGAGGCGCGGACGGGAGGGTGGTATAATCGGTTGAGAAAGATTCCGGGGTAGAGTTCAACGGGGGGCTCTTTTTCGCAGGCGTAGCTCCGAGCCTGGCGCTTGTGGGGGGGTGATCAACGAGCGCCTTGGCTGGCTTACCGGAGCTGACGGGGAATCGGAGAGCGAGCAGGAAAGGTAATGCAATTCAGTCCAAGATACGGACGAGAAAAAGAGCAGTATCCTCGTTTCAATTAAAATAATATAATAACTCCCAATGCACTGAATCTATTGCTGGTTTATTCTCTGTTTCTCGCTTCCACGTGGTCAATTACAGTGCCACGAGGTAGGTAACTTAATATACTCCTAATCAGATCGAGCCATGGCCCAAAGGAGAAATCTTCATTCTCACTTGAAGGGCCAGATGACAGCTTGCTGAGGATGTCGCTACTTAAATAGCAGGATTTCCCTTTAATAAGAAGCATCAGAGGTTCCTTTACAAGGTGTCAAGCCACTAAGAAAAAGCTGTGATGGAATTAGATGCCAGGCATTTGTAAGTCGGTTACGTGCTTGGTGTGTTGAAATATACCATGGAAGCAACGCTACCGTGACTTGGCAGAACCCTTCCGAGAATATGCCGCGTGGAAGGCACCACCGAGGGCACACTCTACAGCCCGCTTGGGTGAAAAGGGAGTAGAGGCGCACGGCAGACTCCCAGAAGGGATGGACACGGGGGGTTTGGTTCTGCCGAAAAGAGATAATGATATTCTTGCCCAATTGGCGCCAACTGGCGCTGGTGGGCGAGACCTTTCGGTTTGTCTATCAATTACACCATGGGAATATGAATCGTCAAGGGTCCCCATGCCGCTCCGGGGAACCATTCGGCTCTAATATCATTGGATAGATGTACACATATGCGCTCTACGTAGCGGAGGAGTACTTACATTTATTCTATACAACCTTGTAGACCTCCTGTGAAGAGGATTGGCTCCGCCGACGCACAGCGCTTCCAGATAATCTCCTCACTTATTCAGCATATCACAGAGGTGGCGGATGTCTCGCCTCCACTCAAGATGTAAGAAGGAAACTGATTGACCGCATATCTTCCCCAAGATAGTCTTGGATTTTCATGAAAGTATCGAGTGCCATCAGTAGGTTCACCTTAGGGCCAGAGCGGTTGAGTCATTGACGGAATTGCTCGGATCGATGGTTCGAAAAAGCAAATGAACAATACAGCCCGCCTCCAAGCTCGGCCAACCGTTCACTAACTCATAAAAGTTTTGAAAAATTGCTGTCAAGGTGTCGCAGTAGTTTCCAATGATTATTGAGGGCGCTCCTTGTATCTGAAGCTTTTCGGGATCAGGGTCCCGGAATCGCGGGGGGGATATAATCTACTTTCCGTCTTACCCCGTATTTCCCCGCAATCTGCTCCCCTAGCGCCATCTTGTCTCTTTACGGTTCCCGCCATGAAGCTTGGCACAAATATGGTCATTTCTACCAAAAAGCCCGATAGAATGTGAGAATGTTAGGCTTGACGAGCCGAACCTTTCCTCCCACTCACCGGCATGACTATTGTTGAAGATCATCATCTTCTGAGAAGCACTTACTGATACTATCCAAGAAGAGCATCTGCATCATATCGGGAACGGTCAGTAGCATGATTGCCATCCCGACGAACAACCGACCACTTTACTTTCCTAGGGCTTAAGAGAAGTCCTCATCATCTGCTTTATCACCGGCATCCAATCCAAGGAATTCCCGTACTGTCGGCGATCCCGCTAATAAGGTTTTCTGTTGTACCAATCGCGCGTCAGTCCTGTCATCCGTTGACCCTTGGTGCTACTAACCTCTTCCTCAAATTCCCGATATGCCTGCGAGAGCAATTCCCATTCTAGGTCTCTTAGACGCGTAGCTTGATTCCAAGCCTGACTGCTTATCGGCAACTGCGCACGAGCCTCTCGGATCGCATCCTCTGTCTCATACAGTCTTCGCAGCTGAGTCTCGACCCGGTCTTGTAGTAGGGCTAGAGCTCGTAACTGAAAAATGTCCCACAAGGGCTCAGCTTCAAGCAAACTCTTAAGACTGGTAATGTCCTCCAAATCGCTGCCTTTCCAAAACGCTTGCAATTCTCTTCCACCATCATTCGTCTGGAGAACCTTGAACTCCAGCCCATCTTCTTCATTTACACAAACGAGCCAAATGAATTCGCTCTCCCATTTCGTCTTTCCTTCCCTTATAAAGAGGCGAAAACCCGGTGGTGTTTTACAGACAGCTTGTTTGGCCGGTTTCAAGGGATCATCGTCTGGAATATCAAGTTGCAGGAAAAGTTCTCTTGCATTCTTCATTGTGTCTTCGATGAAGCCATAAGAAAACAGCATTTCGCATGCACCTTTCTCATCACCGTACCTGTGTGATCATTAATTTTCCAAAACGTGTCCGACCATTTGCTCACTTACGTTATATTCACTTCATCACCGGGTCTGAGATGCTTTCCATCGCGGAGCAACAAGACGGCATTACCATCCCCGTCTGTCTCATAAGCCGCAATAGTCTCCTCTCCAGATGCATGATTGGCCATGTCAAGGCACGGCACCATTGAGTCGCCGGTTCCCGGCAGTTGCAACGCTCGTGAGCGATACATGGAGTCCACTTGCTTCCAATCATCAAGCGAGAGAAGGCCGGTCTTTGCATCCCACCAGCACTTCTTGCACCACGGAATCGATTCCGTGCATGAACGTAGATTCTCAAATTCGCGCGAGAGACTCTTAACTTTCGCGTTGGTAGCCGCTTCCAAGGAAGTTCCTGTTAGTAAAAGTCTTTCCTCATCTGTCCACTCCGAGGGCAAGGGCGTCAATGGGATATATTTCACATAGCTAGAAAAAGTTCCCAGTCAATGATTTTACTCTCCGTCTTCCAAGACTTTTGCTTACTCTGACCAGCCATTGGAGACACCAATCTTTTCCTCAATGTCGGGGCATGCAATTGTGCATTGCATAAGAAGGAAAACAAGGATGGCTCCTCTGGATGTCTAATATCATTCCGGTCAGATAGATAGTACCAAATGAAATGCTCCAAAGGGAAATTTACTCTGCCGTAATCGCCGAGTGCTCCAAGGACTTCTTGCAAGTGTTGGTCGGATTTTGCAAAATTGTATACGCCTTCAAGCGAAAGAACCATCTCTCGAGGGATAGTCATCAGTGGCTCGGGATCTTGATCAATAATATCTTTTGTCGCAAATACTGCAGACCCTTTTGGGCCCGTTGTTTTTACCTCAACATCATGAAAGCTGATATCTCGAAGTCGAGCCCATGAAACCAGCGTCTCAATAGGCAATTTTAGCCAGCCACTACCACTCTCTCCAGGATCTGAGCTCTTGCCACTTCTTATCATTGTTCTCTAAGCAATGACTTTTTCCCTTTCCCCTTCGCAAAGTTGTCGGACCGTTTCTGTACTTTTAAAAAAGGTCCTGTAGTTTCTATTCTGGTAGTACTGTGTAGAGGACAGCCCGTGGAGGAAACTCTTTGCGCTACTCGTATACGGCAGCTTTACGCGAACGGTCCCTTAACCTTTTTGGAGACGCCACGGCAATACCCCAGGTTCCCCCTCCAATGACATCAACATAAACGAATAGGTCGAGGGACGTCCAGTAATCACTTTCGTAAAGCCGAGGAATTGTTGAACAACCATTAACCAATCCAAGAAATCCTTTATATCAATCATGATGCGTTACATAACATCTATCTCCCGCACAACATCTAGGTGCGCCTTGGCTTCGAAGCGAAGATTTTCGACTACGACGACTCTTCGTCTTGGAAAAGACGAGACTGACAGGAAACACGCCACGGATAAATCAGACACCCTTGATGTCCAATCTGAGGCCGTAGCTAGAGGGAAATCCAGCAGAGAGGCTGGCGGTCCCCAGAACAATGCTACGAGCGAAAAAGACCTGAATCGAAGCAATAAAAGGGCCAAGGAGGAACATCCAAAAGCTCCAGAGCCTGTGATTGGTATGAATGATGAGAGAGGCACCGTATGTCCAACTTCGTGTCCTATTTAAATCTCATCTATATTTGATGCTTATGCTTCCATAGAAAGGCCATTAGCCGATCAAGATCGCCGTGCTAGGGTCCAAGAACTTGCAAACAAAGAACAGAGACATTGAGAAGAAAATGGACAAACTCTCTCAAATTTGTACAAATACCGACAAGATGCAGTTTATGCTGTATAGTATGGTCTATCTCAAAGAAACGCATAATCTTTAGGGGTCTGTTTAAGAGCTCAAACTTTTCCGACTTTAAAAGACAATATCTGCAAATAAGGTAGTTAGCATATTATTAGCATGTCAATTATGGGGTTCAACCCACATCATTTTTTCCGACCGCGACAATATCATCTTCTCCGACCCTTGTGCCTCCTGATCCTTCGGTGTAAGCAATGGGTGCATCGCCCATAACTTTTCGCGCCACATCTTTGACGGTGGAGTTTCTAAAATTCGCGATTAGCAAACGAACCAAGAAAGTAACCATATATTACACTGTACTTTTTGACTAGAACACAATCCCGGAAAACGGCATTTGAGCCTGCCGTTCCTGAAGCAAATGTATGCACGTTTCTCACGGGGAAAACGGGGACCAATCCAAGTAATTCTGATGCTCGCGAGAGCACTTGCACAACACCCGTGGACCCAAAGCGATACAGCACCATATCCTTGAGATTTTCGATTCGTCTGTCCAGATGTAAGAAAGATGTCCGGTATTACATGGCATGCAATATTGTGTTCTTACTGTTTTAATTTTTCATCCATTTCTTTCAGCCCACCCCCAGTAGGGTCACCCATCTCGATTAGATCTTCTCTAGTGTCAACAAATTCGCTACCTTCGGTATATTTCACAAAATTCTGCTTCGCAAGTCTGCGCAAAAAGACCTCGGAGATAGCAGAGCATAAAACTATTGATTTTGGATCTTGCATCTTCGCGATTTTGCTGACGTTCTGAAAAAGGTCAGCAATAACGGACTACAATAAGATGCAAAAGAGAAGGATTTTACCTTGTCTGCATCTGGATGGTCAATCTTGTTCAATGCGAGGACTGTCGGGAATTTTTCATCTGTGAACGTATTCACAACTTGCTCTATAGTTTCATCGGACCAATGCTCTAGCGGCTCCTTCAAGCCAAGCTTGTCCAAAACGCGGGCAATAGTCTGTGAAGTACTGCCATAACCAGAAAACTGGCCTTGTAGCGTCTCTACAGCGTTTGCCTCTACAGGATGTCTTAGCATGGATCTTTTGGTCCGTCATTATTGAACTTACTAATGGCGACATGTCGCCGTTTTATTGAACCCCTGCTATCAGTCAGCAATCTCCCTCAACCACTAGGGATTGCTCTTCGAACCATTTTTGCATCAAATTGCCTTGAATCCACCGCACAATCTCAGATCGTAACCAAGCAACATCCTGCGAGGGATCATATCCACGGGTAGCCTTCCCTATACGGAAGTTGACTTAGTCTGACACTCTATGTGCTTCTCAATTCGAGAGTTCCACCCACCTTCAGCATCTGTCGTTCCACTCACGTCCACGACGTGAATGAGGGCATCTGCATGTCTGAGATCGTCTAAGAACTTGTTTCCCAGGCCCCTGCCTTCATGCGCGCCAGGGACAAGCCCTGCGACATCTAAAAGTTCAATTGGTACCGAACGCAGTCCATCTAAGCAAGCACCATAATTTGGTTTACATCTGCCTGACACATTGAAACGAGCGCATGCGCAAGGAATTTGTAGGTAGCCAATGGCGCGCTGAGGGTCGATTGTGGTGAAACTGGAACTCTGGTAAGAGGTAGAAAGTCTATGAGGATATAATACGCTTACGGAAAGTTTCCTGTTGATTTACAGTTAGCAGTGTTGCAATATCAGCGGGGCATTTCCTCTACTCGCCAACTTTTGAACTGGCGTCTGTAAGACTATTTAAAGTTGTAGATTTCCCAGAGGAGGGTTTTCCGACTAAACCAACAAGAGGATCTCGGGGCATATTAACGTAAACGATGAGGGGTATTAAAGAGAGTGGCTGAAGGGAAGATTTCACAGAATAGGGCGCGAAAAAAGAATCGGTGATGTCGTTTCGGTCAAACTTCCGATCTCATGCCACTTGTGGTTTATCGATAAGTTTTATGCATAAATGGTTTATTTAGCCGCCCGAATTTCTTACTACGTCAGGGTCTGACCAACCACGATCTTAAAACCTAACCTCCGACATACTTCAATTGACTTTTATTGTGCTTCAACGGTTGGATTGGCCCCTCAAATACTTAGTTCTGCATGTTTAACGCCATTTAGCTATTATACTGCCCAATTGCAGTTGGAAAAAAAGTAAAAATTTCTTTCGTCCGATGTCCCAGCGTTGTTCACGTTCGTTCCCATACCGTGAAGTACTCCTCAATTGCTTTCGTTGATTAAAAACCATTGAACTTTGCTTGAAACTGAATGCAGCTTGGGCTTTATCCGTCGTCCTGTCAATTTTCACAGATTCGTACTGGCAGATGATCGAGCTTGCTCAACGATTTGTAACATGAAGGGGTTTCAATGCCTTCTATTCCCAAATCTGTCCGCCAAAGGGGTCTTTCATCCTCCACGACGCTTGTCATTGTCCACGTGTCATTGTGTCTTCTGCATCTGCTCTGTTCCCCTGGATTTTGAATATTTATGTTAATTTCAAAGTGACAAACTGACTTCTCTGGCAAGCCAGTAACTACCCGAGTGTTGGACTTCTTTATACCTACCCCCAAAGCGCATACTGAGCCAGTCTCAATATGATTATTGGATTGTTTCTGTGCATTCTGGCGGCCACTGCCAATGCTGGACCAATTCTCTCGGACGGATCTAGCCAGAAGATTATCGGCGATACTCACCATCTAAATGAGGAACATCATCCCGAACAGATCTTCTTACACTCTAGTAATTCCACGACAATCAATGTAAGTTAACGCGTTGACTATGGAACTAGAGCTAAGAAGTAAAGTTCGATGATATTATTGCCACCAACGGGGTTGCCAAAATCCACTCTCCGTATCACAATCTCGAGTTCTCCGCCTTCTCTATTATTGCGCCTAATCATCCAGCGCTCAGGGGCAGAATCTCGGAGAATGACCGGAACTCAGCCGTGTCGGCTCCCAATGCATTGATAGGCTCCCGCTATCATGAGTCCAATAGGTCGGACGATTCTCCCGCATCTTTCGGAATGCAATCGAAATCGAAGTCCGATTCAGGGCTCTTGCCGTATTTTGACCTTTTAACCTTCTGGATCAAACCTTTAGATGCTCCGCCTCCTGGAACCACCATCCATGTCCGCGGTCACAGGTATGATTATGATGCAGAGAAAAAGCCACTCGAATGGCATGTTGATTTCATTGTTGGGTATCACGAACCCTTTCTTGTAAAGATTGAGGAGTTCTCAGGAAAGAAATGGGACAAGCTAAAGAAGGTCGAAATGTGGGCAAACTTTGGACTGGCTAAACTCGACTGGGAATTCTGTGTTGATGACCTCGAGGTCCAATTCTACAGAGACGAAGCTGCCGAGGTATGTGCTGCATGGTACTCTCAATTCTTAGGCTAATTATATTTCAAAACTAGCTTTGATAGGCACATGGGCAGATTGTGTATAGCTATTGACTTGCGGGTCGAGTAAAAGTATGATCGTTTACGCCGATTTCACATATCCGTTATTTTACAAAAAGTTTTGATGTCGGATCTTCCAACTTCTAAAAACTACTTAAGAAATCTGCAAGGGCCGCAAGGAGAATATCTTCGTGCATTGCTTGATTCACTTAATGAACTAATCATAATTAATGCAATTCAACTGATCTGTGCATTATGCTTTTCATGATTATCTACAATGCCCCGTTTCTAAATAATCAAAACAGAAAGCAGAAAGCGAAACCCGCTGCGTAAACATCGTAAAAAAAAGAAAATATAAAAATACATAGAAATTATGCAGCCTGGTCGGAGTTCAGAGCGTCATACTGGCCATCGCCACTGACGCCCTTCTGGCGCGGTCCGCCAGCAGCATCAGGGCCACTCTCGGCGGCGGCACGCTGGAACTTGGCTTCAGCCAGTCTACCAGGATCATTCTTACCGCCAATATCGGAGGTGAAACTGGCGTTATACTTCGAATCGCTGTCAAAGCCACCCTCTCTCAAGTTCACTCCCTTGGGCTTAGTCTCGCCAGTAGCAAAATCAACCGCTATGGACGAAGGGGCAGTTCCCACGTTCTGGGGACCCTTTGACTGAGATGTCTGCTGCGAGCCACTTTGAGTCTGGCGAGACCCGGCGGAGGGCGCAGCATCAAGCTTCGTCGCGGCAGAGGTATCAGTGGTGTTGGCGGTGGTGGATGCGGCATTCACGCCGGACGGGTTCGCAGAAGGGTTCGAGGCAAAAGAGCCGCCGCCGCGGACGCTCTCGCCAGCAAGAGAGTCTGAAACAACAGTTCCAGGCTTCTCCAGAGTGGGGTTCTCGAAGCGCTCGGGGTCAGAAGTGACCTATTGCTCATCACAGTTAGAACCGGTCTTTGTGAACAGTGCAACACCTTCAAGAGGTGGTATTTCTCATGTATAGTAATATGCAGGAATGCAGGCTGATTGAATTCGGAGGGGGTTAAGCAAATAGATCTTATTCACTCACCTTGGTTCCTGCAGAGCTAGGCATTTTTCTTGTATTTGGTTTGGCGTTTAGGATGTTAAGAGGGTGGAAAGATATTGATATTCGTTTTTTGTTGTTAGTGCGTAGATATAGCAAAGATGCTAGAAGATGCTCAAGGGGAATATATTCTGAACAATCAATACAAAGGTTGAATGTGTCTCATTTATATATTGTGCACAGTAAGAACTAGAGAAGATTTCATTTCACACATAATATGTATTACGGTGACAGAATGCTGCTATCATCATTACATCACTCTCACGATTTGCCTCAAAGTGAGGTTATCTGTAGGTAAGTAGTTATGTTGTGCTCACAAGGAGTGAGAGGGCAGGTATACTTGCTGTCCAGTACCCTGCTGGTACCGCCCGGTTCCGAGACGAGGACCGGGGGAATCACATCGGAAAATGAAATATCGATCGAAAATTCGCCATCTTCTGCATGTTTCCGGGTGCCTCGTCAGCTCCTCTCGGCCCCACCACGATTAGGCCCACTCTGACATTTCCGCTATCAATGCTGGTACGGAGTAGATTTTCCAATATAATTCTAGTGGGGCCACTCTGATCAGCAGAAAATTCGAATCTGCTGGAAGAACAGGACACTCGTGACATTGTTTTCTCAGCCCAGTCTTCTATTTGAAATCGGTCTCTTGATAGAGTGCTGTTCGAAATATACTGTACCTAACATATAGTCCACCATCCACTGAGAATTGCGTGTTGCCCTAGAATAGGTTTAATTCATTATGCCGTACCAACCCTCACCAAATTCTCCAATTGGAGCGAGTTCGGGCAATTTGCCGAAATTCAAGTCTTCTCAAAAAGACGTCATATTAGCACAATTTTCACACCAAGCTTAATTTGGAATTGGTTCGTGTTCACAATGAATACAAATTGCTCTTATGTTGCAGTTGTTCTATCAGAATGACTTTTTTTTTAATTGAGAAAAGTCAAGAGCACCGAGAAATGCTGAAGACCCTAATAATACATGGAAGTCGTAAAACTCGTAAAAATCAACCCATCCTAGCTCCTATGCAAAATCTCGAAAGAACATAGCGGGGTATCTAGTGCTTCAGGGCGTCCTTGGGGAGACCCGTGAGGTTTTCCTTGCCCTCTCTGCCAGTGTTGGAGTTGGGGGCAGTGTTGATCTTGAACTCGTCACCGGAGACTCTCACGCTGCTGGGGCCGGTGGAGGGCTCATCAAGGCCGGTGCCGGTGGAACGACCACTCTCGACGGCGCCGGAGCCGACGTTGACCTTGGAGGCATCGGCGGAGTTCCAGTCAGAGGCAACCGGAGGCTCCTCAGGCAGAGGGAGGTTAGCCTGGCGCTCGTTGATGACGTTGGCCTTGGAAGACATGGTGTATTTTGAGTTGGTTCTGTGATTTTATGAGTATGTTTTACTCCAATTGCAATTCAAAAAATGTGAAACATACGGTTTAAAGAAAAGGAATTTGAGATTTGAGCGTGTGAGGAGAAGCTGAAGAGGCTTTTGGAAGTAAAGTTTGTTGGATGAAGGATAGAGTTGAATGGGACGGTGCATAGGCTCTCTTTAAATGCAGGAACAGGTGGATGGGAGGGTAGCGTCAACGAGCAGTGACCTTCAGTGACGTAAGGCCGAAATAGGACGTGGGGTGGTGGGCAGTGGGTTGTGCACAGTCGTGTGGCACGTGATCTGACATATTATTGTGCCCTTTCAGTGATTTAAGTGGGTACTTTCATCCATTTTCTCCAACACATAACGTTATGTCGTCAAATATGATGAGATGGTGCCCCAGCAGTAGGTCGTCATCGTTGAACCTTGACTGTATTCAGCCTACTGGCCCACCCACTCTGAGAATGCTCTCGTTACTTGAGGAACGTAATGTGGAGCCTTCATTACGGAGTATTCGAGGTATTATGCAGTACCTCGAGTACGTCAGATTGAAATGCACTTTGGAACCTTCCATGCCTTGTCCGAAACGTAAAAAGTATGAAGAGTAACACTAGCTTGGCCTGCGTTTCAGATAAAACCCCCCTCTCAATCGTTTTCTTACTGTACGATATAAAAACGCAGTATCTTTACGCACGTGACCACTCTGCATTTTGAAATTTTCCGTTTTTGAATGAATTCTACATCAACAACGTGGAAAGTTCAACAATGGGCAAGAGAATTTAATAAGAAAATTTTTTGATTATCCATTTCGAATAATAAGAAGAGGGAATAAATGATGAACCTCTAATATGCACAAGTACACGATTTGCAACCCATTTGCGCCTTTTGATCCTGAGAATCCTGAGAACTACGAACAGATAACTTAGACACGGACATTCCGCGATTCCTTCTGCACGAGCTTCACTAGATCCTGATACACCTCCTTGAAGTCCTCCTCACCCTCCTCACCGTCCTTCTTCTTGCCTTGACGCTCGGGCGTGACCATCACGACACTGGTTGGTCTCTTGGTGCTGCCAGCCGCACCCAGTTCGGCTCGAGAGGTAATGTAGAGGTAGGGCACGTTGTGGTCCTCGCAGAGGACGGGAATGTGAGAGATGACATCCATAGGAGAGATATCGGCCGCGAGGATAACAACGCCAGGAGCGGCGCCTCCGTTGGCCACAGTTGTTTCTGACTTGCGGAGGGATTTGACGACCTCCTTGACACCACGCTTAAGCGACTTGTTCTTCGCGGCTATTTTAAAAAGATCAGCATCGTTGTCTTTGAGTAAAAACTGAGGAAATGACGCTGGCGTAATACCTTTCTTGACGCTCTTGAGGACCTTCTTTGTGGCTTTCTCGTCGGCCAATGGGTTGGCAAAGGGGACCAATGCACCCACAGGAGCAGCGGCACCTTCTCCATCGACATGGATGATGACATCGCCATCATTGTCGACTGCTACTGATCCGGGCTTCTCGTTCTCGAGGGTGTTCAACAGAGCGGTGGTAACATCGCCATTTTCAGAAAGCTTCTTTTCCTTCTTCTCCTTCTTGGACTTGGAGACACCGTCCTTTTCAGATCGCTTCTCCTTCTTCTCCTTTCTCTCCTTCTTTTCGGTCTTGTCCTTGGCCATTGTTGTCGAGTAAACGCCGATTTGTCGAAAATTTGGCTAAAGTTGTCTTGCACTTGCGCCGAACTTCTTGTGTGAAAAGGTTCGCGAAATTCAAACATTATCCATGCTAACCCCTTTAGGCGAAACGAGAGGCCACTACAGGAAAAGAGTACGGAGGTACGAATCTTCTCTTCCGAGCGTGCCCAAACTCCCGAGGGTCCGTTGGCACCAAGGCGCACCCTGAGAAGGGATTCGCCCATGCTTCATCGTCGATTCCAATGCCGATTCCAAGGATTGATGGAATTGTTGGGGAGGAGACTATCGCTGCATCTCATGATCAGAATGCTCAAAATAAAATGACACGTTCAATATAGTCACATTTTTCCGGCTCCGCTCGCTACGGCTTACCAGGAAGCGGTTGTTGGATTTTACAAAAGTGGTCAAGCCGAAATCGAGCCAATACGTTGTAACATATCACATCTGATTAGTTTCAGGGTTGGGATGATTATGATGATGCACAAAATGTTGACCTTATGCTCGCAACCAGTAATTTACATGACCAATCGGTCGCGCAGTCAGTGATAGCCCCGTCTATTGCACTCAGCCAATCCCGAAAAACAGTCTTATAATCCTAAGGCACTTCTTTCAGAGCATTTACTCCTCATCACTGGCCTCAGCACGGCCAGGCTTGGAGTTGAGATAGTGGTTTCTATACGCATCATTAGTTAATGGTCATCCTATCGCTTCGACCTGGGGCTGAAATCGGGTGGGGATACCTCTCAATAGCCCAGCTCATGCCGTAGTAAGCGGCGACTAGAGGGGGGGCAACGTAGAGAATCTGGCCGCGGACTCTACGGAAGGTGTTGAAGAAGGCAGCGTGGAGAGTGCCAGCCAAGGGACGCTGACGGTTGGCAGACATGGAGTAGCTGATAACACCCTTCTGGGGCTGGGAGCCTATAGTTGACGAAAGTCATCAGTAACCGATCGTGAAAAGTATATATAGCGATATATCTGGTGTAATTTTCCGGAAAAGGGTCGGTCAAGTGCCAAAAGGACCTATGGTTCATGCCGGAACGACGTGCGGAAGGCGTGTTCTCGGAAAGGAGATTGAAGCATACCAATGCTGCCCCACCAGCCCATGTAACTGTTGCAAAAGATATTGTCAGTCGCACATTCAAGCAAATACAACGTTTTCCTTGCCAATTGACCAGGAATTGCGACGTCGCAATGGTTCAATTGGCAGTCAAAAGACATCTGAAGCCATGCGGTAAATGGCGCATCGAAGCCATTGACAAAGCCATTGGGGCAAGACTCACACGCCGGGAACTTTTCCGCCGCCGCCGCCCATTTTTGCAGAGACTGGTTATTGAAATTGAAAGGAAGGCGTGAAGAAGAGCGGTTCGAGAGGGTATCGATCGTTGGCTGAGGCTGGAGTGATTGAAGTTGATGAAGTCCGGTAATTCAAAATGGAAGCTTTGGCGCCAAGGAGCCTTCCCACTTTCGGTTTAGCGCAATATCTCTCCCCCCAGTGATCGAAGACCTAATGGCAAAACGCAGGTAGCTGCTAGCAGCAGTAGTAGTATCATCATCATCATCTATTGCTGCAATTAGCCATTTACGAATCTCTCTCAGACAATCGTAAGGAGTCGTCAAGATGGCTAATGCTCTGAGTACCGTTTACAAATATGCGATTCCTCTCGCTTTCGGTTTATCGTTTGCCCAGGCTTCCATGTACGATGTGAAGGGAGGCACTCGCGCCGTCATCTTCGACAGACTGAGTGGTGTCAAAGAGCAGGTCGTCAACGAGGGAACACACTTCTTGATTCCCTGGCTGCAGAAGAGTATCATCTACGATGTTCGAACAAAGCCTAGAAACATCTCTACCACCACTGGCAGTAAGGATTTGCAAATGGTCAGCTTGACCCTCAGAGTGCTTCACCGGCCAGAGGTGAAGAATCTCCCCAAGATCTATCAGGTTTGTCATCCCGTCCTTGTTGCAGCTGTTGGATATTTCTAATTTCCTCCTCAGTCACTCGGTCAAGACTACGACGAGCGTGTTTTGCCTTCTATCGGAAATGAAGTCCTGAAGGCTATTGTTGCCCAATTTGATGCGGCCGAGCTCATTACTCAGAGAGAAGCCGTGTCAAACCGTATCCGAAGCGATTTATTGAAACGCGCACAAGAGTTCAACATTGCCCTTGAGGACGTTTCCATCACGCACATGACGTTCGGAAAGGAGTTCACGCGAGCGGTCGAGCAGAAGCAGATTGCCCAACAGGATGCAGAGCGGGCCCGGTTCATCGTCGAGAAGGCAGAGCAGGAGCGGCAAGCCAACGTTATCCGAGCTGAGGGTGAGGCCGAGAGTGCCGACACTATCTCGAAAGCTGTTCAAAAGGCGGGTGATGGCTTGATTCTTATCCGACGAATCGAAGCCAGCAGGGAGATTGCCCAGACTCTTTCAACCAACCCTAACGTCACCTACCTGCCAGGTGGAGAAGGCGGAAAAGAGGGTGGCAAGGGCACCAGCATGCTCCTCGGATTGAGGTCGTAAGAGTCTAGATTCGGATGATTTGTGTATATTTCACTTTCGCTCTCTTATTGGTTTCTTTGTTAAGGGAAAAGGCCTCCATGTAGCATAGCAATATCGTATTCTCCTCTTTCAACGATCATATTTGTGTCGTACGGATTGTCCTTTTTGTTTCCATCAAAGTGTCAATAACGGTGATCTCCGTACTTGTTTCATATCTTCCTCTTTCGTACTTTCCCACCGTATCCACTCGTGGCCAATGCCAACACGCGGAGAAAAACAATTCGAAAGAGACCTGACATGACACACTCTGCCTATTTACCCTCTCTTCAGCGCCTTCAAAGCAAAGACCGTACTGTTGTCATATTCCTGTCGTTGAAAAGCATACCTATCTGCTCACGAATGTCGGCTTCATGTTGTTGAAGGGTATATTCACTTGCTTATAAAGATCATTATCATCCGGCACAAGAAGGAAGATTTTTTTCAGAAAGATCAATGCAAAATTAACTTGTGTCTGCGGCTATAATACTCCGGGTACCTGAAAATGTCAAGGCAGTCGCGGCTCTTTCCAAATCGAGACCCGGGGAAACTGGCATAGCGGGTCTCAGGCTGTAGCCTGACCGGTATCCGCTTGTTCGCTGCCCTTGCCAGAAATAGAGACGAGCATAGAACAGAAAGAGAAACAACCAAGAGACACAGCGCCATGGGAAATTCAGCAATCTATTCGTCTCGTGAGAGGACATAAGTTCGATGTCCAAATCATTGCGGTCTTGGAAAAGATTGCACAAGTACTTCAAGTATTAAATACATGTACAGCACAAACCCGCCAGGATCTAATAATACGCAGAGAGCAGATTGACTCGATCAAAAAAGACGCATGGAATATCTGCCCATCGTTTACACGGAATTGCCATATTCAGATCATCACGTAATGGCTCACATACAATCAAAGCAAGAGCTTGAAGAAAAAGTGAGCGTTATTGATTCTCTAATAGTCATGAGCTAGGCGTTCATAAGCCGTAATGCGGAAAAGACAGACGGAGTATAATCAACAGCCAGGCGACATTAGAAACGACCGTCCACCACAGGAGCACGCCAATACCAACACCAGAACGCGCATCTTGCTCCGAGAAACCAATGAGAAACAAAAACTCCACGCCCAAAGTAAATGAGACTCCATGAAAGTCATGACCCAAAAAAAGTTTTGCAGAAAGAAAAGCGTCATATCAGCATTTGAAGAAGCAGAATGAGAACGCTGGACTCGCTGCAAGAATTGAAGACAAGCGGGGAGTGTCCAATACGACATACGACCCATGCATGCAAAATGGCTTCCGATCTAAGGGCAAAGCGAACGATGAATGCAAAGAGCGAATTCTTTCATGCTGGCAGTGCATAGCAAGAAAATCAAGCGAAAAATTGCGCCATCAAAAGGCCCAGAGGCCATACAACCCTGAGAAACGATTATTTAGAGCCAGAGCTCTTCAATGTCCCATTCATACTCCCAACTCTTCCGCTCGTTTTTCGTACGCCAGCTTCTCGTGCGGCTCTGCTATCAGCGCTCCGCCGCGGCGAAGATCGAACCTTGGCCACGCCAATAGCGCCAGAGCCGCTTCCGCTCTTAGAATTCGTTGGGGTCTTGGGTCGGCCGTCATAATTCTCAATGTCGCTTTCGCCAGCTTGTCCAATGCTGTAGCTAGCCTTAGTAGTCGTGGTGGTTGTGTAGCTAACAGACCTCTTCTTGTCACTAGACTGCGGTGACCGCGAGGCTGTTCGGCGGGAATGCATTCGCAATTGCCATTCCTCTTCGCTTTCTGAGTCACTTCGACTCTGTCGATGCATTGAAACAAACTCTGCGGACTGCTGCACGTTTGCATCGCTGTCATAGACGCCGGAGATTTTACGAGAGTAGGGATGGTGCCGGGGTTCATGAGATCGACTACCCTTGCGCGGCTGCCCAGGTGTAGGAGCGGGCAGGTTCTCATCCTGAGTTGCCACGCTCGATTCATTGCTGTCAATCTCTCCAAGAGCGGCTCGCTTTGAGTTGACAGGGGTTGCCGTCGGTCCTTGACTTCTCATGCGCTGCTTCTGGGAGGACTTTGTAGGTGTAGACGGCAGCATCGCAGCGAGCTTCTCCTTGTATGAATCCTCCCACCACCACTCTCGGAATGTGCCTTGGTTGAGATGGAGCCAGTGTTGCTGTGGGCCTACCACCATTCCAGGGCGCATAAATCGCATGAAAGCAATGACCTCATTGGCTGTAAAGCCATGGCGGTAAATTAGATACGCTCCAATGAGGCAACCAGTCCGCCCGAGTCCCGCCTTGCAATGCACAGCAATGCCCTTATGCTTAACATTGATCATTTCATGCGCCAACTTGATGAATTTCTTCACCAGAGGTAGGGGTGGGCAAGTGCCATCGTCGAATATCATGTCCAAGTGGTTTATTCCCAGCGCTGTAAAGTAGGATGGAGAATAGAGCTCCGAATTGAGACGGACTACCAGTCCAATGTCCCGAGTGGCGAAGTGTGAGAGCACATTTTTGAATGAAACGGGTAGGTCTGAAGCCATTACAGCTGAGACACTAGTGGGCAGCTTCGCATAGAGTGGCGAGGATGGCGGGATGGGCGCTGTTGGTGAATGCTGAGGGGATGCAAAGGCCAAGAAGGAGGGGGTGAGCCAATTGAAATCTCCCATGTCAACTCGTTCGAATTTCTCATATCTATGTCATATGTTATTTTTGAGGGTTCGAAAAATTTCTTTATTGGGACAACTCACTCCTCAAGACTGAATTCCATCAGGCCACAAAGCCCTTCCTCTTTTGCCTTCCAAACACCATAGACAACATCCTGGATGCTCAGCGTATAGTCTGCTTGGCTATAACCTGCGTCGCGGAAAGGCATTGGGGGAGGATCCATTTGCGCTATCGGTGCAAGAGCAAGATGGGGAGGCCAATTCTGAATAAGAACCATATAGCAAGCCAAGATGCATGCAGCATTTGCTCGGTCTGTGATTTGGTTAATATATTTCGGCGTGCGCATTCTCAACATGGCAAAACATACTTCGCGAGTCGGGGCTACTCCAAAGCACAACGGGCCGTTCGCTATTTGCAGGGTCCCCGAGAATATCGTGCAACTGTACTGCAAAGCGGTAAAGGTGCCCGATGTGCAGTGGGCCAAAGTCGGCATGGAAAGAATTGTAGTAGAGTGTGTAGTCAACCGTGAAGTAGACGGGTGCATGGCCTTTTGCGCTGCCCGCAGGAGGAGGTGTCGCAACGGGTGTTTGCTTTGAGCGCTTTCCGGGTGATTTCTTTTCTTTGGGATACGGGAAAGGCGTATTCTCATCAGGCGGGTTCTCATAAGAAGCTAAGTATAGACGGTCTAATTGAGGTATAGTGTTAGCATGCGCGTGTGAAGATCGATGCTGATACTGAACTTGAAAAGCACGAGTCTATAATAATACTCGTTTGAGAGCATGATCAGGCTTCTTTTAGAACATACCTTGAATGTATTCCAAAACCTGACCACAATTGGTCATGAAGGAAGGAAGCATCCCGAGCCGGGAAGGACCTCGCGGTGAGGAAGGCATTGGTAGAACGATGCAAGGTTAACGAGAGTTGAGCTCAAGTTGTTTTTAGAACGACCTTGAGTGTTGGAAGTTGGCAGGCAGCAAAATAACGATCGCGAATGGAAGGTGCAACTTGTGGTCACTTGTTTAGAGGTAAATCGCGGCAGAGAGCACCAGCTTCTGGGCTCGTAAAACCTCCGCTCCTCTTGACGAGTGTTGCACCTTTGTAAGTTAAGGATGCGATGAGCAGCGCCGGTAGGAGAAGATATTTGTGAGAGAATTGTAGGTGTTGATATGAGTGTTGTTCTTAAGAGGCGCGGATTGTTGTGGTCGAGACGCCAGCATGATACAGGACGGGGGGCACGAGGTATCGGCGCTAAACGCAAGCAGTTTAGTGACAGCTCTTCACCCACAACAACACGCGCTCAATCCGGTAATGTTTCCTTCCTGTTTGAGACTTTCGCGGTTGACCTGGCGATATTTCACCACAACATCCACACGTCGATCAACAAAAACTTATCGCCACAGTTCCCCGCGTCCCCAAGGTCACAATTGTAATCCATCAGAACCCTGTCTGGCAGCTTCGCCTACATTATGGTTATCTCTAATTGTCTGAGCACATAATGGCTGCCCAGTCGTCTTTGAATTACGTATGTTCAATACAGGCATATTACTGAACCATGTGCCGCAGCTACTCCCTCCCTAAATGTGGTCGTGGGTAGAAGTCAAATGCCGTATTTTCTTCGATCTAGACACTACTAGCCTTCGCCTCCTTTTTCATCCTACTTTCCTGCAATGGCTTTCCATCTGTTGGGCGTAGAAAGGAAACATTTACTGTCGCTCAGATGAGTCAATTAGGGAGAAAGAAGAGTACTTTCGAGACACAATTCTCTATAAGAGATTCTTATACGAAGCATATTTCTGCTGTGAATGGGATACACTTTACTGGAAATTTAATATGTTGCTCAACCCTGTGGTCATTTTCCAGGGGAGTAGTTTGGGATTCGACTACTCGTATTAGCCCACAATTCAATCAGATAAATGTAACACCGGTGACGTTTTCGATCAGTGCCTTCAATCCCTGCTCGGATTTGAGAGATTTATGCTTAGCCACATTCTTTGAGATATCCTCGTGAGAAGGCTCTGCTGGACTTGATCAATCGATCAAGTTTCATTCAATTGCGTCAGCATCTGCAAGGACGGTTGCCAGGTGCTGGCTAGTATTCCCTCGCATATTATTGTCGCCCTCGTGGCATAATTCGATAACGAGCATTCTAGATAGCCCAATCAGGCCGCTGTGTGTTCCAGTGGGATACAACGAGGAATTCACAGTCATTATCTCGAAATCTACCGTGGAGTTTAATACAGACATAGTGACAGATAAGTTGTAACGATATTCAAGGATTAATTCGGAAAAGAAAATAAACAACGAAGCTTTACTTTATTCTTTTCGTAGAAATTAATCCTGATATTTTTTTATTCTAAAATTCAAAATCCGGAGCAATAATGAAATAACAACATATGAAAACCCAGATTAGGAGCACTCATAACCCACACACAAAAATATTTCGAGGAAATATCTCATTTACGAAGTTTGGGATGGATATAACTACGTCACAGCCTTGGATGAAACCACTTCCATGCCTAACTCCAACACGCTGTTCAAATATCATTAACGATGCAAAAACTCACCCAGAATTTATCGAAAAGAGTACCTGATAAAATAAGCATACCAATAGAGTCCATCAATTAAGAGAATAAATATTCTAACATTTAGCACCTATTTGCTTAGATATTGTAGGGAGAGCTCGCCAGCTATCATAATGATCGGCAAATTCCGCGACCGCCAAAGCCCCCCTCCAGAGACCAGACCCTGACCCGCAAAATCTCACAAGGACTTGAACCTCTATGTTTCCGGGGCTTTCTTGCAGCATGGCGTCAGACACTGAATTTCCTTGCTTACTGTAAGACAAGAACAATGATCACTCCCTGGCTGAAAGGATGCCGCGTTTATGCTGACAAATGTACAGCGTCATATCGGTGCCCTTTCCCGATACTCGGTTGGCCAGCAGCGCCCTCCGTGCAATTGAGGTCGACCAGGAGCTCTCTCCACTGGTACGCCGATCCATGTCACTGGCGGGACCTGGATTGGATGGAAAAGATGGCGCCGTGAATGGAAGCGACAAAAGAGATCTATCTATCTTAAAAGTGGAATACCGGGCCACTACAAACCGGATGCTACGAGTTGCCGTGAATGGTTTCATGGAAAGTCTCGGAGTCGTCGTTGGAGTCATGCAAGAGCTGGACGTGGATGTGTTGGAGGCAGATGAACAAAAATCATAAGGTACAAGCCGAATGCCAACTTGCTTAGACCGAAATAGCGGGCTCTTGAAGGGCAAGGGCCGCCGAACTACGCTTTACGAATCCGAGACGCGCATTCAGTGCATACTTTGCATAGATTGGACAACTAGTTGTATTTTGGGAGGGATCATTTAAGGCGTTGGTGTATAAGTTGGTTTTTGATTAGATTCCAACAAAAAGGGGTGCGCGTTACAGTTCGCGAGATACGCGTCCAAAATTGAAAATCAGGGTCCCTTGCGATTGTACGTGACGCGATTCAGCCTCATGCAAGGGACATCTAACTTCGTTTGACAGACGACGCGACTCTCTGAACGTGGAACACTAGTCGACACACGTTCAATCTTCAAGCTTATCCCTTGCTGCGACAACGCGCCAAAGTGGGGGCTGACGATTAGGTCAGATTGACCAGATTGGGATGCTTCAGATGTCCATGTCGTTGGAGTCTCGTCTATGGCGGAAAATGTGGTCCCAAAGACCAGAGAAGAAGATACTACATGCCGCTGAAGGCTATCTCCTGCAAGATTGGAGTTATCGCCAGGATCGTTCGCTGGTAATGGCGTAGATAGATTAGTCGGAGAAACGAAAAATTGAATAAAGTCTCCCGGGCTTGCAACACCAGCCAACTCCTTGGGTTCGGAAAAACGCTCTTCGATTTGACCAGACCATGAGTGTTCTTCTTCCGGGTTATAGCTGACGTGAGGATCCAGGGAGAGCAAACCGCGCTTCTGTCCCCACCCGCCTCCGCCACTGAGCACGCGATGCATATGCGCGCCTGCTTCGATGTACGTGCCAATTATGCTGCTCTGAAGAGGCTCCCAAGAGTCAGAACCCGTTTTGAAAGGCTCTGCTGGTTGGAATATAGTATCTGAACTGGTTTCAGGCCCTTGTCCCTCCTTTAATTGGGAAAACACTGCTCGAGGAATAACTAGAGCCCATACAGAAAGGGCTTGCTGAGGGAGCTTTTGAGAGGCAAAGTACTCTGTGAGCGCTCTCTCGAGTTCTTCGGATGCTGGCACCGATTTATCAAAGATGAGCTGGCGTATGATATTCCCCATAGCAGCACCGAGCTCTCGAGGCGGTGTCACGGCGAATATTGGGACATTGTATGTAGTTTTGGCAAGTTCAGCAGTGGTGCTTTGTCCGGGAAGGTTAATTGCAAGCGATGCTGGCTCGGATTTCTCCAAACATGAGAAACCAGACGAGCCAGGTTGCAATACCCATTTCGAGGTAGAAAGCGTAGATTGGTTTCCGGTTTGGAAGAGAGTGTTCGCAAGTGGCACTTGAATGGCCCTTGAAATTACGGAACGGCTGCCCGGGGCTGGTACGTCCTCATCCTTGAAAGTGAATGATATGCTCGCAGAATGGGAGCTATCTAGACTTCTGCCCCGCTGATGATATTGCTTGATATCTTCAATATCCTCTGAGTTTGTCTCATTAAAATATACTGAGATGCCCTCATACGCTGCAGGATCTAAGCCAGACTTTGAAGCATGCATTACATGGGTGCTACTTCCGGGCAAGCGATCTACTACAGCTACTGCAGCATGGCAGACTGCAGACATTCGTGCTTCGGCGGTGTTTGGTTGCAACACATGGCCTATGAGACGGGATAAGAATTCACCACTTGGCTCCAACCAATGAGCCAAGGACGGAGTTAGTAAGACGATCGCCAGCCATCCTGCAGACTTCCTGGACGTCTGAGGAAGCAACGGAAATATAATGTCAGGTGACTGTGTCTGAAAGTCAGATTCAAATTCGGGAAAAATTTCGAGCTTTCTATTTACTAAGAACACACTTATCTAGCTTACAATTTGTGATGAGGTTGATTTAAGGATAGAGCAACATAGAGGCGGGGCAGTTCTCATTGTTGAGCTCGCCGCCTGGGTGCCATGGCTACGCCAACACGATCCATTGGCGAAGAGGTGACCCACAGTCAGCCACGGCGAGAGATGTGGGAGTGGAGCATATCGATGGGGGTTTCTCAGCGAGAAAACTCGAGAGCCAACATGGCGTAATGGCGGCATGTAGATCTGGATATTTGGAATTTTGCTTGAATTACTCCTCTGCTGCAAACACGTGAAATTGACGGGATTCGTCGCCAAATGAAAACGGGCGGGGAAAACGTCCGGACAATAATAAACTTTGTGATCTAGGATAAACACTGGAGACTATGGGTGGAAGCGGTGCAGGTAAGGAACAGAAAACAACATTTCGACTCGCACAAGGACCAGCCATGGCAAACGCCACATTGAAGTGCAGGCTGGTTCTGGAACGCGCAATAATATGGGTCGGTAGCAGCACAGAGTGTACGACGGGTACATCGAATCAGTACACACACACTCCATTGCATCGTCGCAGCAGCAACGCCCTGCAGCAGAATTATTACAAGGATGCGAGAGGGAAAAAAATGACAAGGCGACCCTGCATTTCACGCGCATCACGGCATCAATGATCCCTATCTCTCTCTGTTTGAAAGGGGCTCAGTTGCGCTCATCTGTATTAATGCCTATCACATTTGCTTTGGACAACTGCTGACGTTCCCAGATGGTCGTCCGTCCATTACCGCCGTGGGAAAACCCGGTACTGGAAGAACTGCAGAGACCACCGACTTACTCAAAATCCAATACCGTTCTCAGCTCAAAGCCCGTTTTTCATCTGCTCTGCCATCCCATGCTGATAATCACCATATCGTGGACCAATTATCATCTGGGGATTTTTGCCCCATCCCACCACCAAAAGTAGGACCCACAGGTGAAGCCATGGGCCGGCAAAAGCACTAAATTTTGCATGGGGAAAGAAACGAGCGCCCGACCCAGAAGCGCCATTACAGGACTCGTACTACAGCGATGTCAATCCGCCCTTTATCTGGCTTACTTTTGGAGTACCTTTAAGGAGCTAGAAATGCTCTCTTCCCTCTATGTGAAAAAAAAAACGGTAGAAGTTCTTTTAGTTGAAGATGAGTTCTCTCTCTCACACTTGTGTGGGTGTATGCTTCCTCCAGCCTCTTGGGCGGCAGAGAACCGTAGGAGAGCGGGGGGGACGAGGGGAGGGGTGCGGTTGGTCCGAGTGACCAAAAATGTTTAGTCTCGTCCTGGTCCCTGAGCGATCTCTCGGCCTTCCCACGTCCTAAGTGACTTGCGCCGACTCCGCGCCGCCATACCGCGAATGACGCGCTCACTCGGCGCATTACGAAGTCGACAACCCCAACTGGGGATGTTGACAGCCACAATGGGAAATTGGTAACCTTGGATACTCCTTTGCCCTTGCCGACCTTGGAAGCGGACAACAAACTTTAAAAGTATGTGGAGAGCAAGTTCTTTTCAATTACGAATGACACTAAAGTTGACATTGAGGAAGAATAACGAATGGGGAAAATAATTTGATCGATAGTTGAGATGTTGCCATCGCTGTAATACCAAGGAAACGGTGTGATCATCTGTCAGTTTTTTGTACTCCTGAATGCATTCCCTATTGGTGTGCCAATTTGCACGCTGGGCGTGGGCGATCGGAAGCTCTCTGCCGAGGCCAAGTGAGACGGTCAGAAGCGTTGTCAGTCGGCGCAGTTGATCTCAGGGCTTCATGCATGATCGGATCAAAATAGCGACGAGGTATCTCCGTTGTAAAGGAGTAAGTGATCGACACCAGTAAGCATCCACCGTTTAGTGTCGTATGTGTCTTGCGAACTGTCCTCGCATAAGTGGCACGAAAGACGCATATGGAAGTAATTAAATCTCTGGTGCCTGGGGAATTTTGCGAAAGGGATCGAGGATCCCCCCGACTGGCCCGCTTCCACGCTGCTCGCAAGTCCGGCTGAGGCGGATTGACTAGGAACAACCCTCCAGGCTCACTCACCCCTACCACTTAGTGTAGCTTCGGTACGAGAAGATAAGTGTTTTGATTGCCGTACTTCGTACAGTCAGTCTTCTACTCTACGAAATTTTATTCCCCCGGTTCTCGAGTGATGATTGATATTCACTTTTAGGGTCATTTGTGGACAAGAGGCAGTGCTATCCCCTAAAAATTCCTCCTTGGCATAGACTCGTATGATGAGGGTCAACGTCAGCTCCCGCTTCGTGGTGTTTTTTTCTTTTTTTTCCCCTTAGATAGTTACCTTATTTTTGGCCTCCTCAACATAGAGTAGTCTCTAAATTGAGTTTTGTCACAAACGTCCAAAGGAAACTAAACGGCCGAAACGTGGACCGTGAGACTTGAGAAGGCGTCAGGGCAAATGGACGGGAGCAGAGAATGGGTGTCCTACTGTACTCGTCTGCGAGGCTGGGTGTGCAAAAGAGGATCTAATTTACTCCTAGAGGTTTGGGGACATGGAAGGTGGGTGCGGCTAAGACCGAAATTGGGCCAAACCTATCAAAGCGCAAGTGTCCAATCTGATCTGGTCATTTGCCCAATCATCGTTTCCCTTTCGCTTTCGTTCCCTCATCCGACCGAAAGTGAAAAGAGACTAACTAGGAGGATCCGAAAAGGTACTTTCGTCCTTTCCGTATCTGCTCATCACCTCTCGAACTACCCTCCATTTCCTCCTTCGTCCCCTTCTCATCCTCTTCCCTCCCCCCAATCCTACCTCCAAGATCTACATCTTGTGAACGCCTCGAAGAACCATTCGAATGGTCTTCGTACACTCAAGGCCCGGTGCCAACAGACATTGACAAAGCTGTTTGGTATTGACGGCCGTCCATTCCTTTTTGTTACACTCTTTTCAACTGCATCTCAATATTCACTTTTGAAACTTACGTGCGCCAATCTTTAATTTTATTGTAGGTTCACACCTGGTTCACCTGCTCAATGATAGCGCTAGGATACTTATATGATTCTCAACAGCAACCTATCTATATTCTGCTTTCATCTATCTCCTCTGCACTGTCGCCATAGCCATTGAAACATCACCCTTTCTCCGCACGACATCGTCCCAATTATCTATCGACTTTTCCCAGGACGTCGAGTTGGATCGCCTACTTCAGATCTGTGGAACATATCTTTTCTTTGGCAGCTGTACATACGTGCTATAATTCTTCTTCATTCTCAACTTGCAGACCCGTTCTCAAGACGCCGAACACGAAAAAAATGGCCGAGGTTTCGCTGGCGAGACAGCAGGCTTACTCGGCTTTGCACGATGGCGGTTCAAGGCTCGAAGGCCAATTTCCCGCAGATTCGATTGTCTCCCCACCGGCACCCAATCCACCTTTCGTTTTTCCAGCCCGTGACGATAGACTCAGCATCGAAGACACGCGTCCATTCTCTTACAATGCTCTCCGACCGTCGGAGAATATCGCATCACAGATACCGAATCGAAGCTCCATGGGTGCTGTACCCGATTTTGTATTTCATCCTTCGCCATCTCAACCAGCAAGGCCCAGCACGAGCGATACTCTTCAGGCTCCAAATCTCGGCGTGCCTATACCGTCGAGACCTGGTGGCCATCGTCGCAGCGGTAGTGAATTCATTGGCGTCAATGGACCTGGTGGTCTGTTAAGTGCAAGCCCTACCGGGGGAATGAACTCATTCTCACTTCCTGCTCCCCCTGCAAGGCCCACAGCCGGAAAGCGTGGTCATGCTCACCGCCGATCTGGTGCAATCTCTTGTCATGACCTCTCCTCGCTGGCCCTAAAGCCAACAGACTCGAATATTGATAACCGAGCGGGAAGCGCTCCAACTACACCCTCAGGCCTTGATGCCAACAAATCTTTCGAAACATGCCAACCCTTCTCTTTCCCGCAAGCTCAGCCGACCGTCCCCACCCCGGATCGGCCATCGAGCCCAACGGCCGGCCCTCAACAGCAGCGCGCACGCGTAGGCTTTTCGGATACCCTAGAGTACATCCCGCGGCCTCCTTCGACTGTGTCTTCAGAGGCCTCGAGTACCCTGTCTCCCAGGTTCAGTCATTCTGTTTCTGGAAGCTGCTCTTCGCAAGTCCTTGGGAGCATGGGCTCGCCTCGATCGAAAGCAGGACGCTCTTCTCCTCAGGCACAGGCTAGTGACATCTCCACCTCCCACAATAATGACAGGCTCGCAAATAACTTGAGCAACTCTCCTACGATGAGCTCTTCCAACTCATCACCTCGTCTTGGACGGCCGGCAACTCCTCGATTTACGACAAGCGATATGCAGGAGGATAATGGTTCAGGCAACGCATCACAACAGACTCCCGCGACTGCAACAGCACCAGAGCTCATCTTGCTTCCGTCGCCCCCAGAATCACCTTTACCCAGCCCGTCGAGTGAGCCCGAGGATGAAGCCATGGATGAATCAATGTCATACCGCGATTCCAAGGTGCAAAAGAAGGAAAAGAGGGTGAAGTCGTGGGCAGGATCCATTCTACCTCGCAAATCCCGTCACCGAGACCAGAAGCTTAAGCCATCAGATGAACCGATTGAGGCTCCATCGATCTTGAGCTACGATTTGTCGGAACCTCCCACTGGGGTCATTTCAGAATCTCTAAATGAGGAATATACTTATTCGAATTGGAAGCCCAAAGAGATCCCTTCGAGCAGTTCAGATGCCATGAGCCCCATTATCGATTTGGATGCTGCACTCGGTCCATTCAAGAGCCCAGGCGACGATCTTGGCCCCGAATTTCGTAGACCTCTGAATGGTGGTTTCCAAGTTGCGAAGAGGCGAATGCACAGCAGTGGCAAGACAGGAGGGTTTACTGGGCCAGGAATGCATTATCATCGACGTGCCGAAAGTGCACCTGAGATGGTTGCTTTCGACTTCAATCGGTCTGAATTGGATCATACAGGTTCAACAATGCAAGATGTTTTTGAGGAGGATGAAGAGACGGACGAAGGTGAAGGCTCTAGCAACACTCGCTCCGTCTCTAGCCCTGTCACTGAGGAGAAATCCGAGGAGAAGGGGCTAGGGATCGATCTTGACGTGGACACTGCAACCGACGTTGCAAACACTCCCGCTGAGCCTGTTTCCCCACTTAGCAAACCACAGCCGGCCTATCATTCTGCTGATGATCCGATTGACCTGAACGAAGGGACAATACTGGAGAGCGAAGCCATACCCTCTGCCACTCCGCTGTATGATGAGGAGGGCTTCAATGAGGTTGGTCTCTCAGAGACTCCCGGTCAGTTCGAGTCTACTAGACCATCACCGTTTCGAGAATCTGCAAGCCGACATCGAATCGGGGTGTCACTTGAGACTGGCCAAATCAGAGAAGGTGCGCGTTCTGTTTCTGTGCCCGAGCGGCTCGGTCTTCCGATGCCCAGTGCTCCATTTCTCGCGCCAGAAACGCCTTCATCGATTTCAAGCTTTTCTCGCCGGTCTTTTGACCAGCAGTCTGCCAATTTCGATGTTTCTCGCCATGGCACTGCGGCATCATCTGTTGCCGAATGTACTACATTGAGCTCACTAGTTTTGGGAGAACCCGGTCCGGAATTTTGCTCATCGATAGATGATGTACCTTCACTTACAAATAGTGATTCTACTATGGCAAGCGCACTTCAAGGCCAGCTTCCCGGAAGTGCCCACTCAGGCCGTTGTGGCGAACGCTCCGTTTCGATTTCTTCGAGCAAAACTGGTGGGCATTCTCGACTTTCGCTCGGTCGTAAGCGTTCGAGCCTTGCCAGTCTGTCGAAACTCGTCAGTCGGTCTTCTTTTGAGAGAAGCAAACTTTCTCTTGAAACCAGAGAACATTCCGGCAACGTCGAGAGTTCAAAGAGCGGAAAATCGAGACGATTCAGTCGCATGATGTCGTTTTGGAAGCCCAAGGAAGCCAGTGCATTGTGAGCGCCTCGCCAGAGGGACAATTTCGCAATGTCCTCGAGAGAGTGTGCATTCGATGTTTTCGGCTTGTTCTTTTTTTGGCAACATGCAAACTCTTATATAAAAGGCTGCTAGTTCCAGGGCTTCTCAAACTGTTGATGGAATAATATGAAGAAACGGATTTGAATTATTGGCGATTTTTTCTTTTGCTCATTTTCTCCCTTTGGAATTTGAAAATAAATTTCAAAACATTTTGCTCATGCATATTGGCCTTGTTCGGCCATTCCTCGCTTTTGAGCAGCGCCTATGAAAGCCCTGCTCATGCCTGGTCCGTTGCGACTGCATAGCTTGCTTGATACCGTTGGCCTTCTTTTCACCTCGACTTGACTCTATCAATCATAGGATCAGGCTTGTTATTTTGCTTCTTCTTGGTTCCTCAGCGATCACTTGGCAGCGTTGCCAATCGAGGATTGCACACAAAGTTCTATTGGCTATCATTTCGTCTTCACTCCGCGACATGGTTCGCTGTTTCTTTGCATTAGTCGTGAGGGGCGTTTTCTCTTTTTTTTTTTTTTTTTAATCCGGGACGCTTTTTGCCTGGCCCGAACTTTTATTTTCGTTTTACCTTTTTTGGGCCGGTGTATTCATGAACTTCAAGCATCTAAAGGAGATTACCATTTGGAGAAGACGTCCAAGTTTTTTCTAGAAAATCTCAATTGCGAATATTAAATGACAGAATATTTCGAAATTTCTCTTCCATTGCTGTAGTGACCAATTGATACTTCGGCTTCCTAGTGCAGGTGATTCTGTGTTACGTATGGATCTGGATATATGACTTGGATATATGCATGTGTTATTCAGCGGGCGCATCTGTTGCACCACAGCTGGCTGTGCATGCATTTTCTGCAATCTGTATCTATACACTATTGTATGCAAAATTTGATTCGCGTTTGAAGCTGATTGTGAACCAAGCCGAGCTTGCATGCTTGTTAAGAGGGCAAGGGATGTCGTTCTCAAATATCATGTATTTATAGCACCATAAAACACCAAATCATCCACAGCATTGCCCACTCAGGACCAAGCTGAAAATTTTCTCAAATCGTCTTGAATATCACCGTTGTCGCTGGTCAGGTTCTGCACGACATAGTCAGATACAACTTTGGACTTTAGCTGGAGCGTTAATGCTCGCGATGGCATACCCTCCGTGTCGCCGTACTGTCACAGTATTCAGTTAAGTCTCGGCCCCCCGGCTCTTCCCGCAACTAGGTCACATTTTCCGACGCTTTGGCAGCTTCCCCCGAGCGCCCATCAACGCTATCAAGAGCGATAGGGTCAGTAATCGAACTGGCCGCATGATCTCTCTTCATAATTCGGTTCTTTCCTAGGAATCAACAATCTCATGCATCCTTGCGCTCTGGATCGGATTGAACCTATATTTTGCTTTTAGCTCGGACCATTTCATATCGTTAGTACATCAGACGCAACCAACGATTGAAATAAAATTCTACTCGCGATAACCGGTTCTATCTTCCCTATACATCAACAATTCAAAAAAAATGTCCTCTTCGCACGGCGCGGCAAAGCGCCTCCTCCAGGAACTCAAGTTTTACAGCCAAGACCCTAATGACGCGCTGATCAGTCTGGGCCCTGTCAGCGATGACCAGTTGTTTCATTGGGAGGCTGTCATGAAGGGAGTCAATGGGACTGCGTATGAAGGTATGTCTTTTTATATTCCCATTTGCTTTTATTTCTGTTTTCTTCGAAGCCTGATATCGCCCCACTTCATTTTTTTCATATGCTGCCTCGGTCAAAAGTTGAAAAACCGACTGCTTTCATTTATTTATCAAAGAGAGTGAAAATGGATGCTGTCCCTACTGTTTATTGATATGAGTTTACCTTTTGAAAATGGCGCATGTGAATCAGAAGAAACAAAGCGGACTACAAGAAGGAACAATCTGTGTTTTGGAGAATTTTTTCCTTTGCTAACTTATTCGACGATTATAGGCGGTCTGTGGAAACTCGATATTCGAGTGCCAGAGAATTACCCTCTTGCGCCGCCCGAAGTCAAGTTTGTCACTCCCATTTGCCATCCGAATGTCCATTTCAAGGTGAGTCTTCGACAGTAATTTTGTGTGTTGCATGCTACGATTGTTTTTTTTGCTATAAGTATTCTGTTTTTGTGTATTTCTGGTACATACGACCATAGACTGAGGAGAACTGGGCATCCCGTCCGCTCTGCCATACATAAGCCTCAGATCGGCGGACTAGTAGTTGGGTCGGTGACGACCAGCGAATCCCCGCTGTTGTATGTTTTTTTGTTCTCTTTTTTTTTTTAATTCCCACACACCAGCAAATATAATTTTTTTTGTTATAGATTGATATATTTATTTAGCGCATGGATTTTTTTTTTTCTTAATTTCATTGAAACCAAAATTTACATTACCACACTTTTTCTTTATAGTCAATTTTCGTTAAATTGACGATTTTCGAGAAAAAGCAACACTGGTATACACGGATCTATGCTCTGAATCTGCTGACACTGCCAAGACTGGCGAAATTTGTCTAGATCTGTTCAAAAGTTCCTGGAGTCCTGCATACACCATTACTCAAACGCTTACGAGTGTGCACCATCTTCTCAGCGACCCAGAGCCAGATAGTCCATTGAACGTGGACATCGCTCAACTTCTGCGAGCAGGCGACAAGCTTGGTGCAGATAGTCTAGTACGATACTACACAAGAGAATTTCGGTATAAGAACTAGAACGCTTGGAGGGGATTAGGGGTTTATACTGCAGCATGTTTCAGTGATTCGAAGCGTGGCGTTGGAGGTCTTGTATAGCATTTTATTCATTACGCATACAACATTCGTTATAATTTGGTATAGTGAGACAGCAAGCAATCTTAGACGGTGCATAGCAAATACCTTCGCTTTTCTGCCTCTCTTTTGTTTGCTTTTTTTTTTATTTCCCTTTCCTATTGTGAGCGACCCTGTCAAACGGAAAGCTCCTTCAGGAGATGCAAGATGTAAGATGCAACTAGTCGAATGGTAAGCGGCGAAGACTAGTGCCTCCCATTCGTTTTTTCATCTCCTGTGCGGCGCCAATGCTGCTAGGCACCTTGATACCGCAACAATCACCCCAGCCCGCTTGTTGATGTACGTGCTGATGCTGGCCATCTTGCGTGACGTCGGCTTCACAACATTCTGTCTCGCTGTCCTCACTTGCCATGCCCAACTCCTCTTCCGTACTCATCCCCTCTACAGCTGGGACAAGGGAGCCAAACATGAAGTGCTGCATGACCGGGAGCTTCTTGAGCACCTCGGCGACAAACATGCGGCGCATGCCACCCTCCACTTTCCCCCAGTTCTTCGCCGCCGAGATGTCGTCCAGCATGGGGCTGTGCCAGCGCAGACCCTCGACATTCTTTACGCTGTTCACAAACCCTACCTGGTCAAGGTAGAGGTAATCCTTGCCATACTCCTCAATAACAATGGACTGATGGATCGACATGGGTCGAATATAAGGGTGGTGGAGCAACTGGGAAGCGCCAATGAGGAATGGAAGAAATTGGTAGTCGTCGAGACCCCACACGCCGTGCGAGCCGGCAGGCTCGAGATAGTAAGTTGTTTGAATCTGCCGCATGAGGCGAAGATAGCGCGGGAAGACGCGGAGTGCGAGATCAGGTAGCGTAGATTCTGGAAGAAGACCAACTCGGTACAGGCAGAGCTGCCATACTATAAAGTTGAGCTCGTGGCCCGATCCATAGTCTATCCGTGTTCGGTTTCCAAAGGAGTGAAGCAGGTATGTAGACACTTCCTCGATCGCTGCAGGGTCTTCAATACCGAGCTTTCGGTGCCATCCTTGGAGTTCGTCGTGGAGCGCGTCAAGGAACACTCGGAAGCCTGGATTGCCAAATCGCGAACCACCTTGTTCTTCGGGCGGGCATTTATTGATGACTTCCTCCACTGAGTCTAGGACTCCCAAGATGCGCTCAACTTCTGGCACGAGCGGTTGCTTTTCGACTGTGGAGCGAGACGTGTCCCGGACGGAATCGCTTAGGTTAAATACAAAAGCGAGAAGAAGCTCATAGGTGGATGACTGTAGAAAGAGGTCATGGTCCTTGTGAGACAGGATCCGTCTCGTAGGTTTAATGTATTTTCGAGCCTGGTTTTCGGCGGCTGAAGAAGGAGGTGGCAATGCGGGAGTCTCTGGCACAGGCAGCGGGTTTGCTGACGGGGTTTGCCGCCTTCGGGGAGTGAGTTTTGGAAGTTTTGAAACGAGCTTTTGAGGGAGTGGAGATATCTGTGAGGGTGAAGGAGATTTCGAGGAGTTCTGAGGTTTTGGAATTGCAGTAGCCATCATTTCACTGAGTATAGAAGTAGAGGTTTGATCAAAGTGCCTTTCTTGTACGATGACCATGTTATTGTAAGCAAGATGCCAGTGACGAGGTGGGGAGCTGGTTCTAGGACTAAAGGAGACCATCCCGGAAGAATACATAATCCGCTCCGGGAAGATTGTCGATTGTTTCAAGAAATTCCCAAGAGCAGCTGCAATACGCAGAACGAAGGAAAAACGGACGCAAAATGACCACAACAACAGCTCCCACTGCGACTGTCGCTCATTTGAATCGTGCAGACGGTTCTGCTACGTATAGCTGCAATGGATATTCTGTTGTTGGCGGTGTGAATGGACCGGTCGAGGTACAAAGGCGGGATGAACTCCCTGAGGAAGCCGCCATTGAGATTATTGTCCGACCAGCGATCGGTGTTGGCAGTACGTTTTTGGACCATCTATTAGATTTTACTGAATATTTTGAGACTAATTTTTGGGGCTAGCTACAAGAGAACGCCATCTAGAGTCAATTCTTCACTCCACGCTTCGTCATATTATCCTCGTCCAGAACCATCCGCGGACTCTAATTCAAATCACTCTCCAAGTCCTCAGTACACCAGAGGGAGATGCTACCGCTACAAAGCCGGCACAAGCTGTTTCGGTATGTAGACTGTCTGGTCGTATCATTTTCTCAGTTTAACAGTTCCAGGATCTGCCTATCCTACCCGCATTGTTTCAGACGTCAATACTCGCTCTCATGTCGGCCGCGATCCCCTTAGGAAAGACTGTCACGTCGACCCTGGTCGCAGTATCGAGCTCAGACGAAATCATCGATAGCCCATCTGCGGCACAGCTTGCAGAAGCTGCTTCTACCCACGTGCTCGCTTTTTCATCCCACGGCGAGCTCTTAGTGAACGAAAGCGAAGGAAGCTTTTCTATAGAGACCTGGGAAAGAGTTTACGAGCAGGCTCAGCGCCTTTGCCGCGGAGAGGACAAGAAAGGGGCTGGCGCCATGGTAGACGGCAGCGAAATGGAGGTTGACCGGGCCGACTGTCTTGAGGATTTCGTTCGAGGGGTCATGCAAGAAAAGACAGTCAAAGAACAGGCATGGAAAGAGGGATTGAGATAGATTTGAGAGAGAGCATTTCAGCCGATGGACCGGTCATATAAATGAGCCGTCGCTCTATCTGCCTCGAGTCACGCCGATCGGGGCTTGTCGCCATGTTCCTCCACCAAATAATATCGTCAATACAGCGCTCAATCCTTGCTCCTGATCAAGTCAGGCTGCGGCACGGTGCCTAACTGTGTTGTGCGCCTCAGTGTTGTTCTGCGACGGGTTATTGGAACCAACCCAGCCACTGCTAGGGGCCCTGGGTAGTGTTGGTACCGGTACATGCGCACCGTACCAACCCTGCTGATCGTCGGTGTGAGCCCGAGGAGCCCGAGTCAATGGAACGGGAACAATAAGGCAGCGGTGGTTTTAGGCTTTCCTTATGTCTTCCCGTTCCCTTTGATTTCTTGGCTCCCGCGGTTGGTGCTAGGGCCAGATCGACCAGACGTGGGTGGGCATATATTTGCGACATCGAATTCCCCGGGGAAAATGCATGATGCTGGTCCAGTTAGGTGAAGGGTTGGTGTCAGGTCACATGGTTCACGCCAAGGACATTCTGAAAATAGAACTTAGAAATGTTATTTGCAAAAAGGAAATAACAACAGATGATAGAATCAAGAGTATCATAACAGATATTACTGTCTCTGGCGACGCTCGAGCCACAAAAAGCAGAGCGACCCTGCATCATAGCGTCCCGGGCCGTGGATATTGTTGATACATCACATGCTTTGCCACGTTCCACCCTACTGTAGTTAACCTTCCTTCGAGATATAATTGGGAGCGCACAGATACAGACGGTCTGCGAGATAAACAGTAGATGTAGCTTCTGCTTACTACCGCGAAAGGGCCCACTGAGACTAGGAGTCCACCAAGTATAACTAAGTTACCTTAGTTATAGCTTCGTAAGCGACATATTACGGTCGGGGTGCGAACTGGGGGGCCTCGGGGGTCCCGGGGATAGTCTTCTTATAGAACAGATTTCATGGTTTCAACAGTGGCGATTTATTATTAGTTCCTGCATCGCAACGCACAATAAAAATAATGACGGGCCATCGACGAATGATGACGATTACTTGAGAGCTCCGTCTCACAAACCAATCGAGTCGTGTCATTCTGGCACATGGGTTCCTCGAGCTAGATACTGTTGGTAAATGCTACTGTCTTTCTTCCTCTCTCTTGCATCCGTGATGGGTCTTGTTCTGCAGGGTGATGGCGCGGGGGCTTGTGATGGCAAGAGTCTTGGTCTCATCACAAAAAATTCCAAGGCAAGCAAATGAAAGAAGAGCAGAGGGAAGACAGATGGGCTATCCTTAGATTTTGTTGGACCAGCAGCCCATGCAGTTGACATATTGTTGTGATTCCTACTCACGTTAGCCAAAGCTCAGGTAAGCCCAGGCGCTCCCTCGGAAGCCTAGGAGTAGGCCAGGTGAAACCCGCCATTAGAGTGTCGTTGGTGGCTGCCTTTTTCTCCACCCCTCCACAGCACCAAGGAGCCATCTATCTACTAACTTGCCGTGGTTCTGGCAAGTTATACGGAGTTACTTACGTACTAACTTGTCGCCGTTCAGTCATCGATTCGCACTTATGTCCTATCTCGGCCCTAATTTTCGCCCTCCGATGCATCTTTTGCTGCTACCACCCTTAACTAAATCGATAACGAAGGAGACCGTCCCTTTAGTCTCCACATTGATGCTTCTATCTTATTTGAACCCCACAGGCCATCACGCCTTCTCTGGCTTTATCATCACACTTCCTTTTCCCTTATTTATATTATCGTCCTCTTCGAATCATCTCAACCCTCTTCTTGTCAGCGCTCATCCCGAGATATCGGGTTCATTCAAGTTTGATGCTAACTACTTTTGCGTGTGCCTTCCGCTTTCGGCTGACAAAAGACCCGATTCCTCAAAAGGGGAGATTTTTTATCTGATCGGACGTCATCAGGCAGTTCCGGTACATTGACGGCCCGTACAAGTCCAGTAACTGTACAGTGCAAAACGCCGTCCCCGGTCTCTCTCGCCGATCGCTAATCGACCTGCACGGAGGGTACCCGCTGACCGAGAATTTGGGATTATTTTTCATCTATTTTCTGAAATTCTCTAACGCTTACCGTGGGGTGAGGTTGTGCGTGGATTGAAATTATTGGTTCATGGCAACCTCATCCTCACCTCCTCTTCGTCCGTGGATGAACATGCAGGATCATTCTCGTCGCCCTGACGTGGCGGCTGCCGCTATGGCAACTCAATCGTTGACTTTGAACAGACCGGATATGGGTATATCCGCAAATGGCGATATCTATAGCCCGCAGAGGAATGTGGTGCCTTCTGCGGCAAGCAGCGTGCGACGAGAGCAAAATAATAAGCAACTGGGTCCATTGGATACCACCGCGGACTTTCGTGGATCTTCGACAGCGTTGGATGAGCCTTTCAGTTCAATATCAACGGCCACTACGCTAGCAACGTATTCGCCAAGGTCTACCAACGTATCCCTTCCCCTGTCCCCTGCTTCGCCTTTTCAGTCGTCCAAAACTTTTATCGATAATCGGCAGTCGGCATCTGTGAAAGAGACCGCCACATCTGGTTCTGCTCCCATGCCGATTACGTTGCCTAGGTTGACGGCGACATCGCCTGACACCAAAGGTTTCGCGACTACTCCATCTCCCACACTCACGTATAGAGAAACCAACGGCACCACGCCTCGTCCGATCCTATCATCGACCTCTTCTGTGCAGCGCCGACCTGATCGCTTGCCCGTCCTGCAACTCGACTCAAGCAAAGGAAACGGCTTATGGCCTGGTACCAACGATACACTTCAATCGCCTTGCTTTTTCCATCAGCGCTTTGATGACGCCGTGGATGTTCACAAGGTGCTTGAAGAGATTGCTGGGGATGAGTGGATGTCACACTCGAGACTGATGCAAACCGCCACGGGCGTGCGCGAGGTTTCGAAACAATTGCAGCGCCGACCCATTAAACGGGCCGTCAAGAATGTCATGATTGTGACCAAAGCCAGAGACAATCACCTGATAACTCTGACTAGAGAATTAGCAGAATGGCTGATGAAAACGCCAAGATATTCATCAGATTTGGGAGTCAATGTTTATGTGGACGAAAAGCTGCGGCATTCGAGAAGATTTGATGCGGCTGGTCTATTGGAGGTGGAACCGCGATTTCAACAGATGCTCCGATATTGGACGCCTGATCTCTGCTGGGAGCAGCCTGAGAGATTTGACCTCGTCCTTACGCTTGGTGGAGATGGAACCGTACTTTTCACCAGCTGGCTCTTCCAGCGCGTTGTACCGCCCATTCTGAGTTTTAGCTTGGGCAGTCTGGGCTTCCTCACCAATTTTGAATTTCCTTGCTATAAACAAGATCTGGATCGGATTATGGGTTCCGAGGGCATGCGAGTCAATCTTCGTATGAGATTCACCTGCACAGTACACCGGCTGCGGGCGGATGGCACCAGCGCTGCGGGCGAGCAATTCCAAGTACTGAACGAACTTGTCATTGATCGCGGACCGTCACCCTACGTCTCGAATCTCGAGCTTTATGGTGACAATGAGCTGTTGACCGTCGTCCAAGCCGATGGCTGTATTTTCTCCACTCCGACAGGTGAGTATCTTGATCCTTTTGATGTTTATTTCACTTGCAAATCACTGATCCTTGAAGGCTCTACGGCTTATTCGCTCTCCGCCGGTGGCTCGCTTGTGCATCCCGATATTCCTGCCATCCTACTGACCCCTATCTGCCCTCACACCCTCTCATTCCGGCCAATGCTCCTGACGGACACCATGCTTTTCCGAGTCTCAGTTCCGCGACAGTCTCGTGCCACGGCGTACTGTTCATTTGATGGCAAAGGCCGGGTAGAGCTCCGCCAGGGCGATTCTGTCACCATCGCGGCGTCCCAATATCCCTTCCCAACCGTATCATCTCAGCCAACTGAATGGTTCAACAGCGTCAGTCGGACGCTGAGGTGGAACACGCGTGCTGCTCAGCAAAAGGCATGGGATGGAGAGAATGCTGACGCCGACGGGGAGACGTATGACATTGACACGATTGATCCGCTTACTGCAGCCGGTGTCATACATCGCCGTCATCTCAAGCCTCAAAGTTCATTGTATTAAGGGATACATCTAGTTGGACTGATCTTGTGTCTAGCTTCTTCTGTTTTTATATTATGTGACCGAATGCACCGGCCAGCATTTGATGGCGTTGGATGAAGAAATGAGCGCTGGGTTATGTCATTTTCGGGGTATATTGGTTTTATAGTATTCTATAGACAATTTGTGATATCCTTAGAATAATGGGAAGTTCAATTACATACCATAAAAAAATTCCAAGGATGGTGGTGCCTTGGTACTACATCTAGTGCAAACATCACTAGTATGCGGTTATGGCTTTGAACTGGGCACGGGCGGTCTAATCACCACAAGGCGGCTTTAACCGAGACTAAAGTTGAATGAGGCTGCTTAAAGGACCATTTCAGATTTGCGACGCTTCGAAGGCAAAACAGCAGCCACATATCTTAATATATCTTAAGCAAGTCGCTGATATATTGTTTACGTTACCGCCGACAGGAGTTTTCTTAACGACTCTATTGGTCGCTCCGGGTGCCGGTTGATTAATTAACTTCTTCCCAGCAAAAAATGTGAGTTTGGCGCTGGTTCCTGCTTGTTGATGTCACGCACAACTTTGCTCTCTACCAGCTACCAAGGTGGCCATTAATTAGCCATTTTCAATGCTGACTCGAGTCATTGGCATTCCAGGCAATCCATTCGCCATACAATAGTCCGCGCCAATGCGTCGGCGCTGCCACAAATCGCCCTGTCATCACTCAAGCAACGTCATTTCCTCACCATCGCGGCCGCACCCCGAACAATTGAGAACAGCCGGAGAATTTTAACTATTAAGAGTCGGGCGCAAAAAAGATGGGCAAGCGAAGATGCCACGGTCGTGTCCAAAGCTCCGGTCACAGAAAAGCGACCGGCAGCGCAAGAGCAGGAACAGGAAGCGCAAACGACTCCTTCAGAACCGGCAGCTCATGCAACTACCCCAGCGCCTGCACCTATTGACCAGCATACGTCTACCCCTGCGAACAGCGAGAGTCAAATCGAACAGACATCTCTAAATATTACAGAGCCGGCTGAGCTTACGCCTCAGTCGAGCAACGCCGCAGCCAGCACTGATGCTGCTGCTGCTGCTGCTGCTGCTCCAACGGCTCCTTCCTCCTCAACTAGCGAGGAAGGCGTCCAGGACACTGCGTCTGAAGTAACCTCACCTGGTGGAGTAGCCAAGGAAGGCTTCCGGACGCTCTGGATTGGAAACCTACCATTTAGAATGAGTGTTGATGAGCTTAAGGAAATTGTAAATGCCATTGCTCCTACCACTTATGCTCGGATATTAAAGGATACTTATGGTCGGAGCAGAGGGTAGGTGTCACACGTTTCTACGTTTATTCTCATTGCATGGCTAAGATTTGGTTGCGAATGAAATAGATTTGCCTATGTCGACTTCGAAACCCACGAGGAGGCGCAAAAGGTCAAACATGCTCTCATCAACCGCAAGATCCACGACAGGGTGGTCCAGGTTAACTTTTCTCGTGGTCCGCAAGCATTGCCCACCAAGGACAAGCCGCTGCAAACAGTCAATCCTCCAAGCAAAGTGCTCTTCATTGGAAACATTCCCTACGATGCATCGGATAAGGACTTGAATGCTCTTTTCCGACCAGTGAAAAATGCCATCGAATTTCGAGTCGCGATTGATCGCCAGACCGGCCATCCTCGAGGTTTCTGCCATGCTGAGTTTATCGACACCCCGTCGGCCAAGGAAGCATTCGAGTATTTCTCAGCGAAGTCTTTACATGGCCGGCAGCTTAAAGTCGATTATACCCACCAGAGAGGACGAGCAGGTTCAAACCGTCAGTTGAACCCCACGCGAGACATTGGACCTGGCAAATCAGATGCAACTCAGGAGTAAGAGACACTTTATTAAGTGAATTACAGCCCATCAGGCTTCAAGCTGCTTCCTCTGTTTTACTTTGCGCGAGATCTCCACTCCTGGCTCTGCTTCTACTGTTTACCGCCATTCCTTCGACATTTGCCCGCGCTCGGCCCTCAAATCTGGTATTTTCCCGCCTTTGTTATTGTAAAGCACGCTTGGTGAAGGGATGTGGGATTCAGACGCCGTTTCTGATGAGATGGTCGAAGTCGTTTTGTTTTGGTCTTTTCATAGCGAGGCATTGCATAAACGTTTGAATATTTCCACACATGTCCTCTTATACATATTATCTGCTTTCCTCTTTTTCTTTTTTGGTGTCAACAAGAGCAAACATGTATGCTCATTTCACTCATGGACTTTGGCGTTTACTTCTTTGGAAGTTTTCTGAAGAAAGAAAAAGTGATTAAGTTTGGTTTCATCAAAAGAAACTCCGCGGCAAGCTAGCAGTTTCATATTTCCTTTAGTACATATTTCTCTTTCTCTGTGATATATATATTTTATTTGCCGAAAATATCCTGATCAAAAAGATTGGAAGCTTCTAATCCGGTGTTATTGGAGTGCTAATTGTGCATCTGAGAATCCGTGATGATAAAGGGGTTTCAGCTCATTGATGGCTGATAGGCGACTTTTCGGGTTATGTACCTTACTCCGTACAAAGTACGGAAAGTACTTTGGTACTTTTAATCTTCCCCACATTAAAGTCAAGTCCCTTGGCCGCCTTTTGCCCTTCGGGACCCCTCGGTCTCGACCGATTCCGGCATGCATTGCCGACCAGCCCGCATGTGCTCACTAACACTGTCCGCGGGCGAGTAGATACGGGCATTAATAACATAACTTCAAGCTCAGAGGTGAAAAGACATCGACGTTCCTTCCTGAGCATTATTGCATATACTTGTCATTTCACATACACTCGCGCCCACAATGTCGTTTCTAGGCGGGCCTGAGTGCTCAACGGCGGGCAATCCGTTGACTCAATTCTCCAAGCATGTTCAGGACGACAAGTCATTACAGCGAGATCGACTCGTGGGACGAGGCCCAGGCGGCCTTCCGCAAGGTCTCAGGACTCAAGGGATGATGGGAGGTCAGGACCAGGTTGGTGCTCTTCCATCTTATTCCTATATTCGCATGTGTTTTCAGCATAGCATGGCGCTCAACGTGAAGCTATGCGGTGGCGACAAGCCCGTAATTGTACGGGACCTGAATTACGGGCTAATTTGAGGTCATAGATGATGGATGATTTCATTCAACAGTCTGGTCAGATTCCGCAAGGCGTGGCGTCGCCCTTTGCCATGGATCAGATGCGGCGGGAGATCGAAAATTACTCACATAGTCCTTTGCGATCCGGATCTCCTGCAAACAACTGGGCGGCTGAATTTCAACCTGGATTGGATGACCAAGCTCGGATGCAGGCTGCTTTTCAGCAGTCGCAGCGCCGGGGGTTCAGTCCGGCCGAATTTGCACGATTTCAGCAGAGAACGCCCGAACGAGTTGCAAGTCCAGCGCCACAAGCATCGAATGCAGCAATGCAGGGCTTCCAGCGACCGCTCGGCATGAATTACGGCATGAACATGGGACTCGGAGGCATGGGCATGGGGATGATGAATCGACCATATAGCGGCCTTGCCACACCTCACGTGGGCGAAGCCGATGCTCAGACCAAAGGAAAAGGACGAATGGTTGAATTAGACGACCATGATTGGGAGGCTCATTTTGCACAGCTTGATGCAGAGGGGCAGCAGCGAGAGTTGGATGCAAAGGCGAATGCCGCAATGGAGGCAGAGCTCAGCGATCTGGACAGGTCAGTCCAAACCGAGACAAACGAATTTGGTGACTTTGAGGGTATATGGAGGAGCATTCAAGCTGAGAAAGCGGCGAATAGGCACATGGCGGATAACCAAGACTTTGCAACAATTGCCAACGAACCCACCGTGGACGACCTCGACGACTGGGGTGGCTTCGACCACCCCATCAACACGCATCCCGTTGGCTACCGCGATCCCCAACTCGGCGAGTACATGTTCGAGGACGACAACCTATTCGACGACATTGCGGACCCTTACACGGAAGGCGTACGGATTATGGAGGGCGGTGGAAATCTCTCACTTGCGGCGCTTGCGTTTGAGTCTGCAGTCAGGAAAGATCCCATGCACGTACAGGCTTGGACGATGCTTGGCTCGGCGCAGGCGCAAAATGAAAAAGAAACACCAGCCATCCGTGCTCTTGAGCAAGCACTGCGCGTCGACCCCAACAACCTCGAAGCCCTCATGAACCTCGCCGTGTCCTACACTAACGAAGGATACGACGCAACTGCCTATCGCACGCTCGAGCGCTGGCTCGCCACCAAATACCCACAAGTCATCGACAAAGCCAACTTGTCCCCTGACGCCGACGTCGGTTTCACCGACCGCCACAAGCTCCACGAAAAGGTCACGGACCTGTACATTCAAGCCGCCCAGCTCTCGCCCTCTGGCGAACAGATGGATCCCGACGTCCAAGTCGGGCTCGGCGTCCTCTTTTACGGCGCCGAGGAGTACGAAAAGGCCGTCGACTGCTTCACCGCCGCCCTGACCTCTACCGAAGCCGGCCTCAGCAACAAACAAGGCCAGGTGCACCTGCTCTGGAACAGACTCGGCGCTACGCTCGCCAACTCGGGCCGCAGCGAAGAAGCCATTGCCGCGTACGAAAAGGCCTTGACGCTCAACCCCAACTTTGTCCGCGCCCGGTACAACCTCGGCGTCTCCTGCATCAATATCGGATGCTACGCCGAGGCAGCGCAGCACCTGCTCGGCGCCCTGTCCATGCATAAGATTATTGAGCAAGAAAGCCGTGAGCGTGCCATTGAGTTTGCCCGTGCAGGTGGCCGTCCCGTCGATGAGTCCTCGCTCGATCATATCATTGCTCAGAACCAGTCGACGAATCTGTATGATACGCTGCGTAGAGTCTTCACGCAAATGGGCCGCCGAGACTTGAGCGACCGCGTCGTACCTGGCATGGACGTTGATGTCTTTAGGAGCGAGTTTGAATTCTAAGCGTCCTTTTGTCTGTCTTTGTCTTCTCATTTCTAAAACCTTTCTTCTCCTTCTTTCCTTCCTTCCTTCCTTCCTCGGGCTTGGTATATAGAAGCGCTTCTATCGTTGCATAAGTCTCCTTTCCATTGTATCTCTCATGATCATCTTATGTTCCCCCCACATCTTTCCCATCAATTTTCCTTTTTTTTGGGGGCGTTTCTCTGTTTCTCCGGTTCCCGTTCATTTTTCTTATTTTTTTTCTACAATACTCCATGGTACATTGATACGGGTATGATGACAATGACAATGACGGTGATCTCTTTACTTTTACCTTTTTCTTGTTTTCTTTTTCCATTTTCTTTTGTATCCTCGGTTCTGTGAATACGTTTGCCAAACCCCGCAGATGAAGGTGATAGAAATCAAATCTGGATCTGAATGTACAAAGGCTTGTTTGAAAAGAAATACGGTGTTAAATCTTATGCCTATATTATTCGATGACAGTGTTGTTTCTTGCTAGCTACATCAGTCTATCTACATGGTTTACCCAAGGGGATGAGATTTGACTCGGACTTGTAAACAAGGGTTGTCTGTCTGCAACTAGAAGACCGCGTAGAGTTTCCGTGGGAGATGAGAATGATTTGGACGCTGCATGGAAAATATGCGTGGTGCTATGGATGTATGAATGCCGTGAAGATGCAGTTGTGATGCAATGCATTGAATGAAAGGGACAATTTAGGATGCTGAAGGTTTTGATTAAAAGAAGACACGAAAAAGAAAAAGGAAAGGGTGAAAATAAGGAAGAGAATAGAGGAACAAGACAGGAAAATATGGAAAGAAAAGAAAATAATAGAATTGAAAAAAAAAAAAAAAAAAAAAAGGGAAAATGGAAAGAAAAGGAAAGAACAGAAACGCCAGACTCTGATGCAATTGCTTGCGTGACATGTGACCAGTTTGATGATGTGAATGTTTTCGCCATACTCGATATAAAAATAACAATTAACAAGGAGAGGAAGAAAAGATGCTGACTGATTGCGCCGAAAGTGTGAATTCGAAAGACATAATGCATGATACAACTCCGAAAGATGAAGGATCGATTGCTCGTAATCAGTTGTATGAGAAGTCGTAGTGACGTTAGTGGCATAGAAATGTTGAGAATGCCCGTCGTTGGAGGATATCAGTGGCATGGGAAAGCCCGTGAGGCTTCACTTTAACCACTGCCCTGCATGTGCTGTCCCTCTTCTTTGGCCAAGCATTCAAAGCAACACACTTCTCCCTCGACGCCTCGCTCAACGCAGCATCGACTGCAAACTTTTCTGCCAATGGGTCCAACGCTACCGGGGTCCACGGAGCTCAGATCCGACCGGGGCACACCGCAGCAGTCTCCCTCGCATTCTCGAAGGCAGACATAACATGTACGCTCTCCACAAGCCTCGCAGTCTGCATAACAATCTAATTCTTCTTTCCTCGTTGGCCGTCGGAAGCAGATGTGGCAGTTGTCTAGGGAGACTCGTTTCGGCTTCGGCGAGGACCCATGCGGCAGGTGTTTCGTCGTAGATGCGGAGCTAAACCCGCTGGGAGCGTTGTTGTTTGAAGAATAGATTGAGGTTGGGGATCGTAGGCGTCGCATACGCTTGCGTATCAGTGAGGCCGCTGGATGGGCGGCATGACCAGGAGCATGGATCTGGCCATGGGGATGAAAGTGGTGATGGGAGGGAGTCGTCGACAAGCCAGAATGAAGTTGAAATGAAGACTCGTGTTCTTGGCTGAAATTTGACAGAGGCGATTGTGGAGATAAAACGTCTGGATATGTAGGGGGTGAGTTGTTGATAGTATACGGAGAGGATAACGATGCAGGAAGCGGCGGCGGCCTAGACAGGGATCAAAGGGTAAAAAAGTCAGTTTGATCATGCACGAAAACTCCCAAAGAAGGAAAAAGAATATTTCCTGAATTTCCGTCATAGAGGTGACTCACTTTGAGATGTTGCTTGGCTCGTTTCCAGAGTGTTGATCTCTCTTCCGTTTCTTCGAACTCGGGGGCGAGTTCATCCGCAGGTAAGCCGGGGAGAATGAGCCCATTGAGTTTGGAGTATTGCATGCATCTTCCGGCCCCGGAGGGCCAGGAGGGATATACATGATGAAAAGATGTTCCGTTTGCGGTCGCAGGTGGAGAGTTGAGATGAGAGTGGCAAGGAAGAAGGAGGAGGTTGATGATGATGATCCCCCAGAATGGTTCACTTGAGGTTTAACTTAGCGATTAGATGGACCAGGTAGTAGAGACAAAGTTAACTACCGGTGTTTCGGCAGGGTTCCCTCGCGTGTCACCCCTCACACCATCCCCTGACGACAACTCTAGTTAAAAGTTTAAGCTCAGGAACTCGCTATAAGTTAACTAACTAAGGTCCCCCTTTCTTTTTCTTTGCGTAGTATTTTCAGCCAATCACTATCTTTCTACTCTGGAGATCGGGATTCTCTAAACCGATACGTGCAGTATGTTATGTTACATGACAATCGATTTAATATCCAAAGCTGCCCGAGTTCCTATAAGATAGTAGTACTCTATCCTTTTTGCGCCGTGTTTCAAAAGCGTTCCATTGCTCGCAAAGATCCCCATCCCAAGTGCTACCGCCGCTAACACGGAATTCTTCCAGCTTAGGCATCAGATCTCTGAGGCGCTGAAAAGCATCATCGATTGTCATGGAAGTCTCCGCTGAACTGAGCTGGAACCTCCATACCGTGTCGAGAAATAGTTTCTCCATATTGGCCCAGGTAGGATTGTCGCCGACCAGGATTTCCGCGATTGATATGTTGCCGGAGAGGTCGCAATGACGCAAGTATCTGCAATGCATGCCTAGCATCTGAACTGTCTTGTGGGTTAAGCTGGCAGTACAGAGAGGAAGGACAAACTTTTTCAAAAGTGGTAAAGCAGAAATGACGGCTTGCATATCCTCGTCTGTGAAGTCGATGCCTTCTAGTTCTGCTTCGGCTCCCGTTTCTATGGCTAGAACTGTCAAAAACTTGCACTTTTCCGCGATATCGAACAACTGTTGTTGATATACATAGTGACACCCGGATTGTAGAACCATGCGGCACTCCCTCAATCGCGGAAACCTCGCAAGATGACAGAACTGAAATTCACCTGGCGCTAGCACCTGCACATTCAACTCTTCAAGTGAAGGGACTCTTCCGCATAACTTCTTGAATGATTCAGTCGAAATCGAGATTTTCAAACCTCGCAGGTGTTTGAAATTGGGTCCAGGCTCTGCAAGCGCTTCCTCCATCCAATGGCCGGGCACCTCACCGAGGCCAAGAATTTCAAGACCAGGTCTCTTGGCGAGATGGACCACGACATCGCGCGTGACAGCCTTTTCAAGCTCGGAACGCAATTGTAAGTCAGTTATGGATGGTGTTGACTCGAGAAATCGTAGAAGTCCATCGCTGCTTATGCCATCGCGAAAATTCTCTATCATTACCTTTCTGATTCTGGGACATTTGCGCTGCGGATTTATTAGAATTATCATACTCAAAAATAAGCCACTGGGCCGTACCTGAAGCATTTCGAGAAATCGATCGCTGAGGGAGCCACCATAGAAAGTGAGTTGTATGAGTCGAGGCTGAAGAAGATTCTCCATATCCCGCTCAACCTCACCAACAAAGGCATCGAAACACAGATACCTTAATCGAGGGAAATGCACTCTGTTTAATATCTGCTGATACGTTGTAATCTGTAGATTTTTACCCTCCTCTTTACGTGTTTCCCAGATGAAATTGACCATCTCAAGCCTTTGCACATGCTTGGCATACCATTGCAGGCGTTTATTGTTGTGTGCCGTGGATAGGAGGTGCTCAACTCGTGCATTTCTTTGCTTTTGTTCTCCTCCCCTCCAGTGAACTGGATAATTCTTGTATCCCACCTCTCGCCAAAGAAACTGAGCGGCTTCCCCAAACCAAACAGAATTGACCCGAATACAAGAATTCAACGATGGATAGTCTTCATCGCCTCGTAGAAAGCTAAATATCTCTGCCAGAATCTCTGGGAGTCGAAGAGCTTTCTCTTGTGCAGACATGTTGACGATATAGATCGATTATCAACCAAAGACAGCTAAGAATGAACAACGACGTGACATGTGTTTTGCTTTGAGTGCAAAAGTTCGACAGCAGAGTCCAAAACAACAGAGAAGGCAATTGAGCAGTGCTCGCTGCTAAGCACAGGAGTCAAGGGCGCGCAACTGACTCTAAACGTGGCGTGGAAAGATAACTTAAGGAACAATGAGGCAGCGAAGATGTTGATCGAAGGAGGGCAAAGGCAGAACTGCCACCAAGGATCATGAAATAAATAATGTCACCATGAGAAAGGTGATGGTAAGGGAGATGAGTTGAGTGATCTGGATGACACGTTGTAAGTGAAGCTTTCAACAAATTTGTTTATTTGGGGTGGCTGGGAATCAAAAGCAAACAACCTATTCACGCAGACGCTGGTGAATTCACTTCCACATACATCCCCATTGGGTTGAGCTGCACAATTAAGTTCGACCCACAGGCTTTGTGTAAAAGTTTTAACCCCTCCAGCTTACGATTTCTATGCAGTACAGTCGAGATGACTGGATATGAAATAACGGTCTTAGAAAGGCAGGGAGATAGTAATGTTGATTTTTCATTAGCCATGTAATCATGTTCGATTATTCCTGTGCGACAAGTATGCAGTAGATCATCTGAGCACAATAAGCAAGTAGACGGCAATACAAAGCCAGAATCTGGTCTCACGTGCGCCACTCCTTTGTGCTCTTGTCACTGCAACTATGATAGGGAATATGCAATATCTAATTGTCTCAGCAGACATCGCACTGACTGCAGTTCGGGATTTTTTGAAACCCTTTAACTATATCAGAGCCGGAACCGAGTTCAGATAGTTGAGCGAGGGTGCAATTCCAGGCTTTCAGCCAGTCAAAATGGCTGCCATCCCTTTCATTTTGACAGAGAGAAGCTTTGCTCGCAGTCGTCAGTTCTTTTCTGCTGAAAAACGGTCCTCGAATACGGATTGTAGGTTCAATCGGATATCATTTTGAAATATGATGACATATCCAGGCCATTTGCCTTTTGTACTCCATCCTCTGCAAATGTCCATCATGAGTAATGAGGAAAAGAAATGTCCAAATTGTCCAGCAAATGTAGGAAAGCCTTCTGAAAGTCTCATACCTCCTTTTGGAGGTTCCACATGGCTCGTGAAGTCAATCAACTGCCACGGCCCACAATCGTCCAACAAAACGATGCAAGTTGGAGCCAAAGACAACATTTAATTCTAAATGAAAAGAAAGGAAGAAAAAGAAACCTTACGGTGAGAAGCTAGCCAGTCGCTGTGCACATGCTCTGCCATGGTATATTTCCAAGCCCTTTGGGTATATTGATGCCGTGCGCGGTCCATGTCGCTAAACAAGTTTCGAAAGTCCAAGCAAACACTGCTTTCAACCAATGTCGTTTCCGGCCCCAAATCGCTCCTTCAACCACCGTCGCAATCCCATTCATCATGAAAAATAGGGCAATCCTCTCCAAACTTTCGGTCTTCATCATCGCTGCCAAAGGATAGATATGGAAGAGAGCCATGAGCCCAAAGGCTCCCATAACGCCCAGACTGCGTGCTAAAGGTGCGGGCAGGCCAATGCGAGCAAAACCGTGTCGGAGCGGGAAATAAGCCAGAGTCTCGCACGGTGCAGCAAAAGCATTATGCCAAGTCTCGCTCCAGAAGCCTGTCAAGCTATCGGCGAGATACAGTGGCCCAAATAATGCTGGACTATTGGGGTACCGCAGTACCAATTGCATGGAAGTCCAGATGATGTATATTGCAAGAAGCACCTCCCAGGCCAAGATCGTGGAGATTTGAGGCATGGCCTGCAGGACGAAGAACGCTACTGTATGAACTCCAAGCTGGATCGGTTCTGAGAACTTTTCAGCTTCATGTGGAACACGAACCCGATTTGGAATGAAAGACTCATAACGCAGCTCAGTCATTATTATGAGCGCATATAGTGCGTCCCCTGGTCGTGGTGAGGTCTTGTACTTTGGAGGTGCTCGTCGCCGAACAAGAATGTCCAGCATCTTCATACTTCCAATTCCGACTAATATAAACATCAATAAAACATGAGCTCAAGAGAAAATCCCCGAAAATCCTACTTACTGTAGAACCTCTGTAAACATTGCGACACCCCACAATGGAGTGGGGTGAAGTAGGAAGATGCGAATAGCGTAGCAATCGATCCAAAGTTCAAAACTAAGAACAATGCATTATGTCTTTTAACAAGCGCATAAATCGAGAGATACATAGTGATAGCCCCTGGTAACAAAGAAAGAGTCATTCTCAAGTAATCATTCGCGACAAGTTGCAGTACCAGAGGCAGTATCTCCGGCGAAGGCGCCGTGACATTCATTTTTCTTGATTTTCGGCCTGACACAGCTAAACAAGAATTCAAACAAACAAAAAAGAATGCAAAATGAAAGAGATGTTCAAGTTGAGTATCATCAAGAATCCGCAATGCGTTACGGCCTGAGATGTTTTATGCTGGTGCTTGTGCGGCTGGCGGCTGACGGCTGACAGTTTGATAATGCCGAGGATCCGCCGAATGATGTCAAACTTAAGGAGACAGCAGCTAAGCTGTCAAAAAACAAAGACGTTACGTGGAAAGCCTCGCCATAAAGGAGAGGGATGCACTCTGAAGGTGTCGCTGGAAGATCCACCGGTGAGCAATAATAGAGCAATAAAATGGAGCTCTATATGAAAGAGGCCGAAGGTCAGCATCTGATAAGTCATAAACCGCTAGTGAGCTATCTAATCTGATACGCTCTCTTAGATAATCAGAGCTACTCCATGTTTGACTTAGCTCGCCCCGTTGTGATCGTCAGTTCTACCACATGGCTGCAGCTCCTGGTTTTCGTGCATATTGATACTTGAAATATTTCTTTCTTAGGATGAAGCCGCTTGACCTGTTTTCAATGTAGGATCATTATAATTGCATAATATTGTGTCTGAAGTTGTATTTTCCTTCAAATTGCTCTCACTTGCCCTATACTTGCGGATGGCGTCATTTCTCACGTGTACTCCTGAACTGCTTGAACCCCAATTCGTGTGCTCCTCATTGATCACCTCCTCCAACGCAAGAGGTCGTTGACATTCGCAATGGCAGCTCAAACTGGAGCCCAGATTATTGCTAAGACATTGCGAGATCTTGGTGTTACGGTTTTGTTTGGAATTGTCGGAATTCCAGTCGTAGAGATTGCCGAGGAAGCTATCAGCTTGGGAATCCGGTTTATTGGCTTTCGCAATGAGCAGGCCTGTAGTTATGCTGCAAGCGCATATGGCTACCTGACTGGCAAGCCAGGTGTCTGCTTAGTTGTTGGGGGTCCAGGCGTCTTGCATGCTATGGCCGGAGTGCGTATCCTCTCTTCATTTGCCGCATATCTTTCCATTGCGTATACCTTAATGTACTAAACTGTCTGTACAGATTGGGAATTCTCATGCCAATGCATTCCCCCTTCTTGTGCTGGCCGGCTCAAGTGAGACACATCTTCTCAGCAAAGGTGCATTTCAAGAGCTGGACGCCGTCTCTCTGCTTACACCACACACTAAGCTCGCTATTCGCCCCCCTTCTTTGGATTCAATACCTCAAGCTATGCAGAGTGCTTACAGGCGCTCTCTGTATGGCCGGCCTGGCACAAGCTTTGTGGACCTACCAGCCGATTTGATCCAGGGCACCCTCTCAAATCCGGCCGATGTCGAACCCGCGCAACTCGTCCAATCTCCACCTCCGCCGGCAGCTGACAATGCACGAATCTTCAGAATTGCACAGCTTCTCAAATCTGCTAAGGCGCCTCTTATCATTGTCGGCAAGGGTGCAGCTTACGCTCGCGCAGAATCAGCAATCCGCGAACTTGTAAACAAAACTTCGATCCCTTTCCTCCCCACACCCATGGGCAAGGGTATTTTACCAGATTCTCATCCCGCAAATGTCGCATCCGCCCGATCTACTGCACTCAAGCACGCTGACGTGGTTCTCATCCTGGGAGCTCGCCTGAATTGGATCCTGCACTTCGGAGAAGCTCCTAAATGGAATCCCGCCGCTCGATTCATTCAAGTCGATATCTCGGCGGAGGAAATTGGCACTAACCGGGGAGACCCAAGCCTTGGAATTGTTGGCGATGCCGGTCTCGTAACGCTTCAACTTCTCCATGCTCTTGGTGATTGGCACTTTTCCCCTTCTTCTTCTTCTTCTTCTTCTTCTTCTTCTTCTTCGCCCTTTATACTGCAACTTCAGAGCGCAAAGCAAAAGAATGAAGCAAATGCCGCTAGAAAAGCAGGCATAGCAACATTACCAATGACATATGCTCACGCGTTTGAAACCATTAAATCCGCACTTCATACGCTCTCGCCTCCGTCCGAAGGCGGTATTGTCTATGTCTCTGAAGGCGCGAACACAATGGACATTTCCCGCTCAGCATTTCCGGTTGAACATCCCCGTCTCCGCCTCGATGCAGGAACTTATGCCACCATGGGCGTTGGGCTAGGGTATGCAATTGCTGCTCATGCCGCTTACAACAATACCGAAGCTCCCGAAAATCGGAAAAAGATTGTTGCGCTTGAAGGCGATTCTGCGTTTGGGTTCTCTGCAATGGAGGTGGAGACCATGGCGCGTTATCAGATGGATATACTCATCTTTGTTGTCAACAATGGTGGGATATATCACGGAGATTCGGATACTGCGGAAGAATGGCTCTCTAGGCAGAAACATTCTACAGCTGCTCCTTCAGCAATAGCAGAAACCACAAATAGGACAACGGAACAGAATCACTACGGGGCCTCGAAAAGCGCCAATAATCTTGGCCTTCGCAGCACCAGTTTGGGCTGGGAAGTTGGATACGAGAAACTCGCCGAAGCGTGCGGCGGGAAGGGCTTTCTCGCGCGTACGCCTGAAGAACTACACACGGCCACGATCGAAGGCTATAAAGCCAAGGTACCGGTTATTGTGAATGTGATCATTGAAGCGGGGAGTGCAAAGAAATTGGTACGTTCTCTTTCTCTGCTTTATTTTTCGTGCTCTCCGTTACTCCTCGCAATGATATTTCTCTGACCTCGTTATCTTAATATAGGAATTCGGTTGGCAGGCCAGTTCGCAGAAGAATCCATCTGCACGGTTATGATCGTATTAGCAGACCGAGCGGGTAATGATACCGCTTATTCCTAATTCTATACTTGAAATTTTTGTAAACGCATCTACAGGTTTGAAATTGTCACTACGTATATTCCAATAGGAAACTCGACGTAGATAGTTGAGATGTTTTTAGTTGTGTGTCGCAGAGACAGTTTAAATATAATTCGAAGGAGTCATATTATCTACGGTGAGCATTAGTGCTATCTATTATTCAAATGACTTGATCCAGTGGTGGTGAGGAGATTGTCAACGAATCACCAGCTATGGAATATTATTTAGCGTGGCTTTACTGTAGATGACAGCTATTGTCACCGGATGCCCCACCACACGCCATGAGAACCCCTCTAAAGCCCCTCTACCCCTCGCGTGTCAACACCAGCTCACATTGGTTATGACGAAACTAACTAATCGGTCCCGCCCATTCCGAATTGGCTGAGCACCTATGAACCTTTTATCGTTTGTCGTCCTGACTACTGAAACAACTTTCACAACAATTTAACGAGTTCACGATAAAAGTCCAATTGCATATTCTCCAAAAAGATTATCCCTCTCCTCTTGTCGAAATTCTTCCCCCGTAACGGTTTAATAATGTCCCCCCCAGCTATTATCGCCCCTTCGATCCTCTCGGCGGACTTTGCTTCCCTCGGAGGCGCATGCTCCAAGACCATCAACGATGGCGCTGACTGGCTGCACGTCGACATCATGGACGGCCACTTTGTGCCCAATATGACCTTTGGCGCGCCGGTCGTGACCAAGATCCGATCGCATGTGGAGCGGCCCTCTGCTCCCGGCGGCCGGGGCACATTTGACTGCCACATGATGATTGCAGAGGTATGTGGGAGCTTACTGGAACCTATTGGGACCTGAGCCTCGTCTCTTCGAATCGCATTGTTTAAGCTTCCTACGGGTTGCTTGATACTGTGGACTTTCGATATCGGACCTTATAACTTGGCATGGACACCTGGCTAATTGCGCTTTTCAACCACTAGCCCAAGAAATGGGTCAAGGACTTCAAAAAGGCCGGCTGCGATCTGTACTGCTTCCATTACGAAGCAGCCATCAATTCGACCGCTGCCGAGAACCCCGCCGACCACACCGACGAAAAGACCAGCCCGAAGGCGCTGATCAAGTATATTCATGACCAGGGCCTGCAGGCCGGCATTGCGCTCAAGCCGCAGACCAGCGTCGACGTGTTGTGGGACATTCTTGCGAATGAGAACAAGGCTGAAGTTCCGGATGTATGTTCAAACCCCTGGTTTTCCGCTCGATTGACTTATTTCCCTATCCTCTCTTCTCCGCCTCTGATATCGCGTCGAAATAAAAAAAAACCAAAGACACGCAAAGCTAATACATACTTCTGCCTGGACATAGATGGTTCTCATCATGACAGTAAACCCAGGCTTCGGCGGCCAGAAATTCATGGCCTCGGAGCTTCCCAAGGTCAAGGCCCTGCGGGAGAAATACCCCGATCTGAACATTGAAGTGGACGGTGGTTTGGCCGAGGGCACTATCGACCAGGCCGCGGTGGCCGGTGCCAACGTGATTGTCGCCGGCTCAGCGGTCTTCGGCGCCAAGGACCCCTCGGAAGTGATTGCCAAGCTGCGCGAGGCGGTCGACTCGCGAAGGACATAAAAACTTTATAGTCTTGTGGGAGTTTTAGAGAGGGAGTCAAGGGGGCTGCTGTACAGATCGTATACGAATAGACGTTGAGTCGATGGAAGGGCGGGACGCTTCTGTTTAGATGTTTGTATGTCGAGTTTCACATAGTAGCGAAGAGGAAAGAAAACCGTGTAGAGGGTTGCCTGGGCGCCGTTTTGTAAATACCAATTCAGTTTCTTTTATTCTTGAAAAGATTATTCGAAAAGCATAGCGGTCTGGAGCCCTGCACGTAGAAGGGGCTATTGTGCTAGAGGCAACAGCAGTACAGCAGTAGTGACTTAATCTTGGGTCTCTGAACCTACCTACCTATATGTTTCGACAGAGGAACACGTTAGGACGGCAAAGGTTTCTACAGGTTTTGCTTGGTTCTAAACCCAATTGTGCAAAGGTACTTGAACTCGTGAATGAGCTTTAAAAAGCAAATGAGCAGATATGTGATGTTTCTTAGAAATGTTGTTCGAAATGGGGTATCTCTCATAGGGTTAAATACAACTAGGTCTGTCCGAAAACTATTTACATTTTAGAAGCGGGGTGATAGTGAATTATATGTGTAGGTGTGTGTATGTGTAAGTGTCTTCGTCTCAAAACGTCTCTTGAATCAATCGGCCCCAACACACTATTAACATTAAGCATTTCTTAAGAGAAAAAAAAAATGAAATGTCCTTTTTTCTTCTTCGACGCCAGGACTCATTCTTCGATTCGTGTAACCACCGGATAAAAGGGGATTTGGCTGGAAACGTGACCATGAATGGTTTTACATGAGCCAGAGCGCAAGGGCACCGAGCGAGGAGGCACCCAAGACGGCGTAGGCCTGGCCCTTGAGAGCAGACGCGGCGCTGGTCGGTTTGGACGAGGCATTAGCGGCGGCCGAGGAGGCAGAAGAGGTAGTCTTAGAGGCAGCCGACGATGCGGAAGAAGCGACCGAGGACGCGGAAGAAGTAGCAGACGAGGAAGCAGCGCTGGCGGCGGAAGAAGCAGACGCGGAAGAGGAGCTCAAGTGCGCCGTCTGGGGGCTGCCAAAGCCCGACTCGCTCTGAATCTTGTACGAAGTGGTCATGGAGCCGGTGGGGGCGGCAGCGGTGACGAGACCCCCCGCGGCAGAAGACGCGTCGGCGGCGGCAGTAGTCGTGAGCACCTTGCCGACGACTTGGTCGGCGGGGGCAGCGGCATTGGACAGGACGGCGGCAACGGTGCTGCTAGGAACCGCGGACGTCTCGGTAGGCAGGTCGGCGGTGATGGTGCTAATGACTCCCTCGACGTCGTTGTCAAGGCCCACGGCGGGCAAGGACAAGGCGGTGGCGGCGAGAGAGGTGGCGGAAGCCAGCAGGAAAAGGAAAGAAGTAGAGAAATGCATCGTTTTTTGTTTTTGTTTTTTTTGGCGAATCGAATTTCTATGACTTTTGGTTCTTTTGTTGAAATGCTTTTGAGATGTGGTATTACAGGTCACGAGGTTTCCGTGTCGAGTTGGCGAAACGTGACTCTGTTGTTCGAGATAAGAAGGCTGAATGAATGGGGTTTGGTACGCAATAGTTATCAGGAATATGAACCGGCTCGGGAATGAGGGGCGGTTGATATGTGAGTTGCTGTTGGAGAGTGCCAGACTCGGAGAAAAAAAAAAAAAAAAGGAGAGCGTTTGTGTGCTGACGGTTTGCTATACAATCAAACAAGCGCGAAGAAAAAGTAGAGAGGCACGCGAATCAAGCAGCCTCACACGCCGGATAATAAAGCAATCCGATGAAACAGTGAATGACGGGATGAACAAAGAATCAAGGACTGATGACCAGACAGCTGGATAGACAGACACGGCTGTAGAAGGGAACGGGAGACAAGAGGAGAAAGAGAGGAGTGAAGAGGGAAGCAGATCACATTAAATTATGTACTCCAACGGTTTCCAGGAATGACTGTCGTCGCGGAAGGGGGGAGAAAAGGGAAAGAGTCAAGCGGTCTAACAAACATCTACCGTCACGGCTCTAAATGTGTAGTGCCATGGTCTTTGGGGCGGTAAAAACTCCGCAAAGGGTCCCAAAGGCGAGGAGAAAGATTTAGATCCCCCTCGGTCAAGTCGAAAAAGGTCCAACCAAATTGGCTGCCCCTGACGATCAGTGGGGAGCACGTGACCTTAGTTGGTGGGAAAACACAAGTGGTAGAAATACTCTGTAGAGTAGAGCGCTATCCAGCCGTTTCATCTTTGGTTCCGTCCAGGAACCGTCGCCGTTCGGGCCTTTTGTTTTTGGCATTTCGCTACCGGATCGTTGACCCCTTCGGCACTTAATTGCCAGTTGAAATGGTTGATGGGTTAGCATGAGACCGGGACATGTCTCCCTTTGGATTATCATTGACGGGAAGATATAACTAAACAATTGCCAGCCTTCTACTCTAATCCAAGTCGCGTATAGAGGCGCAAGGGTCTCTAAGACGAGAGGAGAAGGAGGAGTTGCCAAATTGCAAGAGTAGAGCACCTTAGCAGGTTGACATGTAGCAGCCGGCGCGACCAACTAAGTTAAAATGGCCAAAAGCATTATTAATGTTATATTGAATAGAGTACCGTTGACCCTGGAAAGCGGGGGATGAGCGATCATTTCCCTCATTCTGCGCATTGTGAAACACCCGACCCATTTTTGATTGATACCAATGCATTGGTACGGAACATGGTCGTCTTGCAGAGAGTCTTGGATCTTCTCAGTCTGCCTTTGTAAGAAGGGGGAAAAAGGCAAAAAAGGATGGATGGATGGATGGATGGAAGGGCAGTGCATTTGGATTATACAAGGAGTGCTATACATATTATCAAAACATATAATATGCATGCTGATGTCGTTGTCTTTTGTCCTTGTCTACCTGTTGACGGAGGGGGCGCTCGGTTGGCGGTTTCCCCCAGCACTTTGACCGGACTGTTGGGTGCCGAGTGCTGTTCCATGGGAAATTGCACTCTGCAAGGGTCTTTATCCCCTTTAAAGTTGTCGCAGGTGGATATGACCCTTCCCAATAATGACAGCTCCATTGCTCAATCAACCACGCGAAAATCTCCACAGTGAACAACCAGTGACGATATTGATGCCTTTCATTCGTCACTTCTCGTATTCTCAAGTACTAGTCATATCTCATATTATGCGAACTGGGGATATCAAACCTAATATTATGTCGAAGCACATTTGCCCCTCGATATACAAAGTATTGCTCCGTTCAGCACAAGGCACCGGGGCAACATGAACGAATTGAAGTGGCTAGAAACCAAATATAACATATGTCAATTATGTATATTTATTTTAAAAAAAGAAAAGGAAAATTCTCGATGCAAGGGAATTGTAAGAAGGAGAGAGCGTTTTTTATCCCCTACTCCGTATTTTACTATTTTAAATGAAGTTGATTAGCTTCCTCGAGAAGCAATTGCAAAAGTTTGACAAGCTGAAACACGCGGGTAACTCATGATGTTTCTATTGCGTATTTCCGTACGTGTGGTAGGATATGTGCCACGTGGAACGAGTGCATAATGTGTTCACTATTTTGTACAGTTTTGCAGTATGCACGACACTAAAGGTGCAGCATCTTATGGAACACATGTTGCTTAGCATAATCACTGCATAACTTGTACAATTCTCGCCCCCTTAAACTCATTACGTAGTAGAGTAGTCCACACTCACAAATTTTTCAATTATATGAGAAATACGTCTAACTGCATGACTGTTCTTCTTATTGTTTCATATGTTTACAAGTATTGCGATCCCGATTGGATTGGATTCCTCTGCCGCCAATCTTCTGAGCAGGCCTGGAAAATACATCACAAACTCAACTCCAATGAGCTAGAAGAATCAACATCCAATGTTCCATGTCGAAAAAGTAGTGCTGAGCCAGGTTCCCCATTGCGAAGCACGTGGTGGAAATCATAGGCTGGAATTCTCGGGCGTCGAAACACAACTCCCTTAAGCTTGTGGCTGTTCGATATGTGCATCGAAAACCCGTCATGGCTTTTAGATCAAGCCTGTCGACATCTAGAGCCACTCTGCCTCCCACTGCCCGGCTCCCCGGCTCTGGCGCGGGAAGTCTCGTTTCAACTATCCTCTGTTTTCACATGCTGCTGACCGGCCAGGATAGTTTTCTACTATAACCTGCGATGCTGCAGCTCATTATTCGCCAATGACATAGGTACAGCCATTGCTTCCAATCCATACTTCGTGCACCCGACCTGCATCCACATCGACACGGGCGCCCGGTCCGAACGTTTCCTTGGTGGGATGCGGATCTTTCGGGTAAGTCACAGTCATCTCGCCACTGAGGATCAGATGGGTTGTCAAGCCGCCGTGCGAATGAGGACTGTAATGGGCATTTCTGCATTCGGATATTAGCTTCAAAGATTGCCGACAAGCTTTCAGTTGCGGGGTGCTTACGGTCCATCGCTCCATGTGAAGACATGTGGGAAACCCCACGATTTCACTTGCTTCTCTGCAGCCGTCATTGCAGCGTTTGGGTAGATCTGGAATGAGTTAGAGCTATAGGGGTATCCCTAGATTTAATTTTCCGAGATAAATATGCGTGTGGGAAATGCCGGGCTCAGAATGGCCAAAGGAAGAAGGCAATCTGAATCTAAAAATGATAAGGTTTGGCAAAGCGACGGACGACAAGGAAGGCCTGAGATTTGATCAGATGTTACAGAATAATGGGAAGATCAATGTACTCCGCTATACGGAGTAGTTAGGGGATCGGAGAGCCACACCGCAAGCAACAACCCATTTAATCCCTAATATGAGAAGGGGGGATGAAATCACTCTACGGAGTACAGCACTACATCACGTCCGAGATGATATCATGGTCGCTACGTTGATCACCGGTAACGCCGCGAAAGAACGTGAGCCCCATCGTACCAAACTGATGATCGCAGATTTATCCCCACTCAATGATGTATCCAAATGGTTCCAATGATGAGATGGTTAAATTTTCAACTCTACGGTTTGATCTTGCCATTCCGAATTTTCAGACATGAGTAATCGCGATACCTAGGTACATGGGATTTGCTTGACAGACGTTCGTGCATAAGAATAGGCATTACTTTATGCCTGCATATGTGCAACGAATCTGTCCAATCGGATGAATGTTTCGCTAAGATGTTCTAGAAGGCGAGAGGTACAGGAAAAGATGTGGGGAATAGCAGAAGTGACAAGTACCGATTTGCCGTGATCAAAAATCTGGATCCTTGAAGGGAGGTACATGCGCCCGATGGGGTACCCCGACTTGCTCGGAGCTCACCGCACTTAAAGAGTACATTACTCGCCAAGAGACCTACCTAACAGCGATACGAGGTGGGACCGATTGACAGATGTTGCGTCAAGCTACGCCCCCATCGACATGATCCGATCTGTACGTGAGCGCCATCGTCGGCAAATGACTGGACGCTCCAGATAGCGGACAAGGAAGATTTCGTTTCCTCTAGATCTTAGGTAGAAAAAGAAATGCCTTCAAGCTAGAATCTCGCACGTGTAAGAAAGGAATGAAAACCATGAAGACCGGTACCTGAGGGGCAAATCAATTTGGGTTAGTATGGTGCAGGGTCTTTTCCGGTGGGGGGACTTGACTTTTATCGTCCCCCGGTTGGTGCCAGACTTAGCGTTGTTGGCCCCGGGCCTTTGAAACTTTTTCTCCTCCAATCCACGACACCTCGTGCCTGAATGGCACAATATGATTGGCCAATTTCAACCTCATCGGTCCTTTCCAGCCCACATACTGTGCTGTTCAATAGTCGACACCTTGATCATTCTCGGTCTTTTCCTCTGCACATCCATCAGATGATGAGGAAAAATTAGATTGTACTTGAGTACACTACTGTATGCAATCCAAGCCCCCACAGGCTGCAAAATGGAGAGAATTCAAAAAAAGCAAAATTTTGTGTGCAACCTGAATGTGGAAATTGATCAGACTGCTGGTCTGAACAACGCCACGAGGCGGATAAGCTATTCGCTATCTCCGCCGCCCGGCTCCAAATATTTCAGATTTATTCGAAATATCTTCTTCGTGACGTGTTCTCGTGCCTCATAAGGTGTTACAAGGGAAAAGAAACGAAAGGCTTAGCTGGCTTCTTTTATTTTTCTCCCTGACTCCTTCTCGCCTCTAAATCACCCTTCAAGCAAGGGACAGAAATTATCATCCGTTTCTTCATCTTCTCCTCTCCGAATAGAATCCAAAGTGAACACCCACGTGCAGAAGAAAATTTCGGTTGTTGCGCTCCAGAGGTAGGGATTGAATTATTTCATCTCTTCCTCTCCCAATTGTTCGGCGTCTATTGCTCACTTGGGCAGGACCTTTGCCTCCACCTGGGGTGATCGACCTCTTATATTCATCCAGCCCGCCTGCAAACCGGGTCCGTGCGATCCTGCTATTCGGCGCCGTCCATCTCGCTAGGGTTCCCGCTCAAGTCTGGGTGGTTCCTTCGGTGCTCCTCATCGGCCACTCACACTGCAGCAGCAGTCAACGTGCTCGAGAAAACCGCCTATCGCCCGAACGCTTCTACCGGCAGCTCATCTCCCCGTTCGACACACCAATTTTCTTCCGCCTGCTTGGCTCGCGCTTGGCTTTACCTCAAATACTTCCTGCCGCCCTGCTTCAGGCAAAGGATTCTGCAGGAGGCGCTTCTCTCATCCTGTCTTCTGACACTCTTCACGATCTTGGCTCCTTGGCCAAATTGCTTGGTCGACGAATCGACTCTCGAGAAACCTTGCGAGAGCCTCTATTATCTCCTCTTTCCCCCTCGCCTTTCTCCCAGAAGCTCTCTTCCAACCATGGATTACGGTCTCGCCGCGCCCCATGGGCCCGATATGGAGGGCACTCACCCGCCGCTTCATGAAATGACCAACTCAGAGCGCCAGGTCTTTGATTACCTGCTCCGGCCTGACGACAGCTACGACGAGAATGGCGTCTACTGGGCTGATATGAACGTCATGCAACGCGCCAAATTCGTTGCCCGCTATGATGCCCGCGAATCCAAGAGAGAGCTCACTTCGATCGGTCGAATGTTCAAAAAGGACCCTCTCAGTCCTGTCAGCACGTACTTCCACAATATGGTTCTTCCTGGTGCCGGTCTTGGTCTTGAAGGGTAATTGATTGCCCTTTGCCCGTCCTTTACTCATGTTTTGATCCATTGGTTAACGGTTGCCTATAGTTATGTCCTCTTCTCCATTGGTAATGTGAAGTCGCTCTTCCAAAAGGTCTGGCCTATGTGCTGGAAGTCGGCCAAGACCTGCAACCCGACCTGGATTGCGGCCGTCGATTATCTTGAGATTTGTGGTATTATTGTCGGCCAGATCCTGGTCGGTATTCTTGGTGACTGGTAAGTGGGATTGACATGAGGACACCCCCCCCCCCCCCCCCCCCCCCCCCCCCCCCCAATTCGAATTGATGGGCCACGGCTAACGAAAGAACACGATACAGGCTCGGACGTCGCTGGGGTCTGATCCAGGATGCCTCGATTATGCTTATGGGTCTGGTCATGCTTACCGCCTCCTGGGGTACCAGCTTGAATGGCTGGGTGATCTGCTACGCTTGGTCTCTCTTCTTCTATGGTATTGGTGTCGGCGGAGAATACCCCATGACCGCTACCTCCGGTATGGAAAATGCTGTCGGTTCCGGAAAGGTTTCGACCAAGGGAGACCGTCTCCATCGTGGCCGCGCCGTCACCAGCGCCTTCCTGATGCAGGGCTGGGGCCAGTTTTTCAACCAAGTCATCCTGATCTTGTCGCTCCTCATCTTCCACCACGGCAGTGGTAACGCGCCGTATTCCGCCGTCGCCGCACAGTGGACCTTCCGGATCAGTTTTGCCATTCCTGCAGTCGGCACACTCTGGCTCGTCTACTATCGTGCCTACAAGATGAAGGCTGCGAGCAAGCAGCTTGCCTCTGCCAAGGCCAAATCGCATGTCACTGGCTACGACACCAAGTCGTTGGGCCTGACCCTCACCTATTTTGGTCCTCGTCTTCTCGCCACCGCCGGTGCGTGGTTTGCCAACGACGTCTTCTTCTATGGAAACAAGCTCTTCCAGGGCGAGTTCATTGGCGTCATCATGCCCCATAATAAATCGATTATGCCGGGCTGGCTGTACAACTTGATCAACATCGGTGTCAGCTTGTGCGGATACTACCTGGCCTGTGAGTATTGCCCTGAGAGCAATTGCTATCCGTTTCGAAATTCATTCTAACCACCTTTTCTCCCTTTAGCTTTCCTCATCGACAACAAACTCTATGGCCGCAAGAAGATGCAGATTGTGGGCTTCATGCTCTGCTTCGTGCTTTTTGTCATTCCTGCCTTCCACTACAAATATTACACCTCCTCGGCACACATCAAAGAATTCCAAGCCATGTACTTCCTCTCCTCCTTCTTCAACCAGTTCGGTCCCAACTGTGTTACCTTCCTTGTTGCCGCTGAGGTTTTCCCGACTCCGATTCGTGCCACTGCCCACGGTTTCTCTGCCGCCGTCGGCAAGCTCGGTGCTCTCCTCGCCTCCATTCTTTACAACTACATTGACACGCAGACCAAGTTCTACGTCGTCCCTTGGTTCGGCCTCGGCGGTGCTATCCTCACCTTCCTCTTCCTTCCCGACACCACTGGTCTCGACCTCAAAGAGCAAGAGCGTCGTTGGCAGTTCATTCGCGAAGGCCGCGAGGATGAGTACCACGGGGTTGCGGTTCACCCTAAGCACTTGTCGCTCTGGGAGCGTATGCGCGGCGTCGGCAAGCACTACAACGCCGAACTCGACTACCAGCAAAAGGTTGACGAGATGCGGGCCGAGTGGGTCGAGCAGCAGGAGCGCAAGGTTGCCGACGAGAAGGGCGCGGACTCTGACATGGACGATGCCATTAGCTCCCACCTCTCCAGCTACTTTGAGCGGACCGGCGGAAAGTCTCCTCTCCTCATGGGCAAGGAGAAGTATGGTGCCTCTCCTCTCATGGCGGGTCGGGAAAAGTACAATGAGAAGAGTGTCCCCCCTTCTCCTAGCGGTGGTCCTATTCAGGAGCACCCTCATGAAGATGGTGTGCCTCAAGATGGCATAGCCCAAAACGGTTCGGCCCAGAACGGGGTTCCCAAGGACATTCAGTGACGAATGAATTGTCTGTCTCGCGTCGCGTATGATGTTTGTCGTTTTGATTTCAATTGGCATCATCAGTGTTTAGTGTATCTCCCACGACTTATCTTTTTTCTTTTTCCCTTTTTATAATTCCTTCTCTGTTGCATTGCTTGGCATAAGATCCGGTAGTCGATTCTCCGCGTTTACGGTTCAAAGGGTTTGGCTTTCAGACTTAATCTTCACCGCCAAATCACTATGGGCATTGTCTTACTATTAGACCTTCTCTTCTACACTTCATTTCTACGCAAAGCTCGCCTAGACCCGTGTACAGGGAGCTAAGACTTGTTGGAGATACCTCCTTTTACACCGTTTCTTTCATATATACCTCGTCTCTTTTTCGTTTCTTCTTTCTCCCGCTATATTTTGATAGAAACTTTACGAAATTTCAATGCCGATCGGGATGTTGACCATGTACAATCATGTAGACGGATAATAAAAGTTTAGGATGGAGTCATGTCATCACATTTTTGAGCTCGATGTTCAATTGCATAGTGAAAATAGGTCAGATTTGGATTGCGTTTATTCATGAGCTATGAAAATGGTCGTATGGTTTGTCATCACGCCTTCTCGACTCGAATAATTTCCGAGTCGAGGCCAAAATAATTCGTCCAGCTAATGTAGCGACCATGTCGAGGAAATTCTGAGCAAATATAAAGAGCGAAAACGAGTAAGCACGGAGATCAATCATTTCCCCAGTAATACCCAAAATCTCTTGACGCCCTCTGCTGCCGTTGTTTTGAAAGCCGAGATGCAACCCGCTCGGCGAGCCATTCATGAAGTAGCGCTGAGGGAGAAGACTATCGAGACCAGCAGCGCTACGGCTACATAATATTTCAAGGTGCACCGCAATCCATGCACACGATAGATTCATGGCCGGCGAACGACGACAGATGGTGGAGATTATGCTCTTTTCCTTCAAAGTTTGAGCGAATCTGATTGGTGGGTCTTGAGACCATATTCCCGGCCGCTGCGAGGTAATGACGAGCGTTAATTATGCCATATGCGACCACTCTACAAATATTGAAATACTTTATTATTGCTCCGTGACAAGATAACAATGACGTCAAATTCGGATCCAAAATGCTCGAAGGAGGAATAAGGGGAATCGGGCTCGATTGAGCTTGGCAAGGGTTGGGCGCTTACAGTCATGCTCGTGAATGCCAAGCCTGTCGATGGTGAACCAATCGTAGGGATATGACTGCCAGAGAAGGGCGTCTCGCTGCCATTGCCTGTCATGGCATCCTTTTTTACTGTCTCACAGAACAATTTTCGACGCCTACTATTGGATGGCCGTTCTTCTGCATGGGCTCATCTCTCACCTCGTTCACTGCAGTCTTCGGGTCAACTACAGGCCTACGACCGAACTGGGTCCCATGAGCTCCTGCGCGTGGCCATTGAAGCGGTCGCCTCGAGAGTGACCATAGCGCATAGAGCCCCCGTTCACTCTCCATTTCCGGACAAAGTCTCCATTATGACTAGACCAGCCTGGCAAATCATATCTAAATTAAGCGCCCGGTTCCCCTGTGGCTTGGTATATTGATGCACCAATCAAGGAACGGGACGGAGGGATTGCCTTGATCCGTCAATGAACATATATGCAATGCGTACCCGTCCAACGATGCTGTCCAAGCATCGTATTCTTCTTTTTGTTGCGTGCCTTCTTTTCTCTTTTGGGGCCGTTTCGTTGATCGAACGGTTTCCTCAGGTTAATTGTATCCGTTGACCGGATGCATGTATAGCTTTATTTAATATTGTCCAGCCTTTGTTATGGCAGTTTCGTGCCTTGCCTTCTTTGAGTAAACTAATCGTCTCTTTTTCCTTTTTCTTTTTTTTTTCTAAGTGGAATCTTGACACGATCTCTGGAAAGATGGAGTCTTCACACTTGCCTACAACAACTTACGAATCACCGCGTCCCGGGCAGGCCCGGCATCCGCGACTTAATACAATAATAGAAGACGTGTTCCAGTGCGACATAAGGCCCTTTTTAAGAGATGGGAATGGAACACCGATCGACAAACCAACGCTGATAATCTCTCCTCCTTCAATCGAGTCTGTTCCGACTTTATGTCATGGAGGCGTTTTGACTACCTCAAACTCACCTGAATCCGCAGCCTCGATATCTCCCGAGTCACCGTGGAACAACCGAAGACATGGCAGCAGGTCCACACAGTTTATGCAGGCTGAACAGCAACAGTCATTGAACGTGGATTTGTCAGAAGATAAGCTTCTTCCAAAGACGGGTTCCCCTGTCTTCAACCCACACAGGAACCGCTATCCTTCACTCACGATCCCCACCTGGTCCACTTCTCCGCATACCAATGAATGCCATAAATCTTCACCGGTTCCGCCGACACCCCCACCAAAGATACCAATGTCACCAGCAGCATTGTCATTTCTCTCCCGGGACCTCCCCGCGGCAAATGCGACTCCATCTCTCGATGGTAGCGTGACCTCGGAGCAAATGGCGAATCTCAGTGCGCCAGCAACACCCGACTCGACTATGAAGATGTCTGAAGTTCAGGATTGGGGCATGTCAACACCGAATTCAACGGCGGGTCAGGGTCGATCAAATCAGGATGGGCTAAGGGAACAGTATCTGCTCTCACCCGTTGATTATCACGCTCGATTGCCGAGGCGTCACACAGTTGAGGTGCTTTCGGCGGAAGAGGATATGCACCCATTGGAGCAGATAACAGAGGAAGACTCCGACGTGCACAGCTTAGAGCACCTTTCGCGGGAAAGTCCTATTGAGCTATCTCAGGGTCTGACGGACGACAAATGGGACGATACGAACAATGTTCCGGCAGAAAAGGAGCCGGAAATGGAGCAGGTATCTGCCATAGACTTCTACCGATATGCACCGAAAACCCCCTCAGCTGCATCCCGGGCATCTCTCGGTGCGCTCACTCAATTGAGCATCCCTTCCCCACGCGACTTCTTCGCCTCGCTCGAGCCTGGCACACGGCATACGTGGGCACCCAAGTCTCCCCACCCACCGTCTTCAGCAACAGCCGAGAGATTCTATGGCTATCCGTGGCTGAGAGAGGAGGAAAAGATGCCTGAGCACATAGTTGGATCAGTCGAGCAAATACGGGAACCCGAGGTGGTTGAGATTCAAATGGAGCCCGAGGAGCTGGCCAAACTGACAAGTACCTTGAAAGAGCAACCCTTTCACGACTTTGATGAGAATTACGAACGGGGACTTCGTCAACTGGCCTCAGCTAACCTCGACCGGACAAGCAGTTGGCTTGTGGCGCAAACAACATATCTTAATGCTCTTAGAGAAGCACCTGCCCCTGAAGATGATGAAAACGTTGCTAATGAGCACAACTTGCCGTCTGAGTCCGCTCCAAAAGCGACTGAGCCCGTTGTGAAAAAGTCTGTGCGCTTCCAGGAGGACATTCAGCCCGAGCCTATGGAGCGCAGACCTTTGCCAAAGATTCCCGGAGATTCTCTGTATTATCATGCCTTTCAGCACCTCATTCGTACCGCTGGGCGGCTCGACGCTTTCACGTACCAGCAGGCCAGGATCGAAGCACTTCGCGCCGCCCGGATTAGCCTTCCTTCTGCTTATCGTGACCAGCTCCTCGGCTTGTATTATCTCGTTGACCCTATCACTCGGCCACTTCTCCGTCGCCCAATCTCGCTCATGCCTCCTCCTGGTCACCCGCAGGAAGGCGATAGCCCAGAGAAAAAGATTATAGAGCGCAAAGAGAGAGAAAGCCAGGCTTTGGATCAGATCCGGTTTTCTACATGGAACGTCCAGGCTTTGAAAATGCTCAACGGTGGCCATCTTCTTATGAGCCCCGCCAGGAAGCTGCTTGCTCGGAGCAAGACCACGCCTCAAGCTAAAGACACCCCTAGGAATAGGGCTAGGGTCTTGGATCTCGGTGGACAGTCTACATGCGACTGGGCATGGCTATGTGCCCTGGAGTACCGCCAAGTGAAGACATACACCGTGCTAAGCAAAGAGCAAGCTGGGAACGAGACCTGCCGCAGCCCATTCAACCATCGCCGGGTCACTGTTCCCCACTTGTGGAAACTACCATTTCGAGATAACTTTTTTGACGTCATTTCGGCGCGCTCCTTGTACATGTTTTTGAAGACCGATCGACCACCAGAACAAATGGCAGATGAGTACGATCTCTGTCTCAAGGAGTGCCTCCGCTGTCTCAAACCGGGTGGTTATCTCGAGTTTATGGTGATGGACTCGGATATTATCCGGGCTGGACCTCGAGCTATGGCAACATCGGTGGAGTTTGGATTTAATCTCAAGACTCGAGGATATGAGTCCACCCCTACTCGATCCTGGATTGGCAGATTGAAGAATGCGGGATTCGGTCAGGTCAAACGCGCGTGGCTGTTCCTGCCCCTGGCCGCAGCACCTCCAGCCAACCCTCCTCAGGCGCCGCAAGATGAGAAAGCAGATGTCGCAAATACCGGAAACACTGCTCACGTGGCTGGTCTCACTGGGCTGGTCGGTACTTTGGCATGGGAAAGATGGATGCTTAAGTTGCATATGGAAATGGGGAAGAGCGAGGAGAGATTACTAGAGGGGATTAACAGCATCGTTGCGGAGGGAGAGCAGACGGGAGCAGGATGGCGGTGCTTGACCGGCTGGGCCAGGAAGCCCACCGGAAAGGCGGCGTTGCGGAAGTGAGTCACGAAGCTTGGAAGGGATGTGGGTAGTTGCTACATCGAATTGGTGTTGTCGTTTTGGGCTGGGAGGAGAGACCGGGAAGAGGAGGGGGGAGAAGTACTAGCAGATGACGGGATCGATTGAGCCTCTTTGATTGTCGTGCTGCTGCACATTTTCGATTGGCTGAGATGAAAAAGAATTTCGTTCCCATTCCGAGGACCGCCGTCCTTTATTTTGAAATATATGATGCCCTGTATATGCTTTTGCTTGACTTGATTTTCCCTTGCCCTTTCATTTTGCCTTTAGACATGGATCTTCAGCATATGTTGTTGTTGTTGTTATTGCATTTACAGTATAGGAAGGAGAAAGTATACCCCTGTGATAGAAGAAGCGCACAATTAGTACTTTGCTTATAGTAAGACGCCATTGTTTATAATTAATCTGATTGCCTCTATGAAACAAATCATGATTATTAGTTTTTACTTTTATTATTTTCTAATTCTTTTCAACTTTCGTTTAGATCACTAACCCAAGCACATCCTCTTCGGTTTTGAGGGAGTAGACTACCCAGATATTTCTATCGACTGTTTCATGAAAGTATTGAAATACACTGCCTTACCCTGCACAACCCCCCTCGCACGCTGTCTGGGACCCCATCGCCCGAAGTTTTGCCGGCCGAGTCTCAAGTTGGATTGCGGCGCAACCCACCGCCGTGTCGCAACTTGTCGCAGGGTCCAGACAGTTTATCTTAATTCATACCATCCTCTCTGCTCTCCCGCCGCTTCAGACCGTTCCTCATTCCATTTAGTACGTATCGGGCTGTCGAAATTTCGTTATTGATACGTACCTTACCTTGCAACGCCAACGAAGATGCTGTTCTTCAGGTATCGTACCTCTTCTTTCCTTAGTCCTTTCTTCCCAGACCCTGGTCCTTTCTGCCCGGGTTCTTTCTTCCCCGGTCCTGGTCGTTTCTGTTCTCTTTCCCTGGGCCTTTTCTGCTCCTTGCCTGGAAAAGACTGGACCAAGTTTGTTCGAGTCGAGGGTTTTGGAGCTGATCGAGTCGGGGACGTGGTTGTTTGAAAAGGGAATTTTGGAGGACTTTGGGGCGGATTTGGAGCTAAACTCGTCTGTAATATAGCTTCTTCAAGACGCTCGTCGACCATGAAGTGACGGTGGAGCTCAAAAACGACATCTCGATCCGCGGCACGCTCAAGTCCGTCGACCAGTTTCTGAATATCAAGCTGGATGATATCCAGGTCTTGGATGAATTGAAGTATCCGCATTTGGTCAGTTTCCTTTTTATTATACTTTGCTTGATTTTTTTTTGGGTAATTGGGTAGTTTGGGTGTCGAAGTGGGATGCGGTGCGATGCCTTTCTTTGGCGGGGATGGGATGGGAGGACGGATGATGTGCGATTGGGACGAGTCGATGAAAAGGGCTTCGAGACGTACGGAGAAGATATTACGAGGACCGGGCAGGATGGAACTGGGCTTGTCAATCCAGGATTCGTACCAGAAACGTCGATGAGATTACTGTTTGCGACAAGAGCGCCATAACGTTCCGACATAATGAAGATTCGAGGTGTGAAGAAGTCAACCAGCTTCTATCTTCGGATGATTCGTACGACATCGCTGGAAGACGGGCAAGGGGTTTGGGATACTGGCTGGGAAATTGTGCACGTGCAGGGCCTGGAAGCGGGGAAATTGAGCGATCCATAGCTCGCTATGGCACTGGCAGTGATTCTCTCTTGGGGCTTCGATGCTATGAGATATGTCACAGGGTCTCAAAGAGCAACTGGATATGCATGGTGCTATCGAGTCTAAAGCTTTTATAAGGAAGAGGATCTTGGAATGACAAGTCCACTTCGATCCTGACCGCGCACAATTTGGCCCCGTCTTCTCATCGACTGGCGCGCTGAGGAATTTTTGCATTTATGGTCGCAAAGTAAATATGGCTACGAATTTGTTTGCTGACGGAATATTTCTACAACAGTCATCGGTAAAGAATGTCTTCATCCGAGGAAGCGTGGTCCGATATGTACACTTGCCTGCGGCCGGAGTGGATACTGCTCTGCTAGAGGACGCTACGAGAAGAGGTTTGTCGTGTCTTTGCCATGGTTATTGCTTGATTGCTGCTAACGAGATTTTCCCTGCAGAAGCTGCGCAGCAATCAACGAAACCCTCACGATAAAAGCTACGATTTCTAGTTCGATAGATGGAACAGGGGATTGGTCACGGAAATCACACTAGTTCAACAAGCATAACATGTTGGCTAGTATATGACACACTGATTTCAAACATCTTCCACTGGTGGAGAACACCCTCATCTTCAAATGGTTATTTGAAGTGGGAGGATAAGTCAGTCTCATTGAAAGCGTTATACTTGTACGGATCGTCCGTAATTGCAAGCTCGATTACGGTTATTTAGTCAGAGCAGCATTAAAAGAATAGTCTAAAAATTTAAAAACGCTGGAAAGAGAAAGTCTTTGATGTTCGCCATTGAATGAGTGAAATGAGTGTGCGTTTGTACCTCGTAAATAGAGCATTGCACATTTGGTCAATCTAATGCGTCATCGCGTGTCTGCCGATATCACGGGACGACGCGACAAAGGATGTGCCTGAAGCGCGGCTTAACCATTCTAATCCCGTAAAAGCGTTCAATGCAACGCCACACGAAAAGAACGTTACCATTTACTGGTAACCCCTGCTCTAATGAAATGACATGATATGTTTCGAAATCCTCGAGAAAATCCTCGAGGAACTGTGAAACAATTGCCGGCCGTGGGAAGACCACCGACTCCCGAAAGTTCAATTCCTCCGCCGCCCTTTACCTCGTCTTCAGGATCCTCGCCGTCCAATGCCCGGCCTTCGACGGCCTTCCGGCGCAGCTCCGCAGCAGAGAAGGCTTTAGGCTCGAGCGGATCTCCTAAAAATATGCCGCCGGCAAGAAGCAGCTCGTCGTTCTCCAGTCCTGCGCGGGCCAAAAAGAGCCCTGCGGTCAACAATGCCACAAAAGCCAAAGCCAAGCCAAATCAGAGCATCCTCTCATTTTTCAAAAAGGTTGATCCGCCGCCTCAGAAGCAAAGCTCAAGCCCCGGCCAGAGTTTTGCAGATGATGACGGAGACGGTCTCTTTGTAGGGACATCCATTGGGACACCGCCGGATGTGTCATTACGCTCCAAGTCGGCGACACCGGACGTGAAGTTTGAAGATGCATCGGGCTCACCTTTGGAAGAGCAGTCAAGCTACTTTGCCAATGGCAATGGTGTATTGACACCATCGGAAAACGGTCCATCAACGGAAGGGAAAGCTAGAGGAGAAGATAATAATGCACGATACAATGAGAATTCAGCTCCTGTTAAGAGACGGAGACTGGGCGGGAAATTTTCTCTTGCGGGCAGTGAAAACGGGCAAAATGCCGGCGAATCAGAGAATGAGGAGCGGCAGAGTCGGAAACTCTCGACTGAACAAGAGCCCCTCCAGCTGCAGCAGACGATAGCGGATGTGGACCCAGCAACAAAAGCTTGTAGTCCTCCACCTCCTGATACAGAGCAGCAGTCTACGAAAAACATGGTGCGTTCTGATAGAGATGCTCGGGATGGACTCGAAGCGGATACCATAGACTCAAGATTTTCGGTTGCTCTGGATAATGACGATTCGGACAGAAATAGGGAAGAGTTTTACAACAACGACGAAGTAGATGAGGACGTACCAATCAAGGAGCTTGACGATAATGCACATGTTTTGAGAGATGAACCTAAACCGCCGAAAGAATCAGAAGCCTTGGTTGACGATAATGGAGCCGATACCTTTTCAAAAGGCGCCCCTTTTCTTAAAAGAGAAGCTAGCAGCTATTTTGGAGAGGAAAGGTTCGACGACATCGAGGACTTTAATGATGGTGATTTCGGTACGGGCGAAGAATTCGAGCGAGAGTATCTAGAGGAGCAGCGACTGCTAGAGTTGGCGGAAGCAGAGTTTAACAACGAAATGGATGCAGTTGAAGGAATTGGAAACAATCTCGGAGCAGAGGATACCAGCCCCTGCTGTCCTGTCTGTAGTATATCGATGGCTGGTATTGGTGACACTGTGAGTCTACAGGGGAAAAGGCAGTCCTTGCTGAAGATCCATGCTTACTAGTTCTAGGAAGCATCTGTTCATGTCAACAACTGTTTAGATGGCAATCCAACACCGCTGCCCGAACGCAAACCCCCACCCATAGCTCCGCCCGGCCTCCCGGAAAACGAACCGCCAGGACATGCTCGGTTTCAAAAACCTGCGAGGCCAGCAAAGCCACCACAGGAGAACCCATTTACGTTTGGATTGCCGGGCGAGAAATCCTCTGCCTTTTCCAAGCTCATGTCTGGCCATGCGGAGGATATGGCCTGGGCTTCTGCCGCGGCGGCAGAGAATGCAGATCGAGGCAAGCCTGCGTATCAACGAACGTGTCCCTTTTACAAGATTTTGCCGGGATTCTTCATCTGTGTTGACGCATTTCGCTACGGCTCCGTAGAAGGATGCAGTGCATATTTTCTCAGCCATTTCCACAGTGACCATTATATTGGTCTCACAGCTAATTGGCAGCACGGTCCAATCTACTGCAGTACAGTGACGGCGAACTTGGTAAAGCAGCAGCTTCGAGTAGACCCAAAATACGTCGTTGGAATAAACTTTGAAGAGAAGATCGAAGTCCCCGGCACCAAAGGCGTACATGTTACGATGATACCAGCGAACCACTGCCCCGGCAGCTCGCTCTTTCTCTTTGAAAAGGTCCTTGGCAAGAGGGGCAAAAGCCTAAAAATGCAAAGGGTCTTACACTGTGGCGACTTTCGTGCTTCTCCGGAACATCTCAAGCACCCGCTCCTCCGACCAGATACACTCGATGAAATCACCGGCAAACCAATTGAACAAAAGATTGACGTATGCTACCTCGACACTACCTATCTGAACCCAAAATACGCTTTTCGTGGCCAAAACGACGTCATTGGCGCCTGTGCAGACATGTGTGTGAGTCTGAACAAAGAACGCGTCGACGCGTCCGATAGCTGGGAGCAAATGAAGCGAGATCGAGCAGGCAGCGGAATGGTCAAATTTGTTCGAAGCGTATCGAATCTGATCAAACGGGAGCCCGGCGAAGACGATACGTCTGATAGTCCTTCCGATAGCACTTGTTCTGCCAATCGCACCACCTCCGATCCGTCACGTAAAATGCTATCCTGTCCTTTGAACCCATCTGCACCTACTGTCGATGCCATGTCCATTACACCTCTTCCTTCCAACGAAACCAACAACAACAGCCTTTCAGCTGCTTCTGAAATCAGTCCCGCCAATCCCGCAAAATCACGTGGCCGCCTCCTCGTCGTCATCGGCACATACTCCATCGGAAAAGAACGAATATGTCTTGGCATTGCGCGCGCCTTACAATCCAAAATTTACGCACCGGCAGGCAAACTCCGCGTGTGCGCCTGTCTCGAAGACCCAGGACTCTCGTCCCTCCTTACCCCCGATCCGCTCGCCGCACAAGTGCACATGACCCCCCTCTTTGAGATTCGCGCAGACACGCTGCAGGATTATCTCAATACGTACAAGCCGCATTTTACCCGTGTCGTGGGGTTCCGTCCAACTGGATGGAACTATCGCCCTCCAGGTACAAGGTATGTCCCTCTCATCATAACGAGCTCCCCCCCTCCTTTTCTCCCCTTTGTTCCTCTTTTCCCTCCTCTTTTTGTGTCTTGGTGGGTGGGTGGCGGGTTGTTGTTGCTGTTACTTTTAGGGTGTTTTTTTTTTTCCTCTTTCACCTCCTGGAGCACCATAAAACACCATAAAACATCATCCAACATCTTCGAGCATATCTAACCTCTTTTTTTTGGTACATTACAGATTCATCGAGTCCCCCACCGTCTCGAACGTGCTCTACTCCAACAACTGGCGCTCGGGATATACCATGCGCGACCTCGTCCCGCAGCGCGGCTCCACCCGCGAAGCCAAATGCTTTGGCGTGCCCTATTCGGAGCACAGCAGTTTCCGCGAACTCACCGTGTTCGCATGCGCCCTGCGCATCGACCGCATCATCCCCACCGTCAACGTCGGCAGCGCCAAGAGCCGCGAGAAAATGAAGGCTTGGATCGAGCGCTGGGCCCTCGAGAAGAAGAAGAATGGACTCTATCCTGGCGATGGTCCCAATGGCGACGGTCCCAATGACGGTGTCAGTGCCGACGCGACTCAGGCGCCACCGGGAAAGTCAAGTTAAGAGGGTTGTATAAGTACAGAGGATGAATAAACTCTTTTACTCCTCTACTTCTCCTTATTTCTTTTCATCGCTCCCTCCCTTTTACTTCCGGTTTTTGTGGAAGAGGGAAAGAGGGAGAGGGGGAGAGGTGCTGTATATAGCAGTGAATTTAAGGGACAAAATCAAGATAAAAGATTTAATAATTAAATAATTGATAGATCAATTAATTAATCGAGAAAGTTGATAAATATATTGAGAGCACCTATATTTAAAAGATGAGAAGGGAAAATTTGCAAAATTGAGTGAGTGGAAAGAAGATGAAAAGAGAGCAAATAGAAAAGAGAAACAATCGAGTCTCACAGCAATTTTTCTCGCCGGGATAAAAATCCAATTTATAGCAGCAGCGCGCGAAACACATGTATTCGGGAACGTGATAATATTAAGTGCACACACATATATGTAGGTAGGCAGGTACAGCCCAATTTAAAAAAAAAGCAAACCCAGAGCAGAAGTAATAAAAAAATATTGATAAGAGGAAAAGAAAATTCGATAGGAGATAGTATGAAATAAAGAAAGTAAGAAAAAGAAAGATACGCTCCTCAAGATTCCTGGTCAGCGACTCAGCACTTCTGTCTCATTTTTTTCCCTTTGAATCTACCAAGTTCAACTTCGACTTTCACCTCCGTCATCCGAACCGTGAGTTCTCGACTTCCGGCATAATTTCTACGGCAGACCTTACACGGCAGACCTACACGGCAGATTCCCCGCCGCTTTCCTTGACGCGGACCCTTTCACCCCCAGCTGATGACGATGATGCACTGGGACCAGGTCCAGCACCAGCACCGGCTTCATTGGACACTGAAGGCGAGTGTTCGACGTGCTTTGCCTTTGCGCCTCCTTCGTCTTCAACGACGGTGATGGCAGACTCGTTGGGGTCTTCGGGGATCATCCATGCGCGTTCGGCCTGTTGGATTTCTTCCATCGAGGCAACGGATAGACTCGAGCCGCGGTGCGTGCGCGGGTGGCCTTCCATGGGCGGTGACGATGGAGGCGGGACATTTGTCCATGACGAGCGGCGGGGGAGGGAGCCGGAAGAGGAGGAGGAGCGAGGATGAGGCACGGGCACGGCGCCGGGCTGTGGTGCCGGAGGAGGAGAGGAAGAAGATGATGGGTCCGCAGAGGGCGCGAGCGTGGGTGTTGGACCGGGTGGAGTCATGCCGCTAAGACCGCCCCCACTGGCACCGGCAGAAGAAGGTGCTGCTGCTGCGGCGGCGGCGGCTGCTTTGATTGCGGCTTCGATAGACTCGGATTTGGTGGTGGCGCTGGAGGAAATGGTTTCTGCGGCAAGAGGAGTGTCTAGAACGTCGGGTGGAAGGTCCGTGCTTGCGCCCGTAGGAGGGGCAGTGGCAGCAGTGGAAGAGTCGAGAGGGCGGATCTTGTCCGCTGTTACGCCCGGAGTAGGTTTCTTGATTGATGCAGCCTTGGCTTCGGACGCCTTTTTGGCCGCTTCTTCGCCCGCCTGACGCATGGTTAGCGTCATTTGCGACTGCTGGGATATCTGAGGCTGAGGTTGTGATGATGCGGCAGGTTTAGGTGCGGGTGCGGGTGCTGTTTGCGTTTGAGATGCGAATGGTTTAGGAGTAGCGGATTGAGCGGGAGTGCCTGATGCTGAAGGGGTGGAAACGGGTGGAAGAGGTCCAAGGTTCTCTTTGAGCTCGCCGTATTCGTTCCATTCTTCGATTTGCTCAAGGTCCTGTAGATAATATCAATGTCAGGATGGCGTGGAAAATAAAATGTAATGAAAAAGGTTGAAAAAGTAGCGATGAGTTCCTGTGAATGCAAAAAAGCACGTACCCCAACCACCATTCCCTCCTTCACTAGACCGGGCAATTTGCGCTTGCCCGCCCTTCGACCCCAGAGCATCCGTGCCTTTTCATCTGTGGCTACATCGATTGCCCGGAAGGGAACACGATTGGCTTTGAGAATCGTTTCGAGCCGCGATGTCGCGGAGATGATGTGCGATGATCCAGCGGTGAGAGAGGTGTAGAGATAGAGCGTTGGGTCGGAGGAATAGGAGAGGGTCGGTTTGGAGGCCGAATCGGCCATTTCGACGGACAATCGTGGTTTTTAATTAGATTTGGTAAAATGAGAGAAGAAAATTCAAACTCAAGTCCGCCAAAACGGCGATTGATTCTTTTTTTTGGCGGTAGGCAAAATGATTGTTCTCCAAAGTCAATTCGGTTTGTTTGTATGTTGTTGCCTATCTCGGTAGTTCCTCAGGTGAGCTGATAGAAGTAGCGTAGGTAGATAAGAGTAGCTTTTTCTATACTCGGTGCAGGCAATTTAGCCAATGATTCAGAAGAAGAAAGTATATCTGGGTGCAGAAATACCTAAAGTTCAAGCTTGAATGAAAGGGAATATTCAATTTGCATGATCTGAGTGGCGGAAAGGAGTTGAAGTTGTTGTTGGCGGGGGACGGGTGGAACGTGGGACGTGGGACGTGCATGGTGTAGTTCCCCCTTCAACCACCCGCGAGCTCTTGAGGCGGTGTGAGCTCTACGCGGCGTTTACCGCTGTGGCTGCCCCAGCGCTTATGGTGTCTCTGTGGCTTGTGTGGCTGTGCTGAGTGTGTGTATTATATCAACACCAAAACAGTCATGCTTGTTGGGTATTATTTGATTTTTTTTGTTCCTTTCCTTTCTTTCTCCTAGCTTGACAGAAGAGTAGTCTCTGAAGCAATATTATTGAATTTTCATTTGAGCTTACATTGCCTTTAAATGAATTGTACATAGACTGTCCTTATCAAAATCATGCCTCAGACTCTCTCTTCGACTATTATTATTACTCTCTTTCACGTCCGCACGATAATTCAAAAAATTCATAACTAAAGTCTTGCTATTGTACAAATACTAGTGCTTAATTCTTACCTACAATTTCTTTTTTCCAGCAATCTTGGGACTACACTACATTGTACTATTTCAAGTCTACAGCATGTCCACCCGATATCCGACCAGCCTACTATTCGTGCATTCTCGAGACGACTGCGCTTAAAATCCCTCCGCTAAGATATCCTGATACCCGATCAATATCTATTTCCGCGCTTCCGCGCAGACAAGATCTTCATTGCCTTCCAGTTTGCCCAGTCCCAAACTACTTCTACGATGCGCGTTTTCTATTATATTAGTGCATTGATAAATGGAGGCTCAATTGAGCCTCGCAGCCGATCCTCCGGTACGCACGGGGCGCTAAGAGATATCATTGCTAGAACCAGGATCTCCCAAAGCAACAAATAGTTGCTAGAATAAAATTTTTTTCTACTGCGTCAGCATGCGTTGGACCTGCGTCGATTCAAACATCCCTGTCTAATCTTTCTAGTATCCGCGTAGGAATCTGAAACTGTCAAGCAAGCTAGGCCTCGGAAATATCGGCAACGTCAGCAACTGGAGGCATGTTTTCCGATCGGGCCCTTTATACTGGCCTTATATCCGTAGTACACCGACTTGAAACATTTACGATGCTGAACGGTTTAATGTAACATGATGTTACACCTTATCGTCATCACGATGAGAGTGAAAAAGTAAAGGACTGGCGTACCGAAACCGGAGGCAGTGCTTATCAGCAACATCAGACAGACTAGTACGTTTGGACGGGTTTCGTTTCTCGAGAGTGGAATTTTTGCTCCGAGTAAAGAGAAAAGTGCGGAATGACGTGAGCAATTTATTTTGATCGATTCATATGCTATGCTCTGATACGCTTGCATTTGGAGAAAAAAGATACTTTTTTAAGAAAAAGCAGGTGAAGGCGTTCAACGCTTTCTGTGCGTGCTATGACGTGGAATATATGTAAAACAAAGAATAGAAGAATAGCACAGCTGTTCAGAGAGTGGAAAGGAAAGCCAGAGCCTGGGATTCTAGGTCTAAACTTCACGCCCCACAAAATCGTAGAAAACAGAAAGGGATATCATTGATTGTCAGGAAAACCGCCGGTGATTCAAAAAAATGATGAAGAAGACAAGAATTACTCCAGCTGCGGGTCCTTGGCCTCGCCAAAGCGCTCAGGTTTTGAAGGGGCAGATCCATCGCTTGAAGCTTCCGGCGCGGGATATTTTTCGATTCCTTGAAGAACATCTCCGCCATGCATCTGGTGATGGATGTTGACTTTCGGTCCGTGGAACCACTTGTGGGCGTCGACGACCCACCAAATCGAGATGATGAGCATGGGGGCACCGTAGACAAGACAGGTCCAGTTCATCAGGCTGGGGCTGCAGGTAAGAGTATTGTTAGCCTTTGGTCCTCAAACTCTCTTTTTTCCATAGAAAAGCCAAAAGCATCGAGGGCACGGAAAGCTCACCTGTTAGCACTGCCAGTGTATTCGGGAAGGCAGAGGATGGGAACCATGAGAGAGACAAAAGCGCAAGCGCAGGCACCGATGGGCTGACTGAAACGACCCAAATTCCAAGGCCCCTTGCGGAATCGAGTACCGACAAAGAACACCTTGATGAAGATGGGAATGGTAAAGGCGACAAAGGCAGCAATAGCACCAACGGAGAAAAGCGCGCCAATGGCAACGCTACCGCCAAAGATCAAGAACAGCATACAGATGCCTATGGAAGTATTGAACCAGACGGCATTAACCGGCGTCTGGGTGAGCTTGTTCACCTTGCTCCAAAATCTCGAGAATGGAAAGCAACCATCACGCGCATAGGCAAAAGTCACTCGCGAAGCGGCAACCATGCATCCTTGTCCCATCGAGAACCCGCAGATAATGGTCAGAGCAAGGAGGGCTGTTGCGGTCTTCTGAGGGAGAACTTGCTGCAAGTATGCGGCAAAAGGTTGACCGAGGTCTGAGCTGATGGCGGCATCAATGTCAACGACCGTGTAGGCAACGACAATCTGAAGAAACCACCCCATGAGGCCGCCGATACCAGAAGTCATGACGATTGCACGCGGAGAAGCAACGTTGGCATTGGAGCACTCCTCGCTCAGGTGAAATGGTGCATCGTACCCGGACATGGTCCAGATGACACTGATGAAACTCATGAGAACAGCAATGCCATCAGGATAAGAAGTTTCGTTCTCGATGGTGCCCCAGACCTTGGAAGCAGGAGTGAATTTGGGATGCTGGCGATTGCAAGCCGCGGGGATTGTGATGAGCACAACAACCAAGCATATGATGTTCAGAGTAGTGCCAACAGAGTTGAAACGGGCAATCCAACGTGTGGGCATGCTGCTTATGAAGGCGTGAAAGATCATAATTAGAACGGTCAAGAGGAAAACTTGATAATTCTGCGGCGAATAGTCCGGCTTGTTGATTGATACAGCAGCGAGAATCATGGAAGCCGTTCCGTAATTGACCGAAGGAGCAGCGGTAATCTGTGTGCACCAGTTGGACCAGCCAGTAAGCCATGCAGCAAGAGGACCCCATCCAGGAGGAGCCAAGACGGCCGCGGCGTAGTAAAGTCCACCACTGGTAGGCATTGATGAACAGAGTTCTGCCATGCTCATGGCGACACATTGAATGAAAACCATGGCAACAATCCAACCCCAAACCATACCTATAGAATTTACAATTAGTCGCTGGATTTTAAACGACGATAAACGCTTCTGTCCCAATACATACCACCGGTTCCTGCATAGCCCATGCCGTAGTATAACGTCGTAGCAAAACTCGGCAGGAGACCCAAGACAGCGAAACTAACACAAAATGATGTCCAAAGGCTGAATTCTCTCTTGAACTCGGCTTTGTAACCCAATGCCTCCAGCACCTCTTCATCAGCAGACGCTCCTGGATCGATAGGAACATCTCCCGCCAGTACTGACGTGACCGGCTCTTCATTGACGCTTCTACGGTGATGCGCGGATGTAGCATCCATCTTTCCAGGATTTAAAACTCGAACCAACTAATAAAAAGAGAGAAAAGAAGGACGAAGTGAATGTATTTCAAAGGCGACGCCGATAAAAGGGGAAGCACGAAGTTGTCGCTGACGTCGGCTTGAAAACGGTGGACAATGAACAGTCCAGGGAGGCTGACCCGTCTATAAGTGAATAGACAGTATCAATACATCAGGACCAAGCCTTTCGTGCGGTTACATCTCCTCAAGGGGCGGCCAGAGTGAGCGGGATGCATGGCAACTCGGCAGATCTATCCTCGGACACACCGGCGGATGTCGCCCAGTAGGAGGGTTCGTTCCAATCCGGAAATGGCATGTTCAACCTTGACCTGAGATAGCGAATTTCCTTTTAGTATTTCGTCCGGGATTTAAGAGCTTAGCCTCTTAGACGCCCCCTCCTGATGCCCGGATATCGCATTGCAATCAATCATTTTGTGCCTCAAGCGATCGAAGTACTGCCTATCTTTGACCCTGTCAGTTGCACTAGGGATTGAGAGACACTAAAGCCCCGATGATAGCTCGCCTGACGTTGCCACGGGTAGGGGTAAGGTTTCTGTTGCGTGGGGAATGCACTAATCGCCAATCATATGCCCAGTTGTCACTGATAAGGAAGCAGCAAAAGGTCACCCTGGGCGGACGAGGGGAGCGAGACGAGGAACCACCAACGGGAGAGCAGACAATGCGGATCCATCGAGCTGGACGACGGTCCAAAGAAGACGGAGGACGCCATCCACCAACGAGTGAGAGAGGCTCATCAACCAGAAAGATCTGGCAGGACTTGCCAAACCTGGTAATGCACTAGAAGTTCCCTCATCACTGAAAGTCGCGTTTTCTTCAGCTCGTCAACCCCATATGCTGCCCGTAAGAAAATGCCATATCATTGCAGAATGCTGTTTTCAATTGACCCAAGTAAAAGGGGTTCAAGCAGTTTTGACGTTCATTTATTCGATTGCATAGGGTAGCGGGCAGCTTCGTCTTCTCCTTTGCCCAACCCTGTTTCCTTATCGCGCGGTTCAGCTCTAGACCCATCCAGTGGACGAGCAAAAGCGATCAATCGCAGCATTTAAATTGTGTAATGGATTTACCAGAGGTGACCCCAGCATGCCTTTTTTTTTTGTGGGTGTGGCCCTGGCGGCGTTTAGCGACACTCTGCTCTTGGACTTGCCAGAAAAGGCTTCTCTTGGCTTACTCCGTAATTTTGACTGCAATCACGACGGCGACGAAGCGATAAATGCTCGCTCCCAAAGCCGGCCCAATGTGGTCTCCAAACATCTCGTCCATGTTCAATTCGCTGCTTCTGGTCTGTCATGGATTGAGGGTGGACTGAGAAAATATGACGAACAAGAAGACATAGACGTAGAAGAAGTAGGAAAGCATAGATGAAGATGTATGAAAATGAGTGTTATTGGAAATTCCTGGGGGCCACTCGAACTTGGTTCCTGGGCTAGCAGCGAGAAACCAGTTATTTTAGACCGAAAGCCATGTTACCTGCAGGGCTGCTCATCCCGGCATCGATTTTAACTTGCCAATTACCAAATGATGTGTTAAATATTAGATTGTGCAAAGGTTGGCTAGGGTGGTTGTAGAGTGTCTGGAAGCAATGACCGGCAAACCCCCGAAATGGCACAGAAGTGCAGATGCACCTTGCCAATGTCCCAGATCCTGCTTTGATGTTCATGATTTTACCGTTCATCCTCCTAGTCTCCGATGATATAATTGTCAGAATACTAGTCCGATTCCATCAGTGAAAATTATCCGAACATTGCCAACTGACTCTTTGAATGACGACGCATATAGTAACAATGACTCTTATATTATACATAAATGTATCGCTATGATTTAGTGAAGAAGCATGCTTCGCACTGTCAAAAGTTTGCTTGCCGCATGTCGTAATCATCATGGAGCGGGTATCTTCAAGGTAATTCTCCCTCGTGAGAGATACCTCAGATATTAAAAATCTTTCTCTAAAGCCAAAAAGTACAAAAGAATAGGATCATCTAGAAGCTTAGTGAGCTGGCGAGTCTCGCTTCTCAAACCTTCGAAACAATGGCTTGAGAAGATCTCACTCTTGGCGGCTCAGTGCTGGGCTCCCACGGCTCCACTTCATCACATCCCTGAGGGACACGACAAACTTGGCGTGCGGCCTCTGGCGCAGTTTTCCATATAACTTCGCGAACCTCGTTCCCTACTTGCTCTATCGAATCCATAGCCCATATAACATCAAGATGCTCGTACTCCTCGATAATCTTAGCATGAACCAACTGAACATACGGTTCTCGACCCCGTTCGAATCGTCGTAACAGTCTCCGACCGTCAACTAGGTCGTCAGACCCGGCGATCCACATGGCGAAAGGAGGCACCTGCTCGTCGTACCAAGCCGTACGCCCTTTGTCCTTTTGGGGAGCTCCAGCCGAGGGGCCGGCCCCTGAGGACTGGTTTTCTTCGGGCGTCTCCGTGGCCATCGCCTCCTCCTCATCCTCATTCTCCTCCATTTGACCCACCTCACGCGTAGCGAGGATGCATTTCTGCTTGGCGAAGCACTCCCGACCTAGCCACCATCTCATGCTCTCCGCGCTGACATATACGGGAGCGAATTGAAACATGCGATCGCGAAGATCTCGCTCCCATCGGTCATCTGTCCAGTTGAAAAGGAAAGAGAAGACACGGTAGCCTAGTGCGCCGTAAAGTCGACCAGGAAGAAGGGAGTGCATCTTCATCATGAAAGGAATGAACGCATGAATGCCAAAGATCAGCCGGAAGAGACCAGGTGAGATGATACGCATAAATTTGAAATACATTTTGCCGATAAGTGGACCGGCATATGCTGCGGGCGCGAGGGCGCAGAATACACTGATCTTGGACCCCAAATCTGGCCGCTGTTCTTTGGCCAGGGCAACGAACGTCTCCGTCGTCCCTTGCGAGTGGCATATGAGACCAAGCTTCTCAAATCCTGTCTCGCTCAACACTCTTGAAATGAGTGCTGGTAAGTCCATCACTCCCATCTGCCTGATATTCCAGGCCCACATACGAGGATCACTGTAGGTGAGCATCTGGTGCTGAGGCCGGAAACCACAGCGATTGTTGCCTAACCACACATCATATCCACTACAGAATACCGTCAACTCATGATCGAGTAAAAGAAGGAATGCGAGCAGTGGTAGAGTGGTCTTACCTCTTACATAGATAAAACGCGAGACTCTCGTCATCGTTGCAACAATAGGCCCCTGAGCTCTGCAAAAGTCCGTGTACGAGTAGGACAGGATACTTTCTCTGGCCGTCTCTAAATTGCCGGCCAGAAGCTCCCTTCTTTTGGCCTTGGGTAGCCTGGCCCTCGGGAAAAACTTCTGGGCCGTGTTCCTGGCGGTCACTATCCGGGACGGGTTGGTATTCTTTTGGGTCGTAGACGTGCCACAATTGCAGAATGAATCCATCTTCGGTTTGCACTTGAAACTCTTCCACGTTGAGACCGACGCGGCGGGCATAATAGCCAACGTCGCAAATCAACTTGTCTTTGCCTCCTTCCGTGGGCTCGAACGCGGCCTTTTGGGCCGCATCGACTTCGTTGTCATCCATCTTTGTTTGGCTGTTGCGTCGACGTTGACGACGCTTCCAGTCCTTTTCTGCTTCTCTTCGAGCCTTTTTTCGGCGACACTCCTCCTTATGAAACGGGCGAAGCGCGTCGGGATTTCTGAATGTAAGTCGAAACCAGGTATTACGAAATATGAGCGGTAAGCTGGTAAAGGCCGCTCCCAAAACGATGACGCCAAGAAAAGACAAAGAAAGGAAAAAGGATGACACCCGGAAACTGAAACATTGCAGGTTCCGCAATAGCGTCGGCGGCCCGTATAATGGGAGCGGGGGGAACAACGGATTTGTGCGTGACGGCGGCACGGCCTCTCGAAGAGGCGCGCCCGGTTCTGTGGATTGTTTTGAGGAAAGCTCTCCAGTCCCGTCCATCTTGGTTTTCTCGTCCTCCTCTGCACCGTGATGGCCCGTTGAACTTTCCAAGGAGTCTTTGGACGGAATCGAGTCACCTTCAAGCTCGTCTTTTAGCGCATTGAGTTTCTCGGCCTCTAAAAGTGGCACGGCTGGGAGACGGCCGCCATTTGCAGTTGCAATGACAGGATCGTACGGTGTCACAAAGATAGCTTCCTTCGCAGTCGTTGCGCCTGTTCGATCATCCTCTTGCCCTGGCGTCAGATGCGCTAGCCGCTCCGCTTGGCGCGTGTATTGCACAGCTGCATCTATTTTGCTCTTCGTGTCGGCTGTGACTGTTTCAGAAACAGTCATGGCGCATCAAGCGTGCCCTGCTGAGAGAAACACGGTGATAATATTCTCGTGGCAAGCGTCTCCGTGGTCGGCGATAATTTTAGGTTGACCCAGGTTTGTGTAAATTGAGCAAAGAGAAGACGGCCTTCCAGGTAAGATATTTTCTGCTCTTTGTCAATTGATGCGCCAGTCGTGGGAAGAATCCTGTGGAGAAATATCCTGCCCGGTTATTCCGCCTTTAGAGTCGCGGGTACCGATGTCAATGACCCTGCTGTTCCTGCTGTCTGGCGTGCCAATGACCGGGTTTCAGGCCAAGATCCGGCAGCACGCACAGATTCAAGTGCATGGCCAGCTGCGGATCAATTCGTCAAAGGAGCGGACACCTTTGGGACTGTGCGAAGGAGTGGATGCACCATGACGCTATGGGTGGTGGCCATTTCATTTGCTTTTTTCCACCGGGAACCTTCCCTAAGCTTGCCATCGCATCATCGATAGGGGTTCGTTTGGTTGTGATTGGATAATGAAGAGGGGCGGGCGTTGGCACCGTTCCAAGATTGCCGTTCACCCAACGACAAGCTACGCCAGAGACAGATGAGGGGATGCGCTAGACCTAACCCAAGATTGACGTGCCTCTCTGGGCATTCCAGAGACACTGAATAGACCACGACAGATGTGGTGACTTTATAAAACATTTGATCATTGAGCCATAACGATTAATTGGACGCAGCTGTGTAAGCATCAAATAATGAAGAAGAATATGAGAAAATTAGTCTAAGAAAGGAATAATCTCAGTCTCGCGAGGCAAGGCAACGCCGGTTTGCCTCGCTCCAGCAGTCAATCGTTAGTAAGTAGAACGGAGCCGAGAATCTAGCGGGGCGCCGGACCAATAGTGTGGTTAAAGAATCGCCAAACAAGACCAAGCTTCTGACAAGAAATGCGCTATTCAGGGGTGACGTTGGTTATAGACAGTCGAGATTGGAGTATCGCTCCCTCCTAATTTTTGCAGTGACGTGACTCTCAGCTGTGGGTGCCGCTTTTCATGTTTCTGATAGTGGGCCCTTCCTGTGAGCACTAAGATCCCCCATGATCTGGAGCACTCCGTATGTAGAAATACTCCGTAGTATCTGAAAGTTCGTAACTCATCTATGACACGTTTGTTTCCTTCTCTTCTCCTTTCTTTTCTCTCCGGTCGCTCCTTCGTGCGCTCCTTCGTGGAGCGGAGCGCAGTCTTTGTAAACATCTGTTTGATGTTTACAGCGGCGGATATTGTTATGGGATGTCATTTGTGCCTCATCGTCCCGAGGATTCCCAAACCCAACGCCACGTCTCAGACAATCTTCGTCAACTTTGCTGCTGCACGTGGAATGAAATGCTGAGAGCAGTCTAGGGTGATAACTTGAGCTCGCTTTTGCGGACCTATTAAATTTAGGCGCAAGGAAAACGCATTGTCCCATCTCTCATCTGTCCGGTCATGCAGACTCTTTCATCAATCCATTTTGCGCCTTATTAGACGAGTCGAGCAAAGACACTTGCATGAGAGTGTCTTTCTGCAAAAGATGACTCTTTCCTAATCATTTCAATGACCTCAAGAACTGATGCGAAAATCTCGAATGTTGGTGTTAGGTCGATGCTCCGCCTAAGATTTTCTAAAGTGTGAAAGGTCACAGTATGCTGCCAGTCGGCTCCATTATCGCCACACAATTTGTTCCTCTGTCTGAGTCCACTTAAAATAACCAGGAAAATGCTCAGCTCTTCGTCTGTATTGTGCTTGAAGAAATGGTATATTGCATTTGAGTCACGTAAGAAAACCATGCAAATTATTGTCAGATTTAGATGAATAAGATATGAGTTCAATTCCTCATTAGAAGTCAGAACACTGGGAAATGTCTTATTCGAAGCAGGTGTTTGCATGATAAGGGAGAACTTACGATCTTTGGTGATAAGTTATTTGGTGGATGAAAACGGCGAGATATCAAAGACGCAGAGAGGGAAGTTGAAACCGACCTCGGTTCAGATTCGGTAAATTTACGGCTGGTCCCGGCCGGAGCTCAAGAGCGCCGGTGCCGTTCAGGGTCGATTATCTGCTTTGAAGCTCTCTAGCAACAGCATGATTCCTCATGAACAACGGTCAATCATCCCTTACCATTAAGCTGTAGGATCATGGCAGTTGGGGAGCCCCTATGGCGTTCTCGAAAACGGAGAAGGAGAAGGCAGCTTGCTGTCCCCGTCTCTGCGCGCTTGGTCCTCGATGACAAACTCTCCGGCGACGTTGGACTTTTGTCTGAGGATCTCTTTTCTGAGCTCTTTCGGGCTGATAGGATTATAAATGGTATATCGATAGTGAGCCTAGTTCAATATCTTGAGTGGATGAGCTAAAAGTGTCCCTCGCAACAATAGGTACGGAAAGTGACTGCTCAGAATACATCCGCCATATCGCGATAGCTCCCTGGGCGCCATTGTCCCCCGATCTGATCGACAGCAGCTGCTGGACGGTGCTGCCAGTGAAGAAACTCGCCCATAATGCCCCGACGGGTAGAGAGACAGTTCACTCTACCTTGAAGTTTCCTGCCGCATCTCTCGCATTACAGCGGTTCGCGAGCGCTTTACGGGCTGTTGCACCAGCGAAATTGGCCAGCAGGGCTATTCCGTCAATTGAAATCCGAATTTTGGATGTCATTCCTCTCGCACTTGACTCGATCTATGTAACGGTTGATGGCGAGGCTTTAAAAAAGATGGAGGAGGCACATGGGAAATTTGGGGGAGGCTTTGGCGGATGGCCGATGCGTAACGGCCGGGCGACCAACGAACAAACAGTTTCAAAAAATAATGTTTTGAGCCGCGAAGGGGATAAGGCCAGGGTGTTCTCGTCAGACGAATCCCTAAGACAGGCAATACGCAAGGCACTCAAGGCCCCAAATGTTGTGCGCGCTGGCGATTTACTCCCGTTGCCTTTGCCTTCTCACCCTATCACTCATGTTCCGCCACCACCGGCAAGGATCACGCTGTGCGAGCCAGTTGCACAAGGCCGACTACTTCCACACACAAAGGTGGTGGTAATAAGGAGCCATCCGCGAGAATCTTCGGCGCGAAATGTCCTCCAGATTCCGGTGCAGCAACAGCTTGATACCTTTGCAGATGAGGACGATACTTCAAATGAGCAATTTTATTCAGCAGCGGAGGACAAGGAGTCTTCAATGACTGAATCTGTGGTGGATGGTGAAGAAAATGTTTCAGAGACAGATAATTCGGCTCCTGGGCTTTCGGAAAGCGAGAGCGCTGACCTCTCGGACGACTCAATGGACGAAATGATTTCCTTGAGTGCCCCTACACTTCCTCCACATTCGTCCGGTGTACTGTCCTCCTTCACTTCGGCGACTCCTAGGCCAGGAGGCGCTGCACATGGCGTTAGTACTCCCGGATCAGTAATCTCAAGCTACACCATCACGGCACATGGTTTTAGACGACTTCCAAAGGACCACTTCAAAGTGCAAGGTTTGCTAAGGAAAATCCCGGATGATTTATTGCATCCACGGCCACTGATTGACGATGATGATGAAGCCCGTGTGTTTCTTGAGGTAAATATGCTTGCCAAAGTCGGGTGCTTTTCTGGGGACTGGGTTCGCGTTCAACCTGTTGCTGAGTCCCATAATGGAATAGAGCAATGGGGCATTTCGAGCTTTGGCCAGGATGGTGAGAGTGCGCAAGGTGCTCGTATCGCCAGAGTTTATGGTCTCCCAGAAAGCTATCCAAAAAAATCCCAACGCTATCCTTTCAAAAAGTCTGGGGAGCGTCGCTTAAGTTCTTCAATTCTTTCTCCTGTGGATACAACCGCGAGGGCATATCTATCACCCATACTACTAGCTAACCTTGGAGGACCTTCTCATCTGAGGATCTCGCCTCTTTCAACTTTGAAGTCTACTCCAGGCTCTCCACCCCCATCCCTAAAGAAGCTTGCAGCATCAGCTTCACCTCCTGCAGCAAAAGAAGTTACTCTCCTAAAAATTTCGACGCCACTTTCAACAGATCGTACTCTTCAGCCAAGCTTACTTAATGGACTGAAGCGTTACTTTGAGCAGAAGCGGCGATTAGTGAAACAGGGCGATTTGGTCGCGGTTTCTATCGATGAGAACTTCGGCAGAGCCGTGTTCAGTGGCTCGAGTGTCGGAGAACCCGAAGGTGGTCTAGACGAGCTCATGGGTGGCGCGGTAGCTGATGCAGGCCAGTCGGTGGAATGCAAGAATGCACGTAACAGAAATGTGGCTTGGTTCAAGGTTGGGCCAGTGTTAAATGGCAAGCTCGATGCTTCCTCTAGGCTAGATGGCTCATACATATGGAACGACATGGCAGTAATCGACACCCTAAGCACGCGCATGGTCCAGGCTGGGAGCGAACAAAGCGTCATTCCCAGCGCGGCATCGAATCCTTGGGAGTATTACATGGGAACGAAACAATCATCAGGAAGAACTGGCATTTCATACGGGGATCCCATTTTTGATATGCCAATATCCTTTATTTCAAAAGCGAGAAGACGACTAAGAGAACTTATCGCGGCAACAACCAGCGCTCGTGCGATGCATCTGGGTCTGCCGCCCCTAGCCATTTTGCTTGTCTCTAACCAGCGCAGCATAGGCAAAGCGACCACAGCAATCAAAGCTTGCGCGGATCTAGGAGTACACCCCTTTGTGATCGATGCATACGACATCATAACGGAAGGGGGCGCATCTGGTGGCGACGTGAAGACGGAAGCTTTTTTGAAGGCGAGATCTGAGAGAGCCCTGGCATGTGGGCGAGAATGCACTGCGGTAATTTTGAAACGCATTGAGGCGTTGACTGCTGAGAGAATTTCCTCAGCTTTGAAGGAAATTATTGCAGACTCAAGAGTCCTCATTGCTACGACGACAGATGTGGAGAAGGTTCCAGACGGCGTAAGAAGTTTATTCACGCACGAGGTGGAAATTTCTGCACCAGATGAGAGTGAAAGAGAAGCACTTTTGAGGGACATCATCGAAGAGAAGGGCGTCAAGCTTGCATCTAACGTAGACATATCCTCTGTCGCCCTGAAGACAGCTGCACTCGTCGCTGGCGATTTGGTAGATGTCGTTGAACGAGCGATCGTCGCGAAACAGGAACGAGTCGAGAAGCTAGCTCAGGACTCCGGAAGTCAGAGTGAAGAAGTTGAAATAACACCACGAGATGTCCAAATATCTGGGGGCGAGGCGGGACGCTGTCTGATCAAAACAGATTTCGACCTCGCAATCGACGCTGCACGTAAAAACTTTGCTGACGCCATTGGCGCTCCGAAAATTCCCAACGTGACATGGGACGATGTTGGAGGACTGACAAATGTCAAAGACGCTGTCATGGAAACCATCCAGCTACCGCTCGAACGCCCCGAGCTCTTTGCCAAGGGTATGAAGAAGCGGAGTGGTATCCTGTTCTACGGGCCGCCAGGCACTGGTAAAACCCTACTGGCGAAAGCAATCGCCACCGAATTCTCACTCAATTTCTTCTCTGTCAAAGGACCAGAGCTACTCAACATGTACATTGGTGAATCCGAAGCAAATGTCCGCAGAGTATTCCAGAAAGCCCGTGATGCGCGACCTTGTGTTGTCTTTTTCGACGAACTTGACTCAGTTGCACCCAAGAGAGGCAATCAAGGTGACAGTGGCGGTGTCATGGATCGCATTGTCAGCCAGCTTCTCGCAGAGCTTGACGGTATGAGCAACGGCGAGGAGAGCGGCGGTGGTGTCTTTGTCATTGGAGCTACCAACCGACCAGACTTGCTCGACCAAGCCCTCCTCCGTCCAGGTCGTTTCGACAAGATGCTTTATCTGGGAGTATCCGATACACACGACAAACAACTTACCATTCTGGAAGCCCTCACCAGAAAGTATTTTGCCCCTTTCCCCTTTTTACTCTCAACGAATTGTCACTGACCGCGTCAAACAGATTCTCTCTTCATCCCTCCCTCTCACTTGGTCGCGTTGCCCAGTCTCTTCCTTTTACCTACACTGGCGCCGACCTCTACGCTCTCTGCTCAGACGCCATGCTCAAGGCTATCACGCGGCAAGCTTCCGCTGTTGATCGAAAAATCAAGGCTCTTCCCGGAGGACCGGTCACAACGGCATACTTTTTCGACCATCTTGCAACCGAGGAAGACATTTCCGTCATGGTCACCGAAGAAGACTTTACCGCCGCTCACCGCGAGCTTGTTCCTAGTGTTAGGTGCGTAGTTTTGCCTTTTTCAATTCTACCATGAAACCCCCCCCCCCCCCCCCCCCCCCCCCCCTTTTTTTTTTCCCTTGTTTCGTTTCACGATTATCAAAGCTAAATATATCAAAACCTCCTTCAGTGCCAAAGAACTCGAACACTACGACCGTGTCCGCCGCACATTTGAAGCAAATGACGATAAAGATCCCAAGCAAGCATTAGAAGCCCTAGAGGCCTTGGAAAATGAGGAATATCAAAACGCCATCACTTTCACAACCAATGGTCCTGAAACATCTACCCCACCGGCTCAAGGCCTGCGAGCAACTGGCGTCGAGCAGATCCTGCCTTTGCATTCCCGCCCCAAACACACGGCACAGCGTCCACAAGAAACTGTTCCTTCAAAGTCCAAAGCAAAGAGCAAAAGTAAAACACAAAAGGGCAAGAGCAAATCCAAGGGAAAAGGGACGGCATCCGCACCAGCTGCATGGGACGCCGTTGACGGCGCTGAAGAGGATGACGAGGAAGATACCGACGAGAACTACGAAAGTGCCTATACTGTCAACAGGACAGACCATGAGCACGTCGGCCATGACCGTGATGACGATGATGAAGATGAAGATGAATATATTATTCGCGGCACCCCTTCATCGGCTACCACTACTTCTGCACACACTGCGCCCTTGTTTTCCCCGACAAGTACGGTGCCGAATCAGACAATCAGCGCCGCAATTAATGCTGCCGCGTTGAATGGCTGGGCTGCTAATACTGGTACGTCCGGGACAGGAACTGAATCTTCGAAAGGGAAAGGAAAAGGCAAAATCCGCGACGGCGAATAAATGTTGAAAGGAGCAATGGACACATATTCTTCCTCCTTCTAATGCTTCTAATGTTGTATTATCGTCAATTTCATGGAGCATGTATTCATGGATCCCCCTCTCGGGAGATAAACGTTATATACCGTCCTGCCTAGCTGCCGTTTGCGCGGATCTTGATCAAGTATATAAGGTATATACAAAACATATATTCAAAATTAACGTGTAATCACCTCTCTCTATCTCTCAACGTTTGGATTCTTCGTTCATCGTAATTTTGTAGCACCTGGCACTGGAAGATTGCGATTATAGATTTATTGTATTTATTTCTCCTTGCTAATTCTGCAATGTACGAGTATGTGAAGAGTGACAGACCATAAAACTGACAAGAGGGGATATCATTTATGAAAGAGAAAGAAAACAAGGAGAAACATGTCTTATCTAGATCTCTATGAGAATCTTAAGATTTGCATGTAGTAGGTTTCCATCCGGGGAAAGAATAGAAGAAGGCGGGATGCTAATGCGGATATGCTATAATGGTAGGATGAAGGTGTATGCATCATGTGCGACTTGATATCGTGAAATAGAATATAAGCACTGACCCAGGGGACAGTGCGCTAGGGTGGAAAAAGTCATTAGTTGTCCAGAACAACGTGGCAAAAAAGAAAAGTGAATAAATGAAAAATAGAGGGACAAGAAAACAAAAGTAAAAAGTTGAACAAATTGACCAGTGGCTTGAGAAATCACCGACCGATATACTTCAACTCGAGGTATCGCAGGGGAATGAAGGTGACAATGGTAAAAATAAACGTCAACTGGTTTCCGATATCACCGCCGTATTCGCCAATGTGCTTGGCAATCACGCCGACGTACCACGTCTGGACCATGCCGAGGATGCAGCCGACGATACCGATCAGAAAGGCGAAGAGACCAGCAATGCCAAGGGGCATCTTAGAAGGCGTGTCCCAGGCGTCGAGGTCATAGTTGTTAATGTTGCCATTGCGGAACACGTAGTGTTCGAGGAAAACAATAACGAAAAAGGCCGTGTTCCAGTATCCCAGCAGGGACAGGAAGTTTTCGAGCACGTCCAAGAGGTGATCTCGACCAGCGACACCGAGGAGCAGAATGCCGACAAAGACGAGGATAGTCCAGAAGAAGCGGGGAACAGCCTGGAGGGGTTTGGCAAAGAGTTGAATGGACAGAGCGCCAGAGTACATGGCGATGCAGTTCATGCCGATGCCGGAGAGGACGAGCAGGACAAGAATGAACTTGGCGAAACCTCGAGGAAATAGAATGCCTTGGATAAGATACCCGAGTCCCTGGTCGTTCAGGTCCGCCCAGTCTTTGTTGATATTCATGGTGGTTCCGACGCAGCAGCCAAGCACCATGCCGATGGACGTCGGGATAGAAATGCCAAGCATGGTGTAGAGGAAGATTTTGACCTTGGGCGTGTTGACGGGATATTCGACATAATAATCGCATGCAATAGAGGACCACGATGCGCTGGAGCCGTAGACAATGGCGAGTAGGGACAGGACATTTCCCGAAAAGGTTGCGCCGCTCACGGTTGCAGAAGATTTGGGATCCGCATAGTGCGCAACTTCGCCGTACATGATCATGAAGATGACGAAAAAGACGGCCCATGCGTACTTTTCGTACACAAGCACGCCTCGCAGTCCGATGAAGCTGAAGACAAGTCCCACCACGGCAATGATAACCACACCGAGCACCAGGGAGACGCGGCCGTCAGATACAGCCGTGAGAGCAAGACCGCCAGTGATGCATCCGACAGAAGACCAGCCGAGTTGCTCAATGACGTTGAGAGCAGCAATGATTGAGGCCGGATAGAAGCCGAAACTGTAGCGTGCAATGGCAACTTGTCGAAGACCAGTCTCGGGGCCCATGGTTGCGCACCAACCCTACATATGAAATTAGAATACAACAAACATTTCCCATTTTCTGTGCGATCCATAATGGTCAACCCACCGTTACGGCTCCTCCTAGGAGCGAACCAAAAATGGTGATCAGAATAGATTGCTTCAGATCCAATCCGAAAATCTGCGGGCCCAAGAAGCCAGAAGCAAAGCAGCTGAGGGTCATTGTACCGGATGCCCACAAAAGTGCCATGACTATTTGGCTAGGTGGATTGCGGTTCTCAGGCAGAACACGGTCCGTCGCGGCGGATTCGATGCCTAACTTGCGGTCCATCCATGACTCCCAGTATCGCATACGACCAAGTATTCCTCCCTTATTCACCGGAATATCGTCGCTGCTGCCATTGAGTGGTGCTGCCACTGGAATAACGCCAGACTTTTCCTGGGCCTTGCCCTCGGCGTCGTAGAATTCAGACATTTTTTGGGCCGGTTGTTTGGTCGGTCTCACAATTGCACGACAACATTCAAAACCCGAGCAGTGGCGTTCAGAGGGCGGTGGTTCATTAATATATTTTCTCGTCCATGCGGAGGAGGGCTCAGTGACCCACCCCCAGCTCGCATTAGTTTTAGGCTCATGCTTTTTTATCAGGCAGGTGGTAGGGGAAATCCTTGCAATCGAAAAAGTGCATTATCAACGCTGGCCAGACGGCACCACCGAACCAAAATTTGAACGGCTCCCGGGCCCCACCAACTCGTGGATGCCTCCCCACCTATCGAACCATTGACAGGATGTGAGCCGATTTCTCCATGCCTTTGCACGATACTCCGCTATATTTGGTACGCAAATTCGCCGTTCAAATGACTGTTTAGATCAAAATTGAGATTTTTGCATCCTACTGTGGTCAGTAATTCGAGATGATTTTCCAGGCTTGAAGGGGGGTTTCCTTGGGTCCCGACCAAGATAAGGCCGAGTCTAAAAATTTGTCTGCAAGGTCTTCGGCCAATTCCTAGCCAGCGAGACGTCCCATTAGTTTTCTCCTGCGGCTTCCCATCTTTTCGCCTCCTCAAGTCAGCCGGCATTGTTACCTAGAGGAGTCAAGCCTTAGGACCAGGCAATGGTTAGACCAGCCCAGTCACTCTAGTCGCCGACCACGCTAAGCAAATGGAATCTGGGCACCAGTTAGCTTGGCACAGCGAAGCCTTCTGGGCAAATTTCCAGACGAAAACATTGCCTTCTCTGAACTTTTCCTTTAATGGAAGGAGGTCTCGCGGTATCAGCGAAATCCATCCCACCAAGATATGAGTGCGCCACGAGGATAAGCATGCGATGTCGATCATAGGAGCCAAATCTCTCCGTATCACCTCTCAAAAATTGCTCGGAGGTCGCCTTGCTCGTACCCCAGCATGCTCTTATCTTGTTGTGATTTCAGCTGTACCAGTATACGAGGATCCACGAATCGACACTTTCACTCGCGATCCAAGGGTTGCTTCGCTGAAGAGACTGTAATCGAGATCGCATAAACCACGCTATTGATGAGGCGTCACGCAAATGATCATATTGATTTCATAGCTCACATTCATGTTGATAACCTTAAATTGACATTGCAACGCTCTTTGTTGGAACAGCGAGCCTGAGCAGATGAAGTACTGCTGACCCAACGTAAGACTGAAGAGTGTCGGAGTCCTGAAATATGCATCACATATCTCGAAATTTTTATGCTGTTCAGTACGCCCATTTTGCACATCTGATCGAAACAATTGAATAATATTTCGTCTGAAACTCCCGCACAGCTCACTGTAAAAACCCCTTATGTAGCATTACACACCAGCGTTTTCCCTTGCGGCGGTTGGGGACAGTTGAACCTCTGATGGTGAAAGGAGAGTTTCGAGAAACAAACTTTCTCTGCAAAGATATCGTTTATCCTGTTCGTAGCTATTGAACATAATCGAATATTGGTTGCTTACGGATTACAATCTGATCAATTGTCGTGACGATGCAGCAAAAATGGGCGAGAAGGAAAATCGGGGATCGGCGTAGGGACCACCGTCCGGGTAACGTAATGTGACAAGTTCCAGAAACTTATAGATTGATAATTTGGAAATACAACTGCTCTGGAAAACTCCATCAACGACTGTCGTATTAAAGCCATAGATATGGGCCATCATAGAAAGCGCAAGCATGCGCACTACCGAGAGGGCCAATCATCGGATTCAGCTTCGACAAATGGTTTCGGAATGGGACAGACATTGTCGATGCTGAAGCTGCCAGAGCTTCCCACCTTCAACCTGACGTCTTCTAACCAGGAAATCGTCGACAACTCGAAGCAGTGCGAAAATGATGATGCTACGAGCACGAACGATGTGGCGCAACGGAAGTCGAAGAAACAAAAGGTAGACAAGAAATCGCGACATAATTATCCGACAATTACACATTCTCCTCACTCCCGACTATCTACCAAAGTCAAAATTGGCGACTTGCAGGGACTGGCATTGTATTTGATAGCCGACGGTACAGCGCCGCAATGGGTCTCTGTCAGTCACCATAAGTCCGTAAACAAGGTTGTGACACTTATGGTGCCAGGACTGGAGGCTGGTATGTTCAATGGCGAGATCCCTTTGGGAGCAGGGCCTTCAGAAGTCGCTCCCGGAAAGAGTCTTGAGAAAGTCGAGGAAGGTGGCAGCACAGAGCAGGAAACGGAGGAAGAAGGAAAGAATCAAATCTCATCGTCTCCGGATGATTTCTATCCGGTAGCTCTGAGCTCTGGCAATCTACCCGACCCTCTGAAGCCGCTGGCAGACATGTTTCCTCAGATTTGGCCAATTAAGACACCAGGTGACGACCGTTACTCGCGGATTCACTCGCCTCTACACGCGATGATGCTAGCACAATTACCAAAGGCGAAAGATGAGAAGAACAAGAAGGGACCAAAAGCCCCTAGAGAAGGAAAGTTCTGGGAAAACCAGCGTACGCCGATAACGACCTTTCTCGCCACAGCGGAGGAACTACGAGAAAACGAATATCCCCTACATCCAGCGTTACTGCCGAGCGAGCAAGACCGAGTCGAAGAAGAGGAGCGGCGGAAACGGGCTAAAGAGACGGCAGAAGACGGCTGGGTGGATACAAGAGTGGACAAGTACGAAGATGGTGCCGTACCGGATGAAGATATCCAAAAGGGCAGCCTGACTGAAGGAAGGGAAGTGCTGGCGATGGACTGCGAAATGTGCAGGACAGAGGCCGGTATTGCTCTTACGAGAGTCAGCATTATTGGATGGGATGGTGAAGTCGTCCTCGATGAGTTGGTGAAGCCAGAAAGCCCAATCGTCGACTACCTTACTCCGTAAGTCGAAGCCGTAGCTACCTGCTTGGGGCGTTACGCCAGAAGAATTAGTATACTGACGCATATACAGATACTCTGGTATCACCGAGGCCATGCTGGCTCCAGTAACGACCACGCTCAAAGACATTCAGTCTCGACTCCTAGAAATGTTCCACCCACGTGTTATTCTCGTTGGCCATTCCCTCAACTCTGATCTCGCGGCGCTCAAAATGACGCACCCGTTCATCATTGACACGGCAATTTCATTCCACCACCCACGTGGTCCACCACTAAAATGCTCCCTCAAATGGCTTGCACAAAAGTTTCTCAACCGTGAAATCCAAAAAGGGCACGGCAGCGCCGGGCACAATCCCATCGAGGATGCCCTTGCATGTCTCGACCTCGTTAAGCAAAAATGCGAAAAAGGAGAACGATGGGGCACAAGCGACGCCCGGGGCGAGAGCATTTTTAAGCGGCTCTCGCGGGCACAGCGACCAGATGCACCGCCGAGCCCTGACGGTCGTCCCGGCGCAGCCGTCGACTGGGGCGATCCCAGTCGCAGTTTCGGCGCGTCTGCCAAGGTTTGCATCGGATGCGAAACCGACGAGCAGGTCGTGCAGGGAGTCGGAACCGCAGTCAATGGCGACCCAGACGGCAAGATTGTCTCTGGCGGAGGCGTTGATTTTGTCTTTGCCCGACTGCGCGAGTTAGAGGCTGTCCGGGGCTGGTGGAATAGTGGTCCCATTGCCAAAGCCGCAGCCGCAAGGGTGCTCAAGGAACTTGCAGACCAGGGGGTCGAGATGCCTCAAACTCAACAACACAACCCCGCTTCTCTCTCCTCTTCTACTTCTCCTCCTACGTCAACAATATCTCCTGATGCTCCTCCTCCTATCAATACTTCGACCTCCTCATCATCCCAACACCCCGCACCTGATCTCACGAATTCTACTCCCACATCGTCATCAGCTACCCCTCTTCCATCAAATTGCTCAGCCAATATGTCTTCTCTCACATTAAACCCTGCATCCACATCCGCATCGAACCTCCCCACCACCACCTCTACCGTTCCGAACCAAGACCCTAATACATCTTCTTCTTCTTCCACCACCGAACCCGACCCCTCCATCGAAATCCAAATCACCCCCACCATTCTCGCCGCCGCCGTGCACCGCACCGTCTCGCATATCCGCCAAATATACGACTCCCTGCCCCCTTGCACTGCTTTTATCGTGTACTCCGGAACCGGCGACCCACACGAGGCGTCCCGTCTGCAAGCCCTCCAGCAGCAGTTCAAGCGCGAATTCCAAATCAAGAAGTGGGACCAATTGAGTGTCAAGTGGACAGACACGGAGGAACAGGCGCTTCATCGGGCCGTCCGGAAGGCTCGGGCGGGTATTGGATTTGTGGTTGTAAAGTAGCGAGTGGAGTGCAAAAGCGTGAGCTTAACATCGTCCTGTCCCGTCCTGCGATTTCGGAAGCGACAAGCTTTAAAAAAAGCTTGCTTCGAGGTTAGGAGTTGCAAAGCTTTTTGCTCATTGTAAGTCCAGCAGCGTGTCGGGCGAGTTTAGCAATGTATCGCGAAGTCGTAAGCAAAGACATAACAGAAAATGCTATCACGTTATGTAGAAAAGCAAAATTATAGATCAGAAAGGAGATGTCCGTTTGCCATATATGCTGTATAACAGTAAGGCTGCATCATGCTTTGAGTGGAAAGGTGTATGTACATATACAGCATTATACACTGACGAAAGGATAAGCAAACTTTTTTAACCCAGAAAAAGAGAAGAAAAGAAGCCTCAACGATAAACTAAGACGACCTTCTCCTAATACCAACATTCAAACCAAGCGGCTTTCGCAAGAATCCCTCCCTGGTATGCATTTCAGTCTGATACAATTCAAATTCATAGTTGCGAAAAACAGTTGCCACGATGAGGGCGAGTTCCATTTCTGCGACGTTGCGGCCGACGCAGGCTCGCGGGCCGTGACTGAATGGGACGAAGGCGGCTTTTTGAATGTCCGATATGCTTCCACCGCCAGCTCCACCACTTCCAAGCCACCGGTCAGGCCGAAATTCATCGGCGTCAGGACCCCAGATCTCCTTGGAGTGATGGATGGTGTATGCTGGCACGGACAGGACGGTGCCGGCGGGAAAGTGTTTGCCGAGGATAGTTACCCCGGGACTGCCTGGCGGGACGACTCGAGGTAGGCCGAGACTGGAGGTTGAGTGGATACGAAGGGTTTCGTTGATTACTGCTTTGAGGCTGTTCACTTGTTAACATGGCTGACAAAAGAAAACGCCGAAGGAAATGGACGTAACGGGATGCTTGAAGGAGAGGACCAAGGAGATCGGCGGAGGACCAAGGGATAAGGGGATGACAAACATACTACGGCAAATCCTTGACAGTACTAAACTCCGGAATCCTAACACCACTGGCAATCGCTTCGTCCGATTCGGTTTGCAATTTCTCAACCACACCAGGCGTTTTCAAACACCAAAACAACAGCGCACAAGACGTATTACTCGTCGTATCGCTCCCCGCAATCATCTGGGTGAGCGCCTCGGCCGTTAGTTCCTCTCTGCCCATTGGATTCCCATTCGAATCACGACCCTCCATGAGCCGCGCGAGCAAATCGACTCGATCGGACTTTTGCCCAGCCTGGAGGCGCGCATTGACCCTTGCTACCGCGATCCCAGCCAATTGCTTCACGGCCGCAAGACCGTGGCGGAAGAACGGGTCCGGAGAGTACGGCGCCCATTTCTTCAGCGCGGGCAGGCAGCCTAGTGTTGCTGAGACTTCTCCTCGGCGGTTGAGCACCTGAATGGCTGGCGCATATGTGGGTTCTGCGTCGGGAGTCATGCGTACTTCAGCGATATCTGCGCCTTTGGAAAGCATTCCGAATGGCGCGCCAAACGCAAGGTCCCCGATAATGTCGAATGCAAGATAATTGAACCAGTTGAGTGCGTCGATGGGCGCGTATTTCCCTTGCGAGCCTGTCGCCGTGGTCGTCGTTGTCGTTGATGCGGTGGCACAAATGCGGTCCCATTGTACAAGAAGCTCCTTGAGGTTGTGATGCATGTATTGCTCGAATTGACCTATCACTTTGGCACTAAATGTCCCGGAGACAGTCTTGCGCTTGCGGGTGTGTTCGGCGCGGTCCCGGGTGTTGAACAGCCCGCGGTGGATCGAGACAAAGGCGTCGTAGTATTCGCTTTACCATGTGAGCGCTGAAGGTCCATTGAATTTGCATTTAAAAGGGGAAAGATGAAATCACCTTTTTAGAAAGCCATTGCCGTGCCCATATATGATATTGATGGCATCCACATCCGCAACGGAGACGTGGTGTGGTTGGATGCGCACAAGCGGGCCATATTTCTTATGCGCCTTGTCCACGGCGAGGTAGCGCTTCCCACGGCGGCATTGAAGCAGGAGCCAGAAATTCGTAAAAGCTGCTGCGACCGGACCTGGAATGTCGCGGAGTCCTTGTCGTTGTAGGTAGGGCAAGAGGTAGTATAACACTAGGACAAGGACGAGAGCATAAGGCGTAAAGAGGAACGACAAGATCATGACGCTGAAGCTCGCAATTATGATTTTGCTCCTCTTTCTCCCCTTCTGTTTTGCTTTGTTCTGATAGCAGTTTATTTTGTTGAAAACGTCGACTGCTTCGGAGAGGGTATGATAAACTAGAGGTATTGACGTAAATATTGTTATGTCGTCAATGTTTAGCTCCGCCAGCTGCCCGAGGACCTAGTCCCTTCTTTATCCTCGTGGGCCATTCAGTTCTCAATTGCGTATAGCTGCATTGAAGCCTTTTTTTTGGACTTCAGACCAATGGACATGGTATTTAGCAGCCTCTCCCGGAGAAAACCCGAAGAAAATTCGGATTACAGCGCCCTTCTGATGAATCGTAGATGTTGAAATCCATCTTATCTTAGGGCGAACCTTGCTTGATGGCGTTGTGCTTGCTCGAAAAGGCAAAGTTCAGGGTCCCCAGCTTCCTGTGGGCCCATCATCTTGTCCTCTGGTTTCTTGGTTATTTGATAACTTATTTGCTCCTAAGAAGTTGGAGGGACTGGAACTTGAGCTTAAGAGTTCGATGAATGTTATATTTGATTAATATCTGCAGAAGGGTATGATAGTGATGGTGATGGGCTTGATAGGTTATTGTGGAGAAGGGTAAATACGCCTGTCAAGGGGCTGCTTGTCCTTCAGTTTTTATTCGTCGAGGTATTCTCCTACCTCTCTGACAGCGCAACTTACGTATAGCAAGCAATGTAGCATTTCCATGGCTCAATCCAACACTCGCAAATTTATGAGCGCGTATTTTCTTCATTGGCCATTTCCTGAAACAAAAGGCAAAACATTCTACCTTGGTAGGTAGGATAATTCAAATGAGTCGGATTCTGTTACGTATTGGTTTGTCTTGGGTATATATATTGTGCTAATTGGCAACCAATCACCACCTCGGCTAGACACTAGCCGGCATAGCACAGGGGTAATGCGTTCCACTCGTACTTGATAAATGAGTGTGATGGAAAGATCGCTGGTTCGATTCCAGCTGTCGGCAACTTTTTGCTTTTTTGATCTTCATTTTGGCCGCCCAACTTTCCTATTCAGTCTGGACGTTTTTAACAATGGAGTCTATATGCTATACTTTAGAAATTATTTCGGTCTTGTTCTTACGGGAAGGTAAAATTCATGTTCAATATTATTAACTATCCCAAGGTATACCCTAACCATGACTCCCGGATCAATGATATCGTAAAATCATTTCTATAACAAGAAACAAGAAACAAATAATTCGAGAAACTATGCAGCTAGCGATGGGACAGCTGTCGCTGATGTGCTGGTCGAATTGGATCTATTCCCATCAAAGAGATTCCCTGCCCAATCTTTGGCGCCATGGAGTTTAGCAACAACATAAGCCCACCATTTCTGGATCCGATCTTCTTCTTTTTCCTTGTCGGCTGCGTCATGCCCTTGCGCATTATCATCTGGTGTTGGCGGAGAAGGCAATGCGTTGTTCTGAGAATCATCGTTTTCATCCACAATGGTCGGTCTAGGCGGAAGAATCTCTGGCGTGTCAACACCAATAGACGCGGCTGTGGTAGGTTCTGTTGCAGATGATTCGGTTTTTGAGACAGCGTTGAGGTGACTGGGGCTCACAGTGACCGACATGCTGGAGAAAAGGGTGTTGAGATGAGAGGCAAGGCCGGAGTCAAACCCTAGTGTTGCCGAAGACGCCGGCGGATCATCCGGTGAGTCAAGTCCAGTGGCGTCGTCATCGGAGTGCAAGCCTACGGGCTTCAATGGAAGTCGAAGTGTTCCGTTATTCGGCTGCGGCGTGAGACCGAGGGAGTCGCAGATGATGTTGTAGACTTCGGTGTTTTCTGAATTGAAGAGAAAAAATGGATATGAGCATCTTGTAGAAGAGTAATGAATGATAGTTAAACTTACGGAACACATCCAGACGACTATTCGGCTTATGCGGAAATGACGGGCCTTTCGCAACAAAGATTGCCCTCATAAGAGGATGCTCATGATCGTATCCATGCAGGCCCATAGGATGAAACACTTCACCATTTGCTTTTGCCTTTTCGACATCCATCTCGGCCTTGGTAACAATCGCCCAGCCCGTCTTTGGTACGATCCACAGCGGTGCAATGCGGTCGTTATTTGAAAAATGGTATCGCTCCGGCATGTTCCTGTCTCGCAAATAGACGTCGATATTTGGGTATTCTGCCGCCTTCTCGGATATCTCGTTATACAGCTTTTCGAGATCATGCGGATCTTTGGGCCGGAGACCGTAGAGCGGCCATCCATCAATGTGTTCTAGAAGGTCTGGATCAACCAGATCCTCGAGCTGGATGAGCCGGTCGGTGGACGTTGTAGCCATTCCATGATCGGAAACAACTACAACGTTGACAATATTTGTCAGGTTCCGTTCTTCCAGTCCAACGAAAAGGTCATGCAACATGTCGTCTACGTGAGAGATGGTCCCGCGGATTTCTGTGCTATTAGGACCGTACTTGTGGCCGTCGCGATCCACGATCGGAACGTAAGCGGCGATGAACTGGGGCCGGATCTCGTCGGTGATGCCCTTCGGATCTTGTTCGCCAGGGAGATCGAGGAATCCCAAGACCCGAGATACTTTCCGCGACAGCGCTTCGGAGCCATTATATTTGTCGAGAAAAGCGGGATCGACTCCACCGATGTGGGCCTCGGATCCAGGCCACATATGAATTGCACTTCGAATACCTTGCTTCTCTGCAGTCAACCAAAGTGGCTCCCCTTGCCACCATTTTGGTTGCATGCTCCGCTCGGGATGCACAGACGAGAATTGCTGCTGAATATCCTTGTCCCAAAAGGTGTTTCCTACGACGCCATGGCTTTCAGGGTATAGGCCTGTCACGAGGGTGAAGTGGTTCGGGAAGGTGACGCTGGGGAAGCTGGGCAGCATGTAGCGTGGCGAGATGCCGGTTTCGATGAAAGAGTTGAGGGTGGGCGTGAGGCCACGATTGAGGAAGTCGGCACGGAATCCATCCAAAGAGATCAGTATTGTGGTCGGCGCGAATAATGACGTGCCATTCGATCGCAGCGTCGTAGTGGAAATCATTTTGCGGCCGCTGGATAGTTTGTATGCGAATAGGAGGAAGATAAGAAATAGCACGACAGCTGCAGCATGAAAGATAAGTAGTGTTGTGCGTCGTGTGCGCCGAGGCTATAAAACAGTCAGTATTCGTTCATGTTTATATTATAGTGTGCACGGTATTCCAAAGTGAGGCCGTGTCATGATGAGAATACAATGGGTGTTGGAGCATGGTCATACCCGCTCTTTGTAGACACTGCGGAGTCTCCTCCTGTCAATCTCCGAGGATGATGCGCCCGAGATGTCGGATCCTGTATCTGTCCGAAGTCCCCCCTCTTCCAGTTCAAACATTAATTCCCTGGTGCCATGTTTGCCTTTGCCCGGTCGCCGTGCAGCTCTTCGATCCCGCCTCTTTTGCCGTTTGCGCTCTGATTTTCCGATTCTGACTCTCTCTGGGCCTTGGTTACCACCGCTGAACATGCGTCTAAAGCCTGCGCCAGCACTGCTTCCGCCTGTTAGCAGTCTCTCTCGCTCTTCCTCCTCCTCCAGGACAGAGCGGTCATGTCGAGCAATGTCTCCCGAATCCCGCGCGGCGCTGAGGACATTGTCGTCTTCCGAGTCAGACTCTCGATCGGACAGGGATCGAACAGAGAGCACATCTTCGTCATGGATTCGGGGAGAGAGAAATTGGTGACCCTGAGAGCCTGCAGCCATGGCGTTGCTCTCCTTGGATTTATCGGAATAAATAGACCGGAGGGACGGCGGCGGCAAGGTGATGCAACGGAAGATGTCAAGGTCGGCCGCCCGCCTAGTTGGTCGGTTGAATTATCTAAATTTGTCTTTTCAAAGCATCGCAGAGGTGCTGTAGCAGTTGCTATCTAGAGACGATACTAATTTCATTGGCCGGGGAATGGACAGGATAGAGATCAAGTCCAAAACTGGGGTTGAATGGGTATTCGACTGTCCCTCGCAGCAGAATGGCGTTGTCATCAACCAAGCGAGTTGGAATGCAATGGATCGAATCGTCCACATATTCTAAACATTTGATCTCACCCATGATGAATGCTTTTGTCTGAATTCTAATCTGATCTATAGACACAAAAAATAGTTAAACGATGATTTAATGCAGTCAGTCTATCGACAATATGAAGAGAAGGAGATTATCCATTGAGCTGCATCTGGAATGTCAATTGACCATTTAGTCGCTCAAGTGGAGCCAATCAGTGTTGTTATCAATACCGGGGACTGTCAGATCACTTCATTGATATTTAATTGACTTGCAGAGAGAGCTAAGTGAGTTATAACCCAAAAGGAGAGTGCGATCATGTTAGGAATGGGCCATCCAGATTAATAAAGTGATAGACCGTCCCCAGCAATCCCCTTTCTTTTCAACGCCAACTTTCTCCAATCAGTTTCTATCCATTTGTTCTCAGATCCACGGCTTGAAAATAACCGTCTATTTCCTCTCTGTTGCTCTATCTAGCACGACTGCAATTCATAATTACACTCGACCTTGAATGATCTCAATAATTATCGTCACTCGATTGCTATGATTGCTATGCGCGAGTATTCGGTCATTTGATTATTCGGAATCGGGCTATGACCTGATTGACTTTCATTGGTGCTACATGTGACAATGCTCTGATTGTCCTGCATTGCATGTCTCATTGCAGGGCCATTTGTCTACTTTTAGACTTTGATATGAAACTGACGGATTCAAAGGTAAGTGTGTGACTGTCCCTGAAAGTTTTAAGAACACGATGTGATCCATGACTTGGTTGCCCTTTTTGATTCGCTCTCTAGTCTAAAGTTTCGTCTACGATTTCATTATCAATTCACTCAGGCTCCTTACCTCTTGGCAATTTCTAATTTGTCATGCTCATCTGATTAATTTCGAATACAGTAATAGTCGCAACTGTCGACTTGTCTCTTTATACATTTACCCTTCATTTACATTTCAAACGACTGTTTCCTTTGTTTCCTTACGAAACATGGCCGAAGTTGAGGAGAGGCCGCGACAGACACCATCAACAGATCTAAATCACGGTGCGAACGGGGTGATAGCCACCGAAACCACCACGCGCGTCTCGTCAACAGCGTCAACACCTCCACGATCCAAACAATCACCTACTGCTCCATCAACACCACCTGCCCCTAATTACCCAGAAATTCTGCGCAAATTACCAGAGAATTTGCGCAAATTCTTTGTGAGATGTTATTGTGCGACATGTTCTGTGCAATTTGGCACGGTGTTCAATGCATGGAAAAGGGTCAACGACAGCTACTTTATCCCGCGGCACCCATTTGTGCATGATATTGCCCAATTTGCCACCGCTGGTGAGCCCAGGGCAGCACACACAGGTGGTGAACTGGAGGGTTGGTACGTATTTCTGCACGAGGAATCGCTTCCCCCCTTTCTACACATGAAATGCAAAGGCACCGTGCTGTCCGCACCCGATAAGGCGAAACTTTCACTAACTGTGAAATCACGATAGTACAATTCAACCTTTGAGTTGCTTTTCGTGCGACTCTATTTTTGCTGTCAAATGTCTTGAAGCCCCTGACAACAAATCACAATACCAGTATGTCTAGTGCTTCGAGAGCCTAATTCTTAGCTTGAACAGAAATTAATTCTCGATGACCAGGGGTTGTTTGTTGTTCAAGGTCACACGCATGTCAATTTTTTGCGAAGTGACCGAAAAGCCTGTGGCACCTAATGTGGTGGAAGAGTTGCAGGCCCAACCCGATGGCAGTGACCGATTCTCGCCAGTCGACAGTGCGGGGACTGAAAGACAGCCCAATACGGTTGAATCGCCGAAGCACTATTTACCATACGATCCAGTCGCCTCGGTTGGAAATTCTGAAGAGAATGATTCTAACAATACAGGAGACCACATTAGTCGCGAAGCATCTGAGCTAAATGTTGAGGCCGACAAATCTAACGAGTCCGAAGAAGACGGGGAGCCCGAGGAATTTGAAGAAATTGAACAGACGCAGGTGCGAGAGCGGTCAGAGCCGGCCGAGGAAAGCGATGTCATTCATCGCTTGCAGGCAATATCTGTGTACACCATGGAAACCCTCACGAAACAAAAGGGGGATATCGATCGCATTTCTGGTGTTCTGGATAATGTACAATCCGAAATGCGAAATGTGAGGCTTCTCATAGAAGAAGTGCGCCGGGAACAGCAGACGCGACCGATGCCTCCACCGCCCCCTGCACAACCTGAAGGCCTTCCCATCGAGACTTTGGAGATTTTCACCGAGAACATGACCAGGATTGGACAGAAGGCGAACGAAGTTGAAGGACTCAAATTGCAAATAGAGCTCATGAAACAGCGGATTAAACGAATCGAGCGAATATCATCTACTCCCGTACCACAGTTTACCGGCGAGCCATATCCCTTAATATCTCCATCTGTTGCGCGTGACGAGTTCCTTTCTGGTTCGAGAGTGAATGGACTTGAACTCAGTCAGACACCTGCCCTAAATCCGAGAACACCAGGACTCCCTGCAGAAGTAAACAATCAAGCAATTGCAGAACCGTTTACTCCAGCTGGCGACGACCAGGGTCAATCCACCCGCAGCGTGCGAAGACTAAGCTCCAAGAGAGAATTGTCTGCAATGGCCGATCCGACACTAGATTCTGCTCGAAAACGATTACGTTCTGCGACACGTCAAGGAGGCATTCCTGTCGGAGAAGCAGAGCAAGTCAGGAATGTTGAGGCTGAAGCACTGATTCAACCCGTCAACGGAAACCACACTCTCTCGGTCCCCGATGTCTTGACTCCTCAGGCGACAGATGTTGTTTCCCATAGTATTGCTTCCGGTGAAGCACAAGGTCAAGCTATGGCCTCTCCTGCCACCACCGGCCGCCGGCGGGGAGGCGCCCGACGAGGAAGAGGCCGTCGTCGGTATGTATCCGACCCGTTTGTCCGGACCAATGGCGAGGATACAGAGTGGACTGGGTTCGACGACACCGCAAACGCCGACACCGCAAAGGCCGACACCCCAACTATTCATCGGAGATCCTCGACACGCGGAGGGCGCGGAAGCCGACGAGGAGGCGCAACGACCTTGAATGGATCGCACACTTTGCCCCGCATTCGGCATTCTCTTGGAGCTGTTGAACCTGGTGCAGTAATCCTTTCGAATGGCGTACGACTTACAAAGAAGGGACTGCCAGATATGCGTGGGGAGGCGGTGCGTCGCCGGCATGCGCAGAGAAAGTTGGAGCGTGAACAGGAGGAGCTGGCTGCTCGGGAACGACGACTAGCAGGGGCTTCTGGCATTGAAGAGACTATCGCAGTGGGCAAGCCCCCTCTCGCGCCCAAAAATGAGCCTGCTTCAACTTATACGAATGGGGCGGAAGCTGGCCAAGGGGCATCTGCGCAGCAGCCCTCGCGTCACTCCGTGCTCATGGCTAAGATTTTCCCCGAAGGGTTCGAGGCACAGCGTCGTCGCCAACATCTGGCGTCGCAACTCTTCCCCTCTCCGGCCCTCGAGACACGCCGTGCAGAATCGGCTGCTGTTGCCGCGGCAAGCTCTATGGCACGGGAGGCGGCCAGTGCAATCACTGCTGGTAATCTCGGTCATGGTCGTGAACGGGAGACTGAAGGGCAAGCTGAACAGGCTATGCAAGCAGATTAAAGACTACGAAAGCAATCTTGACGCGGGGACCTGTACCTTTTGCCTCGGGTTTCGGATTATCAATTTGTGGCTTCACTTCTCCATCATAGCGATTTATACTTTATGTGTCAGCGAAAGCACAAGAATTGATTGAGCATAGTCTTCTTGACAATTATCTAGAGATGAACACAGCTCTTACAAACAAAACACCTTTTAAGGCAGTGAATGGTTTTAATAGTAGCATGTTCTACCGCTGTGTAATAAGCCAGGTGAGGATATCCATGTGCATCAACAGAATCATTATGGTCACGCGAGCTGCTCTATCTTCACCGAGAGTGCAACTCGAAACGAATATCCCCGCCAGGAACGCAATGTCATCGGTCAGTTCATGTTTGGGGAAGTAACAAGAGGAAGAAAAAAAACCGCCTGATAATCGTATGAAGATTACCTATCTTTTACTGGTATTTGTTACGAACAGCCGCAGCCCGAATTTTTATTTCTTTTGCATTGGACAAGAGCGCTAGGACTCCGACGAAATCAAGCCGCTTGTCTTTCGCACCTTTTCTTTTTTCGTTCCTTCCTTTCCTAGAGCTCCGCAAGAAGATACCCATTTTATTCCACCTCAACTACAATTTAACGCCCAACCGCACTTCTAAATCAACAATCCAGAAAACCCAAAAATGAAGCGCAAGGCCGACGATACCAAAGCTCTCAATGGAGCCAATGGCGGTCCGCTGCCCAAAAAGCGCGTCATTGACGACGAGACGGCGAGGAAGAATTTCCGAAACGGACTCTTCGATGAGAAGGTCCTGCAAGATTATACCAAGCAATACGCCAACTCATCGCCGTATGTTGTGTTCTAATTCCTCGGCTCCCCATAGAATATCCTCTTCTTTCCGGAGTCCTTATCCGTCATGACAGGACCATGTGCTAAGTAGACGATTCAACAGATACAAGCACGGCGTCATATCCGATCTCATCCAACCTGAACTCCTCCGGCGCGTGCGCAACGAAATTCAAGAAAATGTGTCCTTTACGCCCAAAGAGACGGACATTTACAAGATCCACCAATCTGGAGATCTAGCCAACCTTGACGGTCTCGACGACTCGTCGCTCAAGCTTCTTCCCAGCCTTTTAGAGCTGCGCGAATCGCTGTATTCATCCGCTTTCCGATCCTACCTCTCGCGACTGACAGGCTCTGGCCCATTGAGTGGCCAAAAGACGGATATGGCCATCAATGTGTACACTCCCGGGTGCCACTTGCTCTGCCATGACGACGTCATTGGCAGTCGGCGCATCAGTTACATTCTCTACCTTACAGACCCGGATCACCCATGGAAGGCCGAATGGGGTGGAGCGCTACAAATGTTCCCTACGGAGAAACATGTTGACGAGGATGGCACCGAGACTCGGACTCCTCTGCCGGACTACGATCTTAAGATCCCCCCTGCATTCAGCCAATTGAGTTTCTTCGTGGTCCAGCCCGGCCAGAGTTTCCACGATGTCGAAGAAGTGTACCCCAAGCCCGAAGGCGACGAAGAAGATGACGGCGGCCGCATCCGCATGGCAATCAGTGGATGGTTCCATATCCCCCAGGAGGGCGAGGAAGGGTTCATCCCCGGTCTGGAGCAGCAGCTTGCTGAAAAGAGCAGTCTGGTGCAATTGTCTAAGAAGGCGGATAAATTCGATTATCCCAAGGAAATCATCCGATCATATGCAGATGCAGCGCAAACCGAAAAGGCCGAGAAAGAAGCCAAGCGCCAGGCTGAAGCCGCGGACAAGGGCAAAGGAAAAGGCAAAAAGGCTCAAGCGGACGAAGACGAAGACGAAGATGACGTCGACGACGAGCTCACGGAAAAGGAACTCGACTTTCTCCTCAAGTTCCTTGCGCCCACCTATCTCACTCCCGACACTCTGGAGGAACTCTCCGAGCTTTTCGCCGAAGAGTCCTCCCTCCGACTCGATAAGTTTTTGTCCAACAAATTCTCCGCCCGTCTGCGCGAGTACATTGAGGCCGAAGAGAAGAAGACGCTTCCTGAACAGTCCAAGGATATTGAGACTCAAACGCCGTGGAAGGTCGCCCGCCCGCCGCACAAGCATCGCTTCTTGTACCAGCAGCAGGCAAAGCCCTCGGAAGGCGGCACTTCTTCTTCCGCCTCTGCCCGTTCCCCTATCAACGAGCTCCTCGAAGACCTCCTCCCTTCTCACGCCTTTAAGAAATGGCTCGGCATGGCAACTGGTCTCGAACCCGAAACCTACGGCGTCCTTGCCCGCCGCTTCCGCCGCGGCCTCGATTACACCCTCGCCACGGACTATCAGCAGGATAGAGCACGATTGGAAGTCACGCTGGACATGACGCCCACGCCGGGATGGGGAGACGACGAAGCCAGCCCGACGAATGCAGTCGAGGATGGAAAGGAGGCTCAAGGTGCGGGTGCGGGTGAAGCCGAAACCGCCGAGTCTTCCAAGGACAATGCGCCTTCCAAGAAGGAGGAGGAGGAGAACGACGACGACGACGAGAATGAGGAGAAGGATGGTGACGACGCTGCAGCACACGCACCTGAGCCCGAAATCGGCGGCTACGAAGTCTACATGGCAGGCGACGACGATGCTGCGGGCGATGACCCGGCCGTGTATCGTGCCGCAGGCGGACCTGATGGCGATGACGAAGACGATGGCGTCCTCTTCAGCCAGCCTGCCGGCTGGAATCGCCTCAGCATTGTCCTCCGAGACACGGGTGTGCTCAAGTTTGTCAAGTACGTGAGTCGTGCCGCAAGAGGAGACCGTTGGGATATCTCGGGCATGTTTAGCGTTAAGGACGAAGATGGTGATGATGATGATGATGATGATGAGGAGGAGGACGGAGAAGAAGGTGGTGATGAGGAGTAGAATGTGACTTTGATAGAAAAAAGTATTGAGTTGACCATAGAGCGTTGGGTTTCTTCTTTTTGTTTGCTTTCACTTTGGGAGTCTAGTGTCAATTACTCTACCCTGTTGAATCTTAATCCGGAAAAAAAGGCATCAAGGAAAATAAAAAGGATATCTTTCGAAATACATATGCACCAAACTCTGATCTATAATGTAATCTATCGCCCGTCTATCCATAGGATCTATAGCCCTCTTTTCCCTCTTTTCCACCATTGACCTGCGCATCCGCTGTCGCTGTCGCTGTCGCTGTGCTTCTATCCCGCAACACAGTCCTCATGACCTCGACCAGTCTGCGCTCCGCCTCGTCTGAAATCTGATAATGCACAACCAACCTCCCGCCTCCTCGCAGCGTGAGACCGTGCTTCTCCCCCTGCGCTACCAGCTCCTCAACACTCACACCAGACTTGTCCAGATCAAGCCAGACCATATTCGTTTCCACCTTTTTGCCGGCCTCCAGCGTCCCGCCTAGCCCTTCCCAAGCCCGCGCGATGCGTTTCGCTCGCGCGTGCGTGCCTTGCAGTTTCCCGCCCTCGCCGCGCGGACCTTTGCCGAATGTCTCGTCGACGGCGACGCGGGCGGCGGCTGTCAGAATACCCGCTTGGCGGATCCCCCCGCCCATGGCCTTGCGGAACCACCGCGCCCGCTTGATGAAGTCGGCGCGCCCGACGAGCATGCTGCCTACGGGCGCGCCCAGGCCCTTGGAGAAACAGAGCGAGATGCTGTCGAACAGGCGCGTGAAGTCGTTGATTCCGGGGGTTGGGGCGGGGGGAGGGACTCCATCACGAGCGGTAGTGGCCGCCGCCTCCTGGTTGATTGCTGCGGCGGCTTCCCAGAGTCTTGCGCCATCGAGATGCAGTTTGATTCCATGCTGTCTTGCGAATGCCGAGATGCGCTGCATTTCTGCCACGGGCATGATCCCCCCTCCCAAGGTGTTCTCGAGACTGATTACTCGTGTGGGACAGGAGTGGATTTCGTCCCCTAGGACGACGTGCCGCTTGATGTCTTCCAGGGTTAGATAGGACCCGTTGGAAGGGACAATGCCCTCGAGCATAGCGCCGCTGAGAAATGCCGCGGTGCCGCATTCCCAGCGCAATATGTGTGCCCGGTGGTCGCAGAGCACGCTGTGCGGAGGCTGCGTGAGGTGGGTCCGTAATGCGAGCTGGTTGCCCATCGTCCCGGACATGACGAATAGCCCGGCCTCGTGCTCGCAGAGCTGGGCAATGGACGATTCGAGAGAGTTGGTGGTCGCGTCTTCCCGGTATACGTCGTCTTGTAAAGTGGCGCGGGAGATGGCGTGGAGCATGGACGCAGTGGGTGTGGTGAGCGTGTCGCCTGCGGATGAGAGGGAACGGGTGTAAGTTTTAGAAGCATTGGATGGAGGAAAGGAAAAAGGAAAAGGGAGAAGAAGAGGAGAAGAGAGGAAAAGTAGGTGAAGGAGTTACACATACTGCGAAAATCAAACTCGGCGGCACTGGGCTGAGCCCATGTGTTGCTCTTGTCGGGTGAGGTTACGCTCGACATTGTGCCTTTCGTAGATGTAGTTTTGGTATCTGTTGTCCTTTGTGCTGCAGGAGATGAGGTCGAAGAAGAGGACGATGGAGATGTGGTCCCTGTGGATTGTTGTTGTGGTGTCGATGTGGTATGAATTGAGCAGCGGTGATAGGGTTCATACGAGTATGTTATTGACGTACGATAGAAACGAGACGGTGTTCTCGAGGTTTGAATCCACAAAAGAGGTGACTGAGATGAAGATGGAGACTGCTGAGGGGAATTATGCAATCGACCGTGACTCGGAATTTGTTGTTGTTGTCGTTGTTGTTTTCGTCCTCCAATCTGACCAACCCCGGAAATTACACCGCGACTCCGGAGATAAGAAGGCGGGGAATGACTGACTTTGCGCAGGAAACTAGGGGCGGACGGGATTCCTATAGGAATAAGTTCACATGTCTTTTTAGGAAATCAGTAGATAAACACAATTGACCACGTACTGCTAGATGTTATTGTGCCCATCTCATTAAACGTTCAATTGAGAGCTCATCAAGGCGGATGATGCGCGGGGTAAGGATGTGTTGTGGGTCCGACGGCGATAAAGGGAAAAGGACACTGATACCGATTGACCTGGTTAAGCGATAGTTAAACCTTAATTGCGACGGTTAGAGAATTGCAGCACTCCTCGGGGGAGCACATTAGCTAAATTCAAGTCGGACTATCCGTAAACATGGCTTGGAGGTGGCGTGAAATTTCCCAGGTCGCACATCACTAGCGGGATGCTATTCATCAGAAATAAACCAAGAAAGGTCTCAGCATCACAAAGATTATTAATACTAAACTACGGAGGGGATCCTCCACTAAAAGTACAATTCTACAGCCCAACAGTGTCAATACTGCACTGCAAATGAAAACAACAAGGCGGGATAAAGGAGATAACAGAAGAAACACCTTAAGAAATGAACATCGACAACAAAAAAGCAGAGAGAATCTTTGGAAAGCCAGAAAACAAAACGGCGATACAGTCCAGGGAAATGCAAACCCAGTCATACCTATAGTATGGTACTGGAACGAAACGAGCATATCAAAGTTCATATACCGTTCTGCAAGAAGCAAGAAGCGCAAAATAAAAGCGTCAGAATTGAAAAACCCAATCCATTAGCTTTGACTGTATTGTCTTTTGAAATTGAAATCATATCGAGGACCTGAATAACACTCGAGCAAGAGTGGCAAACCACAATGACCACATGACGGACGAGGAGAGTATGACTTGAAAAGGTAGCGGGACGATAGATAGGCGAAAAAAAAATGCAACTCCGTTTCCTAGCCATGAAATGCAGGACTTTAGAAATACCATTAACCACAAGCAATCCATGGAATCTAGAAGACAACAAAGAAGAAGAAGGAGGAGGAGAAGAAGAAGAAGAAGAAGAAGAAGAAGAAGGTGAAGCACCATCCGGGTAATCCCAAGGCTATGAAAAACCACCCAATGAGACGAGGCAAGACGGCAAAGAAAGAAAAACGACTAAGAAAAAAAAGCGACGAGCAGTAACATAGAGTGCGACGAGAAGAGAGGGGGAAATATTTCTCAGTCGTAGTGGGTATCTCGAGCACAAAGCACACTTTCTTATTTTTGATTCCTCTTCTTCTTCCGACTTTCCCACATGCGCGCAACACCGCAAACCACCAGAACCCCAGCAGCAATCCACGAAATATTTGTTTCTTTCTCCATTAGAAGTATCCCATGACAAATCCTCCAAGAGACCCGCGCACGTGAAGTCCGAAATGAAGAACACCACCTCCTAAACCCGAAATGAAAACAACCAATTCATAATGCAACTCTTTTGAAATCTAGAGCAGTGAAGGGGGAGAATCTAGCCCCTGAAGTTGATAATAAAAGTCCAATGGAGCAAGAGATGAAGCGTCATAAGCAACAGTATTGAGGAGAATCGCGACCTTATTTCCTTGGTGGGAGGAAGCTTTTGCAACATAAACTCCCAATCATATGATTGACATTAGGAAAAGTCTGTCAGAGGCGGTCGCTGCTGTACTGCACGCCTTGCATAGAGGACGACAAGTGGGGGGCATGACTCGAGGAATGACGAGCGGGTGAATTGGAGGGAGCCGGCCCGCCAAGCGGAGGCAAAACGGTACGGCCGGGCTGCGAGTTAGGATTGCCAAAGGAGGAGGAAGTTGGCTGATATGAAGGCGTAGGGGGGACGCCGAAATGGGAGATTTGTTGTTGCAAGTGCTGCACCGACTCGCGCAGACGCTCGTTTTCTAGACGAACATCCTTGAAGTGCTCTTCTGACTGGCGAAACTGAAAGAGGTACTCTTTCGACTCATGCTGAGAGCGGTCAAGAGAGGTCTCGAGTTGTTTGATATACTCCGTGGCTGTTAACAGGGCATTAATTAGTTACAATGTCATTGGGTGAAACACATATGTTGTTGACGTTCCATACCCTTGGTCAGGATTTCCCATTTGCTAGACTTGGCGCCTTGGTGAGACGGCAGCTGAAGACGCAGTTCTTCAAAAAGATCTTTCATCTCGCTTCGTCGCTTACGTTCGGCCAATTTATGGCTATTTCGAAGCTCTGGCGTTCGACTGTAGGGGGAAGGGGTACCGCCATGACCACCACCAACCAGGTCGCTGACTTGACGATGCTGTAACCGATGATGATGTACGCCCGGTAGCGGCTCTGAAGGGTGGATATCAGCATCGGCTGCACAAGCCAATCTTCCCAGAAAAAAAAAATCAGGCAATAACAGACTTACCATCGTCGAATCTCCTCTGGCCGGGGGGCATGCGAGAATCGTTCGTATAAATGCTACTGGTGATTGATGTGGCGTAGCTATCCCGTCGAGTTAAAGAAGAACGATCCCCGTCATCGCTTTCCGATGAGCGCCCGGTCACCGCCGGATCTGGGAAGGCATACGAGAAACCCTTGGTGGGATTCTCGGCGTTCGGGTTCGCGATGCCATACTCGGCCCGGGGATTTGCACTGATTGGAGGAGCGATTCGAGTTCTCATCCGGCCCTCGCTGCCATGAGGTCCAAGCGGAGAGAGCTGCTGCTGACTTGACAGCCGAGGAATGCTGATGCCATTTCGTCCTTGGTCATTAAGGATGCCTCGTTCACGCTGCAGATTTGAGACCAGAGATGCTTGCGACGCATTGTTGCTTGTAGCGTATGGAGATGATGGGGTGATGGCGAGTTGGTTCATGCCAGAATTGACACGGCTGTCCACGCTACTCCGACGTGATTCTTGCGGTGAAAATTCCATGCTACCTCGCTGCTGTGCATCATAAGGCTGTGTTAGAGAGGGTAAGCCTGAGTGTACCTGCTCCGAAGGCGGTCCTTGTGATGGAGATTGCTGTCGCACTGATGGAGGAACTCCGGCAGAGAGATTACCAGAGTAGGGTGATCGGTCCCCTTGACCAGAGGTGCTTCGGATGGGGGAGGGGCGTGAGTTGAGGGGTGGTAATTGGAAGCCGCTGGCGCCATTGGAAACAATTGAAGAATCTAGCTCATTGCATGCCCAAGTCAGTAATGGTAATTCGACAGCGTAGAGTGTCTTCCAAATCATCTAAGCGCAAGGCTCCAAGTGCAAGGACAGGTCTGTATGTCCAAGGGCAGTGAGTGGGCTTGCACGGCATATGACCAATCATCATTCGCCTGTTTTCCCCAGTGAACCACGCTTGGACCCATTGCATGGACCCCCTCGCAGCAAGCCTCAGGTGAACCGTGACCCAAAGAAGATTCATTCTTCAGGGTCACAAAATGCGGGACCTGAAACTTGTATAGGGCAATTCTTGAGCATGCAGAACTTACGTTTGCTGGGGGATTGAAGTGACCAGTTCCCAGAATCACGGCCATTTGCATCATTAGTATACGTGGGTGAATCTCCGGGGTGGCCACGAGCAGAGATGCCAGCTGTCAGGTCATTGATTCCCGGTAGCTGAGTGTGTATCTGAGGAGCCGAGTGCATCGTAACATCCAAGGAGCCGTGAGGCGGCATCCTTGCCGTAGGGTTCTCCATGATCGTGTGCTATCCAGACTGTGTGCTCCGGTCAGAAACAACCCAGAAAAGAAGGCGTTGAAGGTGGATAGGGAAAGTGTGAGTGAAGAGTGAGATGAAAGCTCACCTCGCCAAACGTACCTCGTGATAGATATTCACCACAACCTAAAGAGTATGCTTGGCTGCGCCCTGGTTTATGTAATTGGCAAGAAAGCTTTGACAAGTTTGTTGGGCACCGTGTCAAATCCAGATGAATCAAAACGGCGAGGGAAAGAATCGGAGTCTCCGAGGGCGAGTTCAGAGGTCACAAGAGAAATTGATTTCGAGTGGTTTCCAAAGCTGTCGGTCTGGCTGTATCGAAAACAGAAGCTGCGATGGAGTTCCAATGGTTCCTCAATTGAACAAAGAAGCTTCGCTCGTGACAAGTATTCAACGTTTGGTATTATTCGGTATTATTCGATCGTGATGAGAATGCGTTCGCCGTGCAGACACAACGTGGATTGAACAGCGTCGGTGCAGCTGGGAGAGTGATGGCGGCGTGCAACGTGGATGCGATATGTCAAGGTGCTAAACTAGACGGAGGGTAGGAGCTTCGAACAGGTATGTACTCGATGTGGAATATTGCTGTTGGTCAGAGCTGGACCTGAACCTCACGGGTACCCCGAAAATGATGTCCACGACTGTCCGCAACGGGTGTTAGAGGATAGACTGATGACGCTAGAGAACTCGGGTCGTGGGAGAGCACCACGAAACCCTAGGCGTTTTCTTCGCCGGCGACGGAAATAGGCAATGTCGATGTGGCCTCTTCAAAGGAGGCGAAAAGGACAGAAGATGACAATTAGGACTGCTGAAGCAGATCAGTCCCACGCCAGGCAGCCCGTGATAGGGGTGAACCACCTAAACGTGTCGCGGTCACGCCGGGTGCTTGCTGTTGTATGCGGACTCAGAGAGTGATGATGGCGGGTACGCGAAAGGAGAAGTCACAACGAGGAGGGCAGGAAAGGCAAAGCCCGTTGGAGCTGAAATCTTCCCGTCGAGCACGTTCGAGCTATGTTGGGTTTGGAATCGGGAGGCCTACGGAGCGGCGGGGTGGACCGGCCTTTGGCCCGTCGACGATCTCGAGGTTGGCCGGAAGAGGCAACGTCGCGGAGAGCGAACGAAAGAGGGTGTGAAGATGGTTTTTGGTTACCACGCTTCTATTCTCACGGGAAAGGCAGCCTATTTTGCAAATCTCCAGTTCTCCCTGTGCAGGAAGAGATCCAATCACGCGCGCGCGCAGCGATTGTAGGAGATTGCGAGGCACCAGGGCAAGGAGACGACAGTTGTGGGGGGTGGTAGTAGAATATCAGGAACGACCTTATTTTGTTTGCTGGGCACGGGAGATCGAGAAAGGAATATTGCAGGAGGAGCGGTCGAAGAATTGGACAGAGGTTAGGGAGGGCAACGGTCGGTTCAGGCAACAAGAAGAAAATTGTATGTGTGTGGATTAATCCAACATCTTCTTGTGTTGCCAAATCTGGAAGAGGACGAGGCTTTCGCGCGCAATCGCCCAAATTGGGGGAACGCGAAATGTGAGTTGGAGGGAGTGCCAGTATATCGAGCTGGTCTGGCTGCACCAGCGTTCCGTCAGTGCCGTGAAGGCGTGTGTACAGTGATGGAAAAGGCGGATGTGGGTGGATTTCCCAGTTGGGGAGAGAAAGAGAGAAAGAGAGAGAGAGAGAGAGAGAGAGAGGTCGAGTCGAGGACACAGGGAAGGGTGGTGGGCTCGGATGGGGATGGTGAGAGGGAGTGTGTGCGTGAAAGTGAGTCTAGAGGGCCCTCCCCTTGGTGGTGGTCTTCCTCACTTTTTCCTCTGTTCTGTCCTGTCTGAAACCCCCGAACTTTTGGGGTTTAGGCAGGGCGAGGGACTTCAGTTTAGGTTCTGATCACTAACTCAACTACAAGTGCCCTCTCATTGGGCATATGCAACTTTTTTCTTTACGACTTGGAACCTTTTGTGCTTGTCCTCGACGCCCGTCTCATCTCTGGGTACCACCTCTCAATTGTGCTTTTGTTCGCCGTTGGCTGGTAAACCGGTCCAAAGAGCACCGTGGGACGCTCCTTGATCATTGCACCCGGCACTTTACTGGAACTGGTTTCATGGACTAAACTGTTGCGAGGAGACGTGCCCGTCCAAGGGCGCTAGAAAATGGAACCCTTGGAAGCTTTTTGGGACGATTCGCGCCTGACATAGGAGAGTATTTGGCCCAAAAAGGCCAAAATGGGTCAAACGGGTCGTCCCTCGAAGTCACACGAACTCATCTGGTCGCGCGGATCGGTGGTACCCCCTTGCCTATGCATCCAGCCAACCGGTCATTTTTCTGATTTGATCGGAGTCTCATTGCTGTGAGCATGATCAACGCGACTAAACCTTCCCGCAGGACCAGTGTCGTTGCCTACGGCGCTATTATGTTATCTAATGGATGCACACTGCAAGAACAGGAGCTGGGTGTATGGGAACGGCCATGATTCAATCAGATGGCTATTGTATTTTGTGGGATGTAATTGGGACGATGAATGACTCGCATCTTGGTTTTTTTAATGGGCGCACAGCTTGGTGCCAAGAGAACCGTCAAGAAGAGAGAGAGAGAAAAAAAGGACGGATTCTATCATCCGGGAGCTGCCTATTATTGCCTCCACACGCCCCTCCTCCCATTGGAACCACTGATGTCTCTCGTCTTTTTTGGCGCAAGAATTTACTGATTGTCTTTGTTTAATTTCCCATTGCGCCTAAAGGATGACGCCGTTCTGATTCATCACTGATGAAATTTCTTCTTCCCTTCATCACCGTGGAAATTCGATGCCCTTTTGACCAGTTTCTCCTTTCGGGTTGCTTTTTGTTTTTGTCTCCCCAGAAGCTTTTCGTCACTTTTCTAACTTTGCTGTCAGAAGTGATGAAGCTTGGCCTGGTTGCAAGTATATCCTTGTCATGCCAGCCTGGCCCGAACTAACCGCCGGGGAGAAGATAGGCTTCAGGCAAGGTATATTTTTTTTTTCTGCTTGTGGGCTGGGGATCCTGTCATTGAACCGGGGGCCCGTAGCGACAACTTTTCCGTTCGCATCGCCTCGGTGGCCTTTCTCTCAATCGCACCAAACGCCGCGATTTAGCTTTCCTATACATTTGCTGTCACGTGCTTAATCTGGCTTCTTTGCTGCTGCGTCTTATGCTTTTTTCCCTCGCGCGAGGAAATCGCTCCCTTGGTTTCCTCTTTTTTTTTTAACTGCTATTCTGGAGATCCTGCTCTTATGCCATGTGTGAGTGTGTCAGTGTGTGAGTGCGTGTGACGAGCCCCTTGTTCATGGCATCATCGCCTACAGCGACGATGTGACCGGGGTATGAGATCCGAAAATGCTCGCCACAATGACCTCGAACCAGCTCCGCCATGCGAGGGCAGAGAGACCAATGGGCCCGCGTGCACAAAAAAGGTACAATACCGGGAAGGCACTGACGTTTTAAGAAAGGAATGTACAAAAGAAAGTGCTGAACTGCACCGCTGATTTGACGTCGCCTCGTTTGCAAGCCCCCTCACTTTTTTTGCTCATCCATCTACGTGTTTGCTGGCTACCTTGTCTGGGAAAGCGACGGTTTAGAGGCGGCGCTCGGCTTGGAGAGCCCTGGTTTTCGACCAGGGCGGGCCGACCATACCATGGATGCATGCCCTGGGTTCGCCGAGGACTCGTGGCGAGCGTCGGTGGCTGTTTGGTTCACGTGGGCCTCGCTGGGATTCGCGTTCAGAATCTCTTACAGGGGGGCCATGACTTGTCGGGGGGGCAGGTCCTATAACGGGGCAAATGATGATCTGCCAATGTGCAAACCCCCCTGCTTCCCTTGGTCCTAGAGTCCGATCTCCAAGGTAAAAACTGGGGCTTGAGAGTGCCAGAAAGGCACCCACGCAAAGTCTCTACCAATTCTTACGTACACAGAAGTACTGATAGAGGCAAAAAAGGCAGAGACACAACACACAAGCTACTTGCCGTCTTGCCCTGACTTGAAAGAATCCTAGAAGCAACCTAAGTTAAACACCAACGGGCGCTATTGGACCAGACCAACTTTCAACGGAGCAACCACGGGGATCTTGTTGCGGCAGCTCGCTTGACAGCAAGCAGTATGGTGGGTGCATCCGTTTCGCCTTCGACCGAGCGGACGCTGGGCAGGTAAAAAAAATTCGAAGGCGCGAGGGCGTCTCTTTGTTCTCCCTTTTCTCCCCAACGGCCTACTTCTCGTGGATAATTAGACGATAGGCCAGCCCCCCTCTCTTTGGGTGCGGGTGTCAGGCGTAATGGTGCGAGGTGATGTCTTTGGGGACGAGGAGATTCGCAAAGTCGCCTCTACCCGACGACCAGGTACTGCTCCTCTTTGACGCTTGACGGCCCGAGGTGGCAAAGTCACTCGAATCCCAACTTTGATCGGTTTTAGGGCAACCTCTGATTCCGGTACACGGCACCTTTGAGATACTTTCCTTTCTTCGTGATTTGTTACCCATGGAGCGGCTCACGCTTTGGACCCTGGAGAAAAGATCCATCGATGACATCGAGCTGTGCTGTCAAAGTGGGGGGGGGGAGAATGATGAAGACTCTCTGGACCTTAACCCCTCAACATACCCCTCGTCATAATCGCCCCTTTCTTGCATGGGACAAGACGACCAGGGGGCTGCGTGCTTTCAATCTGTGAAATCACTTCATGATCAATCAATGAGTTAGCAACGTGCATGTGTACGACGCCGCCGTCGTCGACTTCCGACAGTCAGGTACACGTTTGAAAATGAGAAAAAAGAAGTGCTGTCGTGCAGGTGCTGTGGCTTTCATTATGGGGAACTGACTCGACGCTGAAAAATCGTGTTCGCAAGGTCGAGGGGCCAATAATTGGGGCTGTCCTGCGACTCTCCTGATTCGTGCATCGATGCTCATTGAAATCGCGGTCGAGTGTGGCAGTCCCTTGCAGCGATCGCTTGGCGGAGAGAGAGAGAGAGAAAGAGAGAAAGAGAGCGGTGTCTGTGTCTTGTGTCTGTGTCCACGCAACTCTCTTTGCCATGTTGACGCGCGCCGATCGGGGTAAGACTTGCCCCGGAAAATCCTCTTGCTCTAATTTGTGGTCACACATAACTGGCTTTTTTAGACCCGTGGAAGAGCGCATAAGCTCTGCAATGTGAGCATGGGGGTTCGCAATGTTCCCCTCGACTATCGTAGTAGAATGCGGGATGAGGGGGGAAGTTTGGCCGCCTGGCGTGGCCGACAGGATCAATACAGTAGATGCAAGAGTGCAACAAGCAGTCGCGACGACCTGCCCTTTCTTTTTTTTTTTATCCTCTCTTTGGTCCAACTTTTTGACCCTGCATGTCTTGCGCGGAGTACTCATCGTGGTACTCGTTGATTCAGTCTTTTTGGGCGTGGAGGCGACTTTGATGCCCTATCATCCTCTTTATTCGCAGCACGACCTTCACCTCACGGACGTTTTTGAAGCTGCACAAACGAAAGAACTCCCAGCCACAAAATTGCAGTAAATTATTGACTGTCGCCAAATGGAAAATTGAGAACTATCGGATTAGAGAGAGGTCTTTGATGAGACCGAAAAATACATACACGCATACCGAGTACTCACACCGCCTCCCGCACGTCCTCTGAAATCTCTGGACGATGCATCCCCAAGCTTTTCCAGGAGCGTATCGGCGCCGGCGCCAACGCCCAGCCCCAGTGCAGTCGTCCCCAGTGCAGTCCCAGGATCCAACTAAAGTTACCTACCTACTGTGTGATACAGTCACTACACTACAATACTCTTGTGGCACGTCAAATTGAACCCAACCCCCCGTCTCCAGTCTTGTTTTTTTTTTTTTCTCCTCTCCTCTCCTTGCCTTTTTACCCCTTCTCCTTTTTTGCTTTCCGCCCCCGGACTCGGCGATAACCGAACTTGTGCAACTACATTTTGTGACCCTGAATTCACCATGCCAGATGCCATATCCGGCCAGATCCTGGGAACCTAAGGTAGGTAGAGATCTTCCCTTCCCCGCAAGGCCCCGCCGTTTCCATGACAATGGATATGGACCACTCGTATGTTGTTGTGCTGGTTTTTTTTTGGGGGGGCTGTATTGTTATCCTCATTTTCTTAGACTATCTTGTTATCCTCTTTTTTGGACTATATTGTTATAACTCGTTGTTTTGGTCTATCTTGTTATACTCGTTTTCATTTGGACTATCTTGTATACTGCACAGTATCGGTGTATAAGTTGAATGAGGATTTACCGCCGTAGCGTATCCGTACTACGTACACCGTACACGGTACACCGCCTTTGTCGTCCTCGATCGTTGTCGATCGTTCTTGGTCGTCCCTGGTAGTCCTTGTTCGTCCTTGGGTCATGGACGGACTCACGTCCCTTGACGCCGTTTCAACTTTATATTTAACTTTACTTTACTTTAGTTTACCTAGGTCCTAGGTAATACTTTATAAACGCCTTGGAAGTTTTGAGTTTGGACTGTAGACTGGACCGTAGACTGTAGATCTCGGGCGTTAAACCCCTAGACCCTAGATCGTGGACAGCGAACCGCAGACCCTTGGGGAAATTTTACATTGCATTTCGGAGTCGCCGACTCGACTTGACTCGACTTGACTCGACTCGACTACATAGTATGCGACTACTGTATCTACCTAGTAGGCGCCCTGGCGCCTCGGCGCCTCTCATTCATGGTACGTAGTAGTGTAGTGATGTAGTGTACGAAGCTACTCTATTGTGGTATTGTATTATTGTGATATTGTGGTATTGTAGCCGTTCCCCGCGTCTCGTTCGTCCCATTTCCATTTCCCGTTTCCCAATTCGCGTTTCCTCTCGGGAGTCGGGATCTGGTTTGGTCTGGCTTAGCTACCAGCCTACCAGCCTACCAGAGTACCAGAGTACCAGCGTACGTGAAATGGCTGTGTACTCTGTAACTGTATACTAGGTAGTAGGTAGCTGTGTAGTGTAAGTGAAAGTGTAGGTCATAGGCTAGTTATAGTGTCTATGTGTATAGGTGCAGGTTATAGGTACGTAAGTGCATAGGTAGGTAGGTGTAGGTGTGTAGTTGTATAAGTGTAGCTTATAACACCAACATCCAAGTTCCCAGCGTCCCGTTCCATCGTACCATCCATTGTGAAATTGCACTGTACACAAAGATAAATTGTCTGTGGCATTTTCATAAAGTACTGTATTATTTAACTTGGCTGTTTTATTTATTGGTTTGATCAATTGATCAATTATTTTTTTATCTAAAGATTAAGAAAAAATATGTGGAAATATAAAAATGAAAATAAACAAAAATAAAATAAAAATGAAATGAAATTAAAAATAAACAACAATAAAACAATAAATAGAAGCAAATAAATTAAAATATCACAAAGGGAAAAAAATGCATTTACATGGTCGTATATAAGTATCAATGGTTTCATTCTGTGTTTTTGTTTGAGCTATATCTACAGACTAGACTACAGGTTACGGGTTACAGTTACCTATAGCTGTACATAGTACCATAAGCTTGAGCAATGCACAACGAACAATAAATAACAAATAACAAATAACAAAACAGCACCCAGTGCACAGCACACAGTGTTAATTACACTGGAGCATGCAGGTTCAAGCTTCGAGGATCGGGGATCCAGCTTCGATGTTGGATGTTGGACATTGGACATTGGATGTCAAGTTACAACTTACTGCGCAGACAGGTCAGCCCTGAGATTTAGGTACAATAGTACAACACCTCACTGTAATAGTCAACCAAGAGGTACATGATTAGTGAGTCGCTAAGTAAATGTATAACCGTTCGTACAGAACTCGCCCCGTCGCTATATTGTCCACCAACCTGCCATACCTGGAACCTCTAGTTATGGATCTAACACGTAGGTTCAATACCAGAACGCCGAATTTACTATACTGTACGTACACTTCCCATGAAATTGAGACTAGATACTATTGAATTTGTTGCTGAGATTATGAGATGGTAGACTGTAGACTGTAGATTGTAGACTCTAGACTCTAGGCCGTAGGTGCTGGGTGCTAGGTATGGGTGAAGTGACCTGACATGCCTTCGTACATTTACACAGTAATGTAGGTAGCAATGCAGCGACACAGAAATACAGCAATGTGGTAGTGGCAATGTGGCATACTTTTCACTGCCTTATACATACTCGATTATACAAAGTGCATAGATAGATGGATAGATGGATAGATTGATATATAGATAAATAGTCAATGGGGGTTTGTTTGGGGTGTATCCTACTACATATGCTGCTACGTTGCTTCGTTGCTATGCAGGATAAATCAACGTACAGTATGTCAGACTCAATGCAGTAATGCAGTAGTATGCAGCAATGTAAGAGGCTATGCAGGCAGCAGCCTGTACATCTGCCGTCTGCTTAATGCAGGGACCCTCTAATGATCTAGATCCAGATCCAGCCGACCAGCAGTAAAGCGGACTGGGACCACGGATTACGGATTACGGACCATGGACCATAGAACATGGACAATAAACCAGAGACACAGGGACGTAGGGACGCAGGGACTCAAATACAAAGCCTCAGAGTCTGTCATAAAGAAAGGCACAGAGAAAGAGTCAGGATACGCATGGACACACAGAATCTCGGATGTTGACACGGACACGGACACGGATGGCCAAGAAACCAAGTTCTCAGACTCAGTGACGCTGTAAAGTAAGCACTTGAGAAACTCAGGGGCCGGATGCGGAGGTGCGTATCGGGCAGACATGTGACACAGGTGCAGGAACACAGACGCAGCGACAACGACGCAGGAACCCAAAACCAAGGAACAAAGCCAAGTCAAGAGGCATAACCGTTGAATAAACTGTCGTGTAAACACAGAGCGAGAGTATTTCTGTACTCTGTATTTGTAGTACGGTACCAATATCTACGGACCTAGGTAGATAAGGTAGTTTACCACCGTGGAACGGAAGTGATATACACAAAACGATAAAAAAAAAAAGCACCAAAGACAATGTGTGAAGTATGTTAGGCAGAAATGCGTCAAATGACGAGAAACAATGAATTTAGAATAATGGGTGAAAACAATGGATCAAACGATGCGTCAAAATTAATGCATAAGAACAATGGATCAAACAATGAACCAAACAATGCGTAAAAACTACTGCCGCTCCATCAACTCAACCACCTTCTTCCGAACTCCTCCCCCACCGAGATTTTCATCCACCCAGTCGTCCCAACAGATTGCAAGAAGAGCAGAATGCCGTCCGGGACGTTTCTTGGCGAATAGTTCTGATACAACTTCATCTGCAGCTTCTGCTTGCTCCGAACCCGAGCTTGACTCCAGATTGGAGCTACCGCTGCTACTCTTCAACGTCGGGACATGCCCGGATTTATTCTCCGGGAGGACTCTCGCCCAGCGCAAAATCCCTTCAAACTGGAAGCCCATGCGTTCAGCGGCCTTGACGCTTCGCGCATTATCGGCATGAGCCTGCCATTGCAAGCGTCGTAATCCAAGACCTCCACGGGACGGAAGATCCATGGCGTAGAGCTCAAGAAGTCCAACGGCGTGTGTAGTGAAGTGTGATTTTTGAAAAGCAGGGAACGTGACGACCTGGCCCTGTAGTGTTAGCGTCTGTATTCTCTATATTCTTCTAGACTGGAGCATCAAGTTCTTGTGATGACGGAGTCAAGAGTAGAGGGAGAGTAAATGATACGGCTTCAGATGAGCGGCCTGGAAAGACAAATGGGCTGATTCGATGGAACCCAGATGAGAAGAAACGTGACTGTCAATGGAAATAAAATAAAAAGACTGACAAATCCAATTTCACTTATCCCATGTTCTTTGTCGGTATTCAAATAACCGATAATTCCAGCAAACGTGTTGCCATGCTCATCCAGATGCGGCTCTGCATTGCCATGTCCATTTCCGCGCCAGCCTTTGGAGTAACTTGCGTAAAGCTGCGAAGAAGGCACGCTTCCGATGCGAGTATTGTAAACGGCTTCAAATTCATCAGGAGCGTCAAACGGTCCCCAGGGAAGATAGTCGAAGATCTCTGGGTGCGATTTGCCCACTTGAACGAAAGGGGGGCCGTGAGTGGGGAACTGTATTGTTAAATATCAGAATCGTTCCGTTCCTCTCATCCTGAACATCTCTTTTGTGAGGAAAGTATATGTTGAAGACAGCGGCAGCAGACTGCTCTTTTTGGTCATGTGTTCATGGGAAAGGGATACGAAGAAGGAAAAAGACAGCAATATTTCAAATAAAGTTGGCACAAATTCACAAGACGGTTAGAATGGAAAGACACAACTTACGTCGAATGGAACCAACAAGACGCGATCACTTTCAAGTGGCCGAACAGGAAAGTGGAAATTGGTCGAGGAAGTCTTTTGGACCGTCATTATAAATGTTTCTTTCTTGGAGTTTGTTGTCACTGGATCAATGCTTCATGCGAGCTGAGATGATGCCGGCAAGTCTAAATCATTCGTTAGCAAAAATTCAAAGTTCAAATTTTGAGAAAGCGCTTGGTATTTCAGAATTCAGACAATTGAAGTAAATCAGAGAAACAACTGGAAAACGAATAATTTCAGAGATAATTCTCAGTTTGAAGCAGTCGAAGGCAGCGCAGTCAACCCGGGGGATCTGAATTGAGGGCCAAATACTGGCCGCTCATGAACAGGTAGCTATGTATGCAGCATGACGTGATGACGCCCGTATGGAGGAAGTACGGAGTAGATATAAGATGATTTCAAAGGTTGAAAAAGGAATTGCAAAAGGAACTCAAAGCCAAATACGTAGAGGAACAGACATAGGGATTTTATGATTCATTCAAATTTGGAAATGATCACAATGACGACGCACCAATGCTTTCAAGGTGAACACCGAAAGTGAAATACTGCAGAGACAACGCACCTAATCAACTATTTTATCTTCGATGACAAAAAATGCAATCAATAATGACTGAACAGATTGATATGAAATGAATCAAATATTGTTGAGAGCTCGACATTTACTCTTGTCCTTCGGCTGGTTCGGCCGAGCTTAAATGAAATGACGAATAAGCTTGACTCATTGCCTCATAGGGTGTGCCGAGGGACATGTATCAACACACACAGCCATTGTATTATTAACGATCAATGTCTCAGCTCTGATGTACAAGATCAAGGGTTCACAGCGAGGAAGACCTTCAAGTGTAAAATAAATTTTTGACTTCTCTACACCAGCTGCATACTGCTCTAATTGCTCTGGAGAAATAAGAAACAATATTCCTCAGCCACTGAGACTCAACTCACGAAATGGAGAGGAGCAAGGAAAAGCGTTGTGCTAAAATGAAAGAATTACTTTGTGCTCATTGTTTCGTTACTCTGCATGATGCTTTGTATTTTACATATCGCTATGTGTATCGGCGCTTTTGAAGCGCAATGTCTCCTATGCGTGCGGCTATTGATGCTATGGAAAATGGGAAAAAGAAACCCGAGAGAATATCAAAGTGCATGACCGAAAGGAACAGGGTCGCTGATTGGAAGAATGCCGAAATGAGATTGGACAAGGTGCAAGACGGTCCATCTAGATATGAATGCATGAAAAAATGGTATTCTGTCGTCAAAGAGAATAGAAAAATGTGCTTTTCGAATGAAAATTGGGGAATCAAAGTTGACGAATGCTCACGGGAGTGTCAAGCCGTAAACAAGAATAGAACCGAATGAGGAAATGCCAGTGATGGGAGAGAAAAGACAAATATCGCCGATGCATCAACGAATAGATATTTTGCGATAATGAAAGGAAAATAGAAATGATGGTTGATCGTAGAGGGCTTGACCTTATACCAAGCATAGTCCCAAGAGTCTGTTCTTCAACAGAAAATGGTGCTTGGTGATATCCAATAATTCACCCAAGATAAGTAATACCAAGATAAAGTAGCAGCGTGAGACACAGGACTAGCGAACACTGACAGCCACGCCAGAGCCTGAATCAGAGCTCTTCGAGTCTGCAGACTCCCTCGCAATCCTGTCTTGCTCGGCTCTCCACTCTTTATAGCCCCGTTCGACGAGGGTGATGATGAAACGAGGTCCCTCACTGGGCCTTGGGCGAGCCGATTCTCCAACGTAAAACTCGCATTTAAACCGCATATATGATCCATTCGTCTCGCAAACGCTAATCTCGTCGCCCGTGTACAATCTGCCGCATAGGAAGCCTTCCTCGCTCTCCTTGCGCATGTGCACCCGGTTCACCAGGATCCCCATGCTGCATCGGGTTCGGACGATTGCGCAAAGGCCTTCCATCTTCGTCCAGTCTTTGCCCTCCGTCTCAGCCTGCTCGATCCCTTTACACCAAAACTCAATGTCCAAAGCATTTTTCGGGATGCGAGTCTCGCTCGGTCTAGGATAGACAACTGTGTTGTATGGGTTTCGTCCCCAAGACGTCTGCCGCTGTTCGAGCTTGAGAGTGACGTTGTCAAAAGATCCTGGAAGACTAACAAGCTTCCCAAGTCGTGGCGGAGGTCGAATGAAATCACCATTTTCATTGCCATCAGCAGATTCCTTGCTCTGCGAGTTGAGCCGCTCTTCTTGAAACTGAGATTGCCGAGCAACAGTTTGCGGTGCATTGTAGGAACCAACTTTATTATTGACAACCTCTGTGCCTTTGCCCTCTTCCGGAATGTTTTCAAGCGCAGGCTGAGCATTCCCAACAACGTCCTCCCTATTTTCTTTATTGTCATCCTTACCTACGGAAGGTGATCGCGAGTTGGCACCCTGAGCAGCAAAGTCAATGCCGCTTACTCGGGAAGCATACTCGACATTATGCGTGGTAGGATCGTCGGCCTTGTACCAGGCGGAAGGCGGAGGCACAAGCTTTATACGGCGACTGTCAAGCTTCTTCTCATCCTCGCTGGGAGTCTGTCCGTTTAGATCTTGATGCTCATACTGCCCAGCAGGTACGGGCTCAGGTGGTGCGACCGTGGCCAACTCAAACTTTGGTGAGCGGGGCGATTTTGGTGAAGCCATATTGAGCGCACCAACGAGAGATTCGGCCCCAAGTAAGCTCGGGGCTGGACCAACCCCTTTATCTGAACTCGGCAAACCTTGCTGCGGCCGCTTTGAATGGTGATCAGGCGTGCCAGGGTCAAGATAATCCGACTCAAAATTGAGAATGGAGCTCATACCGTCGCCCGAGTCTTCATAGTCACTTGTCATGGGCAAGTCTTCCTGACGTCCACGACCAAAAAGCCCAGAACTGCGTAAAGCAGAGCTATTGAGTTCGCCGTAAAGACGTGCTCTGCCCACGTCTGTTGTTGTTCTTTGAGGTGGAGGTTGATATGTGACTTTGCTGACCTCAGCCAACGAGGGCAAGAACATCTCCTCACTCGAGGGATCCTGCGCTCGTGAAGGTGAAGCCTGAGAATGGTCCGTTTTCGCTCGCTTACGTCGACCAGAATTGGAAGATCCTGACGGTCCAAGCTCGTCAAAATAAAATTCACCGTTGCTCTCCTCGCCAGCAGCCCGAGATCTTGCTTGTAGGCTTGATTGAGCCACTGCGTTACCTTGGCCAGCAGCTGACGGTTGAGCACCTGAGCCAGCGGGAACCGCAGCGGATCCTGCCTCACTTAAATCATCTGAATCAGCGAGCCAAGGAAGTTCCAGACACTCTTTTGCTGTTGGCCGTTTGGCCGGATTCTTATAAAACATCTCGGAAAGGAAGTCGAAGCATTTGGCGGAGATGTCGTTTTCCTGCAGTGGCTCCGGATCCACAAGTTCGGTCATGATCTTATAGAGCATTCCATGTCCGTTACCAAGATGGTCGCCGGGTTCGGCAGCATACGGCGTGGCACCGGTTAATGCATGATACAACACGGCAGCATACGACCATATATCGACGGCATGACTGTAAAAGTGGGTCCTTTTTCTGGAGAACAATGAGCATTAGAGAAATATTCCGAAGACAACAATTAGCGACAAATTGAACTTAAAAGCTTACTCTTGGGCTTCATGAGCGCGCCGGCGTTTCCTCGGTTCTTGCTGAAGATAGCTCTGGTAATCCGGAAAGACTTCAGGCGCGCAATACAACAAAGTTCCGCAAAATGTCTTCAAAAAGGTCTCCTCGTGAACCGCTTTGGAGAGTCCAAAATCTGACAGCTTCACATGAAAGGGAGTGTACGACGCGATGAGGATATTGTCCGGCTTGATATCGCGATGAGTAATCTTCAGAGAGTGAAGATAGTCCAGGGCCGAGAGAATCTGCCTTGACATGGACCTTGCCAATGATTCCGGCACAGGCCCGTTGGCAAGGAAATTGCTAAGATCACCGCAGGGAACATATTCCATGATAATGTAGAGGTGGCGGGGCAAATCGACATAGTCGATATACTGAACAATGTTGGGCTTTGGGGATTGTTAGCGATTGGTCAATAAGCTACATCCGAGAAAACTTACGTGGCGAATGCTTTTCATAATTGTCATTTCATTGGTGACTTTATGATCGAGATTGCCATTTCTCATGACCCTGCGCTTTTCGATTTCCTTGGCAGCGAAGATCTCACCATCCAATTTTGTGGCAAGCTTATACACTATGGCGAAAGCGCCTTTACCAAGATATTGAACAATATTATACCGGTCTCCTCCGTTCCAGTGGCAGCCATGAGTGACGGGGCCCTGCATGGAGCCCAACGATGGCGGCATCATTGCTTGCTTAGCAGCGTCACCTGGCTGTGGATGACGACCTTGCTCGGTGGCTGGAGCGGTGCCCCGTTTCGCGGCCTCTAGTTGGACAATGTTGGCAAGATACTTATGGAACTTCCTTCCGTACTCCTCCAAATGGTGGCCTTCTCTGGAGGGTATGCGGACGATGAATCGAATCTCATCATCCGAGGAGTTGGCAAGGATTCCGACCCGCGAACCGTTTTCGAGCATCTGGGTGGGCGGGCAATTGTACCGTCTCGTCTCTGGCTTTCCCATCAGTAGCGTGTCGTTGACAGTAGTACCATTGGTCGAGGTGTCCTGGAGCATCAGAATGCCGGCACTGTTGAGATAGATTCGAAAATGGCAGTTGCTGACTTTCTTTGTCGGAGAAGCGTCCAGAACGATGTCACATCTTGCGGGATTCCGTCCAAACAAGAAGCCCATGGAAGGGTTGCGTACACTTGAAGACATGCGAAGGGCGATATCCTTTTGCACAGCCTTTGGCGGTGCCAACGATTGTCCATCTTTTGCCTTTTTCCGTACTACTCCATCTTCGCCAAGCTCAAAATCGTCGCCTTCGTCCTCGCCACTCTGCTGAAGCAAGTGCTGGGGAGCATGCTTGGCTGTCAGCGCTACAGCTTGTATCGCAGCTGCCGTGGTCGGGTGCAAGATGCATATAACGTCCGAGAGGTCTTCCTCGGAGAGACCAGAATTGTTCCGCCCTATTCTGCGTGGATCGAGTATTGGTTGGGTTGCTGGTTGAGTGGCATCGTCTTGAAGATCCATTCTGTATAATCTCGCGTGGACACGGATGGCTAGAAGAGTGTCCGTTCCTTTATTGTCCTTGAATGGATTAATACCCTCAAATCACAATCTCTACAACTTCACGGCGCACAAGTCGGGTCGAGCGATAGACAATTGATCTTGCGAATCTCTGTAGGATTGGGTATGAGCAAGGGGATAGAAGCGTGTAAGGCGCAAAACTAATGGCCATATATGCACCCGAGCTGGATTTGGGCTAACGGACGACGGTGTGAAAGTGAAAAAATTGAAATCGATGATTTTAAAGCGCGTGAAATTGCGTGTAGAGACCCATGCACGATTGTTGTTTTGGGGTGAGGCACTGAACAGGTCTGCCTAGAGATGCCTCCAACTTGCAAGCAGCATTATATAGTCAGTCTTTCCTAGGGATTAGCTTTCAGCTGCTAGCTAGAGACTTGACCATATAGAATTCAAGCCAGATGTTTTCGAAGAAAGAGATCAATGGAGCAACATGCATGGGCAAGTGACGGCCTGCGTCAAGACGAGGGAGAGTTTGGATCGTTAGGTTGTTAGTTATCACGAAACTCGGGAGTCGGATGTGCACTGGCCGGGTAAGCGACAGTGCGATGTACCTTGCATGACAGATAAACCGCGGTTCCTATCAGTGAAACCACTGTACTCGGAGTAAACCACTTTAGCTAGTTCGCTCGTTCCACGAGAGGACTGAGGGAACCAAGTTTAACCGAAGGCGCCTAGTAGACTAGGCCTCGTAGGCTACATTACGCGCCGTTGACGGCTTCTACTAACTAAGATTACCGAGAGTGGTCCCCGAATTTACCCACACCAAATACTCTCAAAATTTTCTGGTTTTCTTTGCTCTTTATTACGCAATATCTTTACCTTCCATTGATGTAATCTAATAACAGTCGTATTTGTCAATCGGTCCAGTTAGCTCAATTGGATTGAACACTTTCAGTAAGCGACATGGCGCAGCGGAAGCGCGCCGGGCTCATAACCCGGAGGACCTTGGATCGAAACCAAGTGTCGCTACGAAATTATCTTTTTGTCTCTTTTTCACAAGTCTTATTCTTTTTAATTGTTAATAGTAATTTTCATTTTCAATTGAAAAATTGGTCAAGTGTGTCTTATATACATACATATATGTATATGCTGTCTCCCCTGGATATTTTGGATATTCGTATATCCAAGTGTTTTTAAGAGATGGATTAGTTATCCTGGAGTCGCATCACCTCCTTCTTCTGCTAGAGTGCTCTTGGCATGCTGCACCTCCTCACAAACATGCAAAGGGGGCCAGGGTCGGGAATATATATTGCAACATAACTATGCAGTCTTTCACGAATCCTGGTACAAAATTAAGTTACCATTGGAGACTAGCGCCGAGGTCTTGTGATATGTGAACCCCTCGCGTCGCTTTACAAGCAGGCAATATTGCCTCGTCGTATTCTATGTATTGAAAAGGACGGCATGGAAACTAATGGTCTAAGTTTTTCTCTCATACGCAAGCTTCAAGCGAACGTTGCAGTGACCAATTTTTCGCCTGTGTCATATATGCAATGGGTTATCGCGGAGGTTGGAATATACTATATCAAGGTGCATGGATATGATTTTATTTTTCTTCTCCAGACATTGACTACTCGGCAGGAAAAATATATCAACATGTGACTGAATATGCGCGAATTCCCGAGCATACCGATCCCCATGATATCGCCCGTGTGCTGACCTGGATCCTTCACGATGTGAAGAGATTTCAAACAGAACAGAATCTTATGCCCTTTCCACTATCTCTTCACCGGGCTTACGATTGTTTTTATACACTTGACATTGACCACAACACACTGACCACAAAGGCATGGATGGATGCTGGCGATGACGTTTGCCTTGATATAACCCTCTTCCGTATTACTACTACCTCGGGTTCAGCGCACGTGGAACGGATATACAATAAAGAGGGAGATTATCGCAGGCGCGGGCTGCCGGTGTCAACAATCGATAATGCTTTGTCTGAATCCGTTTCGGAAGAACTGGAACATGAGCTAAATGGCCTCTCATCACACTCAAACCGTCTACATCTTCTCCGCGAGCGACTAATTCTAGATCTCCTGTATCAATGGCGGTCCTTTTTCTACGATGAAGACAATTGGAGCTCCTCCTGGTTGCTGCACAAGACTCTCTGCGAGGCACTCCTTTGGGTGGCCTCTTGGGACTTTACCGTCCAAAATGACATTACGGCTAAGCGTGATATTGGAAAGCTGCCGATATCTCCCTATGCTTTCCCCGAATGGAATCCAAACGCCGCCGACATATTCTGGTTTCACGGCTATCTCATCGTGATGTGTGCCGATGCATCAGACAGTACGATAGCGGCTTTTGCATTGGAAAGAGCAAAGGCTTTTCTGGAGAATCAGCCTGCGACAGTCATCGTCCTTTCTCTCCCAAGCCTTGCAGTCGTGACAATAGAATCTGGTGGTATTCGATCTACACGACCAGTGCCATTTCTTGGACCAAATCCGGATGTTGTCACCCAAGGAATGCATATCCTCTTCGGTCTCTTTACGTCGGTTTCCTGTCCAAGGAAAAGAGCTACGGTGCATGGAAGCCTTTCCCTTCCAATGGAGCTTTGGTGGATGATTTTCCAGCACCTTGATTCTTCCTCCAGGATCAAATTCGCACAAACCACAGAAGCTTTTGAAATGATATATCACTCCTGCTTACCGGAACTGGCAGGCTCGAAGTTTATTGCACGCCCTGTCAACAAATGGCCGTCGCCTACACGAATCTGCACAATTGAACGAACTGGATCGATTGGTCAACTAAAACTCGCAGGGCGCTCGACTGATCCGGTTACATTTTCGATTTCATTTCGGGGAAAATTCTCTGGACTTGCATATATTAATACATTGAGCCCATCAGGTGGCTGCCTGTCCACTGCTTCATCTCAGCGCAGTTTTCTAACTTAGCGCTCTTGTGGCCATGGTGTAAGAGCGAGGTGCCAAAACAGTGCGTGAATATGACTGACATGTTCAGGATTTCCAAGGTCCCAGGTCTGCAATACAGTCGAGCCGGGTGTAATAGGCACCAAATGATTGCGCTGGTTCGGGGGTTCTGGTTGATGTCTAAACTCCCTATGGTACTCGTAAAATGCGATTTCGCGACCTCGTATGAGGACGGCAAATAACCTATCAAGGCCATTTGCTGAGTGCACCGCATTGAACAGTTGGTCGAGCGACGAGAGCCAAGCATCACCAGGTTTTTTGCATTCCACAATTGTATGGTCCCGAAACGCTCCATTTTCCAGGAGGCGCAAGACTATGAAGTCGGGCTTGTTGGATCCCCGTATCTGCTCCGGCGCCAGCAAAATGTAATCTTCTGGTCGGAAGTAATGATGAAGGATGGGATCCATTAAGCGTTTCGTGTCAGCTTCTGGCGATGTGGAATGAATGCCAGCTATGGCAGCTTCTATAATTTTAACATTTATATATGGCTCTGCTGGCGGAGGCACATCTGGGGCGTTTCTACAATCAACTCAACGAATGAGAGAGCAACGAGGCTGATGAACGTTTTGCTGATTTTCTACCGATCATAGCGCAGTAAAGGAAACCCGAATAGCTTTAAATCTGTGAGATGAGTTATAATTGTATACTTGAAGTTCGAATGTGAAGAGTGAGTTGTCCATGAGGGTGACAAGGGTCAAAGGCGGGGTAACGAACATCGATGCCGGAGCCCCTGGTGTTCATACCTAGGTTACAAGTTAAGCAATCACTGGGTCGGACAGTTCGATATGGTACAATGAAAGTTGGGCATCAACGAGGAGAGGATTCGTCCATGCGATCTCCTGATCATAAAGGCCAAAGGGACCCAAAAGATGCAATCAAGCCGCATGTCAATATTACGGCGTGTTTGACTAAGTCTACTTGAGCTTCCTATGCAAATATTCCATGGGAAGAAAAGGAATATGTCCCGTGTTTATTCGGAAGGCTTAACAACCTCTCCATCCAGTTTCGAATGTTCTGGCAATAACAGTACACTCTCGAGGGTTGATCGCCCAAAGCCTTCCATTTGAGATGGTCACTTGACTATAAATATCCCATTATAATTTGCCGACCTGAGAAGCAAATTTTGACATATTGGAATGGCTTTTTGTGTCTAAATCGCTTTCTCAAATCCCGTGAGAACGTTGTGTTGTTTGCTTATGTAAGCTGCTGCGCTTCGTCCGCCGGACGAATATTTTCGGACGAAGTGGCAAGTAAGACTTGAGAACGACCTCCCCGGAATGCAATCTCTCATTGTCTATTCAACTTGATGTGATTGCAAGGAAGGAATCAAGAATTTTGCATATCAAGAACTGATCAATTTGTCAGCCAAAATATGACGCACCCACATAGTGCTCGTGGTACGCCCGAGGCCGGAGTGCGGAAGAGAATCCGCAAAGGGACGCATAGCTGCATTGAATGTATGCTTACCATTACTTTGATCTGGTTGAATATATGCAGAAAAAGAAGGAAACAGCCGATTTATGGTCTGAGAATGTTGATCCGGTAGAAAATTGACTAATGAATTCATCAGGTCGGCGGCGAAAGACAAAATGTGTGTTTCGACCAGATAATCCGTCCGTGTGTGTTGAATGCTTTGGCCGTGGAGCACCCTGTATCGATCAGACCCACGCTGAACTGGGGGATGCTCTATCTGATAACAGGCCAAATCTCCGTGAGCGAGTAGCAAGGCTGGAATCGCTTCTGGAAGGGGTCCTGTCCGGACAGACGACTGCAAGTTCTCGCGTAAACGAGAATGAAAGAGGTGCTGCGGAGGCGTTGAGCAATCTCCGCTCAGAGATTTCCTTTTCTTCGACGCCAGTATCGAGCCCTGACTCCAGTGCTACGGACAAGTACTACCCGAGAGATGCTCCGTTGATATCCATTTTTGACAATGCAGTGGTAAGAGAAACCTCCTTTTGTCCCAATACTTGTGACCTGAAAATGCATTAACGATGCGCAGTTGAAACGAAAAGAAATCGGATCAGAAAGTTCAAAGACTGGAAAGCATGAAGCAGATTACTCGAGTTCAGGGGAGCAAAAGCATGGAGCACGGGCTGAAAAGGATAGGGGAGTCCGCGCACAACTACTATCGATCTTACCTGATTCTTCGAGCCTCCAAAGGCTCATCGATCTCACGGGCGTCTGGTACAATACGTTTTTCCGCATGTTCCTCGAGCTTGATGCAGACAGCTCACAGCAAAATCTTCAGCAGTACCTTGCCTGGGCATTAGGTCATGATGATCCTTGTATCGTTGCCAAGGGGGTTCTTTGTGTCGCCGTTTCTGTTCAGCTGTCGAAGCCAGGGAAGGAGGAGGAATCGCTAAATCTCCCCCTGCCAGCCGAAAAGCTAATGCTCCACTACCTCAATGTGGTGGAGAGAGCTATTGTGGCAGACGATGACTACATGACGACATTAGCGGGCATTCAAGTTACTGCCCTTTTGGCCAAATGCTACGTTGATATCGCCCAGCCTCGAAAGACATGGCTGCTAGCTCATCGAGGCATATCTTATGCGCAGATGCTGGGATATCACAAGGAACACCACAATTCAACTCGAAAGGAATCTCACCGGGAGTCCCGGATGCGGCGCAGTGTGTGGTACACACTCTATGAGATAGACCGCTACATGAGTGTTTTCCTCGGGCTACCCTATGCCATTGTCGATAGTCATCAAGCTGCATCATTGGAAAATGATGATATTCCCAACTGCAGTCCTCAGGCTACATTATGTCGGCGCCAGCTGTGCACCATTACCGGCCGAGTTGTCGACCGAAACCAATCGTCAACTGGGCCTTCGCTCGCGCTGACCCTCCAAATCGACCAGGACCTTGAACAATTAAGAGAGACGGTTGGTTCGTCATGGTGGGAGACAGCCGAGGAACGCAATAGCGGAAAGATTGGCGATGAGGAAGCATACGAGCGGATGATGCTGCAGTTTGCGTTCCACCAAACACGGGCCTTTGTCCATCTGCCTTTTATGCTTCGATCTGGTACCGACCGCCGCTTCGACTACTGCCGGCTGGCATGTTTTGACGCCTCGCGAGAGCTAGTAAAGCTCTACCGTGCTATGCGTCAGGGCGCAGGTGCCGCATTCCATCTCTGCAAAGTTCTCGACTTTCAAGTGTTTACGGGCGCCATGCTGCTCATTCTTGGGCTGTTTGGGTACGGCAAGACATCGACCGGACGAGACCTGGCCCAAGAGGAACAGGATTGGCAATTAATCGAAATGACAATGGAGAACCTCCGGGTTACCTCCCAAGAGCGAGGAGGCGGGGTCGCTGCCCAGTCATTACGGGTGCTCGAAACACTGAGTTCTGTCCGTTACGAGCGTTGTCCTTATGACAACGGCGATCACCCTTCCCAACAGCCAATGTCGCAAGAACCTGCAAGAAAATTTGTCGTGCCATATTTTGGCACCATCTACATTTCCCCTGGGAAACAATTCTCCGCGCCAGAGCCACCTACGCCGCAGAAGGCTCTTTCGCATATCAACCTTTCGACATCTCTCCCGCCAACCCCAGACTCCATGAGCAGTAGCGCTTGTTGTGGCGGCGCCGCCGGCGGTAGCAGTAGTAGCGGTGTGACTACTGGAACTCCATCTTCCCTGTCCTCGCCCTCCACGGCGTCAGTGCCAAAACACAACCACGCTTCGCAATTGCCGTTTACTCCTCATCAACACGCTCAGCATCACCACCAGCACCACCAACAATCTTCTCATCTGACGCACGACATGCCACCGCCACCATCACCTCTACAACATACTGTCCTGGTCAGTGGGCCTGAGCCTACCGCAAATTTTACCGGTCCATTCGGTCCCGGCGCCACACAGATACTTTCCCCGTCCAGTGGAGATTCTGGAGACCAATCAACGATTCCAATGTCATCGAACCCCACGACCGCTGCAACAACATTACAACAACCCTCCTTTGATAACAATAATAGTCCCACGTATAATTTCAACTTTGAACTCCCGCATATCGATATCGACTGGCAGAGTATGGTCGATATGGACCTCGTTCAGGATTGGAACTGGCCTATCAATTTGAATCAGATATGATGACGACGGTCACGACGGTGTTTGTTTCGCCTCCATTCTGATTTATTCTCGTCGTTGGCTTTCTGTTATTCTTCTCTTTTCTCTAGCGGTGGGTTTATATACATGGGCTTTGACACGGGTGTCACAAAGGAGCGGCCCTAATAACGTGTGGTATTGGTATATTGGTGCCTCAGCATACGGCGTTTTCTCTCTCTGGCTAGATGCCTGCCTTTCTTTTTATTTACCAATAGTTTTAATTTCTTTATTCCTCACCCCGAATTCAAAAACTATTCTCTTCTAATATTTCCCTTTACCTATCGCACGACTATAGTATTGATGCGCAAAATTAGCCACAAAGCGCAGGTTGCAGCGTTAGTTAAATAGCAAAGGTATTTTCTTTTACTTTCTCAAATGTACAAGTCCTCTGGTCCTCTGAATCCGCTCTGACAGTAGTCATGAATTATGACTGCTTGGTAATTGACTCTTGAATTCCAATCATGCAATGACAGTAGTACCAACATGAACCTTTTATCCCCGCTGGAGATGGTCCAAAGGTCCATCGTCCATCATTCTGAATCTCTGGTTGTTCAAGTTATGCGTCTCTGCAAGACCTCTTTGCCATATGTTCCAGCCCCTGAAAACCTCTTTCCCATATATTCTCCCCTTCTCCTTCTTCTTTCTCTGTACTTCTCTACTTCTCTCTCTCGCAGCCCCGCAGCCTCGCAGACTTGGCCCTCGCTCAAGAACAAACAGCCAGTCCGTTCTGATCAGAGTACCAGCATAAACTTCCAGTCTCAGAACACTAAAAACTTTGGTGTTAGCTAGTGGCAGTACTAATGGGCGGAGGGGAGACAGTGTGGTTTGCGTCATTGTGATAAAGGTTTTAATATATATATAGGACGGGGCGGCGGTGCGGAGGGTACCAATGTGCCATGCAGTATACTGTATACTGCCAAAGAACAGAGGGGGAGCGTGGTGTCTCGTGAGTCGTGAGAAAGAACAGAAAAGAAAAGAAAAGAACAGACCTTATGAATAGTCATGCACCTTTGCTTATGCACAATGCCATAGTAACAGAAATAGCACCACTGGCCTGGACTTTTGCTGCAGTACTATATCCCGTATCGTTAGCTTATATTCAAGAATCAAGTGGTTCGCCGTTATATTGTGCGCACAAAACAGAATAAAAAAAAAGCAGGAGTCAGCCGTTGGCCCGTTGACGGTGAAACTGTAAGCTAAAACAAAAGTTCAAAGTCCAAAGTTCGAACTCTTTCTCCTAACCCAAGGGCCAAGGCCCAGGGGCCAAGGCTCAAGGCTCGACGCTCAAGGCTCAAGGCCCAACGCTCCAAGAAAGCTGCAAATTCATTTGAAATTAGGTGTACAGTGTACAGTGTAACGTGTCATTGACACGTCACACATCACATAGGAGAGTCGAGAAGCTTCAATTGAAACACAGGCTCGCAGCCATATCTCATATCTCATAACTGATAACTCATACTAAAGTAGGGCAGTAGGTAAAGTGAATCGTGACCTACACCTTCAAAAACCTCGCCTCGTTCACGTTTCTCGAGATCAAGATCAAGATCATCAAGCCCATCAGACGAGGTAACTGTACTTGCACCAGTACCCCTAGTACTAATAGTACTAATAGGACTAATAGGACTAATAGTGCTATTAAGGTCCATGGAAAATTTAGATGCCGACAGAGCATCTGCGGACGAACAGCCTGTCTGGCGGATTACTTGGAGTTTGTCGTTGTTTTCGTTGTGTGTGTCGTACATTTTATGCTTGTCCAGCTCGCTATGCTCGCTTTGCTCGCCATCTTTCAGTGGCATTGCAGCAGCCAGGACAGGGGCAGGGACAAAGAGGGAGATGAAAAAGGCAGAGCCAAGAACGAGGAGGAGGACTTGGCTGAAGAGGGACTTGGAATGGAGATGCATGATTCACAATCTGAAAGAGAAGAATGAAAGGAACTTGTTTCGATGGTTTCTGAAGTTCAAAAGATGTACAGTGTACTATGGAAGCACACACAGTGGCACACCCAGAGTGACAGAGAAAAGAGACTTTATATAGATAATAGTGGTGACTGTTGATCAACCCAGGTTCCGACTCCCAGGCTATGGTCATACAGTATACAGTATACTATTAACCCCAGGGCCCACCCCCACTTGTTTTCTTACAGAGAGGTCGGCATGATCCATTGGCTAACTGTTGATGCAGCAAGTTGGAGCATGGCTGCATGGTCTTTCAGGAATCAGGATCAATCACGATTCACCAGGCATGGTGCGCTGTACACTGTGTACAGAAAAAAGGAGTGATATGTGTGTGGGTGTGACATGGAGTTCCAGGATAATCTAGTTTAACACATGTCACTACATGGTGCCATGGCCCTGGCCTGGCTTAACAATCTACCACCGTATAAAGAAGATGAACAAGGTAAATAAAGAATAATGCCTCTGTAGCTACATCTCAAAGCAAGCCATCATCTGATATGGCAAACCATCTGGACACCGCGCCTTTTCTAAATTCTTCTGGATCTTCAGATGATCGAGACACTCCTGTTTCTTCACTCAGCCAGCGATCAAATACAAGCTGCATTTGCTTCCGCTCCAACTCATCGACATCTGCTGCACTGCGGTTGTCGTCATGGTCGTCCGAGGAGAATTTAACATCGACAAATCCAGTCAGCCATGCATGGCCACCATCCCGGTCAATGATGACATCGAATGGGCTGATATCAACTCCGAGAGAAGAAACTCCACGACGGTGCAGTTCCCGTATGATTGCATTCAGCTGCTCACTCCACTCTGCATGATTGGACTCATCGATATGGCAGATAGAGTTTTGGCTTGCCAAGTTAATCAAACGGAACCCGTCAATCCATTCGAGAAGAATTCCTGCCATTTGTCTTTCTCGTTCCCCGCCTTGCATGTTTGTGATGGCATGCTGGGGGTCACTACTATCAGAGACCACCCCAAGCACCTTGGGAATGCGTGCATAAGACCCATTACGTGGAATCTTTAGGCCGTGTAGGCGGAGATAAGACGCAATCGACTGGTGAGACTCGTTCATGGACTCGGATGATGATCCATCCTGGTGCCGCTGCTGCCACGTAACCGTACACGCGAGAAAAAACGCCAGTTTTCCGTCAGGCAGGCGGACCTTGTGGGGAGGCCTTTTGAAATTATGCTCATGATCCACAGGAATGACTGCCCGAGAGTCAAAAACGGGAAGGTCGTCTGGCACGGCAAATGTGCACCACGCGGCGGGCTGCATCTCGTAGGCACATGTAATCGTGGGGGAGCCTGGCTCTCGGACGACGACCACCTGCGGGGAAGTCGCTTTTGATTCTGGAGCACCATGCAGCCGCAAAACGTATGATGCAACATGGAAATACTCGTAGAGGTTGGTCCAGTATGGTTTGTTCGGGGCCAGCTCTTGCAAGGTATCCATGCACTGAGAAATTACCAGGCCGCAGAGCTCATTCCAGCGCTGGGCGTGTAGGAAAAGCGGCTCCGGGTCGAGGAGGGGAAGCCACTGCCGCTCAAAGTCGGTTCCTTTGACATTGGCTTGATCAATCTCGATGATGAATTTGACGCCGTTTCTCCAAAGTTGCATTTCGCTCTTTCCAGGGTCGTGGTTGGTCATACCAAAACGAATAATATGCGGCGTATCAAAGTATTTGATAATAGTCATATTGATATACCGTTTGACCGTATGTGTTTGTTCAAATACTATAGTCTATAAGGGAAAATTGGATTAGCAGACGTGAACAGTAATGAGAAAGATTACAGCTTTAAATGCAGGGAATGATCCAGTTGAAATACCTTCTTTCGCTTATGGTTGACGTTGCTATCCTTGCCAGCTTACGGCAACAGATCCACGACAATTTGTTTCTTTTAGATTACTGATTGCCGGGAACAGGTCCAGTCAGGTGCCAGCCGTTGTGAAGTAACGAACCATCTTTGCAGCATCAGTGGATTAATACATTCTCACTCGAGTCACTGCCAGCAAGGTGGTGCACTGGAGCTGAAGTGGTGCCCAAAGACTCTAAGAACCTGACCCTGGTAAGTATGCAGTGACGTTGTGGCACAGCTGTTCAGGATGGTCAGACATCTCCACATTTTAAAAATCAACGTGGTGCCGTGTGGTGCGGTGGGAAGGGGACCGGTGCACCGTGCCCGGGCCAATATTCCAAAACGTCTGAGCGTCAACGAACCGGGTTCGTTCGAAATGCAGCTGCCTTTTCCTTTTCCTTTTTTTTTCTTCTTTTCTCCAAATCAGAATAGATAATGTACCATGTCATGGAGGGTTCAAGGCTGTTTGAATATCGTACGTTTCGAGTCCAATACAATTTGCTCTCGAGGCCATACTGACTCGGGTTCCTCGGCAGAAGAGAGTCGAGAGTCGAGAGTCGAGACAGAAAGCATAGGGTTGTGTGTAGCCGCTAATATAAGCATAGATAGCATTTCTTACTTTCTACAAAAAAATAAATATCCCTTCATAACTCATGACCAAAGTCTAATTTATTTCGCCAAATACTGAACGATTGAACCCAATAGCCGCGCTGCCCCCTTCGCCAAGAAAGCTTAATCCTTATATTCATACAAATTGGCGCATCGCATTGCATCTGCGCTTGGCAATTTCCATCATGAGACTCCTCGCTGTTGTGACGCTGCTCCTCTTGTCGAGTCTTGGCTATGGCTTGACCTGCGAAAATGCGTATGCGGCATGCTTTCATTCCTTTCATTTCCTTTATGCTATCATTTTACAGTTTACTATACAAAATTGATTGTTTCCATACTATATTTTACTATACCGTCTATACACGACTATTTGTTCTTTCATACAGTCATACTATATTTTAATTTTTACTATATACCACTAACTGAAAATACAAAACTGACTGCGAATCCAACACAGTGCCGATCCTGACCACGATATCGGAAACTACTGCGCATGTAGCGATGGGACATGTCACTTCCGCTCACCGAGAACGGGCTGCAACCCTCCTAGTGTCAGAGTTCCGTGCCCTTAGTCAACCAACTCAAACCTCTCTGTTGGGCAGCAGCCAGCTCGAGTCCTCGGCATTTTACCGGAGTCACCGGACCATTGGATCGGAAACGGTCTTCTTATATATGGTTCTTGGGCTAGCTGCTAGAATGTCAAGGTAAACTAGAATATCAAGGCGGAAAAGAATAATATAGAGGAAAAGGATAATATAGAGGGAAAGGATAGTATAGAGGGGAAAAGGAAAAAAAAACAGCGATGTAGACTTTGTCTTTGACAATCTCAAGTGTCAGTTCTGAGACTAGCAACCGGTGTTATTCTGTGTTATTCTGTATATTCATGTGCAATATACATATGCCTCATTGCTGTATGACCAACTTGTACTGTTCTCGTGATAAATTATATATTACATATTATGTCTCTATGTGCGTAATGTATCGAATGCACATGTACCCAGTACGGCACGGCATGGCAAACCGTAAACCGTAAACGGCAATGCCGAAATGCATCTAGTCTAGACAACGAAACGCTATGCAGCTATTCCATAATGCGACCACGCCCTGAGTCCCAGTGTTGCTGTACAGTGCGCCCAGATGCGCCGGATAACACAATCTAAAGGAAGAAAAAAAAAAATCTATAAATGCCATGCAGTGTGCCCAAAGAGGGAGGGGAGAGGAGCGAAGAGAAAGAAAATGATGACAAAGTCATAAGTCATAATCGATAACCGCTGTGTGTAATGCATGGTATCGCTTGATGGTGGACAAGACAGATACAAAACAAAACAAGACAATGATGGTGTAAGGGCACTAAGCCGCACCACCGGCAGTAGCCTTGCCTTTAATGTTGACCCACTTGGACAACAAACTAATCGGCACCGTGAGGCCCGCGAGGGCAATCGCCAGAGCAAACGTCACGTGCAGGCCATCCATGTAGGCCGTCAAGATGCCGGGAAGCTGGGCTGGGTCAAAGACTTTGCGCAGCTCCGAGGCGCCAGTGGCGAGGACGAGGGCTGGGTTGACTTCGGGGGCGGTGACGAGGATGCGTTGCAGGAGCTTGTTTGCGAATGCGGACTGGGCGGCGGAAACGCAGAAGGCACCACCGATGGTTTGGAAGACTTGATGATAGCGTTAGTTTTAGTCAATAAAAAAATGGAGAGGGGAAATTGAAGGTAATGAGAATGAACTAGGGCGAGAAAAGAAAAGTAAACGTACATAAAGTCATAGCAGTGGAAGAGGAAATGTCAGACGGTTCGACAATGGCCTGTGCGGCAATGACGGGTGTCTGGATGGCAAGACCGATGCCGATACCCGCAATAGCCTGGTATCCGATCCAGTGGGAGTGGCCGGATCCGATGCCGAGAGTGTAGATCAGGCCCGCTCCAACAGTAGTGAAGACGCCGCCGAGAATGAGGAAGGGTACGAAATGACCAAAAGCAGTGATCAAGCCACCGGCCATGACGGTGAAAATGGTGCACGCGAGAACCAGAGAAAGGTTGCGGATTCCACTCTGCGCGGCGGATACGCCGCTCACGGCTTGGAAGTAAATGGGCAGGTAGTACAGCAGGGTGAAGAAGCAGCCGCCCAAGCTAGAAGAGGAAGATGAGTGTTAGTTGAGACTTGAGAATATTGTGGTAGTAGGTGACGGGGAGCAGCTTTTTGGGGGATAGTGAAACGTACAAGAAGGCGTAAGCGCAGCCGACGGCAATAGTGCGATTTTTGAGGAGACGGGGCATAAGGAGCGCCCGGTCACCCTGGAACCATTCGACAATGACAAACAGGATGGTGATGAGGCCAAAGCCAACAAGAGTACCAATGACATCGGAAGAGCTCCAAGCCTTAGTCGTGCCACCCCACTGCAGAGCGAGAAGGTAGCAGACAACGGCAGCCAAGATGGTAAAGGTGCCGAAAAGGTCCATCTGAAGGAACTTCTCAAGGAGAGTGGCCTCGACGGGACGAGCGGTCTTGGGCGTGGAGAAGAGGAGAAAGATTAGGACTGCAGAGATGCCACCAATAGGCAAGTTGATGTAGAAGCTGTAGAGGTATTAGAATAGATAATTGTGAAAATCAAGAGAGTAGGACATGGGGTACTCACCACCACCGCCAGGAGACGTTGTCGGTGAAAGCACCTCCAAGAAGAGGTCCAATGACACTGGCAACACCATAGGTCGCGCCGAGAATACCAGTAAAAGCAGGTCGCTTTGCCGGCTCAACAGTGAAAGCAATGATTGTGTATGCGCCGGAAATGACACCTGCTGCACCAAGACCAGTAATGGCGCGTCCGACAATCAAAGTTGTGCTGTCCTTGGCGACACCTTTTAGAACCCATGTTAGTACTTTTTCAATTTTAAATTAAAGGGATGCCAAATGCTTACCGCAGATCAAACTTCCAAGTTCGAAAATGAGAATGGTCAGGATGAACGAGGGCTTGAGAGGAAAGTATTTGTATGCTTTGCCCCAGGTGGATTGAAATGATGCAACGGTCAGGAAAAACGCCGAACCGTACCAGCCGACTTGATCGAGACTGTGGAACTGGTCTGTGATTCGAGGAATCGCAGTTGCAATAATTGTCTAATCAACGTCAGTTCTGAAAACAATCATGGAATTTCCAATCAGTTGCCCCAATTTCAAGGACTCTTATTCGAATTCATGGCGGCATGCAAAGCCCACTGATGGTCAAATGGGAATCAAGAAGAAATAAAAAAAAGGTCGTACCATATCAAGAGCAGCCTATACATCATATTAGTCTTTCGATCCATAGTATAATGAAGATATGATGATGACATACAAGGAAAACACTCAAAATCAGAGCAAGCACAACGGCAGCGAGCTTGAACCCTTTTGGGTACTCATCCTCTTCACCCTTTTCATTGCCGTCGCTGCTCTCAGCAGGGCTGTTGATGTCCTCTTTTGTCAAGGTGCTTTCTGGCCGACTGTCGGCATCCGGCCTTTCCAAAGCATGGTCGGTGGCCAGTTTCGCATCACTCATGATGGACGAGACTGTGATGTTTTTGACGGTTAAAAGAAGAAAAAAAAAAAATATTAATAAATAACAAGAATTCGACAAGGAAGAATATCAACAAGTGCAATTTGCTATTAATTGTAGTCTTTCTGGAGTGATGAATTGGAATCTAATTATTTCACGGCCATGGACGACATCTTATATTCATAACCAATTCCTTTGATGGCTATCGGGTTCATTTTTCTTTTTTTCCCCTTAGGCTACCGCCTTATCGCTTAGGATGATGAATGCAGGAAGATCCATGTGGAATTGTCAGCGACGAGTCACAGTGGTGGTGGGGACTTTCCGTAAAGATTCGTCCGGCGGCCGCAGTCTGCTTGGCGTTTTTCCCCCATTTTGAGTTATTTGAGTTGACTGGACGGGGAAGGGTTGTGCCTGTTCTAACTGTAAATGGTGTAGACAGGTAGCGGGAACCCATGTGCGGACCCACCCGGCTCAATGCCGCTTGATCATTGGACCCCTTTTGGTGAGAAATCCCCATTCGGCCTCATTAATCCTCCGCGCTCCGGCTCAACGCGGCCGCATTCATTGATGATTGCAGGTTGTGCGGAGATGCTGCATAATTAACTTTTTTGCCTGAAGAGGCAAGCCCCAGGCTTGGCGATGAGTAATGCTTCGTTGTTGGCGTTTTAGAATACCTGGTTCATGACTCCTGTCAGCCTTAATGGGAAAAGTCTGACTCCACAATTGTAAGCAGCATCCCCTGCGGCCGCCTTTTCCAAGTTTCTTTCTTTTTTTCCGTAGTTTCATCTTTAAAGCTATTTTCTGACTATCGGATCCCGGCGCTTCAGATTTCCGGTCATAGTCTTAAGTCACCATCATCTTAGCAACAGTAGGCATCATGCAAAGCAGATCTCAGCCTTTGTAATCATCATCATTAGTCGTACTTGACCTGCTTGCGCCTCTTCCAAGGTCGTATTCTGTCAGTGCTGAGGATGACTACCTTAGATAACATTGACATCTGCCATGACAGGTCTTCGGCTATCTGCCTTGGTCAGTGTACACGCCAATCTCCTCGTGGGGAAGATGTTACGAACGTTGGCCATGGAAAACAACAACGTAATGGTCTCATCTCCATCTCCTTTTGCTAAATGCAATATTGGTAATCCCGCATCTATACTCTCTCTCTCTCTCTCTCTCTCTCTCTCTCTCTCTCTCTCTCTCTCCCCTATACAAGAAATACTCAAAAAGCGTCTATTCGTTACCAATGCCAGTCAGCAACAAAGCATCGAGCACCCAATTATACAAACGCCAAAAGTCTTTACCGGTTGTAGCAAGGATGGTGCCCCACGATAATAAAATCTAGACTATTCACCGATATCCGTTACTCAGAATGATCAAAACCTGACCAGCGTGAGACAATTATTCAAAGCCTCTGTTTTCTGCAGTCGGGCAGAGTCTCCTTTGCTAGCGCACGACGATCTGGCGAAGCCATATCTCTTACCAGCGAAAGAGGTGTTATATACCGGCAACCGGAACCCCATACTCCGTAGGAACGCCCGCCATCTCAACCGACCATAACCCCCTCAATCGACTCCCCCCGGGTCCCGTACGACCACAGGATCACGCGTTTCCGTGCGCTTCGACTCCAAAGGCCTCTCCTTCTTGACTTCATATTGAGGATTGCGGTCCAAGAAGCGTCTTGCCCAGTGTTCTCCGACAGTTGGAGGCGGAGTAGTCGCGTCTTCATGGCTCTCAGCGAGTATGGAGTTTGCGCATTTTTTAATCATTTCACGCGTAGTCTCCAATCCTGAATGATTCAATCTATCAATCTCCTCTCGGAGAGCCAGCTCTTGGGCCTCATTAAGCTTCCTGTTCGTTGCGGGCCTGGTGGAGCGGGAGGCTTTCCCCTGGTATCTGGCCAGGAGCCGTCGGTAAGGTAGCCCGTTTTGCGCTGCGAATTTTCGCAGAATGACGCGCCCATTCGGCTCAAAGCGTGTCAAGGCAGCTGCAATTTCTTCTTCTTGAAGCTGGTAATCTGCAGGCATGTGTTGCTGGTGATGCAGCGCGTCAAAAGCAGTCTGCGAAACGACCAGTCGGGGTGGTCGATTGAGAGTGTATGGTCGGTTGAGACGGCCGACAGGCCCACGCCAAACCTCTTGTCACCCGCCCATGCGTACCTTGTACGGAGAACAGTACGGGTTCGTTGGGGACCGGCACCCCGGTAAGCGTTGGTTAAGCTTTCATAACCGAAACTCGTTCGTTCAGCCACTGGCCAGTGCGAGCAACAGGATTCGCACCTGGCACCTGGCACAGCTGCTGCCTGGCTCAGATTTTCGTGCAAAAGACTACCAAAAAAGCGTGCCAATACAAAATCCGATTCCAGCAGAGAATAAAAAACAGGTCATAAATAAAAATGGCTTTGCTGGTTTTAGGGTGGGGGATTAAAATAAAAAAGGGGGACAAAAAACATACAACAGCGGGGATTCGCTGGTCGTCACCGACCCAACTACTAGTCCGCCGATCTGAGGCTTATGTATGGCAGAGCGGACGGGATGCCCAGTTCTCCTCAGTCTATGGTCGTATGTATTAGATGTTGGCATTATTCGTGTACATATGCGAGCAAAAACGTTGTCGCAACTGTTCGGTTGCTTCGTGAAGCGGGTAAAGAACACTTTCAACAACGGATCAGAGCCTGCTACCCTCACTCCGGCTAAGCAAGTCTTATATAAAGTAGACTAAAACATAAGAAACCCAAACAGCCGGAACGAATAATCAATGATGCTGGATTAGCAGTTTATACAGTACTTACAAGAAAGTGTTCGTGTATTTCGAACACCAGAGCAAAATTACCTATGTTTCCCCCCCCTACACAATCTGTCTCCAAATTAATTTTGAAGGGATAAAATTTAAACAGATGGTTTTAGAATCAGTATTCATTTTATGAGTGTGAAAATGGAATTCGACTGCACAGTCTGTGTCCCTACGGATACCTCTGTATGCTCCTTGTTTTCAACAACAGGAAAATGGCTTTATCGGCCTGTCAGTGCATCAATTAATCGGCTGGTTATGGCTCAGGAGGAATGGAGAGGTACTATTACAGCTTATGATAGTGTGATCAATTTTGAACATAAGAAATGGAGAAATGTCCGTAAATAAAAAAGCCCGAGCTCTAGCTAGAGAGCCAAGCTGGTCAAGCTTCGTACCTATGCGATGCTGTGCAAATAAAGCGCTGAGGGCTAGAACATAATGATAAAGAGAAAATCTTTTGAACGCCGCATGAGCAACAATTGTGGGCATGGAACCGCAAGGATGATGAAATAACCACTTTAGATAGCATACGAGGAGCTCTGCAACTCGATGCCATCTGTCCTAGAAAACGCCTCGCTCAAAATGCCCAAGAAAGCAAAAGCAAGCCAACCCAAAAGAGCAGAGGGACAAGATATTAAGCGCAAGGCAGGGAAGTGTACCTGGGGTACGCAGTTAGTCTGGCAATTCCAGAGGCTGCGCTTCCCCAGCAGGAAATGGTAAAGGTTTCGCCTTTCTTCTGGCCGACTTTGGTGGTGGTTCCGGTACAGTAGGCAGAGATGGCCTGGCAATAGAGCCGCGCGGATGCGGCTTGGAAAAGTTGATGTATCGTTTTCCAGTAGAAGTATAACTCACACCAGGTGCACGTTTGTCGATTGCATCTGTGGGAGATAAGTTCTTGGCTTGTGCATTCGTGATTGGCGGCTGGGATACCGGGTCCTTTGTGGACTCCAAAGACTCTGGTGATCCATCCGTGAAGATTGACATAGCCTGCACAACATCATGCTCGAAATCTTCCTCAGGTTCTTCGAGAACTGGAAGGCCTGTGCCTGATATACTGGCTGGTGCTGCTCTGGCCGGCGACAGCGACTTGGGGCTATGCCGACCACTCTTCGTGTCGGAACTGCTTGACAAACTAGGAGGCCTTGCATTCGCACTTCTATCAGAAAAGAGCGCTTCCAAATCATCGCTCCTGTCACTAAAACCGGAAACGCGGGTGCCGTGCCGCCCACGAGTACTGTCTGAAGACACGGCCGAGGACGAAGACCGACTGGATGTTCGACCGAGTATACTTGACATGCCTGTTCCGCTTGAGATACCCGAAAGACGAGCACTTCGCCTTTGCTCCCGCTGCTGACGTTCCCGATCCCGAACAGCCTGTGGAAGTCCATCCCACTTTGAATTGACTTTGGGTACAGATTCTGGCAGCTTTGCAGATGACACGCCCGGTAAACCGACTGCCATTGGCCGACCATTGTGAGAAGCAACTTGCCGTCTAACGTCTGTCTGGAAATTTGCAAATGCCTCTGTCGATGGCTCTTTTAACGTGAAAAAGCTGAAGAAAGATGTACCTCGCTTTTTCCCAGGTTTCTTGGAAGACGCATCCGAGCGGTGTGTGACTCGTGAAGATAACTGCTGAATGGAAGAACCATTTTCTGGGTGTAATGGTGAGGTGGGCGGCGTGGATATCGCTTGAGAAGAGACAGATGAACCCGAGTCATTGTTTAGTGAAGCGGACAACACTCCGGCAGGTTCGGAGGAGCGGTTTCGGACGGCGGGTTCAGGAGCATGAGGCCTCGACGAAGAGCTAGAGGCCGGCGCCGTCGAGGGTTGCATGGACAATCTCAGTGCTCGGAGCAGCAAGAGACAAAGAGATGTCTTGTCCAAGTTTGAGCATCAGACCGCTTGAATCTTCCTTTATCGTTTCCTTCAAAAGTGGTGAGCTGTTTGCACTGCAGCGATCTTGTTATCGGCAAGTCCCAATGTCGGCCTTAGTTGTGAATCATAAAGTTAATGGATGTGAGCTTGCTGAATAGTGGATAGAATTGAATGAAGGTATGGTATAGTATAGGCCGCAACAACGTATATAATAATAATAGCTAAATTTATTATGATTCTAGTAGGGCCAAGATCAAGCAACCGATGAATAGATCGATCAAGGATGCTCTGGTATACGGTGGAAATTTTGGGACGCTAGGTGTTAAAGGGGATTGTCACTGCTGGGAGTGTCAGCCGACAGCTTCGGAGACGGAGGGGACAGAAGGTCCAGGGGCCACAATGTTGGTATGTTCAAGGCCATCGGAAATTTCCATTGAATAAACGCAAGTGGAGAAAATTTGCAGAACGTGGATATAGGAGAGGGAGGAAGAAAGCGAAATATCGTGGCAGGCTCACCATGACAGAAACCAGGTAGACAGATCGGAGACTAGTCGGCAAAGCGCATCTCACCAGTGCACGTCCCTCATCGGAAAGGGTGCGAGGGGGTGTTCTCGCGTGGCACGGCGCTCCGATGCTCGTACAAGGTTATGTAGAGCAACCCGTTCAGACACAAAAGTCAAAGAAGAGCAGAGTGGTCAGCACGAGGAAGTAGGTCATGTAGTGTAAGCGTTGAAGCACAAACGGGCGCCCATGAGGGTTTAAAAATCGGGAGCGTATGGCCACCCCATTCCCCTCTCAACTGCCAGGGCACAAGCAGGGACCAAACTGCCACGAGTGACTGTCATCGCCGATCAAGTATGGGTCGCGGCAATTTGGCGTAATCGGGCCCTGAATTCCTTTCCAAGACAGTGCAGTGAGAACTCTGGGGCGTCCTGGTTTTCCAGCCAACTCAGCTGGGCTACTTTAACGCCACTGGACAGGGGCGGGGAGCGAGGTGCTTGGCCATATGATAGGCTTTGAAGGTCGGTCAGCTCTCCGGACGACCCATGGAACAGAGAAGGGTAAATTGGTGCAGATACATCCGATCGACAAAAAGAGCACGGGGTAATGACTTATGGGGGGTTGGGGTCAAGTTTATCTTGTCGGTGGCCAGGAACGGTGGTTTTGGTGTACTCGATCAAGGACGAGAGAGCGATATGTAATCTGCTTTACCGTAATGCAGCTACGAGTTACAGTGTGCGAATGTGAGAAAATCGGCTGTGGCATTTAGCACAAAAGGAGCCCACCTCCCACGCGGGATGATTCGTCCACGAGTCAAGGCCGATCTGCAATCAACCTCCTTGTTGACACAGTTGTCTTCGGTGACATGCTATTGACAATATATATGGAGCCCGACTTGGCAGATCGAATATGGGCCTCACGATAAAAAGCTGTCTCCCTGGTCAAATTCGTACGGACCGCAATCCGATGAGATCTAATGGACCTTAACCATTACTCTAGCTGTGCTTTTGGTCAGGGTTCCTTGCACGAGGGACGAATGACATGACCAAGACGTGGCTTTGGGATTGACGCCGTCTGTTCTTGCTACCCGCGCTTCTCGCTCGGTCCTTCCTCATACAGCCATCATCTCCTTTAGCGCGTGGCCTGGAGCGATTCGCGTATCTCAACCCACACTGTGGTCCACTTGGTCTCTTTTCTTCGCCATGAAGATGCTGGCTTGGCACTTCAGATTCGGCCGTCGCCTTTCTTTCCCCGAACGAGAGTTCCACCACTCTTCTTTCATCTCTTCCATAAGCTTTCCACCCGCCTTCCCGGATGCCACGCGTTCAATCACTCAGATCTCCAATCACTTGCGCAATCAAACTGATCTGCTTCACGCAATGATAAGCCAATTGGGCAAATAACCAGCGTCGGTAAATGTTTTTACTCTGTAGGAGAGCAGACTTATATGGCGACTCTGATGGTCTCTAAAATTATGAAACACATGTGACGATTCTTCAAGAAGGGTCATCGGATCCGTGGACATCCGTTAGCATACGTTCCCAAAATGTTGAAGGGAGACCCCCCGTACTTAGGACAAACTCCAGATCTCCAGTAAAAAAAAGGGTGACATCTGATGGATGCACATTTGGTGAAATGGATACTTTGTACTCGCTCACAACTGCGACGATTGTGAAGTCGGCATGAAATCATCTGGTGTTTGACTGTGCTTCTTCGCCTCAACCTTCTTCTTTCGGTTCGACATGACCATCTTAGTCATATTCGTTCCTTCCCGCCTGCTTTCAATCAACGGCAATCGCCGTTCCTTCTTCAGTCATCCATCATTCCATTATTCATGATCTTATGGCAGCAGCGGCCATGCCTGGTCTGCCTGCGCCGCCCAGTACGGCTTCAGGACCATCTTTTAACAACGATGCGATGGAATTCAAGGGCAAAGATGGTTCATCGCACAGCATGGACTCTCCGCCACGACCTCCAGTATCACCCATTACGCCTGTGATTCCGCTAGCGACGCTCGCGGATCCACCAGCACGTCAGGGACCAAGAATTGTTCCACCTGGCGATACGGAGCCCGCGGGACCTTCAGAGCCCAGTTCAGATTTCATCCCACAGCCGCCCTCAGAGCCAATATCTGAGGTAGAAAACCCAGACGCGATTGCGCTACGGTCCGCCATCTCTATCCTCCAGATCCAAAAACAGCGCAGCAAAGAAGATATTAAGACGCTTGAGCGTTTAAAACAAGCTGCACTTCGCCGCCCAGAAGCATTTGCTCAGGAGTTGGCGACCGGCCGTATTGGGCGAACACAGGGGGCCGGTACTCTAGGTGACCTTGTTTCTAGCTCTAACGCAAACTCGGCGAGTCCGGAGAAAGACGATGAGGACGAAAACGAAGACGAGGAAGAGGAAGAGGAAGAGAAAGAGGAAAGCGGCGCAGAGTTTGGAAATATCCCAGCACCTCAAAATGTGATACGGTGTCCGCCCATTAACTGGGCTCAATACCACGTGGTCGGAGAGTCTCTAGACAAGCTCCACGAGGAGCAGCGGGCGAGGCCGTCTCCAGGGGAACCTCAGCGTGACAATCCTGCTGACCGACATGTCATCGCTGCGCCATACCGGCCGCTGGTGGACAAGGTCGATCCTCCGATGAGGACGCGCAGCGTGTCACGAAGGGAGTAATCTTGGCACGAGACTGGACTGAGAATAGTTTATCCAAGGACCCTGATCCTATGAGAGGAAATGGGGACATGGGAAAAAAGCATTCATGACATGATTTACATTGTCTCTTTACGAAGTTTATTCGATCTGATACCCGGACGGGAACGAATCCCACGGATGAGCAAGGCGTTGGTTAAAGGTTATATGTTTAGAATGTATTCATTTATCAGACAACCGGTCTAAAATGAATGGTTCGATTACGAAGTATTGAAATTATGGAATCAAATTCAGGTAGTCTGGCCTACTTTTTGTCTCTTGTGAGATGAATCGCATTATAATTTAACTTGGTGTCCGGGGGCCCTATGGTCAAAAATGTTCTGCTTACATTTTTAAACGCATCTCCCCGCAATGAAAATAATCCTTTTCCAGGATTAAAAATACAATCAAGAGACGCTTTGGAGTTAGTTTCTTGATTTCCTTAATTGTTTTACGGAATAATACAAATGAATAAACTGTCTGTGTATCTTCGCGGACTCCGCCGGCGGTAGAGATCACCGATGTCGGGGACTTGTCGTCGCGACGTCATAACGTCATTAGCCGTTTGGCGGGGCTTGTCCCTTTGATGCATATCTCATCATCCCATCAGCGATGATGATGGAATTTCCCCACCATCCAGCAAATGGGAAATTTGAAAATCGTCATACAAAGTACCCCATAACTGATTAGGTCTTGTAGCTTGCTTTGTCCCAGTAGTCGTAGTTAAATTTTGCCAAGACCTACCTACATAGACTTTATTTCCATTCTCTAAACTATCCATACATTCTGCTACGATAACCTGTCATACAAACACTCTCCTCCATCTCATCAATCTTCTTCTATATTACCTCCGTATATTTTGACGAACTAAGCTGTCGTATTCTCTATTCACCTTTGAAAGTCCTAATCTCTCTGACTACATTGGACGTCCATCGACTCTGTCCCTCTCTTCTCTCTCGAGCACACACCCTCGAGCACATCTCTGCGCAAAACACAATTCAAAGCTTCCGCCTACCAGAGGTTCTTTACCACACATTACCAAAACCCTGAAATCAAAATCAACAAAATGGATCCAACTGCCCGCCCTCAACCCACTGAAGCCCAAGCCTACACTACCGCCGGCAACCCCGTGCAGCACACGCCCGCCGAGTCCGCCGCCGCCGACCGCACGGCCAACATCCACACCACCAAGATTGCGCACCGCGAGGCCGGCGACGTCGCGTCCGACCACCCTGCCTCTTCTGCGCTCATGTCTGGTACTCAACAAGGTCAAAAGAATGACAATGTGTCGATTCCGCCTGGGATTGGACTCGGCCAAGACGACCCTGTATGTATTTTCCCTATATTCCCTTAAGTTCCTTTCCCTATGTTCTTTTCCTCGTGTTCTTTTCTATGTCCTCCTGGCCTCTGCATTTGATCTCATTTTATTCTCTATTCATTACCTTGGGCGCTTGGCGTTGGACGTTGGCTTGATTGATAAATCATCTTCGTATCTTCGTATTTCCTACCTTCATACTTTCGCATCTCGTATCTTGCATCTCCCATCTTCGTGCTTCGTATTCGTATCTAACAGGACAAAATAGATTGACCCACTGGAGGGCGAGAAAATGCACACCTACGGCGAAGGCGAAGTGCGCGCGGCGCAGGACCACAAGACGGGCACGGGCGCCGAGAAGAGCCTGACCAGCGACCTGGATCGCAAAAAGGCCGAGCAGGAGCCGCGCAGACACGAAATCCAGGCGCAGCGTGCGGCGGGGCTGGATATTGACGGCGCGCTGGGACAGCGGGGCGGGCCGGCGACGGTGCAGGGTCATAATTAATTTGCCATGCTCATTGCTGTTGCCTGTTGTGGTTATTATGGTCATTATGGTCAAGGTGTAGTTTTATTTTGTAGCATATATCCTTGCTTTGGTTTATTATGAAAGATATGTCAATTATACCTGTATATCGTATTCTGTATTCGTATTGATTTTAGATTATCATGATTGATTGACGGTTGATTGATTGGATATGCTTCTCTGTTCCGGATAAAATACACGTCAAATTCGAGTTTATAACAGCAAGGGAAGGCGAGAAGTTGTGTATCGTTTATTTTTACTTTGATTCATTTTCTTTTGCGGTATACACGATTAAGAAATACGCCGGATTGAACCCGAAATACCGTCTTCAACTCCAGAAAGTAAATAAAGAAAGGTGCACTGAAGTCCCAGTTCAGAAGCACTCCGGGAAGTAGAGATAGATTCCAGAGATTGGTGAATCTACAGTGGAGCTGAGCGGCGGCATCAGTGCTGCGAGATATTCCATGATGACAGTGTTGACTTGGAAGAGGTCTGAGATAGAGGTATGGGTATCTATGACATTATCGTTTTGACAGTACGTGTGTTGAGTGTGATTTCCTCAAAGGATATAAGGATGTACGCGCCACTGAGGACGCAATAATGGAATGGTCGAGAAGAGGCATAGGCTGTCTGGGACAGGGCGTTGATATTGTATAGCCACTGTGCATTGGTATGCACGGCGTCGCGATACGTCTGCTGTGCGGAGGATCGTACGGAGAACCCAGCAATCCCAAAATCAAAGTCTGCCGAGACGGAGAAATCTTCCCACCTTGACGTTCTGCCTCTGGTGTCGGGAAAAGGTAGATAATTTCTTCGATGTCTCCGATTTTCGGCGAGGTTGCGCAAGTTGTTTGGTGCAAGTGGCACAGGTGGAGGAAAAAGAGACTTGTCAAAAAATTAACAAGATCATTCCTGCATAGTATCATCATCTGAATGTTGTGCTGTCTTTGCAGTCGCGCCATTTGAGGCTGATATTGACTCCGAACGCGACGTTAGCATTCCTCCTGGTGACGACAAAGAAGACTCGTCCACATCCATTTGCGAATCTGCAGAATTTCCAGACTTGTTCGATTTTGATCTTGACTTCAAAGAAGCAGCGGCTTCGGTTCGTGCTCGTTCCCGGGCAAGATCTTGCCATGCTTGAATGGTCTCGGCTTGCCCGCCTTCAATCTTGATGGGCCTGTCGTCTGCGAATTTACCCAGTGCGGTGCCTTGGTATCGCGACTCTTCGCCCGTTTTGGAGTGTTTCTTTTTCAGAGCTGTACTCGTGTTAGCAATATTGACTTAAGGAAGATATCGTAATAATGTTGATAACACGCAGAGTTCAAAAAAAAAAAAAAAAACTTGTAAAAAGGGAAATCTCACCTGTCAAATAGTCTTCTCTCTCTTCCAGAGAATCCATATCCGGCTGGCCCGTTTCTCCCACGAGACCCGCTATTCTACGAATTTCTCGATTCACATCACCCTTTGCCCATTCCAAAAATGCGTCTATGCCTCGTAAATCTTCATCGCCATGCCATTCCTCGTCTACCACGCCCATTTCAGGCTGAAACAGTCCGAGGTCCTGCATGGCCATGCGGACGTCTGTAATGTCGGGAGCAAAATCATTGTGATTATTAAAGGCATGTGATGCGGTTGTTGAAGAGAGAAGAATAAGGTAGCGTGCTGCGAGATCAACAACGGTGTCGAGCACCGAAGGGCGTGTCGTATGGAAGCCGGCTGCACGGAGAATGTGCAGGATCGGAGGGCGCAGGAGCGCTATGTGCAGAGCTTGCGAGGACATTGCGCAGAGCGGAGGAGGGGAATTTTATCAGTCGTATAGCAGCAACGCCATCAAACTAGAGAAAATCTTCAAGAATGAACGGCCATTGTTCGTCCGTTCTAGTCGAAGCTACGCAAAAATGTGCGATGTACGTAGGTAAATGGAACGTAGTGGCCCAAAAAAAAAGCTCTCCCCAAGGTGAAGATGAGAGCTCAAAGAGATGAAGCGGGGCCTGCAAAGAAAGAGAGGCGCGTATGAATGTAATTTATTTTGGGTAGAGAGTCGAGTCTGAAAACTGAATGTTGAAGCTCTCGGGGTCTGTTGCGCAGCCAATCATCAGAATTGCGTCTTTAGATTCACGCGGTCGCCGTAAAACATCATTGCCATCTCCGTCGAGTTGTCGATTTGTCTCACTCTAATCCATTTACATTCACATTAATTCTCCGACAGACTCCACCTGGGCTCTGAGTCTTTATCGTTTCTATTCTTCTCTTCGAATCATACAATAAGATCAGAATCTTCAACAATCAAATCATAAACTCCTCCTCGTTCGCTTCAAATATCTACTTGACCCGCTCCTCCACGGTAAGAGGGCGGCGACTCGCTCAGCGTCATGTCGAACCCCGTTCGAATGCCGCTGAAGCTGAAGCTTTCGACGTCTGGCGCTTCAGGCCAAAGTTCACCTCAGCCTCAGTCAACTACTTCTACCACTGCGCCAAAGATCAAGCTCAAGTTCGGCAGCTCCAGTGCTCGTCCTTCTATATCCAATGAAGCTGGCGCAGGCAACTCTTCAGCTCTTGCTACTCCTAAGGATGCTAAGAAGCGCAAGCTCAAAGACTCAGCCGGCCCCGATGGATCTGCACTCAGTTCTCGAAAGCGCGCCAAGGGAGCCAACGCGGTAGTCGACGACCATGACGAGCGTGACGGTATCGCAACGACAGGCACACCAGCCAAACCAGCAATCAAGAAGCTCAAACTCAAGAACCGAACACCAGTGACACCGATAATCCGTACAAAATTCAAGGGAAAGCCCCCGCCACGGCCTCTCGGAGTTGGCTACGACTCCGAGTCTTCTGACCGTGAGATCGACCCGGCCATTGAAGAACAGTTCATTCTGCGCATGGCTCCCGGCGAAGACTGCGAATACCTACGACGTGCAATTGAGGAAAAGCGTCTCGGGTTGCCTCTAAAAGACGGCGGCGCAGACGTACGCATGAAATTTCTCAACCGCGAGGGCCGACGGGCACTTATTACCATACGCGGTCGGCACTACGCTGCAACAATGGTCGATTTGCCCTCTATCACCGAAGGCATGAAGAGCTGGGACAAGCGTGGGTGGTGGAAAAGTGCAGACATCTGTCAAATGTTACTCGTGATTGGCCGCATCGAGGACGAAAAAGCCGCCGCTACCGCTCCCTTACCACCCCAGATCGACCAAAAGACATGGCAATACCCTCACGGCCTCACTCCACCCATGCACTACGTCCGCAAGCGCCGATTCCGTAAGCGAGTTAGCAACCGCACCATCGAGGCTGTCGAGGACGAAGTTGAGCGTCTTCTTGCTCTCGACGCGCAATGCGAGCCCGGCGCAAGCCGGTATGACGTAGTCGATCTCGACCGGCTCACACGCGAGCGCAGCACCGAACAAAGCGACCTCGACGCGGACGCGGACGAGGACGAAGAAGGCTATGATATGCTCGGCGAAGCGGGCATGCAGCAAGACTACGCCGACGAGAACGGTCTCGAAGTCGACGTCGACGCCGAAGGTGAAGAAGAGGGCGGCGATCTTGAAGCAGATCTTGAAATGGCACTCATGATGGAAGAAGAACAAGGAGCGGATGGAACTGCTGCTGCTGGTGCTGGGACAGCAGCTCCCTCTACAGCCACAGCTACGGCCACCGTCCCTGCAGGCACCGTCCCACCGCCCTCTGTCGCGGCTACCCTCGGACCCAGATCCGATGCGGACCGCCACCGCCATCTCACCCTCGACACGACAAGCACATCTGACATTGTTGCTGCCGCGGAGGCTGAAGCCGAGGCCGAGGCCGAAGCAGAAGGCGATGCGGATGAGGATGACGAAGAGGATGAAGAAGATGACGAGGATGACGATAACCAGGGCGACGACATGGACGAAGACCAGCTCGAACAGCAGCAAGACCTCCTTCGCCAAAGGGAAGAAATCGCTGATCTCGAAGCCGCAATCAAGAAACAGACGGCCGAGCTAGAACGTCTCACCAACCCCATCTTGAGACAGAAGTTGAGTAAAAAGATTCAGTCCCTCAAGGGTGATCTCGAAATTAAAGTCAAAGCTATCGGTGGGGGCGATGACGATGACGAGTGAGAGTCTTTACCTCTTTTTGTTCTCCCTTCTCTTGGCGCTGGGTTTATATCAATTTCGTCTCCTTTGTTCCGGTCTCAGGTTTATATCATTCGGACCTGGCCTGTTTCTTGTGCTGCAGGCGAAATATATCAAGTGAAATAGGACAGGTTATTTCACGGTTCACAGTTCAAGGTTCAAGGTTCAATCGGGTTACTTGTTCAATCTCAAGTCCAAAATCTTTCAGATGTTTATGAATATGGACATGTCATTTTCTGGAGTTTAGGTAGTGGGCCTCGTACACACAAATAACGGACAATCTATCACTTGCAATGCATTTATTTCACCCTCTTTGCACTTCACCCACATACAAATTATGGTATGATGTTACATGTATCCACTACTCAGGTGCAATTTATTTAAAGACCTTTCTTTTATTTCAAGTTCCGCTATGAGGCGCTATGAGGCGCTATGAACATGAGAATTCAGCAGTAGTCTTAAGAAAATGTCAATCTGGTTTCAGAGATCCGCGTCCCCTTGGTCTCAGGCTCGGAAAAAAAAAATCTTTGTGAAATGTTGATGAATGTAACCATGCAGGACTGTGAAGAGAATATCGGGTCACAGGTAATAGAGAGTAGGTATCAGGTGTCTTGCCTCACACACCACGCACCACGCACCACGCATCGTGCATCATGTATCGCGCATCGACCTTGACGATTGTGGTCAGTGTTCCATCCCGTACCTCATCTGTTCGTACTAAGGAAAATCAATAGCCTGCTGCCACTCCTGAACGGTATCCAATTCATGATCTGGGACGCGCTCGTACCAAGTCCTTCTACGCCCATCATTGCGCGGGGCGAGTCGCCAAGCGCACCCATTGATGAAAATAACTTCCTGTGCGTCCTCAGCAGCATCATGATCATCGTTCTTTTCAATTTTGGCACTGTCTCCTCCGTGCTTATCACCCGCATTAGGCTCATTTCTAGCAAAGTGGTCGATTCCATCTTCATCCATGGCATCAACAGACGCTTCTCCACCTCCGTTGCCCTCTACTTCTTCGTACCTATTCTGGCCACTTCCGTCATTAAGAGGAATGACTCGCCAGGTAGATCCGCCCATGGAGATGACTGCCTGTTCGTCCTCGGTGGTGTGGCCGCTGTTTACTGCCCCTTTACCAGCTCCTCTGTTCTCAATGTGTGCGATGGTCTCGTCATTTTGGATTTCTTGAATTGCGTCTTCGTCCATCTCGTCAACGAATTCTTCGTCAAATTCTCCGCCTTCAATGCCCTCCATGGCCTCTCCGTCTCCGTCGTCCACGTCGTCTGAGATTCCTTCAGGGCCTTCGGTGACTTGTCCGTTCTCGTCCTCCTCGTCTGCGTCATACCCGCCTGCGTCCTCTTCAGCATGGGGCTGAATGAGTTCATTTTCGGGAATTCCAGCAGTCCCAGCTGTAGCACCAGCAGTAGGATCAGAGGTAGGATCAGGGGGAGCGGCATGATGAGATCCGTGTCCGTGTGCAATTACCGGCAGCTTAATGAGCGGAACACTCTCAATTTTAGAGGCAGGGTCAGTCTCAATCTCGGATCGAAAGTGTCGGCAGCCGCGGCAAGGCTGATGGGTTTGCATTTCAATATAGTTTCCATCGCGATCGGGCTTGAGCGGAAAGCAAAATTTGGGCTGAACCAATCCGTTCTGAGGATTGTCGAGGTCGCAGAGACGCCGAGTCACTAGTTCTGAGTAGTGTAGATATCGATCTGGAAGGGCGGGAAACGGCATCATTTTTGCAATCTCAGGGTGGTCAAACAGATTATCTCCGATCGTGGGAAGCTGGCGGTGATCGTTTGCCTGGCGGCGTGCATGATGATTCCTTTCTGGAAAGGGGTCTCGACGTGGGAGAAGAGTGGAAGTCTAGAGTATGTTTAGCACTTTCAATTGTTGATCGTTGGGATGTAGGCCGTGGGAATATGAGGAGGATGGATTTGTCTCAAGTGGAGTGGATTGACTGATTGAGACGTGAAGGTAAATTGGCGTGGATGTGGACAGGGAAGGATTGGCAGAGGGAGATACTCCGATAACCGGAGAGGGAAGTTTAAGGGATGAAAGTGTTTTGGAGGAGATAGGCCGTACATAAAGAAGAGTGGGACAAACATGATTCAAGCATTTGAGGATCTTACGGAGAAGAGGCAGGGAGTTTAGAAAGTGTATTCGTGGAAGGGGATAGCGATGAGCAGGCTGGATGAGTGTTAAGTAGAGCCAGGAGAGAAAGACGTACCTCAAACGGATGGAATTTGCAGAGTATACTGCGATCATACGCATTGCTAGCTTCTTGCATGTTTCTGCTCTCGCGTCTATTCTCGTTGTGTAGCATAGATGGCAAAGAACCAGCATAGGTATATGACCCCTCTCCAACATGAGCAGCTGATGAATCTTCTAAGCCCTTTATAAGTAAATAGACGTCAGCAGCATATCTTGTCACTCTTCTGAGCTTCAGCCAGGACAGGACGTGTTCTAAGCTGCTCGGTGAAGCAACAATTACTCACCGGTCCAAACGGCTTTTCCTCCCAAATATGTGGATTCCTGAACCTCCACATTTGTGTGGAGTCCTACGATACCTCGAAGCAACGAACAAGACGAAGATAAGGAAGATGTGTTGCCGAGAGTGGCAGGTTTCGAAGCAACGATGCAACAGGATGATGCAAGACAGCGTTGTGTGGTGGGTGTTAACAAATTGGTGATAACTTGTCAAAAGAGTGTGTATGAAGAAGTGAGAAGCTTAACGAGAGTTGAATATAATAATCCCATGGAGGATAACTCAAGTGAGAGCCTCATGGGCGTTGCCATGACACTGGGCTGATCAGGTTGGTCAGGTGTTTTCTGGCCAAAAGAGGGTAAATGGCAACAGAGAAGAGAAAAGCAAACAAGATTGCCAAAAATATCATGCTGGAACAAAGCAATGGTATGGAGAGGATATAAATGAAGGTAACATATAGATAATATGTTTAAATAGCATAGCTGCATAGCGGCATAGCAAAGCAAGCAAGGCAATGTATCAAAACCCAGAACATCTCGAGAAGCATGGCACAGCAAGAAGTAGCATCAAATCAACAATCCGAATCTCAACTAAATCAAAATCATATACGATTCTGAAATCTAAGCACATGGCCAAATTCACTGGCAGTTAGTCGGTTGCCATTGCAACGTAGGCCTTCATTCTGGCGCTGCTCAGCTGTCGTCTCATTAGCGGTTTGCTATCCTTAATAATATATCAGTTCCAAAACACTTAACAATCTCCTCATTAATCACTTTCTACCAAAAATTAATAGAATATCCATTATTTAATGGCATGGGTGACATTTGATGTGTGTAGCCCAGATCTGATAGAGCGACGTCAAAGATGGAAACGCCAAGAGTTAAGGTTATCGATAAACTCACCCACTAAATCCAGTTTGTTTTCCCCTCCCCACTCCACATTAATCTTCAGCTCAGCTCTACTCCGCAACCTCCATTCTCACCACCACTACTACTAGCACCGTATAACCATATATACCGACTGCAGCATGCAATAATGCCGTACCCCTTCTCCCTCCCCACGACCTCCCAAGTCTCCTTCACCTCCAGCCTCTCAAGCTCTACGCACCCTTCGCTACCCTTGACCGCAACCACATACCGGGGTGTTCTTCGGAACACGCTGAAACGGCATAAACGCCTTCCCCCTGGCGCGCAATCTTCGGGACTATCCCACGTCCTTGGCTCTCTGAACGACTATATCCCGTATCTATTCGCCCTAGATTGCGGACTGAGCGGGACACCCATATCCACACTTGGCAACGACGAGCAGCCCAATGAACATGGCGCAGCCGACGAAGGGGAAGAAGTCGATATTATACTACACCACGAGGTAGAAACCGAATGGCGGGCCACCCTTTCGTCCTCCTCGTCTTTTAGCAGGCCCATGGGGTCTGTGATTGAGAGACCACGGGTCAAACTGCACAGCCTCGAATACGAGCTCTTCTTCGTCCTGTCTACGCTCGCAACGACATATACGCTATTAGCGCGCAGCCAATTGCACATTCTCTACGGAGGATCTCCATTCGGCACTACCAATCCAGACAGCGTGCTGCAATGCGCGTCGCCCAGTCCCGAGGCGCGCACGACAGCTATTACCACCGCAACAAAATACTTTCTCCAGGCTAATTCCATATACAATTACCTCGTGGACCGCGCGGGGCGAAATACCGGCATGCCGCCCGTCGCAGTGGCAGATATCTCCCTTCCTGCTCTCAACGCATTAAGTTCGCTCGCCATGGCAGAAGCTACCCTGCTGGCTGTTCTCAAGGACGATCCGTACCCAGCGGCCGTGGCGCAGGACCGGAACAAGCACGATCGCGAATGGATGATTAAAGCTCCAGATCTGCCCAAGGTCCGAGCGCATCTCTTTGCGCGGTTATGTCTCGCAGCGGCAGACCATGCAAGTCGCGCAAAAGCCATGCTGCAGTCTGTTGCCGCGTCCTCTGCCTCATCTCTCAGCGGCGGAAGTGGCGGCAGTGGCGGCGCCAAGCAAAGCAACAGTACGAAAATCGACGACTCCTTGATAAAATACCTCGACGACCTACGCAGGACCGCTCGCGCCAAGGCGTGCAGATTCTTCGGCATCGACGCAGACTTGTCTGGTCGCACGGGCGAAGCAATCGGCTGGCTACGCGCGGGAAAGAAGGAACTCGGTCTAGACGACTACAAGTCTGGATCAGCCAACCCTGCTATTAGCGGTAGTAGTAGTTCCCTTGGTGGCGGGGGCAGCGGAGGAGGATTCGGACGATTAAAAAAGACGCTTTTGGAGAAACGCGAAGACAAGAAGATTGAAAAGGGCGGCGACTGGGGCCGAGACGCGGGCAGATTCGAAGAAGGGCGTGTCAATGACATGCTGGAGAAGAAGTGGGTCAAGATGAATGATACGGTAGGTCATATGTCCCTAATGGGGTTTTGATTGATATTGTTGTTTTGTTGTTGTGTTGCTTGATTGGTATTTTCTTATTTTTTTCCCTTTTTTTTTAAGGGAAAAGAAATCCTTTCTTATTATTTGATAAAGTGAGGTTGTGAGGGAGTGAGAAAAAAAGGACCAGCCGGTACTTGGCCTCCACGCTAACAAGTCATGTTATAACACAGATATCCACACAGCTCGTCCCACCACCAGACGCGCTCCTCTCGCAAATCCCTTCGGGGCGCGACATCCACAGCCCCAAACGCTACGTCCCGCCACATCTCGAGCCGCATGTCCTCGCCCAGATGCGTGCCCCTCTTGACCCTGATCCTGATCCCGATTCCCCTTCTTCCCTTTCCCCTCCTCTTTCTCCACCTTCTTCGTCATCTGCCGCCTACCCCCATAATACTGTTGACGGCGTAGATCACCTCGCTGCCCGGACTGCCAGGATGGATGTCTTGAACGAAAATGAATCTAGTAGCGACGATGACGAAGACGACGGTGTTCCCGGGCCTGGCGAGGGACGGACCGATGGTGCTGCGCGCAACGATTCATCTAGGAGAGCAGGCGGAGGAGGCGGAAGAGGGAGTGACAGGAGGGACAGGAGGGACGAAAGCGATGGACCGGCGCCCGTGGGAGCGTTTCCTGGGACGACGAGGGGGGATTATGTCGGCCGCACCGGGACCGCGACAGGGAATGGTAGTGGGAGTGGGAATACGTATTATTGACGGTACTGATGATGAGAAGATGTTAAGATGCCAGGCATATGTATATATACTAAATAGTCACGCAAGGACAAAGATGTCACGGTGCACAAAGGGAACAAGATGGAAATATTGAGCGAGATGAGCGAATGAGAGAATGGTGAGCGAAACATGGAAAATGGAAAAGATACGTAACGTGGAAAGATGCACAGAGTAGAGCGTTAATGAGTTTTGTAGACTAGAATAAATTGGAGAATACACGTCTAAAGCGGACGCCGGGTTATAAGGTACATGATGCCATATCAGAAAAATTACTGATGGAGTTGATGCAGAAAGCTGGGAAGTCGGGAAGCTAGGAAGGTAGGAGACTGGGAGAGAAAGAGACCTGGTGACAATGCAAGTATGAGATAACGTCTACTTTGGAATATAATTCTGCTGCTCGAATCTAGGTCCCTTGACTTTTGCTTCCTTGAGCAACTCAAAGTATCGATCTAGACTTGTTAGCCTTCGGTCGTTCTCCTTTGTTTGGCTGTCCTTTTTTCTTCTTTTACGCGGCAGTGTATCATGCGATTCCACGTATAGTGGACTATCGCAGACACGGAACAAAACGAGCAGCTAGAAAAGAGTGGGAAAGAGGGAAAGGGAAAAGGGAAAGATGCAATAGAACAAAAAAAAATGAAGAAGGGAAAAGGGAGGGGATACCTCTCAACCGTCCGCATTTCTCCAAATGATTGACGCCCTCGCGATAATAGCATTTGCTCATCTCCTCGCGCACCAGCCGCGCCATCATGCTCTTGACCCATTGTTCGCGAATGATGGCGTCCTGCGCGGCCTTGAACGCGACCGTGTCGTCGTAGTCGACGCCGTCAAAGGTCGGTGGCACAGTTGGCTTTTGTGCCTTGAAGGCTTCGGACTCGGGGGTCGGCATTATTATCTCCTTGTGTTTTTCTTCGAATTCGGTTTCTGGAATTTATTGTAGTGTGGGGTTTCAGACGTGGTAGTTGGGACTGGTGTCGGTCTCGGAGCTGTAATTCAGGCTCTCGTAGCTTAAACGCTCAGCGGTCCGGTTGAATAGCTGTCGCGGGCCAGGTACTGACAGGCTATCCAATATCCGATATATGATATACGAGATCCAAAGTACGTTGTCTGGCTTGGAGGTATTTTCGAAAATAGGTGGAGTATATGATAGCTAGACAATCGACGGCGGAAGAGAGACAAATTAGATCGTGAGTCGTGGAGTCGTTGAATCGCCAAGCTCGCCCCGGTTTGCGTTGTCTTGGTGGATGTCGTGCCCCGAACGGCCAAAAGGAAAGAGAAAATGAGAAAATGAAATGTAAAGTAAAGGTGAAATTGGGCAATAGACAGCAGCAGCAGCAATTGAGATGGGTGCTCAATACACTGCTACGCAAGATGAGAAGGTGGAGAGGCGGAATGGCGTGGTGTGGGGAAGGACGGTTAACGGGAGCGGGTTGACGAGAAAGTGGAGTTGGGGAGTTGTAGAGTGGAGTTGAGGTGCGACGGTGCTGGGGTTCGGTCAATCTACTGACATGGTTCGTCTCGCTTACACCATACACGACATTTTGACATTGCCTTGTCAACTCACTTGGCATTCGAAGAAAATGGATACAAGGTAATGAAAGAGATCGAGGGGACAGAAATTGTATATCGTTCATGATGAATCAAAATCATAAATCCTCAATTGCTAATTACCCATTGCATTGGTATTCATGTCATAACCATATCCACCTGTAATCTGTGGGAATCTTGCCAACGCCATCCTGTCCTGCGCTACCGGTGATATCATACGTTGGTTTTCGTTATTATTTGTCGTTTCAAGACCATTTTACTCTTTTCAACGCTTGCAAATATCGTGGGGGAATAAGAGAAAAATAAAAGGGAAAAAGGAAAGTAAAGGAAAAGGTTGTGCCAGCCCAAAATAACCTCTTTCGAATGAACCCCAAAACAAGAAACTGTCGAAGAAGGTGAAGAACGGGAGATTGAAGATAGGAGAATTATTCGTGATACCCGGACAATCCTACAGTGTCGAATACCTCGGGATGCCCGAACTTCTCATGCTCGTTGACCTGCCTGAGACAGAGCGACTGGATCGGCTCGACTGTGACTGGTTGAACAGCATGGTCGATCGTCTATCCAGCTCAAAGGCCAACTCGACATCCTTCCCCCATTCTGCTATATGATCTCCACCGGTATCATCCATTTCTTCATCGAGTAGTCTTGTGAGCAGTATACTCCGGCGTGCCTCACATGCTTGACACAGACCGTCGATCCAGACGGTGAGGTAAGGATGGCTTTTATTCCGACCGCCAGCACATGGGTCTGCATTTTCGTCTGAATCACCGTCTCCACTTCGCTGGTGTATAGCTGTAGGATTTCGAGTAAGACCGTCCTCGTCTGTTCGCTCCAGGCTGTGCCTTGTCGGCGCGGTATCATCCGTAGCGGCGCTTGGTGCACTTGCTGTGCTCGCATAGCTGGTTCTGTATTGTCTCCGTGCTGAGCCGACTTGACTTGCAGTATCCATCTCGGCGGGAGCTTGATGTGGGTGAGGTCGTGGTCCAGGCCACGATCCATGCATGACCGCACCCCATTGTGTGTGGCCGCAGGTAGTAAAGACGGCTCGGCGGCGGAAGCACATACTGTTAGCAGCCCTTGGAAAGGCTTCTCTGTGGCTATTGAAAATGTGGAATTATGGAAGTCCAAGAATGTCCAAAATAAGCTATAAAAGTTGTAGTCGCAAGGCGCTGCTCATTCGCTCTTTCCCATATATGATACTCAAGGGGATATCAGCGTAAATATCTCCTTTTTCGGAATGTGAACTTTTTTTGGGCTCAATGGTGGGCTAATCGATTGAAAAATGTACCATATAGCCGTTATCCACTCAGTCGTATGATCGAGCGATAGACAGAGAAGCTGAGACCCCAAACGATTCTCGCAGCGTTGCAATAAAGGAATTGGACGTGAAATCCGAACGTGAATAATCAATGGCTTTGTTCGTTTGCGCCTGTTTTCCAACAAGGTCAAAGCCAAAAGTCCACAATCCAGAATCTTCTTTATCCTCTTTTCTCCCAGCCGGGATTTGCACTATTCCCCGGTTTGATAAGAGCGACTGTTTGCGCTACAGATAAGGCTCCAGCTTGTCGTCACAATTTATTGCCAGTTCACAAATTTCCAACGGTTTCGCTGTCGCAAGTTTCCAAAATTATCACAGCGCAGATGAAAGTAATTGACTATTTTCCAGCCTCGTGGAAGACAGACAAAAATTGCTGGGAACCAATGCAACAAGGATATCGTATCATTCAATAAGGCGCTCGGGGCCTAGATCGCCAACTAACTATAACTATAGTGTCGCGGTGGATCAACCGATAAGTGTCGATGGATGAATGGCGTATTGCCGTTGTATAGTGGCAATGTAGCGTGCTTGCAATTGCTCTAGAAGCGCGGGGCCGCCTGGGTGGTGGGGCTGCGGCGAAAAGCACCAGGATTATGTCGTCGCCTCGCGATCAATTCAACGAGAAGTGTACTTGTAGATGCGATTCCTTCCCTTCTCGCAGCTCTAATTCATTCCATTGCTGTGAATTCCGGTATGCAAATAGTAGCGAGAGTTTTTCGTACGTACTTTCGCAAGTGGGTAATTGAGAAATCAATGGTCGCCGTATAGACAATGTCGATGATGGTAGGTCGCAGCGAAAAGAAGAAATGCGGAGAAGAAGCGGAGGTGGTTAGAGAAAGAGAAGGCGAGAGTGAAGGAGAGAGTAGCTAAAGAAGGGAAGAAAGCTAGCACACCCTCTTCCTTTTTGCCTTTTTACAGCTGTCGAGCTATCTAGAGCTGAGTTGGCAAGCCCTGTTGGCTGGTTGGCTGGATGGGGACGCGGGTAATTTTGGCGCCGGCGCTCTCCCTACTGATGGTTGTAATGAGAGCGGCAGCTTCTCAGCACGGAGAGAGTATTGTGTGCAGCGCGCCGCATTATTTCCGTAATCTACTTGTTGGTCAAAAGATATAGAGATGAATATGCACAGTAGCGCCGACGACAGTAAGGAGTGATAAAGTTGCTGCGAAGGGTAGGTGAAGAGCATACGAATCTAACGTGCCTGGGCTCTCATGCACTTTAGTTACTCCCAGGCCAATGTTCCGATTTACGCAATACTGTAAGAATTCAGCGTAAAATGACAGACGTGCTCGGCACTAGCACTTCCCATGCGCCTGCCTGCATGAATGCATCGATGCATATTCCAGCTACATACATGTAAGCTACGAGTCAGATAGCATCTTACAATACCTTATTAGACGGGCGGTGAGGTTGGAAATGAAAGTCACACAAACAGCACGCGAGTTGCATCGCTAGCAGTCCGAGCGTCATGCTTTCTCCCCAGTTGTAATTGTAATATACCCCTAGCCCTGAACTGAAGAAAAAAGTACCTAGGTGAGGTAGCGTACAAAATTCTAGATCAAGGCACCAATAGGTTGGAGTACCAGCATCCAAACAATCTCATATAGATTCAATTTAGGCCTTCGTACACAAATACCTTGTTATGGACATATTGACTGCCTAGATGGGGAGCAAATAGGGAGCAGAGAAAGGGAGGAAGTGTGAAGGGATAAAGGGTAAGGGAATCTCAATTATTTAATAGGACATTTGAGGGAGGCCTCTGCTCTCCCGTTCAATCCCACGTGGTTCATAGATGGGAACGTTCGTCTTCTGCTTCATCGTCAGCCTTAGGATTGACCAGAGCTTTCCCCCCTTCCTCCTTCCCAAGTTCAAAGGAATGTAAACTAACCATATTGAACAGAATTCCCATTTGAAGGTACAAGGGAGACCCCTAATCGTCTACGTAATTGTTTACACTGTATTTCTCACGGCAAAAGGGGAAAAAAGGAATTAAAGGGGTCTGGGAAGACTATCTTGACGACGCGACGCGTTCAATTGCAACGAAGAAAAAGAGGAGAGCAAGGGTGATGATAAAGAAAATTAAACATTCCATTCAAGTGTGGTATTTTCCTCTCCTTCTTTGTCCCTCCGCTCAAAAATTGAATTAACACAACCATGATGGGAAATAACAGACATAATAGGACGACGCGTCACACACTACTAAGAAACAGCGATAGGAGTCGTGTATCATCTCATTCTATGATCTCTTTGTTGCGTTTTTCTTTCTTCCTTCTCCTGAGTATCTACAATTGATCGAGATCGCTTTCTTCAAATGTCCCAATTCACTTGCAGTTGTCGACCGCATAGGAAATCCCGACTATTCTTTTGATTTCTCTTTGTCAATTGGATGGCGAGTTGCCTTGGCCCCTTCTAGGCACTTCTCTGTCTCCCTCCCCCTCTCTTCCTCTGGGAAAGCAAAATTGTTCAGGCCTCGATCCCATACGCGCAGAGTCGACAAAGCGATATTCAAAGTTCAATTCTCACAACCCGAACCAGGGAAATCAACAAACTCGCTCGGAGTTCGGTCGTGCCGGATCAATGTTGGCGAAAAGAGTTATCAGGTGGCCTATGCGACAAGGATTATTGAACAAGAAGATGATGGAGACAGAAGCAGACCAAAAAGAACAGTCAGAGGCAAATCAACTTTTACATGCGAGTCAAAATCCTCAAACATAAAAGAACAACGGGTTCACTCCTGTATTATCGCTAGGATTACCAAAGGCAAATCGGCTGAAGCAAATTTTGCTAGATTCTTCACTTTCGAAAAGACTCAAATCGCAATGCCCAGAAATGCAACGGAGACACAGCGGGAAATAATAACAATGCAGGCCAAGAAAACAGCCAATCCACGAACTCCAAATAGCATAACATGAATCCTCAAGCATACAGCCGCGACGACCCTAGTTCAATCGTGCGGCACAGATTTAAAGGGGACAAAGGTATCATACACGAAGATGAAAAGAAAAAGGTGCCGAGAGAAGGGTAAGCATGTGAAGAAAAAGCCGAGATTATGAGAAAATATACATTTGGAAATCGAAAAGAGGCTGGTTCAATACCATCACGACAGATGCTTGATAGACGGAAAAGAAATTTGTTACACACCAAGGCCGCCAATCCGCGATCGGGAAAAATCCTCGCGCGTGCGTACGTGGCAGCCAGAGCAAATGAGGTTTCGATTTTTCGATGCCTTTGAGAGCCGTCGGAAGGAGAAGTGAATTAAAATAGAGAAAAGGTCCTTTTTGGGTTCGAGAGCGAGAAAAGAAGAGTCCGATGAGAGATCATTCAGTCCTTCTTCTTCTCCTCGGTCTGCTTGGTCTTCTTGGTCGCTCGCAGCTTTTTGTAGGTTTCGCTAACGGAGTCCTTGAACTTTTCCCAGCCGCTGCGGTTTAGCTTGTTGCTCAGCTGCCGGTAGCTATACATTTCTCCCCAGCAGTCACGGCCCCACTCGCATCCAGCCATGTTGACCAGGAAGTCGCGGTCCTTTTCGGCATAATGGATCCTCGAATCCTCGCCATTGTCTGAGCATGCACCCGGAGGGAAACTGTTCAGCTTTCGTTGGGGGATAAAGGCCGTGTGCGGCCGGATCCACGGATGATTCGCATAGAGATACTCGAGAGCATCTTGCTCCTTGTGCTCCCACTCCATGTGCTTTTGTTCATAAAGAACAGGATCCCACCAGATATCCAATAAACGGTCAGTCCAGGGACTCCGGCGCACAAAGAAGGATCCAAGGTTAAAGCCGCCACAGTCTTGCGGCACGATAATGTCGATTGACTCCGGCTTGCCGTCGCCCACTGCGGACAGCGATTCTGGATCGAGGTACGATTCAGTAGGAGGATGAGAAATGTTGAGTGGGTTATAGATGTTGATATCACGGTAGGTATTTGTTGCTAATTGATTGAAAATGTGAGATTGGAGTGAGTACGAAGGCTCCATGATCAGAGTGTGCAAGTCCAGCCACCAGAACCTAAATCACGAGCATTGTCAGTAACGCTCTGCATTGCCGATAGGCCATTGAGGGAAGCTTTACCATTCGGCTTTGGGGTATTTCCGCATCGCATTACGCAGCGTATCGACCTTTTCCCAACTCTCGCGCCACTCATGCGCATAGCGCTTCTTTGTACTCATGTCGACAATCTCCAACTCGTAGCCCCATCTCCTGGCATACTCCCGTTTATTCCTGACACTGTCTCTTTCAATGGCCCACTCTCGAGCGCCCTTCCATTCCATGACACCGCCACCTTGATTTGCTCCTAGAATGACGACAAATTTGCTTCCTCCGCCAAAGAAGGCCGATCGTCGATACCAATGATGAAGCGCTAGCATATCATTGTTAGTAGGTTTCAAAAAAAAAAAAAAAAAAAAAGGTGTATCTCAACGAGAACTCACGCGTCAGGTAAAAGAGCAATAGGCCAAGAACAATGGTCAGCAGTAGCATTGCTCGTATTTTTGAACGTCGTAGAAGACGGCCGATAAAGGTGCGTAGATTGCCTAGAGTACTGCCGCGATTGGGATACCACCGTCCGCGACCCAGCTTCTCCTTTTCTGCATAACTCCGACTGGCACCTGCGTTCCACTTGGGAAGACTCTGGGATAAGCTGCGAAAATGTCGGCCAAAGAAGCCACTATTCTTGGTTGAAAAGGACGGGTAGCCATTGACTTGGGCGCTTCTAGCTTTGGCGGAAGCCCATGTTACGGTGTTACTACCGCCGTTCATGCTGCTGTAGGCGTTGGTTGGCGTCGAAGTGCCGTGGGGAGAAGGAGAGGTGAGTCCTGGACTGGACCAACCTCCTCCGATGTGTGGTGAGGGTGACCGAGAAAGGGACATGTCACCTGGAGTCCCAGGAATTGGTGTAAGTGGTGGGCCTGAGCCACGCGGCGCAGAATCTACAATGGCTCGTCCGTTCTCATGCGGTGATGCTGAAGGTTTGCCCAGGTTCAGCGTAGGGTGGTCCCTGTCGGCGGCCGACGAACGACGTCGACGATGCGATCCAGCTGCCTGGGTGAATGGTGATGATGAAGCCAGGATGCCGTCTGTCTCTCTCCCCCTTCGAGTCGTCGATCACGACTCGATTCTCTTTCTTCTCGTGCCTTATTTTCCTTCTGGTGACTTTTGGTCTGTCTGACTGCACCCAGGAGAAATAAAGCCAGATAGTGCAGAACGCCGAAGGTATACCGTACTATGATATACACTGAAACAGTACTTTTGACCGCTAGGATGATGATGCGATTAAAGTCTTGCGGCTCCGTCTCTCGTCAGACTGCAGCTGGTGCAATTGAAGCAACACGGATTGGGAGGGAAAAGTATCGGTCCACCAATTATTCTGTGGTGGAGGGCAGACACAAATGGACACGGGGCAGATTGAGCAATCGAAAATTGATTTGCTTGAAGAAAGTAGGGTAGAGTACGAGTACGGGGACGATTGGATTTCAGTGGGACTTTGGTGGTACTAGAGGTAGATCGCGACACCCCCGTGACAGTCGTAGTTCAGATGACCCGATCCGGTTAAACAAACGAGCGACGATGAAACAGCAGCGAGATAAGACCCGGCAGTAAGGGGTTCGATTAATTATTATTCTGATGGTACACTTGGGAAGACGACAAGAATCGTAAAGAGAGGCAGACGGATGAAGAGAGGATGGTAAAAAAGAAACAGATGGGTGGTGAGAGGCCGAGAGTGTGAGAATACACGAGCGGACAGCATTATCATTTTAGACCAATATTCAACGCCGCCGCATGGCGTTTCTTACGATAGCATTATACGGCAGCTTCTTGGAATAACCTCTGAGTAGCAGTCCAGATTGGGTCATGACGATGGGAATAGGGTAGTGCCATCTCGCCGCCAGCCCAGATGGTGAAATCCCCCTTTCCAATAATACCCGCATTAAACATGGTCCGTGATTGGTTCTAGGGTGGACGCGATCAATTAGGTACTTTGCTTCCCAAATATGAAGATTCAATAGCACCTTGTGGGAGCTACGGTTCCTTTGCCTGCTTGCCTCTCCCCTTTCCGGCCGGCGTGTGGATCGCGAACAGGTCTCGCCGGAAACAGACAGCAAAAGAAAAGGACAGGATCCAAAGCGAGTCAGGCTCACAGAGTCTCATCAGGCAGGTTCAATACCGGCTGGAGGGGTCTCAATCATGACGGCTTGTCAATTCGTTTGGGTTATCTAGGGTTGGTCCGGCCCGTATCACTAAACCATATCTGCCCAGGGCGACACGAACAAATACGAGACCGATGCCGCTCAGGTCATAAAAGGACCAGGGTTACACGATATCCTCCCGTACAAGGAACAACGCCACCAAGAGGAGCTGACGGGAATCTCTCTCCCTTGACTTTTTAAACTTTGGGTCTTACTGTCAGTTTCTTTGGTTAGTTGACAAGACGTGACATGCTTCGTCTCATCCTCATCATGATGGGTGTGGGCTTGATATAAAATGGCCGGATGCAGTCGATTGGTATGATTTGGCGAGAGACACTTGACTGCAGGTTCCTCTACTTTTGTTAGCGAAACTTAATCGGTCCATCAAAAGTAGTGCTACACAGAATCAAGTCTCCGGGGGCCAGCATGTCCTTAACTGTACAAACCTTAAAGCTCAGGATATCACAATCTCCCCAACGTCCCGCAAAGGAAGCATTCTCTTATATCTTTGCAACATCATATCACTTTCATGTATAGAGTATATAAGGTAATCATCAAGCCCTACAAGATCATTGACAGCCAGCGCTATCCCATGTCGCCGTAGAGTAAGCAATCATGGATCGTAGCCCCGGATTTTGTAACCGGATTGTCGCTCCGAACACGCGTTCAAGCTTCTCACAGACGATCATCACCTTTACAAGTAAAACACTCTGAAAAGAAATCCATCTCCACAATTTCTTGATGATTGCGTGTTATGATACTGAGCCGCCACGGAGCATCTCCGCCGATGAATTTTTCGCGTTACAGCTTTCTCCGTGCTAACAAACAGATCCCAGAATTAAGTTACAGAGAAATTTAGCTATTCACTACTGAGCTCCAAGCGACTCCACCATCGGACAACGTGATCATCCCCCTTGCTACTGCTTTCAATCTTGATGAATTCTGTATCCAGTTCCTCTCATTCGTCTTATCCCTCAAGCAGTATTTACACCATGAGCACATAACAGGTTGATCTTACTGATGCGGACAAGTGTATGGACCAATCAGACGCTCACCGCCCAGCTCAGCGCTTAGCAGCATACTTGCAGCGAATCACTTACATGATGATGGGGAAATGTTCGTGGTCATACAACCCTCGAGCCGCCTATACAAATAGGTCAATGGCCAATGAGAGCTCGAAGAGTACTTGCAAGACAACTCAGGGCGTCTCACCAATGTCAAGAGAATTCCTTCTTTCCTTTCATCCTCTTCTTTTTTCCCTTCTCGTTTGTTTCTTTGTGATCGTCAGCTGAGGTTGGAGTTCCCGCTCATTGTGCTATTGTGCCATTGTCCTTCGTTTGAGCTATTCACGTCCGGCTGCACTAGTTGCCTATCATTCTTTATTCCATTGTTTAAACATCATTCATTGTGGCCAGGAACATTGTCATTGTCATTTTCCTATCATCATATTTACTGGTGACGACGTATCATCATTTTCCAAACCAATCGTGACTGTTTTTCTCGCTCAAAATTTCTTGCTCTCCTCATCAAATCCGTGGAGATCTTACGTTTCAGCTTAGTTGACTCCAATTCATAATTGCGGAGCGCCAGAATCATCGTACGACTCAGCCTATCGCGTATCTATATTAGCATTTTGCACCTAGATTCTCGAATTCAACGTCTTCTTCCTAGGAACCGCTGGGCCGGTATGTCCTACATCACTCGCTTCTTTGCCAGACCAACTCAGTTGCCATCGACGTCGCTGGACGACATGAAGGATGAACCGAGGGACATGAGTATCTGGTCACGCGAAAGGCCATACTCATCGTCGCAACACGTGCTTGGAAAAGGTTATGCTCAACCTTCTCCGCCTCCCTTGCCCGCACTCGTAACAGACTCTCGTGAGCAGGACAAGCATGTTGGCCTATTCGACAGTCCTGAGCACCCTCTCTCAGCGAGCACACAATGGGAGGACACGGAGGAGTCGGCGGGGACCACGCCACGACAGTCATATTGGACATGCGGCAGCCCGCCGGTTCGTGATGAACAACCCCGACCAGTTCTTCGAATAGACACTCAATCAACCCCAAGAACCGGTTTAACAACTCTCGACCAAAACCCCTTTTCTCCGAAATCTGCTTCTTGTGATCGTGGAGTCGGTTTGTCTACTATGAATGGCAACAGCGGACATGCGTCCGCTGCAAGCAGAACGTCCGAGGAGGAACCGCGCAGTCGCTTTAGCGCTTGGACATCAACGACCTCTGGAACGCCGAAAACAATCAGAGGGAAAAGGTTGACAAGGCAAAGTGCATCAACTGTGCCTGCCAGTGGAATCTCTCCATCAAGCGCCGTAGTGGATCTTGTCTACCAATTTTCATCCCCAGTGCGCCGCGAGCTGGATACCGCTGGACCAGAGCAGAACAGACTGGCCCTTCCAGGCTGGCGTCCTCGATCCAGTGTCTATTCGCAGGCGACAATATTTCTCGGTGACGGGACGTCTTTCCAGATGCCTCCAAGCCCTGTGCCGCCAATACCCAAGATTGCCCCTCACTGGATCGCCGATCCCAGATATGTCACAAGCCCCCAAGACGGCCCAACCGCCGGAAAGACTGGAAATCAAACATGGATTTCTTCGCCTCAAACTCATCAAACGTTTACGTCAGAGCACGAATATAGCATTCACCAGAGCTCGGAGAACGACGCTGAAGGAGCTCGTTCAAAACCTTGCAATTTAAAGATTGACACTTCCAAAACTCGACCTCCATCTGACGGCTATTGGGTTCAAGGAATACTGACGGCTCATCTCCTGACCCCCAGTCCTGGGCAACAGGTCCGGAGTATCAACGGCCAGCATTCTTTAATGACGCCCAAGGTTGCGGATCAAAAATTTTCATTCACACAAAGTTTTTGGTCTCCTCTCTCAACAAAAGACGAAACTTTAGGAAATGACTCAAGGTCTCAGGGCGAGGAAATCATCATGTTTGGGCTTGAAGAAGATACCAATCAGAGACATTCCCTGCGAAGTGCACCAGCACTTTCTCGAAGCTTGATCGCGCATCATACTCCATCTATCATCGACCAAGCTGACGCCGTCCCTATACATCGCCAACTTGCCTCTTCTGCACGATCAGATCCCGACACGCCGCGTCAATCAAGCCCTTCTTCGCCCATTACTCCAAGGACTGTATGGTCTGGATTCGTAAATGACCGAAAAGACTCACGGCCTACTTTCGCGAGTCGTTCGTTTCTAAAAGAAAAGGTAGACTCGGATACTACGAATGCTTTTCATCTTGCTTCCAAGGATCTACCAGCCAACAGCTCAAAGAAGCAGAGCGAAACGCTTCCCAGAAGAGGCACGGCATCTCCTTCTAGAAACTCTGTATATCAAGAATACTTATCTCCCCAACCGCCACCCTATACGTCCAAGGCGCCATCCTCTCGTGGCTCAAGCAAAATCATGCCTCATGAGGAACAAAATAATTGCCATCAAACTCCGCGGACCATCCCTTGGCCGAGTTTTGGTGGCTCGCATGACTCTCCATCCGAAGAGTCCATCCCGCGAACCCCTGATGAGGAAGACGTCAAGTTCTATGCGTCTATAACCGGATGGAACAAACCTCCAGGTACAGTTGCGGCAAAGGCTGCATGCGTTGCTACTGAGCGCAGTGTGGATAGGAAATCTTTTCCAAAGCCCCCAACCAGCGACCGTCGTCGACTCATCAAACGACGAAACCTGATACGGTGGTTCATTTTCTCAGCTTTTCTCATTTGCATAATGATAATTCTCGCGGTTGTACTTGCCACTACTCTTCACACTAAACACCCATCATCACCACCAATATCCTTCTGGGTCAATGGCACTGGGTTTCCTCCCATGCCTACGGGAACCCTGACAGTAGCCCAGCCAAGCGCTGCCGTAGAAAATGCAGGCTGTGTAAATCCTTCGACCATCTGGAGCTGCGCTCTACCCAAAGAGCAGCAAGCAGCGATTTCCCCTAATGCGCCTGACCAACCAAACTTTCGATTCGACATCCGGTATCTCAACAGCAGCAGTAACAACAACGCTTCTGACGTTTCCTGGATACCAACGCCCGCTGCGCCGAGTCTTGAGGACCAGATATTTCTCGGTAATACTACCGACGGCATCACTACATCATTGTACGAAGGAGAGGAAACACCATTCTATATTACCTTCATGTCCACTTTGCAAACATCCTCATCCTCATCAGCTTCACTTATCAAGCGAAGCCAAAGTACCAATCCCAGCAGTGCCAGCAGCGCGACCGCAACTAGCAGCAGGAGTATATCATCTGCGATTCCGGCGCCGGACGTTGACGCAGACGGTGATCCCGCACCTGCGAACCTTCTTCCCTACCCTGTATCGCAGCCGCTTCGCCTCTATAACCGTGGCTTGCCTACCGAGCATTACGGCTTCTACAACTACTTTGACCGATCTATTTTCCTTTCTTCCATCGACGGCGTAAGCTCAGCAGATCTGGATGGAGGCTCTCCCCAAGACCAAGCAACTTTGAGATGTACGTGGGCACAGACCCGATTTCTGGTGCAGATTTGGACTAGAAGAGGTAACGCCACGGCGTTACTTCCCACCCCTGTATCCGCAATATCATCCTCGTCGTCTGTATCGCCTTCTGTAAAGCAATCTTCTTCCGCAGCTGCCTCTGCAACGGCGTCGGCTCTCAACTCAACTACATTCTCTCGACCCGGTACATTTCCTTATCCTGTGACCATCACGCTTGACCGCCATGGCGGTAACGACGCCGAGAAAATGATCTACTGCTATGGCATTAATTCGACAACCCGTGCCATTGTTCCGTCGGACAATTTCTACCAGGTTGAAGATCGGGGGTTTGGCGGGACTTTGGTCAATCCTGCCTCACTGGAGTCGAGTAATGAAACTGCCAATAGTGTCGCAAGCCGGAGCATGATAGCAGTCCGTGATACCCAGTATGGAGGCATCGACGGCGGTACAGGTGGATGTTCATGTCAATGGCAGAACTTTCTTGCACAGTCTTGAAGGAGCCTTTTTTCGGGTCTCAAGTCTGGTCAACGCTGGCCCAATCTTCACTTTTCTCTTCCCTTTTATTCACCTTTCGATTTCATCGGCATCTTGCCTTTGTCACTTCCTTGCTTTCACGTCTTTTCCTATTCCTTTACACAAAATGGTGCAAATTCTGGAATGCCGAGTCACGATCTGTCTATTAGCGGGGCGGAGTTATGGAGTCATCCGGCTGGGAGCATATTGAGCGGCTTGTTTTATCATTTTTATCTTCAAAGATTATCAATATGGGCCAATCACTTGGGCGTTGGGTAGCACTATCAATCATATCCGTCTATACTCTATACAATACAATAGTAATTGTCATGCAGGTTATATGATATAACTTGTCAACCTCCTGCCTACTTGGTTGCGCAGTAATTGTTGAATCTTTTTTTTTCTCAGGCAGAGCTGCTACCAACATATGCTAATGACGCCTTATCCCCTATCTCAAAGCCTGCTTCTTGACTTCCAAAATTGCCAATGAAATGCATTGTAGATCTTAGATTTTCTGTCCGGGCAAATCACCAGCTGTCCAAACCTCAACTTAGGCTAGTTTTCGATTAACGGGCGACTGCTGTTATGTCACTACATGGGCAAGTATCGCTAGTGTACTCAGTAGATTCCGTCGTCTACAAGGATTCTCAATCAAGCTTAATCCCCTCTACATACCATACGCTAGCTGCCGTTCAATTGCTTAAGCTAGAGAATAACGAGACGCCCTGTCGCTCGCTTCCTCTTAACCTTAATTACGTCGTCTAAACTCGTCATAAGAACTCTCTACTATCAACCAGAACTCTTGTCATTATTCTCTGCATCCAAGTACTGCATTCCTAACTTTCTCAGAAACCGGGAAGAATTTCAAAGTCTAGCTACAACCTTTGAGACGGCTGTTTGGAAGCCATTTCTGTCCTTCTCGGCCCTTGACTCTTCTTCAATTACGATGCCTAGAGATCGGAGCGCCTGGCGGAACGTGCATTTTGTCGACGCCTCGACAGGAGCAATCTTAGGCGGTTGTTATCAAGAGGGTTCTTTAAGTGAAGAGTGTCTGATTTGGATCTTTCGAAATATCTTACTTGTGGTGGAAGGTGATCTGGTTGTTAGTCATCGGGAGACTAACCGAACCGTTGTGCCTTCAGCTCAACCAGTCGTCCCGGGAACCTATGAGATCAGTACGGCAGGTATGCGATTGCCCAAAATAAGACCGATTCATAGACTTATATAACTAGGGACGATACGTGTAACTGACGAGCCATGGGAGGCTCGCCTTATTAGCCATAATTTATCTGGCCGAGAGGACTCGTTTACTCGTCACGTGCGCCTGAGAGACCAATATTGCATGGTATCTGGTGCACCAAATAGATTGGCTGCTTTTGGTGACTTCATTGGACTACAAGCTGCGCACTTATTTCCATTGGCGAAGGAGATGATATGGAGAGCAAATGATTACCGCTGCTGGGTGATGGACATGGACGATGCGCCTGAGAGCAGTAGGATAAATTCTATCCAGAATGGACTGCTAATGTCAGAAAGCTTGCATTCGTGCTTCGATCAGTACTTGTTCTCTATCAATCCTGACGTGAGTACTTTCAGGGTGGAAATCGTTCCAGCAACGTAGTGTACTGATACAGCAAAGGATGGCTATAAAATAATAAGTTTTGTACCTGACAATTGGGGCGTCGATGGTCGAATCCTAGAGCTTCCCTGTCGGGAGCCGTCAAATCCACACCACGTGTCGGATGAGCTGCTACGATGGCACTTTCGGCAGGGTGTGTTGGCAAACATGCGTGGTGCCGGAGAACCAACCTTTGACAATGACTTCCCCCCCAGGAGGGACCAAATGGCTGTCTTGCGCTCTGAGCCATACGGAAAGGAACGACTCGAGATGGAAGTGAGTGAAAGGCTGAAATGTGCCACTCAGCGTTCTGAGGTGACTTCCATTCAACCGGTTACTGCTATTTTCAAAGGCTAATGTAGACAAATTCTTAGAACCACGCACATTGAGGATGGCTACAACTGTCTCAAATAGCTCAGAGATTGCTCGAATCAAAGCGTTCAATGCCCCTCTTTGCCTGGGAGCTATCAAATGCTTGAATAACTAACCTCGCACATTCATTTTGCTTCCATTTTTTGGCCCAATCAAATTTGTATTTGGAGTGGTGTTGGCATCTATCAAGGAGTTGGGTAACGATCTGAACAGTCTATGGATAATGGTATGAGCTTTGCAATATTGCTTTGACATTTGCTCTGTTGAACAAGAAAGAAACGAAGAAAAAAGTCTAATTATTTATCTTCAGAACTGCTCCACAATCACTCAGCCCTAGTGCCCCTTGTTGGCATAAGCACAGCCATCATCCGTCTCCATAAAAGCATCGAGATACTTGAACGACGAGTCACTACTCAAAGCAGGCCTCTTCTTCCCGGTTGCAATATCCCACACAAAGCCATATCGCAAGGCAATACCCATTAACCTAGCCAACTCCATCTTCTCCTTGAGCTCTGTCGTGACGTCTTCAGTTCCTACTTCACTCTCGAAAGTCTTCCAGAAAAGCTTTCTCAACTGCTCGTGGTTGCTACAGTAATGCCAGCCCTCGCTGTCCATGTGGCCCAAGACATTCTCCACGCCCCACAGAGCTAAACCAAATGGTCGGAATTTGGCGTCAACCCAGTCAATGATTCCAGTAATATGGCCCGTTGAGGGGTCAACGAGCACATTCATCTCGCAGAGGTCATCGTGGGTAATAACAAGAGGATATGAAGAGGAAAACAATCCGTCAACATCTTTGCAAAGCCGAAGCATGACTTTAGCAAATCGCGGAGGCAAAGAATCAGAGAGAAGGTTCAAGTCCCGCGAAATCTCATCCCGGCAAGCTGCTAGTGCCCGTTCGTCCATGGCTACTGGCTTCTTCCACGACAATGCAAAAAACTTATTACCAACAATGTCAATAAAATATTAAAGAAAAAAAAAACATGATGATTGTTTTGAGACACGTCACGGGGCTTTAATACCTACTTTGCAAAGTCCATTACAACGTTTTCCTGCCATGTCTGTATCTCTTTGGAAAGGTCAACAAAGAAACCATGTCTCATTCGTGCTTCGATGTAAGTGATGCCTTCTACTCTCTCCATCACGTAGATGCCGAGACGAGACGATTCGGAATCGCCAATGTGCCCGTGAAAAGTACACCGTGCTACAAAACTGCCAAACGTGGACCATGCAAGGTCGTAGATTTCCATGTCTAAATCTTCGCATCGGAATTGTACAATGCTTGTTTGTTTCGGCCCTGCGTATACCGTGTAGCTGAAGCATCCTTGGATTGGACACGGAGTGATTGGGGCTCCAACTAGTGAAATGGCAATCTCGTCGCACTGATCTCTCGTAACATCTTTGAAAGGAAGAAAAAAATCAGCAATCGTATTGTCCAAAGAGTATATTTTGTAAGACATTTTAAAGTTTTGTCCAGCTCCAGTTAATTGGTCCCTAAATCCTCGCTGTAAGATTGCTGAAGGTTGATTAAATTAGTGGGGTCGAAGCGCGGGTTGTGGGGGAAGTCTGGGGCTGGGGCGTAACAACGGGTTGGCTCGTGTTTAATTTGAAATGCTGCCTACTGTGGGGTGACACAAATAAGGGGTTAATTTCGCGACCAGAACGTGTCTTCACCACCACCACAACAACGATGCCTCGAGCCTTTGAGCCATGAAAACAGGGCCCTGAGCTATTTCCAGCTCAGCAGGGAGATAATTGGGGCTAGAAAGGCTGGCAAGACTTATAAATAAATTGCTTCATTGCTCTACTTGCCATACACTACTGTTAACTCCACACTTGTACAGGACAAAAAACATGAAAATTTAGAGACCCTCCTGCGACCTGGAAGACCCAAAAAAATTTCTGACTGTACATCCAGACAGGTTCGAAGACAAATTCCAAATAATCTGAGTATAAAATTATGGGAATTACATGCAACCTGTATGCCAGAAGTATCAGAAAGAACGCTCCAATGGGAGCTCCAGAGACACAACCTTTGGAAGTGGAGAAAGGCTGAAAGACCCCTTTTGATCTCCAAGCCATCGCAAGTCGAACGAATCATGATATTTTGCCCGTGTTGCTGCTGCACGAAGCTTACCCTTGAATAAATAAAATGGGTCGAGGACGCTGGCAAGGCCGGTCCCGAGTCGCTGGCCATTTACCGTCCGAAGGGAGGCCTGTATGTCTCTCATAGTGTATTGCGAGCCTCGAGGATATTTAGATAAACTGATCTTCGAGTTCTTCCGACAGAGAGAAGGGGGGAAGGGCACACACTAACCGGCAAATTGCTCACAAAAGATCTCGACAAGCACCGCATTGCTTCGATCTGGTTTATCGGACCATAAGAATGCGACATAGTCCTGTCGACTCTGAGGGATGGCAGCAAAGCCGTCCTTGCCGTCGAGCAGACTGATGATTTGCGCTTTGGATATGGACGCAATGCAGTCAATATCCTTACTCTGGCGGAGGCCCCCGAGGACAGCAATGGCATATCCACCAAATATGCCAGACTTGACATTAGCTTGGCGCAGGATTCGATACAGTGCAATTGCAGCATCATTCAGGCGTTCTTGAACCATTGTGTCAGGATATGTTGGAAAAGAGCCATCTCACTCTCGTATCCAGATCTGTACAACTCCTTGAAGTTGACATGTATGGAAACAAAGTCTTCATTGTTTTTCCTTTGAACATCAGCTATTTCCATGGCAAGTCCATGGTGCCACGTCAATAAGACTTGTAATCCCTGCTCTGTTTTTGCTGCATGGGATTGATGTGGAGGGGGGTCTGTTTGTTGACCAATCATGGTGTTAATACAAGCGCCTATTGGTTTTGGGAGGGATGTATCAGCCGCGTGAGCAGCGGTTTCTTGAAGTCGTCTTTTTCCGAAATGTGACATACGCTCCTCCAATTTGCCATCCTCGATGCGAAACGTTAAAAAAACAGCAAACTAAATTCTTTGATTGTGAGCAGATAAAATTACCGGGAGGCTATGATCTGGAATCCAGATCCCGGAATCCGTCGGAGTCGCTCTGCTTCCTCTTTATCTGCAACAAAACACGTCACATCGTGGTCCAAAAACTCATCATTGCACGATGACTTTTCGCATATCAGCGTCATGGCTAATTCGAGCACTTGAGGTTGGGCGCTGATGATATTCGCCTTGACCCACTCCTCATCCAAATCCATCCCATCCAGTAATTGCTCCGCAGCAATCCTCGCCATACCATCATTTGATTCTAAAAATCTCCGACAAAGACCAATGAAAAAAGGTGGCAGCCGTGGTACAGGGATATACTTGATGTCATCTTTAGAAACCAAATCCAAGATCTGACGGCTGTATGTAGTAAAGGAACGTGTCTCGTCTTGGCAAACAATGTTTCTGTCGAGAGGATTCAGGCCAAAATATGTATCGGAGAAAAGAATGACTGCGTATGATAGCGTCGTCACCGATGTCGCCAGAAGCCGGGGAAACCCTCTTTTATACTCTGTGAAGAGATCGTAATCTTCCTTTATCTCAAGCTTGAACATATTTTTCGAGCATAAAACAGATACTGCTGGAGACAGGGAATTCTCAGGTATGCAGATCTCGATATCCTACATATATATGTGAGGGCAATTCCGTAAGTTCTGCAGGAATGCTCACATGCACAACCCTTGGTACATTGTAGTAATTCAGTGCTATTTCTCCAACCAGACATGCAGGAATATCTGCGTTTTTGAGAGCCGCAAGAGTCGTCTTGATGATTTGTAAAATGTCCATCTTGCATCAAAGAACAATGATGGGCACACTACGGATGCGGGGAATAAAGGAGCAGAGAGTCAATAATGGCGGAGTTTAGGTGTCTTAAATAGTCCGGTTCGCCAGGTCGCCCTGATTTGGGCGGCTATCTCTGACTCAGGTGTCGGTAAAGCCCAACTGTGCAGTCTCGCTGTGATAATAGAGGCACAGCTTGACCGCCAACAAAGACTGTCAACTTCCCCCTCCCCGCCCCCAAATCCTTTCTTGCATTCAGTTTCGTTGCAATGAGTTCTTTCTCTCAAGTTCCTTGCATATGTCGAGAACACAATTATCTCGTCTCCTCAACGGCGTTCCATTGCAAGGATTGACATACGTGGTCTGTATAGATGGCCATCATCATCTACTACTCTAAGAATGCAGCATCTTGCTGCAACCCGCAGCGTGGCTTCATGGCGATACAAAATCCAATCCCTGCTGCCAAGACCGTCCGTCTCCTTTCAAGTCTTATCAGATCTGCATCTCGAAATCAACAAGCAATATTCATCCTATGACATACCCGTCTGTTCCCCTTATTTGATTCTCGCCGGGGACGTTGGCCGCCTCGCGGACTCAGACTATAACGAGTACCGTGACTTCCTATGCCGCCAAACTGAGCGTTTCGAAAAAGTATTTCTCGTTCTTGGGAATCATGAGTTCTACGGCCTATCTTTTGCCGCCGGTCTTGAAAAGGCCAAGCAACTTGAAAAGGAACATTGTTTTAGCGGACGGCTTGTCCTTCTTCATCAGACGCGTTTTGACTTTGATTGCAATTGTTCCACATCCTCATCTCTGGTCCCTCCTGTTTCTCCTTCTCCTCTCCTCTCTCCCTATTTTTCTCCTCGTTCCTGTCCCTGTCCCCGTGTTACAATCCTAGGCTGCACGCTCTGGTCCCAAATCCCAGACGACGCCAAAACCAGAGCGATTGTCAAGTCCAAGATCAAAGATTTTCAAAATATACATGACTGGACGATTGACGACCACAACGCTGCTCATGAGTCGGATGTCGCCTGGTTACGGCAGCAGGTTGGGCTCATACAGCGAGAGAATGAAGCGACCCCAGCTCACACCAAAAAGAGGTCTGGGTCAAGCTTGGGGTTGGAGTCCAGGTTCAGGTCCAGGTCCAGGTCAAGACCCAGGAACCGCTCGATTCTGATAATAACTCACTACGCGCCCTCTATTGCAAAAACCTCCAGTCCGCGCAACTCGAAAAACCCATGGATCTCAGCGTTCGCAACTGACCTGTTGTCGGTGTCAAAAAGGCCAAACACACAGAGTGAGTGGGACGGAGTCAAGGTTTGGGTATTTGGACATACACACCACACGACGCAGTTCAAGCAAGACGGTATAACAGTTCTGAGCAATCAGCGTGGTTATGTACTTCCCTGGAAACCCGATCCTAGGAAGCGCGATAGCGCCGAGAAGGATAGGGTTGATGTCAGGAAGGTTGTACGATTGAGTGGGTAAGGGGGGTTTTGCTTGCTCCCTGGAAGAGGACTCATCCGACTCAGACTGTCATACGGTCATACCTTAAACATCCTGCTTTCAAAGGTCAAATGATGAATCATGAAACAGAGAATGGGTTCTTTAAAGACAATTTTAATATTACTAGAGTTTAAGTTCATAGCTAGCAGAGAGAAAATGTATCAGATGCATTAAATTCATGTTCAAGATTGAGTCTACTACAAGACGCCATTGAAGTTATTGAACCAAAGGCAGAATCAACCACAAAAAGGAAGAAGGATGACAAAACAAGAACAAAAAACGGTGATACCAAATCAAGAACTTGAAAATGTCTGTAATATTTTATATCTCTCATATGCTAGATGTCAGATGCCAGATGGCAGATGCTGGATGCTAGATGCTAGATGTAGAAAAAGATGGAAGTAATATATCTTCTAGATATCTACAACTTAAAGGTTAGTAATTCAACACCACCTCCACTACATCCCCTTCCTTCTTCGTCTTCTCCGCCACCATTACCACCACTACCAAACCCCACCGCCGCGAACAAAAGCGGCAGCGGCAGTAACAACATCCACACCCACGCCAACAACGACGCCATGACGCGACGACGCCATGACACAATGACACAATGACACAATCGCACAAAAAAACAGCAGCTCTAAGAGTCTAAAACTCTAACTCTCTAAGGCAAAGAAAGATACAGAGCCAAAAGTTTCGGATAATTCGGCGTGCCCAGGCCCGTGACGGGATCCCAGCCCGACACGGCAGTGAAACCGGGGGTGCCGCAGCCCTGGTTTCCGCCCGAGGTGATATCATTCAGGACCTGCGGGTGGGCGTAGAGGGTGGGATTCAGAAAGCCGACGGGTCCCTTACCGACATTCAGACGGGCTTCGTTGATGAGGGTGATGATGGAGCCGAAAGTGGGAGAGCTAGCAGATGTGCCGAAGACGAGGTTGAAGCCGCCGTCGATGGCGATGACGTAGTTGACGCCTGGAGGATGCGGTAACGTTAGTATGAGAGGGATATATTTTCCGAGGGGGTTACAGGGGGTAAGAGAAGAGTGGGCGGGCAGGATTGTAAGACAACGGGAAAGCGAAGATAAAGAATGGGAAGGAAAGTGAAGGAAAGGAAAAGAAAGGAGAAGGAAAGAATGGGTAAAATCAAAAAAAAAGAAAGAAAAGAAAAGAAGAAAAGCAAAGGGCCGCAAATGGAAGAAGGAAATGGTAAAGACCAAAGGGATGAAAGAAGTCAAGGAAAGAC